ATATCCAGTGCTAGCAATATAAGATGCAGAAGACATTAATGTTAAGGGTGTCCTTCTTCTTCATATGTCTAGGGATCTTTCGCTCTATAGGGAATACTTTATTTAGGAACTAATGCTAATGTTAATGGTGAAGCTGCTGGGACCAAGAACAAAATAATGTACTCATCGCATCTGTTCATAGATATTGCCATTCAGACAGCGCCGTGCAAATAGACTAAAGTATTAGTAAAGCTGTCGCCAGTACTCATCATATAACTGAAGAAGCTTCTGTCATGAGGTCCTGTATATCTAATTAAAGAAATTCATGTAAATTATTTGGTCCTCCAGGAGTAAATACTCCACGTAGTCCTCCTTTAAATAGATGCAAAATCTGTCAACAATATATTAAGGATGTACGATCCCTGCAGTAATCTGAGAAAGCGCATATGTACCTTTACTAGTATCTTTTAACCACTGCAAGACCTTCCAATGTCTTGGGTTTGAAGTTCAGGGGTAGCCATCTAATGCTGTGGAAATGCTTAAGTCTGGCTTGAGTCTCTTCATAGAGGATCAGGTCAGTCCAGTATTGATGCTCATTGGGATTAGTAGGAGGGAGAGGAGGCAGTGACATCAAGATAAGCTGATCCAAATATAAGAGAAAGCTGATTATTTTCTACAGTGATTTAAGCAGCAATCGCCTGGTGGATTAATTTAGAAGGCGTTAAGGTGGGAGGAAGGCGCGAGAGTACAAGGGAGGAAAGGAATAAGTGAGGACAGCCAGCATTTTATAGAGCACATGGGCAATCTGCTTGAATTTAAGGGAGCTAGATCTGGCTGCTGAGGAGGCCATTGTTAGTGTTACTAATAGTTGTGAATTGAAATCAAGCGAGTTCTCGCTGAGGATTGTCTCCTTAGGATGGTGACTAAAACAATGCTTAGCAGGTGCAGAATAGTAGTGTGTAGCACGTGCTTGAGTACTAAAGCAGCAGCTTGCAGAGGGAAAATATAGGTGGAAATGCAGCTATTTATGGCCTCAGTAGCTGTCATTTTCAGTATCGATTTCACAGGTCCCTATATTCTAGCTGTATTTTACAGACTGTCCTATTCTCCGTAATCTAAATATACTCTGTGACAGCACCTTGTATCGCACTTTCCTGGGCTGTTGTATTGCACTGGCCAGTAGCATTGAATGACTACTTGATATTATCAAAGCTGCCGGTGATACATCGACAACTGGGCTGATTGAAAAAGCCATTAATAATGCGTGAAAACCCCAGGGAAAAGTCGGTAATAGTGTGCAGAAAGCCCAGACATGCTAGCGCAGCAATAACAGCATGACAGACCTTAGTATAAATATTGTTAGGGGCTCGTGACTAATGCCAGACTGCGGCAAACATGATAAGAATACTGAGATGGGCGAACCTGTACTCAACCAACCTGATAATAGGAATATTAATATGGTCAACAGGCTGGCAGAATGAGACTAAATAATCCAAGAATATAGAGCTTCCCAATAACTTATTAAGCCAGTATGTTCAGTCCCTTTCTGACACCTATGGATCCCCTCCAAACGCGGTAAGGTGGTTAAAGGTCATAGATCTCATAAATATCTCCTCTAACCAGCATGTCTAGTCTGCACTATACACCACTGCATCACCAAACATGGTGGTACAGTCCGAGGACTTGGAACCTATGGATAACCCATCCTGGCAGCAAAGTCAGTATCTAATGGGCCCATCCACACCATCTGTCAGCCATGCGCCATCTTCCGCCTGTATACTGAATACTAATACCTTTTATTCACCTACTATGACAGACGAGCAAGCTTCCCTGAGCTCAACAGTGTTGTACTGTACAGCTAAAGAAACAAGCAGACTTAGGCAGCTGCACCTTGAGCTTCAGGGCCAGGCATCAGCGCAATGTGAGGGCACTAGGGACTGTAATTACCCTACCTCTTTCCTACAAACTCTACAATGGTAAGGAACCATTTGCAGGATGCTCTTATTATATAAACACAACCCATGCTCATCCTCAGCAGTATAATAAATAATCCCAAAAACTCACACCTCATCAGATGGTCTGAGAAGGGGGATTCTTTCATCATTCTAGACAGAAATGAGTTTGCTCAGATGTTACTCCCTACCCTCTGTGGTCATGGCAATTTCAGAAGATTTTACAGCCTTTTATAGTATTACAACTTTGATCTCAAGAAGCAAACCATTAATGGATCCTATCCCTAGAAGTCATGGCAAAGCACTCTGTTAAGAGAATACAGCAATCCTAGTTTTCAGAGAGATGATGAAACTGGGTTTTCACGTATTGAATATCAAAGGAGGAAGACCAAAGAGCCCTCAGACCCTGGATCTTAGTCTTCCCTATTCACTTGGTGTTCCTGTGCACGCGGAGAGTCCACTATGGATGAAGACCATGTCACACATGATATGTGGTGAGGCGGCAAGGCATGCAAGAGTGTCCAAGATATCACTAACTAGGAAGACTATATAGTACCTTCCTACAATATTCTGGGTCAATCTAAGATGCTGTCTTGTTAACATTTATAGGCTAGGGAACTTATATTTACTGATTTATGTAGCCTTGAAAACTGTTGATAATATAGGAAGACAGCAGTCCCACTTTGACAGCAGTCCTAATTTAACAGCAGTCCCGCTTTAACAGCAGTCCTGATTTGACAGCAGTCCTGGTTTAACAGCAGTCCTGATTTGACAGCAGTCCTGGTTTGACAGCAGTCCTGATTTGACAGCAGTCCTGATTTAACAGCAGTCCTGGTTTGACAGCAGTCCTGCTTTGATAGCAGTCCTGGTTTAACAGCAGTCCAGGTCTGACAGCAGTCCAGGTTTGTGGCCCAAGGATTTGAAGCCTTTCAAGCCCATCTTTTAAAAACTAATTGCTATGGAGATGATTGGCTAGCCTATAATGCCTTTAGAAGTATTTATACCCACACGACCACTCATTAGGACTAAGAAATAAGTTGCTCTTAAGTTATTACTAGCCACATATTTCTTAAATACACTAAGCCTGTCTAATAGGGGCCATCTGCCCTTTTTATTTCTTTAAAAGAGAAAGAATTTTAAGGAGAAAGGAAACAGTTCTCCCAGAAAGTAGGTGATAGCTTTAACCCTGAAAGAGTAGGGCCAATAGGTCACTCACTGTGAAGCTATATAAGTTATTCTTATGGTTCTAGTGTGTTCAACCAATATTTCTTGACTTGTGCTTTTATTAGAGGCACATCAAGATCTTCCCCTCCCAGCCCTAGCCACGTGATTTGATGGATCTAATTATTTCCAATAGGGGTTAAACAGATTTCAAAATCATCCAGCCTTGAGAGAAAAAGAAAAGGGCAAAAAAGCAGGCATTTTCTTAAAGCCCCAGATTGCTATTCAGTCAGAATGTAGGGTTAAATAAACTGTCATTCAGCTAGCAACAAGCAGCAGGTGTTCATGACTTAGGATTACCCACAGGATATAACCCACGCCAAATCTTTTTTAATTCTTTAATTAATTTATTTTTAATTTATTTTAGGTTTTTGATTTTTAACTTTTTGATTTTTATTTATTTATTCATTTATTTTATTATCTATTTACTATTTATTTATTATTTATTTTATTCTTATTTATATTCTTTTCCTTTTTTTAGTGCCTGCATCCATTCAACTACATTGTATAAAGCTAGAGTCTCCTTTGACTTAACTTCTACATTATAGTTCTAGAGTTCCTAGGCAATCAGTGCATTTCTTCTATAGCAGGCAGTTAATACATTATAGAGTCCTCTACCAGTAAACTAGAATAGGAAGATACTCTGGGATAATTCCATGGTTTAGATTCTATTATAGACAAGCCGCGCATGGTGTTGGCTTGTTATTCTCCTATTCAAAATGCTGGATCCAGGCAACACCAGCAACTGCGCACCCAATGTACATTAATTATGTGGCGCTAGAATGCCATCTTATGCAATAAGGTCACCTCGCACTAGTTACACTTAAACAGCTCTTCCTTCAGATATTTGGCATCAAAGTGGTGTGTGACACAGCCAGCATCATAAAACATCCAGCAGTGAACCTTATCAGGTAGCTTCTTATTCGCGAAGCATTAAAAGCAAGCCTCTGGCAGTGCTGAACTCTCTAAATATTCCTTAGTAGCACGTGACAGCTTATTATGTATAGTAGGGGTTCCACTTCGCATGTGCTGATGCTGTCTTGAACTTATGATGCATCCTAGGGCTAAGCCATAGGTTCATCCAATGCAGTAGAGGTCATAGTTTCTTGCCTAGGCCGGCCTCTTAGAGGGCCCCCTTTAAGGACATCATAATATTATATTACCACATCCGCACCTGCATCTTTCTGATTCCATTCATCCTCCAGTAAGTTAGAGATTGGGTAGGACAAGAGACATTATAAAAGATATAGCTAGGTTAGAGGCATAGCATCCTTAAAAGCTTCATCCTCTTCTTCCTCCTCAACTGCAGTGCCAGAGAGCTGCGCCTTAATATCCAGGAATGCCTGCTCTTCATTAAAGTTCTCTTGGATCTGATGCCTTAAAGCCCTCAGTAATTATTTTCGCGTATTTGTCACCTCCTTCTTTTGCCTCTTAATCTAACTAAGCAGGCCCTGTTGCTGGGTCTTATCATACTAGGCACTAAGGTCGCTTAGCTTCCGGCGGGCTTCTTCTAACTCAGGATAGTCCTCCACCTGTGCCCTCTATTGCTTAGTTAGATATCTCAGGCGTCGTGGGTCTTCCCAATGGTTCTGGCGCGTGACAGCCCACATTAATTCCATGTCTGGGTCGAGGCCACAGATTACCCAAATCATATCTGTGTTGATCTGCAAAGGATGGTAATGGTTGAGAAAAGTCCAGGGGCTAGTATACTTCATGATCAACATATATTGCTCTTTACTAACCCATCCTGAAGTTGAATGTCAGCAGCTAAAAGGACCCCAGAAAGTGACAGGATAGAAAGAATTGCTTACCACTCTTGTTGATTACTTTACCACTCCTGTACCAGAACTAATGGGCATGGAATGCCCTGGGCCATCCGCGGATCTCCCCAAAAGTGACTAGTAGGCTGGACATGGAGGACTTGGATATAGGTTGGGTCTGCTGAATGGTTGGAACCCCTTTAACTAATTCTGTTTTGCAAAAGATATACCAATCTGCCTTCTCTCAGTCTAAGGGCAACAGGAGCTGTTGGCAACCTTTACTAATAAAGAGCTTCCATAGCTGGGCTTTTGATGTTAAGTTATTCCGGAATGCTTTGGCATGGAATAATACTCTGAATAGTAATGTATGAGGACATATTACTAAAGATAGTCCATAGACCACTTTAGGGAGTGTAAATGTAGTCCTGTTGTCTGTTAGCCAACATTGCCCGGTTTAGACAGTCTTAAAATGGCGATGCTTTCCAAAAAAACCATGTTGACAGATCTAGCAGGGCTTGGAGATCATGAAATAAGAAGAAGAAAGGAAGGCAGTGCCCTTATAATTTAGTCTGCCTGAGGAACTTTTTACATCCATTAGGCGTCAGTTTGACTAAAGGGATAGGAGGTCCGCCGCAAGGGTCCTTCTGTAGTGAGATTTGTAGGTCTTTGAACTAGAGACTCAACAGGGCGCTCCTGTGGTGTACAGTGAACAGAGCTAGTGAATTAAACAGGCACACTTGGATGCGCTGGAAGCCAAGGTAGAACTTCTTTAGCTGAGTTGAGAGAATTGTTTCATTCAACGGGCCGATATCTTTAATGTAGACTGGCGTCTTCTTTTTTAGTTGCATATCTAACCCATGCTCTACCACCAAGTACTTAATACCCTATAGATTAGACAGTTAGACAAGACAGTTAAATAAATTAAAAGAATAATAATCCATGCTACTGACCCTCCGCACCTCTGACCCATCTATATCGTCGATTTTGCTCTTGGTCAGTTTTTGGTAGTAACCACAAAGGTTCTTCCAGTTGGTATTCAACAAGCTAGACTTGTGAATGCCCTTATTATGTCGACTGTTCTTTCCTCACTTAAGTTTGAGGGACCAGCCCAGAAACCGATACAGGTCGTTATTCAACGCCTAGCGTAGGGCCTCTTCAGGATCCTGCTATTTTTGCACATTAGGCTCTAGTTTTATTTTGCTGTTACAATATCTATGCCTGCATTAGCAGAGAACAGCAAAGGCGGCATTTGGCCTGTGTTACTGACCACTTCCATCAGGTTTTAATCCGCTCCCGTCGTTTGATGGTGCCCTCTGCTTTGTCAAAATCCTTATTGATCTCACAAAGGTCGATTCCGGTGTCATTGAGGGGGTTGTTGTAGAAATCATCTGCCTCATCATCCGACCGGAGGCGTTTTCGTAGGCTCAGGCGATCATCTGGCTTAGTGATATCTGGCTCAGTCACATCCATCTTATAAGTGGCATCCTGCTGCTCATCCCAGTCAGGGCTGCTACTGGCGACATCGCTCTCACTGCAGTCACTCCCCGTCAGGGGGGATTGATTCTGTCGCGCATGGGTACACTTCATCGGTGGGTTTGTAGGCAATGAAGAATGGACACTGAGAGGGAAGGCACGAGGGTTGTAAGGAGGGGGAAGTGGGAAACGACACTGTAAATTCCAGCGAAATGATTACTAGAGAGCGAAGTGAGTTAATTGTAGGTGTAAGAAAAGACCTTGAGGCTAGAAGATGACCTTCTTAAGTAGGGTGGTTTGGCAGAGGCAGAGGGATCAGGGGAGAAAATAAAAGACGACAAACCTGGAAGAAATCAGCTATGGTAAATAAGTTGGCGTCCTTATGGCCTGGCCGGAGCCCAGGCTCCTATGAAAGGAAGAAGTGAAGCCATTTTCAGCTCCCTTATACAGCTTCTGGTTGGAGGGACGGTGCTGAAGGACTGACGGTTGAACTTGGTGAAATGCCCATGATGGTGGGGCACTGTGGGCGAGTTTGACTGGTGCGTGGTGGTAGCGAGGATGGGGGCGTGTTGGAAGGGTGAAGTCATGTATTACCAAATGGCTGCCGAAAAAGGCGTCGAAAGCGGCCGAAAATGGCATACGTTTGGTAAATCCAAATTGTCTATGAGTACTTATAAGTTATAATCTGCCTTAGGTATTAATAAACTCTAGTCTAAATAGGACACTAGCTTATAGTTATATAATAATGTTAAATATACTAATTAATGTAGCAAGCCTAGGGTTGTTATTTTTGCGGGTTGGGCTGGGTTCTCCGATCTTTTGAACCCAACCCGCCGGGTTCGGGTTCTAGATTTCTAGGGCCTAAACCCGGCCCATAACCCGGCGGGTTCTAGATAGTCAACCCGGCGGGTTCTATTCTGCCGAAAATTCTACACTCCGCCTACCTAATCTAGTTAGTATGTATTTAATTTTTCTATACCATACTAGCATCTATACTAGCATTCAAAATATATATATATAAATAATGCATTCTACATAGAAATCTAACCTAGGTTAGTGTATTCTAATTACTAGGTATTGTAATTAAAACCCGTTTTTAGAACCCAACCCTTAGCGGGTTCTAAGAATTAGAACCCAACCGACCCACGGGCCCTAGAACCTGAACCCAAACCCAGCCCATGGCGGGTTAGGGCCGGGTTGGGTTAGGGTTCCCGGGTTGGGTTTAACCAGTCTAAGCAAGCCTATGTTATATAATCTTAGCTATGATTTGCACACTCCTTTTCATGTTTGGCTGCTGTGGTCCTAGTTAGAACCTCTTAGCAATTTCTTACCGTCTAAATCTAGGTTTAGAGTTGCATAACCGAACCGCAAAAATCGAACCCGAACCTCACCGAACTCGCAGCGGTTTGGGTTCGGTTCCTAGCCTAGGGAATCGCACCGGTTTCGGTTTCCATAGGGTGGAACCGCTTCGAGTTCGGTTAAAACCGCCGGTTACGGTTTTTGCGGTTTTGCGAGTTAGGTTAACCAACCCGCAACCGTTTTACCTAGAAATCACTGAATTCTAGATATTTCTAATTAAAATTAATATCACTAGATAGCCTGAATCAAGGGCTATCTAGTGATATAAATTTTATTCAAAAATACCTGGTGGTTGCTGAGATATAAGGGAATTTCATCTCTGTCATAGGTTGGTATGAAAGTAGTGGTAGTCTATATATATATGCGACTAACTGTTGACAATGACTATATTTAAAAATGGTTTTTTAACCACCACCCATTCAAACCTATAGATATTGAATTCATATTTTAGATCTAGATTAATATGATGATAATTACCATATATTTCATATAAAAATCATAATTTTATATAAGCATGCTTGATAGGGGCGTCAGAGGGGTCCCCGAAGGGGGGAATGGTAAGGGTTAAAACGGTTAAAATTAGCGGTTTAACCAACCCGAAACCGAACCGAATCTAACCATGGTTAGTTAGTATAGGCCTAGCTAGGCCTAGCTAGGCCTAGCAGCGGGTTTTGCGGTGAAAACCGCAACCGAATCGCATCGGGTCCGGGTTTGGTGCGAGTTCTAAATTTTGAACCTGAAACCGCAGCGGTTTGGTGCCAACTAGGCTTGAACCCGCCCGAACCCGCACCAAATGCAACTCTATCTAGGTTATAGATTTCATGGCTTCTAGCCTGTGACATAGCCTATACTAACTAGATTAATTAGGTAGAGAATATCCCTACTAGTAGAACTAAACCCAGTGGGTTAAGCCACCTAGAACCCACAGGTCTATAGGTTGGTTTGGGCCTTAGGTTTCTAAGGCCCAAAACCTGCGGGCTGGGTTGGCAGAACATGAGAACCCAACTCAACCCGCGAAAATAACAACTCTATGCAGCATGTCATGGGGGCAGCCCATGACATTCTATAAATAATATATAATTAAGTCTATATTATAATAATATACGTTCTAGGCTATATATAATTAGAACCTAGCCTAGCCTAACCTAACTTATTTTTTAACCTAAAATCCATATGGGTTCTTGCTCCTAGAACCCAACTAACCTATAGGTTAGGGATGCTCAGACCCAACCTAGCCTAAAGTGGGTTTGGTTGGGTTGGGTCTGGATTCTATGGTCGGGTTTAACCAGTCTACGTATTTGCGAATCAAAAGTCATTTTGCGATAGATGGTAGAGCTTCTTTGCACCGACGCACTAATAGTAATCAAAGACAAGGGGTTGTTGCGCTGTGGTAATTCCTATTATATATAACCAGAGAACAGATAAAAGAGATCAAGCCGGCCCCGTCCTATATTGAAGAGACTAACAACATTAGGCATGCCCAAAAAAGGCATATATTTCCAAAGGGCTAAAATAAATTGCATGAACAGGCTGTCCTATTAAATCATTGGGCCTAGGACTCCCCTCCCACTAATAGGCATTTCCTCTGGCTCATGCACAAGGCTCCGCGCTTCAGAGCCCTCTCGGCGGACTGAGTCTACCCAATTGCCATGTACCTGTGCCTTGACATGGAACGGTAGCTGGACGACTGCAACTGGCTTATCAAACTGGGCTGTGTCGATGACAACAATATCACATCTGTTAATAACCTTTCGCTCTATCATCGCAAGGACCCAACCATCCCCTTCCGGGGCGTCCTTGTTCCTTGGAATGAAGACTGGTTCTTGCACAGAACAATTCTCGCCAGCATAAAAGAAAGTCGTTGCCCCACTCCTGTGACTATGCATTGCCAGCCCATTTAAGTTTTGGAAGATAGTTTGCCCATTTGGCTTAGTTTTTGGTATGTTCACATCAAGAAACACAATGTTGTACTGCTTGGTTAAGAAGCGCTCATCGATGCGCGGAAACTCGCACGGAAGATCAAGGATCACTTGCGGGTCCGATATAGAAGAGCCAGAAGGGGCACTGAGATCTAGCTCCCAGCGCACAAAATCGCTCTTCGCGTCTGCAGATGGTGTTCGGCCATCATCGGATGGGAAGAATGGAAATGCATTGTCGAGGACCCGGGAGCTTTCAACGCAGATTCTAATATCACCATCGTCTTCCTCCACCTCCCAGGCACCAGCCGTGTGAAGAGGCATGCAGTTTCGCCATTGATACACTCGACATTTTTCATCCGCAGCCCAATTAGAAGGGCGCTTCGTGCGCTTCCGCCGAGGCACAACGATGAAGGCTGCTGGGCGGCTGTAATTCCACGCCCAATGATGCCCACCAGTCTGCATGCGATCCAGGCTGGCTTCAAAGGGCCACATAACTAAAACCAGCCAGTTTACAGTGAGAGCACAATCGTGGATGAATGAACTCCAAGGCGACTTGAGCCATTCTTCCTCGACTTTCTTCCCATTAGAATTAAGGGTGTATGTGGCCACGTCCAGGCTCGCAAGGCCTGTTGCTTCGTATCCAAACACAACAAGCTCATTGGTGAAGGGGTCGACTTTTGGATGAGCGGTGAATGTTTTCGAGCGTACCTGGGACTCAAAGGGATCGTACTTGATCGTTGAAAGCGTGTCCGGATCTACTGCATAGGGTAATGCAACCTCTTTCAATGCGAGCAAGTAACCCGCCCAATATATCAGGTTGGTATTGGCTGTGGAGTCGATAGCTCCGCGAACGCAGGGGTGATGGGTGAAAGGGTTTCGGTAGAGCCCAAACAGCGCTTTTCTAGCCTTTCGCTCCAACCTGTAGCGCTCGGTCTCAATATATCGCATTTTCATGTCAACTCGTCCATCATGGAAACGAAACGCGGAGATGCTGCCGTCGCCATCGAGAGGAACATTTCCTGGGTCAGGTGGCACAAATGGATCCACCATCACCCGATAAAAAGTTCCATCAATCTCTATGGGAATGTCGCCACAGACAATCATATCTCCGACCTCCCCTTCGAAACGACATGGGAGATTCGATCCTGAGAGGTCGAATGCGTCCGTCCGCTTGGACTTTAATCCGTATGCCCCATCGATGCCCGACGCTGATTCCTTTAAATCGGCCATTTCAAATATAGTTGTAGACTGCACGGCTTTTCAGGAAAGATGCGGGAATGATCAATTAACTGAAAATGTGGAGAGGACTCATAACCAACCGAATCCTTGGCTCGATCACTCTCCCTGTCAGAGCCGCTGTGGGGATTTTAGACAAGTATCGGCGCTGGACGGTTTTGGAATGGTGCCGCAGCTTCGAGATAGCGAGAGGTGTTTCACCAGAGGGACGCTGTCCGAGTTTCAATTTATCCCTCCTCAAGTTCGAGCTAAAAGCACGGTGGATGATATGCCACCCATCATCCCAAGGAAACTTAACCTGATGTGTTATCCTGGTTGGGCCGATGTATCATTGAGCACATGAAATGTACCACGCAGTTTTCTAATTCGGTGTGAATCTGGCCCGTTGCAAGTTTGCGCGCAGACCAGGCCTGAGTCCGCCTTGCCACTTGACTTCGCCATGTAATATTGCAGCCAATGCCAAAAACCGTGGTACTGGTCCATATCATGGATTATCGGCTGTTGAGGTTACATTGCAAATGTCATCCAAAGTTTTTGAACCCCACTGCAGGCCCAATGATAGTTCCGAATGCAGTGTTGCCCAATAGTATGCCGTCCAACTTATGGCGCCCGGAGCTAGTGGCTAGTGTTTCGCTAAAAAAGTCAACTCACGTGACTCGTTTCCTGAGCCAGGTTGCAAGACAACTCCAATTTAAAAAACACCTTTACCATTGTTTATTGCATGGAGATATTTCCGTCCTCTGGCTTGACTCTTGAGACTTATTGTGAATAGAACTCCAAAGCGGTTCATAAATGGAAGAAATTCATATAATCAATGTGATGTTTGTTTTATATATTAGTCCTCAACTTCTTAGAAAAGAATGACAATAATCACATCTTTATGAGAATCACAATTACTCCCTCAGTGATCATTGTCCTTCGGACAGTCCACTGGAGAGGTCAAACGTGATGCTCATACTGCAGAGACCTGTCCTCAGCCTACTCCATGGATAGGGTGCATCAACTACCCGCAGGAAGCCGGTTTCAGGTTCTTGGCGACGGACTGAAGATTTACCATGGGTTTGAGACCTCTGATCACCAAAGGGATTAGTTCAGCAAGGATCCTAATCATGCAAGGTTGTACTGCTTGGATTCTTATAAAAGTCATGATTGCGTCGATCCTATTTACGACCCGGTTTAACGAGCGGGAAGATGTTACCCGCCGATAGAGCCGTCTCAATGACTGCAATGCCAGCCTCCTGCTTAAACATGTCTAATTGCGTCTACAGCGAAATCCAAGGCTACGACCCTCCGTCAAACGAGCTTCACAGAAATGGTTGGCAGTTTGACCTTCATGACGTCTACATAATTATACATAATTATATCTCTCTGCTACAGTACCAGACCCAGCAGCCCCTTTCCTGAGAACAGATAGTATAGCCTTCGTGAAACCCGCTTTCAATACACACTTTCTTTTTGGAATATTTTACTTCATCATCTATAATAATTCCCTTATCAGATGTTACCATGCGGCAAGAGTCAGACTTCTACCAGCCAGAGGAAGATTTATTCATAGGTGACTTTTCCATGAGTGCGCCTAGGCTTCATCCACGTGCCTGTTTGCAGCGCCGACTTTTTGCCTTCAAGGCCTGGGATCAGCCCAGCAGGCTATACACCAATGTGCCCAACTACCCCTGTATCCCGCCCCAAGCACCAACCCACTGCGGCGACTTAATGTTTGTTAACCAGACCAGCAATGCCTCCCTCAGCCTGTCGGACTGCATGCAGACCATGAAGAGCATCCAGAAAACAGACGGCGATTGGGAGGTTAAGAACACAATCAGTAATGAGCACCAGCTCGTACAGTTCAGCTCGTGCGCCTTTTGGGTCCAGGGCCAGGGGAAGAACAGCAACATCAACTTCAACATTAGTGCTCAGGACATTATTAATATCGTACTAATATCGTTTAGTTGGTCTGGAAAGGTTGGTGCGAAGGGGGTGATGTCTTGCGACAGAACAGTCAAGGGCCAACAGGTTGAATGCGGGCTATATTAGCTGTATAATACGCTTGTATACCTATAATAGGAGAATTCAGCTGCTGAGTTTGTCTCTTCACCCTTGTGGATATCTCAGAGTCCCATTGTTATTATGTCACATGCCACATCTCATTCAGTAGACAACCAGCTCGGTGGGCACGTTGGGTAATCTTCAATCATGTCTGCAAATGCCCTTCGCAAAGCAGGGGGCTCAAGATATGTGAGCCTGGAATTGAATCCCATGTTTGCTACAACTGCAAGGGCAAGAGTGGCCTTCGCTGGGAGGGACGAAATAGTCGAGATTTTGGAAGGACCATGCCGGGCCATATTGCAACAACTGGCAAGTGCCAACTTTGGGTCCAAAGCCTGGGACCTGGTCCTTTTAGACCACTCGAAGCTGCCGTATCCCGCAACTGAATGACCTAAGCTCTGCGAGGAGCTGGGCCTGGTTGCTCCTGGAAGCATAGTTATTGCAGATGACATGTATCATGCAAGTAATCCGCAATATTCCTTGTATTTAGTTAACTAGCAAAAATCGATGACGTAAGATCCACTATGAGTGACTAGTTAATCTTTGAGCCACTAGTCTAATAGACTCCAGAGGATTACTTCTGATTCTAGACCAATGGTTTAAGTTGTCTTAGCAAACAGTGTCCCAGGATGTACTATGAGTATACCACATTCCGGATGTAGCCACGTAAAGGTTGCAATAATGTATTGCCCACGACGCTTACTTTAAGCCAACGAAAATGCCATTTTCGGGCCTATTCTTATCGGAGGACCTACCCCGCCACAATTCTTTAGAAATTACAGATCCTAAGCATTCCGGCATCACCGCTATTTCCGAGCCATCCAGATTGCCAGCCTTCATGGCTGCGCGCAGACCTAACGGCGAGCTATTCTGCCAGTAGTAGGACGCTGTTTTCGGCAATAAAGTGACATCAGCCCGAACAACTTATTCCATTCCAGAACAAAATACCCCCGCCGTAGAAAAGAGAAAAGGGAAAGGGAAAAGAATTTGCAATAGTGTATGAACGCGGCTGTCGTGGCATGTCTACTGAGACTCAATACCACTCTTTCATTCACTGGTGTCATTATTTAGAGAAGGTTCTTTCTACCCAAATTAATACGATGCTAACTTGGCGGGGCAACTGGTATGTATTCTGCTACCTCCACTTCAGCCGTAAAGGAAAGAAATTTGTGCCTAACCCTATTCATTTTTAGTGGATTAACAATCAGGCATATGAGTGTGTGAGCAGTCAAAAAGGGAGTAATTTCCAACTTCAATTCGCGGTGACAGTCGGACTTGGGTAAAACAAAAAGAAAATAATTTAACTGTCAATATGAAACGATCTTGATTTTTTGGAAAAATTTGGACTGATTGTCAAAGTGGCAATGCGATCAGGGCATGACCCCATTCTTCCACTTTATGCGCGGTCACGAAGGGAGCGAGCGCGCCCCCCAGAGCCAGTGGAGGTTGATGGCCAGTTCTATGATGTGATGGGAGTGAGCTTGGAGCATGAACTAGTGCTCCGTGATGTGCGTGCTGTTCATCAAGATATCCGTATTGAGCACTTTGCCGGCCGGCCGGTCATGCTTGATGGTGTGCGCTGGCGCGTAGTTGCTCTAAACACCGCGTCTGATTTGCAAACAGCAACCCTCCAGTTGATCAACCCACACGATCCATTGTCCAAGTTCACTGCAACTGGAGCCGACATCGCACGGCTCCAGTTTCCAAGTGCCAATGGGGAGCATACGCTGGGTCGTGTCAAACATGGCATTGTCCGCATGGACCCTGTAGCATCGCGTGCCGAGATCAGAGTTCCATTAAAGCCTAATGATCAGTTTGAAGCTCGCCTCCATAATCGTGAGCTTGATGGTTTATATACCATTCAGGTGTGCGATATCTACCAGCTCATTGCAGCCAGAATAGTCCATGATGGTGATCAGCAGCGCATTGTGGTTCAGCCAGATGAGATCGCACCGCGCTATGTGACTATCATGTCTTTGGATTTTGGTGCCAAATTTGATGTGGATGCTTTTGTGTACCGAGAGGACCAACTTCGCTGCAAGGCAAACATTATCAAGCCTAAGCTAGGTGGCGGGCTTATCCTGGATCCACTGTTGGGCAGCCTACCAGCCGGCGTGACACCGCTGCTGACCAATGGTGCAGAGCATCTTGCGGTGTTCGAGCGGTTCGTCCGTGACAAGACTCAGACGGATGGGAAAGCACACTCCCAATATGGAGTTGATGGTTCCCGACGCAGATTGACTATGCTGAACCTCTCAATGAGTCCCCAGGGTGATGCACGTGGAGTCCTCAGTGCATTGGTTGATTTTCGGCATGAGAATCCAGGGGCAGATATGTCGATTGTTGTGTCCAAGCTCGGGCCCAGTGGCTTCCTGGAGTCCGCGGAATATTTCATGTACCTCAAAATCCTCGCGGACCATGACATTCGTGTCAATATGTTCACGGGTGCTGATAAACCAACACGACAGGTCATCCATGGGAAGGCAGTCATTATTGACAACCAAGTACTTTTCAGCACCGGGGCCGTCATGGACGCTCAGCCAATCAATAAAGCCGATTTCTCTATCGAATTACCTCCAGGAGCCGCTACGTTATTCTGTCACTATACAGATAAGGCCATTCACAGGGAAGCAACCAATGAGCTTCGTGCTGCGCTTGCTTCTGAGCTTGCAAATTTGGGTGTTGTCATCAATGACCCAGTCGCAAGTCTGCCATGGATAACCCGCGCGCAGGACGCTTTGATTCGAGGGGCACAGCACTCACTAATTCTCAACATATCAGAGCTGGTTGATCCCACGATGGCACTGCTATTGATTGACCGCGCTGCAAGTGGCGTTGATGTCATCCTTCAGGTCCGCGAGGTTGACCCGAAATCTGCGCTACTTCTCGCGGACGGAATAATGCGCTGCTCCAATCTCCACGTAGAAGATACAAGCTGGTGGGAGCCTCGCCCGCACTTCAATGCGATCATCGCTGACGGACGCTCCGCATATCTCGGCTCATCCTACCTTTGGCCAACACAGTGCCATATGGTTCACCAGGGTCGTTCATTCGAAAATGGTGTTTTGCTTTGTGGAGATGCTACAACAAGACTTATTGAGCAGCTTGATAATCTCCGTTACAACGCACATGCAACAAACACGATGCCTTCATTTGCCGAGATGCTGAGAACATGGAAGCTGCAATACCATCTCAAAAACCCATGCGTTTTGCCAAAATACGCTATCTGTTTAGAGACCTGGCCGACCTCGACAACTGAAGACTATCCAAATGGTATTCGCCAGTATAAAGCTTCTGTCGAGTAATGAAGGTATTACGATACACATAAATCTGTTCGGTTCAACGGTGCCGCGATTTCTGTGCTTGTACAAGTGGGTTCTCGACACTCCCGAATCAGGACTTGCAACCATAATTTTTGTGATTCGTCCGCCGGCCATGCCGCGCCCTGTTTAGTGTAAGATCAAGTCTTGTGGGAGCAAAAGTATATTGTGTTGACTGCATTCATATCAACTTTTTAACACCACGCAGAGCTTACTCCTTAGGGAAGCAGTCTGCCACTATTTCTTTAGACCGCCACAAGGTTGGCAACTTCACCCATTAAAAACAACCTTTCAGCTTAAGCGTCACCTCCTTCATTAGACACTCAAACAAAGCCACTTATCATTTACATAAAGTTCTATGTATCCAGCATAGAGATCAGAGCTACAACACTTATAATACATCAGATAATAGTACATATCATGCGCAGCTTCACTCTAGACCCAGGCCCAGTTGCATAGGTAACTACCAAATCCCTGTCACTGCAAAAGTCACATTTCTTAAAATCAAGTTAGCCACTCACACGCAGCCATGTCACAGAAACTTAAGGGGGTGACTCAATAACATTAGACATAAAAGTATCTCAGATTTCTCTAATGGCCAACTCCCCTCCTATACTCCATTTAATCTCTCTTAGAAGACTTCCCGCCAGATTTTCCCACGTCTTGAAATACAAATATGACTGAGCCAACACATATTATAGATACAGAAGGAGAAGTAATTATTTTCTTAAATAGCTGGAATCTCCCTTTGCACCATAGATTGAAGATGTAGCCGAGGCTGCCAAGCCAGAACCATTAAGAGCCATGGCAATGTGCAAAAAAGGGACAGTGCCAACAACACTATTCAGGAAGGAACTTACAAGAAAGTCATAAGGAAGGGTCAAAGAAAAAAGAGAAAGAGGGGAAATCAAATACTTTTACAGTCAGACATGAATAAATCAGCTAATAGTCCTCGTAGCACTCCAGAGCTATCTGAAATAGCTATAGAGTCTGCTACAGAGACAGTTGATGATAGTATTACTAAGTCAGCTAATAGGCCTAATGTAATCCACAAGCGAGCGGCCATTCCAATTGAGCGGCCACTAAACCATACATTTTTGGCCGCCCCAGAGATTAGAGGGTATTTCTAACCCCTAAAACATGATCTATTACTAAATCTAGCTATTCTTGCGCTGCGGACATTGTAATCACTTATGGCCTATAATATGGCAGTCACTACAGTGTAGGGGTGCCTGTTAAGGGTATTATTCTGTATCGGTTGTGTTAACTCGGTCAAGAATCTTGGAAATGACGGTGAGCTCGGCCCTTCGGAAACTGCACCATATACGCCAGCGAGTGTGGTGCCTTTGAGAGCGTCTGTAATATCTTCCACAACAGTAGGAGACCTGTAGTCAAAGATGGTATCTGCACCAAGTGACTTAAGGAACTCTCTATTCGCTTCAGAAGCCGTAGCGAATAAGGTTAAGCCAGATGCGACTGCAAGCTGAATGGCGGTTGCATCAACGGAGGATGCACCACCCCACACCAGAAGTACTTGGCCAGTGTTTTTGACGTTATCTACCGAAGGTAACGGCAAATTGAGATAGTCCCTGCGAGAGACCAGCGCTGGCGGGTGAGACAGCCAGTGGAAGCACAGCAGCCTGCTCGAATGCAAGAGAATCCGGGATTTCGGCAACAAGTGCCTCATCAGTAGCCGGATATAATTGAAATGCGCCATTTGCAGGGCTCTGCGTCATAAGGCCGTTGTAGTGGCTGCAGACGAGCAAAGATGTTAGCACTGTATACTACCTGAACAGGGGTGCAGCCTTACGCAATCACCCATTGGCCTTTCTTGAACCTGGTCACGCCACTGCCAACATCCTCGACGACACCACCTGCGTCCTGTCCTAGGATGAAAGGATACGTATTCAGATAGCGTCCTAAGCTTCGCACAGCTGTCAGTATACGAGATCGTCAAAGCATGGTGGGAGAGATATCTCAGCTACTGACTGAACTTTCCAATGGACGGGATTCTTTGGACCAGTCAGTGATAGGTATACGCTGAGTTTGGGATAGCTGGACTTACAATGGCAACGGCACTATTCCTGATTACCACCTTACCAGGTCCTGGTTTTGGCTTTGGGGCACTCTCAACTCTAAATGGATTTTCTGCCGGAGCGGTAATCCATGCTGCTTCGTTCTCTGCCATTTTAGAAATGATAGGCAAATGTTAAGGTGGCACTTCCGATAAAAGTTAGATGAGTAAATGCAGGAGTCCTTGTTGAAGTGAAAGAGGAAGACGCTTCTTTATACCTCACCCTGTAAATCGGTGGGGTCGGTTGTTTTTCACTGCGGTGATATACGTCAGGTTTTAGGTTGGAGGGGACGAGCCCGTTGCTGTCTGAGACCTCTGGGAATAATTGATGGCCGATCCACTCTTTACTGGCTTTAATATTGGAGTTAACGTGCGTCAGCCCACTTTACCACAGCATTTGCCCGTTATCGCCGTCAGAGTGGGTCAATTGATTACCAAGCCTATTAGGACCTGGGGGATGGCAAAAAAGCGTACTAGAGTATGAATAATTGAGCATAATAAGCCGTGGAAGCTTTGAGTGATTATACAACGGAGAGGCAGATTGGGGCTGCGCTTGGTTCATCTCAATTAATCTCGCGTTGTCGACAGCTGGAGGTTGACAGAGCGATGCCATCCATCAAAGGATCTACGGTACTTGTCATTGGCGGTTCGTCGGGAATCGGTTACGGAGTGGCAGAGAAGTGCCTTTTGGAGGGCGCAATCATCTATATAGCATCTTCCAATGCATCCTATGCGGGCAAGAGTGCGGAATCATTGAAAAATGTTCCCTAATGCAGAAATCACTGCACATGTCTGCGACCTCGCTGACGAAGACGTCAAACAAAACCTTGAGCGACTCCTTTCCGATATTGGCTTACTTGACCATATCATCTTCACCGCAGGCGATGCTCTTCCCATCCAGCCTCTGGACACTATCAATCTTGATATCATCTGCCGGGCAGGTCATGTTTGATTTGCTGTTCCACTTATGCTAGCTAAGCTGACACCGCGGTTCGTCAAAGCCGGCCCTAAGTCGTCTCTCATGTTTACAACGGGGGCTGGTTCGGAAAAGCCATTCCCCAATTAGTCATTGATTGCAGGATATCTCACAGGACTTCATGGGATTACGCGGAATCTTGCCTTGGACCTTAAACCGCTCAGGGTCAACTTAGTGTGTTCAGGGCTGGTTGCTACACCTCTCTGGGCGTCTGATGGCGTGCCTGATAACATGAAAGACGGCACCACTTTGGGGAAAGTGGGCAGAGTTGAAGAAGTTGCTAAAGCTTATGTCTATTTTATAAAGGACATAAATTCTACAGGAGCCTGTATTGGCACTAATACTGGGTCTCTCTTACTATGGTCTCCACAACAATGCAAGTATTTGGTTCCCTGTGACCTCTGGGTATGTAGCCACTTGTAGAATAAATAGAAGGTTTTATTATACGCTATTATATTACCGTGTTACACAAGAATATGATCATTTCATACCACTGTACCCTTCTGAAACAGTCGATACGGCTCCATGGCGACTTTTACGGTTTTCCCAACCACTGGAAGAATAAACACTACTAATAAAGAGAAGACGAGCTAGGCCAGTCATCCGACTAAGCCTAGACAGGTTATTATATTAAGGTTCCTATCCCGCAACCTCAGGATATATCTCTGCTCTTAACGCACGAATTTCTCTTCTCGAATTGCTCGGACCTTTCTCCGCAAACTTTACCAGTCACAATATGAACTAGAATCATGCCGCCTGGATCGTTGCTGCCCGATCCAAACTCTTATTGATTGGCAACGCCCCGCTCTATAAGCCCGCACCAGGAGAGATCCTTATTAGAAACCATGCCTTGGCAGTGGTGGGTAGTGACTTGCCTTCCTATGGGTAACGGTGTTTATAGCCAATGAGTAATGTTTTTGACAAGAACCCCGTGGATTGGAAGATCCAGTACGTCGCATTTGCCCAGTCTCTTTCATAAACCACACTGACGCGGCTGTAGGGAGTCAGGTCGCTATCTGCACTCATATCCTTTCATTTTTGGTAGAGATACAGCAGGCGTAGTGGAGGAATTTTGGTGAAGGCATCACCCAATTCAAGAAGGGCCAGCGTGTGATTGCATATGCAACCCTCTGGACTGCCAAATACAACCAGCCTTCCTCTAACTAACTAATCTACCAGGCATCTACATAGCATAAAATCGGACAACCCTACTCACACAGCATATTAGTATTTTCTTTAGGTTTCCAGCGCCTTGCGGCTCCTATCCCTCTGCATCTAAGCTTCAAACATGGAGCAGTCCTACCACTAGCTATATCCACCAGTGCTGCAGTCTTTATTTATCAGAGCATCTCAATCCCCCCTACCATCACCTATGATTGAGCCAAGGGGAAGGATGCTGCTCATCTAGAGTGGTGCTTCCTCAGTAGGTGCAACAGCCATCTAACTCGCTGTTACCTCAGGCTTGCACATTGTTACCACAGCATCTCCCACTAACTATGGGTTCTTTAGGTTTCTAGGAGCAAGTAATATATTTAACTACCACTCACCAACCCGCACAAGAGATCTAATGGCGAAACTTAAGCACCTGGAATTATGTGCATATATAATGCTATTAGTAAAGAGGCAAGCTTCAGCCCACTTACTACTATTACTGAGCAGCTTCAGAGGCGTATTCCAGCAGTCAGTATGCACCCTTGTGATACACCTACCACCATTATTCACCCCAAAATATGGTGTGTAATTTTCCCTGCCTCATCCTTAAAATATCCAGTGTAACATTTTTCCTCAGTATCCTCATAGTATCGCGTGCCCCCCATATGAGAAGATTAGGGAGGCTATTTAGGCCATCTTTATACTAAATGCACTTGCCACTGGGCAGCTAAAGGCAAAGCCTGATCCAGAGGTTGTTGGCTACAAACTAGAGAATGTCTAACATGGGCTCAAGGTACAGAAAGCTGGTGTATCAGCCAAAGGGTTATCATAATGCTGTGGGCTAGTTCATGCTAATAATTCTCTAATAATACTATGGTGTCACTGGTGTGGATTGCTGGATGATTAACATGCCTTTTTTCAGTTACCTCTTTCTTTCTATAACCATCTGTGTCATGCATGGTCTAACAGGGTGAGAAGATATCACTGGAGGTAGTTAGGGAAATACATGAGGGCTGTCATACCTCCCTCCAGATTAATAATTTCTGGTCTTATCTAATAATTAAATCACTTTCTGTCTGGCTCCATGGTTGCTTCCACAGGACCCACCCAGCATTAGTAGATTGCATTAGCATGCCATGGGGTTTATATAGCTGAACTTCTGGACCATTTCCCATGGAACTCACAGACACCATTACAGATACACACTTTCTGTGCGGAACTGCAAACTCATATTCACATATCTAAACAACTTAGCCCAATCTCCAGGGCTGAGAGGGATCCAAATCACCAGATGCTATCTATGGGCATAAGAATAGTTACTAAACAGGCACTGCATGATGCACAGCACCGCATGCAATAAACTACAAAGGATATATTTAGATATTGCTGCATTGGATATATTATGTGATTATAAAAGAAACCTGTCTTCTCATGATCAGCAGTATCCTGCATCTATCTTCACCGCTGACTTCAGCCATTCTAGTCAGGTACCAGGCTGGTTTCTTCCACTGATAGTAAATATGGGCGAAGAAACCTTCATGTATATTTAAGACCAACATATGCATGCATGCAGGTGAGACTAAGTAGGTGCCCTACGCCCACACTACTTAAGGACGCGCCAGCAAAGCTCCCTCTAAGCAGTTAGACAGAGAGAACATCCAGTGTAACACACCACTTCTAAGTGAGGGTCTACTTATCTTTTGTTCTGATTGAAATGGGCGAACTCATGACTACCACGCCCGCGGGAAAGAAGGTCTTAGTGGTCTTCGGAGCCACTGGCCAGCAAGGAGGCTCATTAATTCGCTATGTTTTGAAGGACTCCTTGCTTTCTGCTCCGTACCATATTCGCCCAGTCACTCGCAATCCATCTCATCGGCCAGCCAGCAACCTCAAGACAGATGGAGTTGAGGTCTTCCAAGCCGACGCTGATGATCCAGCATCCCTTAGGAGAGTGATGCGCGGCGCCAGTATGACCTTTGCAATGACATTGCTTGTTTTCTCAGCCGGGGATGCGAGAGACCGCAAAATCACCCAGGGAAAGCTATCGCGGATGCCGCCGTTGTTGAAGGATTGGATCCAATAATTTTCAGCACTCTTCCACATGTCACTAAGATCTCAGGCGGAAGATACCAGAAAGTTGACCACTTCGATGCCAGAGCCGAGGTGGAAGATTACGGGGATTACCAATCCGGAGCATCTTCTACTGCCCTGTCTGGTTCATGCAAAACTTTAATCAACATATAGCTCCTAGGGAAATGGCTGACGGGACGTTGGATATTATTAACATCGTCTCCGCAGAGACCAAACTGCCTTTAATTGACTCCTACGGGCACAGTGGGAAGTTTATTGCGCCGGTACTGGCAGAGCCAGAGAAAAATACTGGACAGACGTTATCAGCCGCCGAACATTTCTACTCCTACCAAAACATAGCGAAGGAGATGAGCAAGAAATGGGGTAAAAGTATCGACTATCGCTTGGTATTGATGAAAGCGTTTGCGAGCAAGGTGGGCCGTGTCTTTGGACAAAGGTTGATCGAGATGATGTTGTACTTTGAAGAATATGGACACTACGGACCACAAGGCGAGGAAATGATTGTCCAAACGGCGCAAACTGCCTCGGACAACTTGACGAATTTGGAAGAATACTTGGGCAGAAATCCGCTTTAGGAGCTATAGATATAGCCCAGGCCGTGGCTGGTAGGGTAAACTGCTCTTGGCAATATGACAAAAGCACTGGCTATGGTCCCACGACAGCAGAGCATCGGCGATTCACAGATAGACAGTCAGACCCACAAGTTAGTGGTATTAAATAGTATTTTTGTTGTCCTCACTGTCATAGGAGGGCGACGTGCACAAGTTGGTCTCGTCGAATGCGCACCTAAGGAAAACGTAGCTTCAATGGCATGCAAGTGGTCCCAGATAATGAGGAACAGGCAACTGGTTCAGGTTATGTATAACCCTAACCAGCTGTATCCAGCAAGGCACCCAGTCTTTGCGGAGTAAAAGAGTCATTTACTTACCGGGATTAAGTTCGGTAGATGTTTGCAGCTTCGTACTGCTTTTCAGATTCTTGTAGGTGCGCGGGTATTGTTCTTCCATTTTAGAATGAGTATGGCCGGTTTACAGCGTTGAGGGCTGACGTTAAGAGACCTCTCTAAAACAGGAGTGTCACTTTGGTCGCCCGTTATTTCATATCATGCATGATATTCCAAACAGGTCAATTGTGCATTCGGCAAATCTATGGTTGGAATATAGCTGGTAACAGACTTCGCGATCAACAGGCTGTAGAGATGTCGGCAGGTCTTGCGGCGGCCGAGACTTTGCCACTGGATTTTGACCCGCATTTAACATCAAACATTACGGAAACTATATAATTTACCATTTAAATATCATCTTACAAGCATCCTCTGCTTCATATACATTATGCGAAGTGTCCAGCCCTTGTGCGCCTAAGAATGCCTAAGATAGGGATTAATGTTTAAAGAAATACTAATCTAGCCATCACATCACTCCACTGAGCAAATCACGATCCTAAAGCTCGGTAGTACCACGATATCCTTAAGCAATTTCTATTATTAAGGGAAATAAAATCCACAGCAATTCAATTGCCCAGGGGTTCGACAGAGAGGAAGCTCATGATACGGCAAACTTCGATTTTGCTCTGAGCTTAGCACCATACTTGTAGAGTAGGAAGATACCAATAATCCCCAGAGTGCTGAGCCCACCTAACAGGCTTATGCCGCGAGCTATGCCTAGGTCCCTAAACATGGGCCTTGCGTAGAGGATTGAGCCACATGCCATGGCCGACCGGAAGAAGTCATTAGCCGCGAACAGGGACGCTGCATACATCGGATACGACATAGGAACGTAAACGAAGACACACTGGAGCACGACAAACGCGGACCCACTGTATATAGTGATGCCGATAGTGGGGACGATCCAGTGGATGCTTCCGTTGGCAGTCCAACCGAAGAGGAAAAGGCCAATTGGTGGTCCAAAGCAACCGATAAGTGCCGGCACAAGTCGACTTTCCTGTGACTTCGATATGCCCTTTTGAAGGTGGGGTAACAGGTACAGATGAAGGTAGGCGAAATATAAGAGGACTCCCAACATGCACGCAATAAGGATGCACAGGAACACAAGCCCAATCGTGCCGAGTGTGAATCCGTACATAGGGTATACTAAAGGGAACACCTCGAAGAACTGCAGACAGGTTAGTTGGTTTCCAGAATTCCCGTTTGAATAGAACTTACAGAATAATAGATTCCATAAACGATTGCCGTGTACAACTGGACGAAAAGGACCGCGGGGTCCTTGACCGTTATCTCCAACGGCTTGATTATAGCTTCCAGTACGATATCTGCTGGTTGTAATTGGCGTTGGTTGATCTCAGAGCGGGCCATGAGACGTTGAGAGCCCATTATCTTTCGAAGGCGCCGAGCACGTTGATAAAGCAACGTTGGGGTTGACGTCTCGGGGAGTAACAGGAACATTACCGCGAATACTGGTCCAGCCCCCATAATATCTCCCACAGTGACCAACGCCAACCCATTTTGGAGACCGCAAACCCGGAGATCAGTGGGCCAAGAGCAGGGCCGCAATACGCGGCTGTCACCCACACACTGAGAGCGAACGGGAGATATAGAGGTGAGTATAGATCCTGCATTGTGGCGCCGCCAGTTGCAAGGCAAGGGCTGCCGAAAAACCCCTGTAGGAAGCGAAGAACCAGGAGCCCGGCGAGGTTGTTCACCAGGGGAAGAGGAATCGAGATAACCACAGACAAAAGCACTGTGATACAATAGACAGGCGATCGGCCAATGGAGGGTATCTCGGAGAGGGGAGAAAAGAACAGAGGCCCAACTCCGTAACCAAGGACGTAGAGGGACAGGCCTAGCGATGATACCGTGATGGACACTCCGAAAACAGATATTACATCCTCCTCAGAAGAGGTGTAGATCGCTGAACCGGCGTACACGATAAATGTATAGACGAAGATAATGAATGAGACCAACGCCTTCCTGCTTCCCGACCAACTCTGAGGGTTTGCTGGGTCGTCCTTGGTATACCAGTCCACAACGACCAAATCGCCGTCAGATTCACCGGAAGTCATATGCAGCTCGTCCTGCGCGCGCATTCCAGGAGGAACTGAGCGCTCCAGGTCACTGGAACTTGCATGATATGTATCGCTGCCTGTTGAATCGGACTGTAATGCAATGCTTTGGCCGTGCAGGCGTGGTTCGATGCCCTTCCCACATGCCAAGGCCAATGCGTACGAATCAGGAAGGGCAAAATCGTGCCTTTCCTCGGGATATTTTAACACCCGCTTTCCTGTCATCCAGCGAAGTAGCTGACCGGCAGGAGCATCCCGCAAGAGGTCCGACATCCATAAGGGTATCCTGCAGGCCGATTCAGTCGTGGACAAGTAAGGTGTGCAAAGGGAAAATCGGATTTCGTATTTGTCAATCGTAATGGAAATAGACACTGCATTCGTTTGAGTCCGTATCATGGACTTCCGCAAGGCAAATATATATGTAGGATGAGCGGCGAATATTGTCAATAGACTGATGGGCCGATATGGATATTTTTAATCGGCGAGGATGGCTCTGCCGGATTCTAGCAGATTTTTTCATCGCTATTGCCGGTTCCTGAGCGTAGACAGCACATGTGGCCGGAAATAGGATATCGGATTTAAGTGGCCCACTTGTTAAGGGGTTGATGGACTCTGGTTGCCACGTCCTTGGGACCTCAACTTGCCGGCTAATAACCAGCGAGTGGCCTGGCTAGTGAGCAGTGTGTGGAACTTCAGCTTGCCGAACTGTATCTGTATGTTGCTCCATTACAAATCCTCCGGCAGTAGGAAAAAGTCCTGGGACGAGAAAACTTAAACGACAGGGGTCAGACCGGGCCCTCAGATATGTCATAGACTCGCCGGACTGTCCATAAAGAAGTTTGCGGAAGATTTAGAGTTTTAAAGTTCAACTATGGAGGACGCTAATGCAACCTAATGACATACCCCACCCACTTTTCACACATCATTGGCCCCACATGGAAAGTGACAAAGATAAAGTTTATACCACAAGTCAAATCTCCGATGCTGATTCGGTCCACTTCAAGTTGGGCATTCGTGCTTCATACGACTTAATCCATTAGGTAATGAGCTTCGAGAATAGTAGCGGCCCCCTGAATACGAAGCGATACGAAGGTTGCGAGGACGTCTGTCATCGAACTACCTTCGGTGCTACTTGTATATATCCCAGGATGTTGGAACTATACCATATGTGGTGTGTAATAGTGTTTCTGGCGCCTTGGCCGCCGATGTTGGTTACTCGCAGAGACATGCGTATAAAACTCCAGCTTACCGTAGATTATGACTGGTTGTCTGAATAATTCCCTTAGTTAGGGATCCGATTGTTAACTGTACTCCCGACATGTTCTTCCCGTATCTTTTGGATGCTGGGTCGAAGCTTAATGTGCGATATGTGTCGGGCCCCTGCGTGGCCGACACTCAATGGCTCACCAGTCCCTATCAGCGCCCTTCCCAAAACAGAACAAACGTAGAAAAGAGAGTACAATATCGTATATGTCTAAAGAAAAGGACGGTCGGTGATGTTTACAGTTGATTTTTGGGATCTGTGAAGAGATAGTAATGTTTACTGAGACGGACACGCAAATATGGAGTTACGGACTGCCTATACTCCGGAACAAAATAGCTAAGTCCGATTTCTCCGAATCCTAAGTCCCGTTCATTATTAATCCGTAAGCGGACGCAACCGGCCGAGAAGTAATGCGTCTGCGGATATTCGCCTCCAATTTCGTATAACAGGAGTCACAAACCCATCTTGGCGGTAGCGTCAGAAGCGTCGAATGCAGTTGCCGTGCTCATCAAGGTTTCATCAAAGGACTGAAAAGCGTTCCTACGCTGTCTGCTTGATAGGGACTGGGGAAGAATGCCAACTACAATGGGCATCGCGGTCTTGACAGGCAAATACACCCAGAGTGTGGCGAAGGCCCTACTCGCCTACAACGACGTTACTATTCGCGGATATTGCCGAGGCCCGCAGAAACTTCCGAAGTCCATCATATCAGAGTCAATTATTGACATGATCAGAGATGAATACGATGACTGAGACGCCGCACGACGATTCGTGCGCGGCTCTGACGTGGTTATATGTTGCTATTTCGGTGATGCAGAGCTCATGACCGAGGGACAGAAGGTCCTGATTGGCGCATACGAAGACGAAGGAGTTCCTACATACGTGGCCAGTGACATTGCTGTCGATTACACTAAGATCCCGGCTTGAGCCCTATTTCCGAAAGAATCGGCTCGTGCTATCAAGGAATACTTGCAAACGAAGCGAGTGAACGGTGTACATATCCTGACGGGGCCCTGATGGAAACGTTCTGGAGTGGATACTTTGGTCTTTGGAAGCCCGATGACATGTCAATTAGGTTCCGGGGACGTGGCCATGAGAAGTGGGAGCTCACGACGTATGGTACAGCGGCGGTCTCCCTTGACGAAAGCGCTATCGGGGTTTTGCGCTGTGAGTTCACCTTTCCGCAAAGGTTAATAAATGACATGAGTTGGGTTGACAAGAATAGTTGTGGGGGACCGGAAAAGCGTTTTGGAAATCTTCGAAGGCGCATATGACGTCCATTTACATGTCCAACGACAGGGGTCAGTTGAGGATCTTTACAAGTCAGTCCACGATGCATTCTATGAGAAGGCAACAGACCTCGCAGCTTGGGCTCCAAGGTAAGTCCTTGATTGACATGGATTCTGTTTCACCGATGCCTTACCAACTCGGGCGGGCGCTTTGAGTTTTGGTGTATATGCGGGATTGCATACCTGGGAACCAATTTGGACAATGGCCGATACCCTCATATCCAGCCGGTGGCTCTTAAAACGTTTTTGCGGAGCCACAGTGTCGAAGATCTTCACAGAGCAGATCAAACTTTGGGTTTTTGATTCAAGCAGGGCGTGGCGAGATTTATTCACCTTTAATACGTACTGAAGGGAAGTGTTCCGGGGGCGTCAATTACTGAGAGCACCACTGTTATAGAAATTAGGAGGCAGGGCTCGTCGAGGCAGGACTTGACACTGTAGACGATAGAATGATGTTTCTTCTGCCCATAATGCAAATATTCCACTCCGTAAATTCTCAACCCGTTACGCAGTCTCCGCTGGCCAGAAGTTTGAACCGAAAATCATTGTGTAGAACGCTTCTTAAAGTCCAATGACAGGGAAGGTAACTACTTTAGCTACAGTAGATAGTCATGGTTGGAGGATAGAAGGCGTTCTTCATTACGACTAAATCGACGTACTAAGAACATCGCTGTTCTTGTCCAGGACATTGAAATATCGCTCGAACAATAAGGCACTCCACTCACACCGTGTACCACTGGTAGGAACATCTTCAGCACCAGTGAGTAGCTGTTGGGGAATTCCGAGAGAAGTATCGCCAGTGGGAGCAGTGTTGGTAAGATGGGAATCCGAAGGCTGGTAATTTCTTTCACATCTGAAGTCTTCTGGTTTACCATTGGTTGTCGAAGACGTATGGTTGAGTCGTCGCATGTACGCTGGCTGGTCTGGACAGGAAAGATTATTAGGAGCGTCCGTGAAACCAGGATTTTGACCTGGACCGCATAGGTGTGACTGCCGCGAGACCATATGGTCTCTCTTGCGTCCAGATTGCGCCTCTAGCCACAGGGCTTCAATTTGTTTCCAGCGACGGTCTCGGTACACATCAGGATCTTCTCTCCAATGATGATAAACGTCTTCAGCTGTTTTCCATGCCGATTCAGCTCCCCCTGCACATCCATTGAAGCATAGATAGATGAGGAGATACGCCAGTGCATCCCATTCGACGTATGTTTGAAATAACCAGAGCCACTTGGCCCCTTTCTCGTACCGGCGAAGGGAATATGCATGGCCAAGGATGTCAACGCACTCCTTCCAATAATTTGGCACGAATGGCCGCACTGTGTTGTGTTCGGTTAGAGGCGGCCTGCGTAAGTACAGCCTAATCTTGGCCAAGACCAAGCGTGTCGATTCTGCAACAACAAAATCAAACGGAATGTTCTCGTCACAGCATGACAAGTAACGAAGTTCTAACCCTTCCTTGAGTTGGTCTAGCTCCTTGAGCCTTCGCTGGCAATCCAGGGTTTCACAGTCAGCGGCCGTTCTAAGTTGTTTACTAAACAGGGAGCGAAGTGCAAATTCGGTCACTGTGAACCTGATCAAACTGAAGGACATTTCAGTCTTCCCGGACTGGCACACCGCGGTATTACCCATATGCGGGTCCAGGCATATATCGTTGGTGTTGGATGGCATCTTTGTGTTGAAGCTCAGCAAGCTGGTACGCGGCTCCGTGGAGGAGTCTTCAGCTATGCGAACATCAAGTGTAACGATATGCCACCAAAGGCGGCGGCGCATCTCCACATCAAACGGAGGTAGATTAACATCAGCTCCATCGCGATGCAACCCAATTGCGTACGCTATATCAATGACCGGGCCAATAAAAACACTCACATCAGGTCCTCGTTCGTCCCTCCTCCCAGTTGTCTATTGAGGTCAGGTCTAAGCCTAGTGCATTAACTGGATACGACTCACCAAATACAGGACAAACGCTTGCAAGAGTGTCAAATCCTGAGAGCGCAGGATGTTGGCTTCGGCAAAGGCCTTTTCCAGCTGATTCCGATACCTAGGCAAGTCAGTCAAGTTACAAGCTGAGGTGGGACAGACACACCTCTCCAGCAAGGATGTCTTGTGAGCCCCGAAGACGTTATGACAAGACCTTGCTGGCACAATCACGATGGCCGAATAATATATCGCGAATAACAGGCATCGTCTCGATACGTCCAGGGTCCCCTCGTTGGCCATAGAATCCACGACATATCTCTGGACGGTAGGCGTGTGGAAAATCTTCAGGAGGGGATCAACGAACTCAAGGTAAGTCTGCCACAGTCGTATGGTCAGAGTAGGCTCATGTCTGGTGCTGTTCAACGGTCGATCATCAGCTTCGCGCAGAACCTGTAGAACTGATCGAAATTGTGGCTGACGAGGCCGGGATGTTAATTCCGAAGGACTATCATGGTGTCCCTTGGAGGAATATAAAATTAGAGACTGCACATCTAGATATCCTTCATGGTTTTCCATACGTACCAAAACACCGTGATCGATCTGGAGAGTATCACTGTCTGATAGATTGGACGGTGTCTGAAGCAGATCGCGAGTTGTAGAAACAACCTGTTCAAGCGCTAATAACCTCCGCTCTAGGTGATCTATCTGGTTCTGAAGATCTCTGTTTCCCTGGGCAGCTGGGCGTCTGCCGGTTTCAGGTGGCGGGTATGCGCAGCGAATTTTGGTGTGAATGCAATAACTGCATGGGAACGATCTGTCACACCTGATCTTGCGTCGACGGCACTCCAGACAAGAGCGACCTGAATTAATGGTCCGCGGGGTCATGAGGGACTTGTTAGAAGTGTCTGAGGTTCAAATCTTTGAATCAATAAGACTGGTATTCATGAGATATGAGGCGTACGGAGGGCGGAGGGCAGAGGGCGGAGGTGGATGGCGACATAGGATGCACCGGGCTTCAGCCGTGTCATCCGATTGGACGCAGCGGAGAAGCGGAGGCAACGTCCGCTTTGATTTCAAATGCGATGGGACATTCCGCAAGACTATATATATATCTGTGTCCGGTCCCCCTACTGCAAGAGGGTATCAAACATTTCGTCTCTCGTCTCTTAAAGTCTACTCTATATCTTACGAAAATGGCTTATAAGAACGTTGTTCTTGTCGGGGTATGGGTGACTCCAACCCGAACTATTGAGCATACTGATATCTTTCTAGGCCGGCAGCATTGGCAGAATTATCCTTCGCGGCCTTGTAGACTCGTCACAATTCAACATTACCGTTCTTTCCCGCAAGGAAAGCCCGCAGTCTTTCCAGACTCTGTTAACGTTTGGAAGACCGACTATTCGAAGAGTGATCTGGAAGCAGCTTTCAATGGACAGGATGTTGTGATTTCGGCTCTGGGTGCGCTCGGTTTCGCAGAGCAGCGCAAGTTGGTGGACGCAGCTGTCCAGTCAGGTGTCAAGCGATTGCTTCCTTCGGAATTCTCATGCAACAGCCAGGACGAAGCGGTCGTCGAATTATTGCCCTTATTTCAGCAAAAAGCCGATATCATACAATATCTCAAGTCGAAAGAATCTACTGGGCTGACTTGGACCGGTGTGGTTTCGTCTCTCTTGTTTGACTGGGTATGCCGTCGTTTGATTTTTACGATGCAGATATTAATATCCGTTCAACAGGGCCTTGAAAAGGTTTCCTCGGTTACGATAGTACTAGTCGGACAGCTACTATCTGGGATGACGGCAACAAGAAATTCACACTTACCAATCAAGGTTATCTCAGCAAGGCTATCGTGTCGGTGCTTCAGCGCCCAAACGAGACTAAGAATCAAATTCTCTACATTGCGTCGGTTGAGACCAGTCAGAATGAGATTCTGAACGCGCTCGAGAACGTGACAGGATGCAAATGGTCTATCATACAGACAACCACTGAAGAGCAAGTGACTGAGGCTCGTATGAAATTGAGCAAAGGGGATTTCGACGGCGCCTTGACCTTAGTTCGGGCCACCAGCTATGGCAAACTACCTGGTCTCAAGTCCAATTACGCTAAGGACTTCAAGGTTGCAAATGATATTTTGGGATTTGAGTGGGCGGATGTTGAAGACACGGTCAGGACGGTTGTTTCGAAGTAGGCGCCCGCGACACGGGAATGAGGTCGAATGTGTAACCAATTTCTCACATGCTTCTCTTACCGAATCATGCTTGTTGTGGCTCGGTGTGTTCCACTCAGGTATAGCTCCCCAGTATTTGTGTCCGTTCCAAGAGTAGGACCTTTCATTAGACCGAGAAAAAGTAAGAGCTATTAATGGTTTTCAGAATTCAATTTCTCCTATATTAGGCAGCTATCAAACATGCTTATAGAAAATTAAAATTTTATATGAAATATATGGTAATTATAATCATTTTAATCTATATTTAAAATATCAATTCAGTATCTATAGGGCTGAATAGGTGGTGGTTAAAAAATCATTTTTAAACATGGTTGTTGTCAAGGCTCGGTCGCATATATATATATATTACCACTACTTTCATACCAACCTATGACAGAAATACTTATTCCCTTATATCTCACTAACTACTAGATATTTTCAATCAATATTTCATATTTAGATAGACTAGATACTAGGCTATTTAGTGATATTAATATTTCTAGAAAAAGCCTAGAAATTAGTGATTACTTAGCAAAACAGTTTCTTGCGGTTTAACCGCTGACCCCCTGGATCCGACCCTGACCCGCCCCTAACCCGGTGCGGTTTCTCAATCTAGGAACTGAACCAAACTGCTGCGAGTTCGGTGAGGGTCGGATTCGATTTTAGCGGTTCGGTGATGCAACTCTAGGCTTTATCAGATTAGATTAACCAAATCTCACTGTTTTACTTAGTAGTCACTAATAAGTTAGTTAAGATCCTGCTTAGAATCCCTCTATAACTATGCACTTTAAGTGCTGGCTATAGAGATAGTTATAAGGTTAATTAGGGCGCGCCCTAGGACTGGAGGGATAACTTTACATCTGGCCAAGAGTAACTAGTGTGATATAGCTGATCTTAATAGATGCTTAGAGTGTTGCGTTAATGGCAATATAAATAATCTACAGCAGGTCATTGTGACTACTCCCAAACCTCTTTGATCATGACTATATCATTCTTTATATATCTACAGACTATTACTTTGATAAAAATTAAGAGTATAGCGTTTTTGCTCCCTAGTTACCTTTCTTTACCGCTACTTTCCCATGGTTCGGGCCAGAGACTGACAGCTCTCGCTGTCGATCTCTAAATAATTCCTGAGGGGTATCTTCGAGCCCAGTACAGATCCTCTACTATTGTGATGAACCCCTTGCAGTTCGAATTCGGAGTCATTTGCTGATCTCTTTGGAAGTCCCCGCCATGACGGCCCAGCGGATCCGGTTCCCGATGCGGCGTACTTGGACCTTTGCTTCTTTCCCTTCAACAGTCCGTACAGCACGGGAGCATTGGCGACAACAGCGGCTGCGAGTAACTCAATGGACGCCCAAGTCGTCCTGTTTACCTGTGCAGTGGCATTTTTGGCGTTTTGAGGTAACCTAGCGATTGTGATGGCGACGATGAAGAGGCCGACGGCGAAGAGAGCCGCTAGTTGGAATTTTCTGGAGGGATCGCGTTAATGAGGTACATGTGATGATATAGGTTTGGCCAAGCATACTCGACGGCGGACCGTTTAACCATAACCAAAATTGGGATTGGCATGGCGATAAGCATAACGTCGGTGATGACATTGAGGACACCTGATGGAGAAAAACACTGTTAGAAGTATTACATTGGACCGAACTTCGCGCAAACATACCGAGGACAATTAATTGAAGCTGTGCCTGGCAGCATTTGCCTGAATCTGTCAGAAGGTGAAATGGACAAGAAAACGTCCAGAGGAAAAAAATATTAGAGTAGGGCATACCAGGATCTGGTAACACAATCCAGTAATGGTTGAACGGATGGCACTCCGTAAAGGTCACTATTTGTACAGTTACATATGTCGCAGCGAAAAAGCCGATATATGAGATCATCGTGACCTTCTCCCAGCGAAGCTGAGTGTGCAATCTGCGGTAGGTATCAAGTAGAACCAGCTTTTGCAACCAGAGACTAAATGAAATATGAGAAAAGAACCGGTCAATTCAGCGTTCCATTCGACCCTGGGCGTACTAGGAATTATAGAACACTCTATTGGCGAGGACAAACTTGCTCGCAATCTCTCTGCGACGGATCTCCTCCGGGGTGAAATGGTGCGTACGTCTGAACGTCGCCGCCATATTGTTGGTTCCCCAGATGAGGATAACGTGGACCAAGGCGAGGCGTATGAGTGCGCAGAAAATGGCGGCCATTGAGAAATAATCGCCAAGGACGAACTGGGACCTTTTCAACTTTCGCACTAGAAGTCTAAGGACAATCAAGCCGATTGTCACCCAGGTAAACACCCAGAGAATTATGAGGGTGGAATCCATTGCTTTCAAAGGCAGGCTGGGAGAGCTTCCCAAAGAAGAGTAGGGCAGAGGAAAGAAAAACAAGTCGCAGCAACAAAACCGCAGACAAGGAGAACTATGTTATTACCAGGTGACAATCGATGGAGGAGGGTTGAGTGGGTCTGCTACAAGTCTTTCCAATACGAGCTTCTTAACAGCTGTAGGCATAGTAGTTATTTTTAAAGCATTAGTGTGATTCATTATCGGAAAAGAAATTCCCTACACACTATGAGAGTAAACCACCAAATTAAAAAGAAACTGGGGGGTTCATTCTCATTTTTACGAGCTTTTGGAGTAGTGAGGTGGGGAGCAGTTGACTAAAACCGCCTGGAGATTAGTTGACTTTCAGCTAAAAGTTCGGTGTTTCACAAAGAGACTTTCTCCAGGATCGCTAGGAAAGTCTCCGAGGGGTAAGGGTCCAATAATCAGTCGTAGTAAGGCTCAGGTCGCGCCAAAGAAAATTCACCCAAATGGCCGAAGCTCCACCCGCCAAGAACCGTGGAAAAAATAGCTTAGCATATGAGCAGAAATTGTCAGTCCATGATAAAGCCCGGTCCCCGGATCTCCCCTTGTGTTGTTAATCAACCAATTCCTGGCTCGCCATCGCAATCCTCTTACAAGCGAACACGATGCATTTCACGACGGGATTATTATTATTCGTCTGGGCAATTGCTGCTACAGCTTCACGAGGCTGGTGCGTTGAGGTGCCATCCAAGCGATCATACATGTATGTTGGAGGCCAGTATACTCTGAATAGCGCTGGCCAGCATGTCTTCGCGAATCAGATGTACGTGGAAAAACTGACCCCGGTCGCGGGTGTGACCAAACCATACCCAATCATCTTCATCCACGGACAAGCTCAAACAGGCACAGTACGCATCCAATGATGGCCCGTCGCACCTTCCAATAGAGGACGAAGTTAATCCTGTGAATAGAATTGGCTCAACAAGCCTGATGGAGGGCAAGGCTGGGCCTCTTACTTTCTTTCAAAAGGATACGCCTGTTATATTATCGACCAGACCTTCCGCGGCCGCAGTGCTTGGTTCCCTGGCAATGGGACGCTGACCACCTATAGCGCCGAGCTGTTGCAGCAGCGCTTTACCGCACCACAGCGATACAACCTCTGGCCGCAGGCGTCCCTGCACACCCAGTGGAACGGGACGGGCGTCATGGGTGATCCGATCTTCGACACTTACTTCTCTTCGACGGTCGAGTTCCTCAATTCAGCAACCTACCAGCAGTCGACCGTCCAGGCTGCCGGCGCCGCCCTGCTCGACCTCATTGGATCCCCAGTCATCCTCCTCTCCCACTCCCAAGGGGGGTTAATGCCCTGGCTCATTGCCGATGTCCGCCCGAAGCTCGTCCACTCCATCGTCTCGATTGAACCAAGCGGCCCACCCTTCCAGGAGGCCGTGTTCAGCAACACCTCCGCGCGCCCATACGGGCTTACCGATATCCCCCTCACCTTCTCTCCTGCCGTGACCAATCCGGTCACTGATCTCGTGAAGCAGGTGATTCCCTCCAATTCGTCCCTCTATTCCGAATGCGTCATCCAGGCCGGTTCCCCTCCACCGAGACAGCTAGTCAACCTCGCCCATGTTCCAGTCCTGGTCGTGACGGCAGAATCGTCTTACCATGCGCCGTATGACTGGTGCACAGTCCAGTTCTTGCAACAAGCAGGCGTGCCGGCGCAACACCTCAAGCTGGCAGATATCGGCATCCACGGAAACGGACATATGGTGTTCATGGAGAAGAATAGTTTGCAAGTTGCGGCTGTTTTGAAGCAGTGGATAGAGAGTACGTGATGAGTGAAATGGAGCGCTCTGTTTGTTTCAATCATTTTCCTTCGTTTCCCTCTCCCGGGCTACAGCCCAAGGTTGTGGAAAAGGTAGTCGTTCTATTGTCTCTTCTCCTACTGTGTGATTGTGTGATCACCGTTCGTCAGAAGAGCCATCGTCAGGCATCCGCATGATAACTGTACTGAGGGCTCAACAATCAAGATAGTCAAAATTACTGTCAATTGATGTCATCTCGTTAACTAAACCTGCTAGTAAGAATATCTTCAACCCTGTGGACAATGACTCATGTCCCCGGTTTCACCTTCGCGGGGTGAGCGGACCCGACGGATCATAATTGGCCAAGGTCCTTGACAGTGTCTGGGGTCGATGTGCGATCAGAAGCTAGCTCGTTCATGCCCTGCTAGTACGCGTTGGACCATCGCCTCAGCCTGATCGAGCTCGCCTTGGGTCTTGTGCAAGACAAAAAGATTGTTACAGTGCCAGGGTTGATGTAACATCAGGGTCAAGAAGTTCTTCCTGGCCTGCCGGTGGGCGATGGTACCTCGCCTCTACCTCGATCAACTTCCCCTGTCTAACATAAGGCACTTGACACGTTCTTAGGGACCAGGACCCCTTTTCCGCTGGGTAAAATCTGCCTGATTATCTTGTCTTCCTCGTAATGCTTACCCCAATTTTTGCATCCAGTTGCCAGGCAATTTCCTGCAGCGAGTGTTGAAGAGTGGTTAGACCCAGGCGCCACATCTCTACCAAACAGTGCAGGTGAAAAACATTGATTCCGCCTTCAGATATCTTTCTATGAGTGAAATGGACAAATCCAAAGATGTAGACCGTATTACGTGTTGATTTGTTGCAGTCTCCCAACACTTTCTCTTTTCCAGAGAGCACTCGTCGGTATCTCTCTTCAACCTCGAACAGCTTCCTTCCCACGGAATGCTTTTGCAAATCGCCAGTTCTACAGAATTCGGCCTGTGCCCTAGGACTCCGACCCGTAAGCAACCTCCACAGCATTTGCCGTAAGATTTCCTCCGCCTCATCTACCTTCTAGTCAGAGATCAGCCAGTGGGAAGGTGAGGCCCATTGTGGTCGCCCATATGAATTGTGCGATGAAGACGGAGGTTGAGTCCTCAGAACCGCCCCGAACACTGGAAGTGTATATGACATGGCAGTTTGATGTAGGAATTATTGCGTTGGACGATGCGTTGGCGAAAATTGTCAGAGTGCGGCGGGGTGAAGTTGCTGAGAGGCTGTCCATTTGATTTGATTCGATTACGTCAGCATAACGGTCCCAGCCGCCCCGACGGCCGCTATGTGGCTTGGATCCTTCAAATGACCGCCAGCTTCGGTCCCATATACAAGCATTGAAAAAGTAAAAACCAAAATAACGCGAAAATAGTTATTCGCTGGTTTGCCTGCCGGTGCGCATTGCTGCTGCATCGACTGGCCTTTTTTCCGTGTGCAACTGGGCACTCAAAGCTCAGCTATTTGTCCATATTGATGCTCCGCGATTGCCCAAGGAGCTTGATTTCCAGCATGAACTTGGCAGCTCGTGCCGCGCGTTTTCCATCGGAGAGAATCTGCATCAGATCGACCGTCCATCCATTCTCCTTCCGCCAGGCGCCGCGCTCATACTTGAACCAGGGGCACGCAAACAGAACGTGGGGCGACTGTCTGCTCTCTCACTTCACACTGACAGTCTCCGTCATCGATTTCGGGAATTCCTCTTCTATTAAGGGATTGTCGTAGTCCTATGTGGCCTGTACGCATTTGTGTTATGATGGAAGAAATGGGCTCGTCCAGCTTGGAGTGAACTTCAGTGGTCTTCTTGGATGGTGTGTCCACGATGCTAAAGAGCGTGCGATCCCGGGTACCAGTGGCCTCCGAGCCCATTTATATATCAATAGGTACAAGTTTGGGCGATACAGTGAGAATCCTCCCTCTGAGCCCTGAAATACACCTCTACTAACATCACTCCTCAGCCCAAAATATCGGTCTGCAGACGTTGTTCTCTGTTCCAGAGGGTATCTTGAACTACTGGGGCTCCAATACAATTGCGTTGATCCACTGAAACGTGTCTCGAACTGGAGGAAAGCTGACCCAACTCTCTCTCAAAGTGACTGGAGTGTATCAGAGCAGCTATGGTGCTATATCCCCAGTGCCTCAGCGCAGTTATACTCCGAGGGTTAATAGCTTCTGAGGCAGCAAAGCCACATATAGGCCCGCATCACAGAAATATCTTACTGTCATTGACTATCTCCCTCATTCTGGCGTTGAAACCTCTTCTGTTGTGAATGGTAACCGCCCATCTAGTAGTTATACGGCTCAATGTGTACATGAATGAGGAATATACATGGTAATTTCATAGATAGCAGTAGCAAATTACTACTTACTTGGAGTGTCGGACGAGGACTTGCTAACGTCCCAAATCACTAGACTATATGATGGAATAAAGGCAGTCAGGAGTGACATCATTGCTAAGGCTTGATAGCTTCCAGTATCCCGGTTGGCTTTGGTGGTGGCGTCGACCCCGATACTGCTTGTAATCATGTGAGTTGCTTGGTTCTTGCTGCAGGTCGCTAAGGTATTGAGCCCAGTGGGCGTTATGACAACTAGCATGTGATTTCATGTAAAGGCGTTATTGATCTTAATCTTGCAGTATGTTATGGCGCTAGCTGACGGAGTTATTACTGGGATGTTTTGAACCCAGTATAACCCCCACTAGTAAATAAGTTAATCTAAAATCACTATGTAACATGCACATCGGTAAATTTGTCTAGGTGGTAGTGGTAAAATATTTACAAATCTTCAGTCGCTTCAATAATCTCGAACGTCTCTAGGAATGCTATCCTCTAACAAAAGCCACAGTCTCCAGGTTTATGTAACGAAATCGGTGCCTAGAATATACATACTGAATTGACACAGATCCTGGGCGATTGGTTGTGACCTACCTTGTCTGACAGAGTCTGGGTTCGGCAAAGGGTTCATGGGCCATGTCACCTTGTGAGGAAAAGCAATCTGCGAGAGATAGCTTCAGTTGGAATGTAAACAAATATAACCTAATCCCAAGGGACTGCGTAGTTTGATATGTTCCCCTGGCTTGTAGCCTGACCAGATGTTAGTACAAGTGATGCGTTAAATAAATATGGATGCGTCTTATGTGTGATGTCTTGCTAGCTGGCAAATTCTCCAACCTTACCATACAATGTGAAGGCCGAAACATTCAAAGCGCGTTAGGCAATTGTTTATTCTGAGTCTCTCTTTTTCGATTGCTGCTCAGGGCTGAAATCTCAGGCTGGTGATGCTTTGTATCTCAAAACATAGCTCTGACTCATGAAAGCAAAATGGATTTCCAACAACATTCTGTAATAATCAGCTGTGTCTTATCATACCCATACAATACCTACAGGACTATGATTAGCCCTCAATGAAAGGAGGCAGATAAAAGGCCTTGGCAAAATGGACCCAGAAAACAAACTTAAGAAAGTTCATACTGCGCAATCTGGGGCAGCAGACAGCGTCATGATCAGAATTAATGTGGTGTTGCACAACAGCCCTCTTGCTCATAGCGCTGCCGAAGAGCTTGACAATTAGAAGGATGACCTAGTGGTCCACCCGCTTTGCTTGGCATTATACCCTAGGAAAGAAACCATGTCCGTGGAGCAAAATGGATGATTATGGAGAGATCAGAGGAGGCAATTCCAGATTGAGGCACATTTCGGCCCGCGACCGCCATTGGTAGAAATGGACGCCAGTCAAATGGATCCAGTAAGAGACTGTCTGAGACTGAATTGGTACATCATGATATTAGGTAGGCCAGGTTTCTGACTCGCCATTTCTGGGAGTGTTAGGTGATACGACAGTGAGAAGTCGCTGGTGTTTATGTGTGGCCATTTGTGCATCGCAAATCACTGACCTCAGCATCTCTATTTGCGTAGGGAAGTCTAGTAAGACCCTTGTATTTCCGCGATTTTATGTCCAAGCCGCTCAATTGCAGCACATTCTTCGCTTGTAATATTTCGCAATCGTTCAGCGAGGGCTTGGACCTGAGTTTGATGACTGGCCGTGGTCAGTTTGGGATGAGACTGGCAAGCGCGAAGATATAGTACTAAGTATTTCTTACCTTTTGCACTTTTTTGGGTGGAATAGCCCGGAAATACAGTCCTACACTTCCCGAGACAATCTCGTGTATATGCCAACTGTGTTTCTAGCTACAAAACATTCAAGAAGGTCATTGAATTTCCAGGCATAACCAAGGTCCATCACTGTTCAGTCGCACTTCGGAAGGTCTGACTTGAATCCCCAGGGTTTTGTTTCCATTGATTTAGTGATTGGTTTTTGGAAAGGCAGCATGGACTATAATAATGCAATCTGATAGATGAAGGCAATAAACAAACAGACTGCCAATAAGTATGCTTTTTATTGTGTGAGGCATGGGCTTGTTCCATATTCAATACCGCAGACTCTTACTCTTTCAAATCGTTCCGTACTCTCTGAGTCTGGATAAATCACGGCCTGGGAAGTGAAGGTGGAAGAGTAGGGCAGCCTGCGTGTCTGGGATACAGCTCTGTGTTTCTCAGCGGATCCGCATCAACTGTTATGTAGAGCGCCATTTGGTTTTCGCTTCAGCCCTGTGTCATCCAATACGCAGTTTATCTCCGTGTCCTATTAGAGCTTTCTAATGCTCTGCAGTATCTTTACCAAATGGCGTTATTTGCTATTGGAGACTTCTGACTCAAAGAAGTATTATATGCTTAAATTAAATAGGCAGCGCAAATACGGACCGGGCCAGGTTTTTCAGGAATTTTCCAGAAAGAGGAAAGATTGTGGCCATGCGCTGATGGCATATCTGACAAGAAGTCTTAGTTGCGATCCAAACATACATTGCACGCACCCAGAGAACGATGCTGATATTAGAAAGGGCAATAACCATGTCACAACACGAAGAAGAATAGCCCTGATGCAGAGCTGATGGTATACTACCACCACGCTATGACTTTCCCCGCACTCAGAATCTCCGTTAATCAGCCAACCAACGCGCAATTGCTCGACAGGCAAATGATGCCCCCATCCCCTGTGTAACCTTTTGCTTGAAAAACAAGAGAAGTTCGAAGAGTAGAACTAAACAGGTATATCCAGCAGAGACATTAAGTGTTAAGTGGGTAATCTTGCGGGCTTTTCTTGAGGGGTCTTGACTTTGGGATTAATAGCCAGATGCCAGCAGATTTTGGCCACATCTGCATTGCATTCACCCCATCTTGTTAAAGTCAAGGCGATCAATCTCGTGGCCAACAACGGCTATCTATTCAAAAAGCGCACACCTTATGACCGGGTAGTTCTAATAAAACAGACTTGTTGGGCGCCATATCCCACGTAAGTTAATCCAACGGCCGTCGCTGCCATTACTTGAATACCCACTTTATACCGCCCACTGATAGTCAATTAGCTGATACTGGCATACAGGGCCATTGCATAACTCTTGATATGACTTCCATCAGTTAAGAGGTGAAAGCTGTCAGCCAACATCCTATGTACAGAAGCCAGGGCTGGGCTCAGCAAGGTAATACAAGGGAACTATTCCGTGTGCTATAGGGCCCACCAGGTTAAGGAAGCAATACCAAAGTCTGAAAGAGGTAAGAGATATATCTCCTCGTATCTATTTTCTGCAGTGTTCTTCAACAGGTCCGCAAATTTTATCTCCCTGACTGCATCAACAGAGGGTATACAATTAGTCCGGCCCATTTATGGGTAAGGGTATTCTATCAGCATGGGTATAAGAAGGATGTCTGAGAAGGGCCAAGCCTCTTGCGTCTAAATGACTGTGCTTATTTCATACCAGTTGCCACCAGCATAGTTTCCTGTCCGGACCCTCATTTCAGACGGACCATATGCAGTTCTTTCGCTTCAGCTCCACCATATGTCGGCCGTGGGTCCAGGGAAGGTCCACTATCCGTCATGGGATTGCGCTATCGTAACATTTAATCTGCTTTAAATAGCAGCCGAGGGCATCCTGACCTATCCGCCCAGAGAGTATTGGCATCTAAATCACCTTCCTGTTTGGTATAATGTCTTGTCCAAATAGCAATTTCTTTTTTCTAATAGGATGTATAGCACTAGTAAATTTTCAATTAAAAGCCCTTAGCAAGATATGTAGACCAGAATTTAAACCAATGCAGTTATTTCCATAAGCTGCCTTTGCATTTGCATAACAGGCATAGGAAAAACCTAATTTTAGGGAAAAACCTATACCAAGGCAGAATCCTATTTCAGTTCACACCATTAGTAAACGCTGTCTCTTATACTCAGCGCCATAGGCGCAGTTTTCCACGATATTTTAGAACATATATAAGGAACTCGAATCCATAAATAAAATCTTAACATCGGTTTTGGCTGCAATGAGCTACTGGACCGCAACAGTACGTGCAACCTGTTTTCCAGCCTAGTACTGTCTTGGGTTCGAGGCAGGTGTATATACCTTGCTCTTGATAGGCTTTAGTTTATGTTAGCAGCTGATATAGTTAAATAGTACTTAATATTTGAATTGGGGTTACCCATACAGCCTCCGTTACCCACTTCAGGGTGTTGTTTAAGATACCAGCCACAGTAATCCTTGCCCTTGGCACAGTCTGCTGCCGTAAGGGTAGCGGTGATTAAGCAAAGAATGAGTAGAGAGATATTCATTGTAACAGTTTATTCTAGTTCAATTTAATTTCCTTTAGGTGAATTTGAAGGGAGTCGACTCTTTGAACTTGGTTAAAAACAGGTGAGAATGCTTTTTTTTATAGCATCTGCATATTTAATTACCCATAAAATGCCAAAGCATCGATGTCCCTTTAAGGTTAAGTAAAAGTTTGTTATGATTTCATGACCCAATCGTTTGCGGAAAAGCTAGAAAAGCCAAGTTCATAATTAAACCTTCCATCCCGAATTTGTTTAATATTGCTAGCGGACGTCCATTATCACATAATCATCATCCCCAGTATGATTCTGGGCCAGTCGATTCAAATAAATATGGTTTGTGTTAATAGTACGAACATCATCACCCCCCATCATCTTCATCATGAATATAACCGAACCAAAATAGACCAAATTGACCTGAATGGACTGGCCCAGAATCATAGTGGTGATTGTAATTGTGTGCGACAATGACGTCCGCCAGCAATTCTGAAACGGATTCGAGAAGCAGCGAAACACCTGAAAACGGCGCATACATCGTCATCAACTTCCCACCGCGTAGATATCCACCTGTGGCTATGACATCAGGGATTAAGGTTATGTCTCAATCGATTCGTTGAAGCCACCTTTGATTATAGATGGTTGTCTGCTCTTGAGCTGGTACGCGGGGTTTTGGAGCGTTAGTTTGCCAGTTCTCCTGGGCAAGCTTCTGGGGCCTTGTAGAGGCTCACGCATCTCCGATGATTTTTCCAAGTTCGGTTAGATCCAGTAAAGACTGCGGGTTGGTTACAGGAGATAGCACTTCTGTGTTGGTAGTCTGTTTGTTCCCGCACTTCTGCCTCCCCCAGGAAGAGAGCTTTCTAATCGGGTGTATTGTTGCCAAAAGTAGGAACCCTCAGTTACAACAGTGAAATGGCGCGTCATCAAGCGTGGTCAGCACGAGCTGCGGCCACTGGCAGCAAGGCACGTGATACTCACATGGCCATTGCAAGTCTCTCCATGTTCTACCAGAGCGCAGATTGCCACGCCACCGCGATACGACGTTGGTTTTCTTTGACCAGGGTCAAAAGCAACTCATGTTAGGAGGGTAATATAGTTCGCCAACAAGGTAGCGTTCCAAGGGTGCTGGGGTGACTGTTTCCCATATCTGACCGGCACGGTTCGGTGATCCTGTCCTAGTTGACCGGGTCAAGATGCCCTATGAGAAGGTCTAGTAAAGATGATGGCTTAGACAAATTGGATTGATGTCGGTACTGCCCCGTTCCCTCTGAAGGAAGTCGACACTCAGTTTGAGGTGATCAATAAGAGTCGATTGAGGCCGTGCTGGGGATTATGGTTGCCAAGCTTTTGGAACCGAGGTAGCTTGCGCCGTCTGCTTGGTCGTTCCATTCGAGAAGCCAGTAAAATGTCAGATTCGTTAAAAGATTCTAGCTCGTAGGTACTTAATGTATTCAGTACAAACATAAAGTGTGGAGCAACGGGATGAGAGACAGGCTTCTGACCATTTGTACAGAGCGCCACCATCCAACCGTTAATGCGCCAAGCCCCACTATCATGGCGGATCAACGGTTCAGCAACGGCGAGTCAGGGCAACGCCATGATTGGCCACTCGATTTATTCCTTGCGCCAGCAATTGCACCCCAGCAAGACACCGCTAGCTACACAGATCCCTGTTCTGGTCTGCTAGTGCGTCAGATGATAATATGTCCCACATCTAAAGGGCGACTTCCCTATTAGCCCATCCTTTGTCGGTCAAACCGTCCCGCGAAAATGACAGCCGAGGCAGAAACCATCACTGTTGACTCGGGCGATGACTGGGCTTCAACTTACACAGCGACAGACTCAGAGGTAACCTCCCTCCGCAGCAGTGTCTTTGATTATATCTACGAAAATGGGCGACGGTACCACGCCTACCACGCCGGTGCGTACTGGGGTCGAATGATGAAAAAGCGATAGATGCGATGGATATCTGCCACTTTTTGTACGGTCTCCTCCTCCACGGCGAGTTGCATCTCGCTCCATTACAGAATCCGAAACGAGTTCTGGATATCGGGACGGGGACGGGGCCTGGGCCGTTGAGTTTGCGGATATGTATCCCACAGCCACGGTCATTGGGACTGATCTCTCGCCTATCCAGCCACGGATGGTACCGCCGAACCTGACCTTTGAAGTCGACGATTGCTGTGACGAGTGGATGTACCGGGAGCCGTTTGACTACATTCATGTGCGGGGGTTGTATGGTTCCGTGGCCGACTGGAATAGGTTTTATCAACAGGCGCTGAAGTACGCCGTCGCCGATTCTGGAGTAGTCTAGTGTGCTAATGAAGGTGATGAAAGACACCTAGTACCGGGCGGGTATATTGAACAAGCCGAGATGGGAGTTGTGCCCACATCAGATGGCAGAAGCCACATTGGAACCGTTTACGAGAAATGGGGCAAAGCTAGCCTGGAGAGCGGTGATCGATTCGGCAAGACCCTTCGCATTGTCGACGAGTCCAAGCAGCGCATGATCGACGCCGGATTCATCGAGGTGGTCGAGCGGCGATACAAACTACCGATTGGGCCATGGCCGAAGGATAAGCACCTGAAGACGCTGGGGAAATACTTTCGGTTGGTGATCGAAGAGAGTATGGAAATGTGGATGATGTACTTGTGGACCAATGTGCTGGGAGTGAGTGCTTGTCACCCTCAATTCTCTCCAAGCGGGTACTGACTCGTTCGCAGTTTTCTAGAGCCGAGGTTGAAATGACAATCGCTGAGCTAACTGGCCGTTCAAAACCACTAAGATACCGTTCCAACCCATCCTGTGTTAGATATAATGCCAGATCTCCTTCCTCAGCCAATGTATTCATAGCAGCTACTCTTCGCCGAATCTCTGTGGAATCCGCGTCCAGATAAACCAGCACCCAGCGCCCGCCAGAGTCGGAGATGAGCGCTCTCTACTTATAGCGAAATGCGAAGGAAAAGTCGAGGGCTGCATTCCCTTTGCCATGTTCGAGAATATGAACGAGATGCTACTTCAGCGCTACTTCAGCCTCGTCTTGATACTTCTCGTACTAGCACCAACACTTAATGTGGCTTTTATCGGTCAAGATGTGAAACATCATCCGAACAGACGCCAAAGCCCGGACCAGCAAGATAAGCCAAGGAACTGGGAAATAGTCAGTGTGCTGTAGAGCTCACCCGATGAAGAAAGCAAAACCATAGCGTGGAAACAGATTCATCTTCTTGCGTCCCTTTTCTGCGATGTTCATCAACTGGCCCGCGAATGTATATGCGCCTGGCTGCATCACTACTCTGGCCGCACATTTTGATCAGCGTGATATACTGACGTGGGTATAAAAGGGCCTTTGAGCAGGATTAAACCTTTTCTGTCTAAATGACGTTGCTAATTCCATACGAGTTCCCACAGCATAGGTCTTGGTCATGGTCGTCGTTTCGGCCGGACTATAAGCAGCTATTTTGCCCCAGCTTCGCCATACTATACCATAACCTTTCTTCCCAACAATGACTGGGTATTCCACACTCACGATATTGATTGCCGCCTCCACGCGGCAGAAGTTCCCCCACGTGCCAGTTATCTCGGCCAGCGTTGCCATGATGCAAGATGAGCCGGCTCACACTCAGAAGTCTGCAGGTATGGTTTGAAATCCTTCCTGCGAGGATTGAAGATGACCTGTCGCATGTTGCAGGTAGGGCCTTTATTCTTCCGGGCATCCTGGACGCCAACGGATAGTTTGTCTATAACCAGAGAGAGCTCCCCTGCCTCTTCAGCGCAGACAGTGCCTGCCCCCATGTGAGCCCATCAACTATAGGCATATCGTGGGTGAACACTCGCAGTAAAGTGGATTGGGGGGATCCAGCATTTGGCTGGATGTTCACTCATTACGAGAGTACCTCCGGCAAAACTACCTGCGTCTGAAGGTATTGCCGTTGGCATCGTCCGATACGGACACGGCAGGCCTCTGTTTGCATCTCCTCGAGCTATTTCAGGCATCGCCAGCACCGGATGATCATGGGCTTTCGGACTCAACGTCCTTTAAAGTCGGCCAAGCGAGAGAAGTTTGGAATACAAGCATTGAGACCCCGTCTTCAAGAGCTCCAGACTTCCAACAAGCGGGCGCAGTATCATCAAGTAAGTCCTATATGCACCCTAGTCGATCAGCAGCAGACCCAAAACGGCCAAAAACGCGCGGCATCCTCCTGAAAATGACGCCAAAAGTTGTTGCAACAATCGTTGACATGGAATGAGAATTGCTGGTGATATTCCTTTGTTGATGAATCACCAACATGCCACTGCTGCCAATGATGGTGGTAGCAGGGAGACGAACGTAGAGGAACCATGATGGAAGTGTCTTGCTACTAAGAGAGCTCTGCAGCCTCAACTGAACGCCTCACTCCCGCGCTCCTTCTCATAACAATCGTGGTTGGCCATTCTGCTGGCTTTTTGGAAAGCAGGTGTGTAAGTCCCCTCTGCCACACCCTTCACTCTATGCCGATGCGCTGTTCAATGTAATAATTCCTACCATAAGGCTGCTGTGATACATAGACTGCTTTATTGTATAATTTCGGCGGCCTTGGCGTCGCAGCGGCTCGTCTCTGGTTGGTACCAACCAACATGTGATAACAAGACCTAGCCGTCCCTAAGGGTCATTGCTCATCCACCTTTATTACCATTTGCTTATATGCACAAAAAGACGCCAAGTAACTTGATGATCAGCTGGGGAGACCAATTTTCTCCTTCTTCTTTCCTGCGGTGTGGTTAATCCATTTCATCGACACGGACACTTGACAAACGCAGAAGCTTATTCCATCTCATGGGTCAACATTTATTTACTGATCCGGCCTCGATTTTCCTTTCCACCTCCGTGATGGCAGACCAATACTGCCCATTCTATGGGTAGCAGTTACCTCACCTCCATCGCCATATTCAGATATTTTGCTGTCGTTCCGCCGTCTTCGAGGTGGATGAGAGCCACCACGATGCATTGTACGTTGCTGGTCAAATGCATCGCTAGATGAATCGGGACGATCAGGAGATGGTCGTCTAATGGACGTGCGAGAAACCAGTTTTGGTGGTCCAAAAGGTGGCATCTGCATATATGCGCCTCCTTGGTCTTGACCTGCCTTTTGATAAGGCATTTCTGAGTTAGTGCCTCGACTATCATGGTTGTCGGATCCTCCGTCACTTAAAAACAGAGAAGGGAGCGACGACCTCGAAGGGATTTGCTACCCGCACCATTAGTATGCGCCTGGGAAGTACTCAGATCTGTTGTACTCACTGAAGGGGCTGACTGGGTTCTTCTTTTCCACGGAATCTGCCTCCCGGGTGATGAGGCATCCTCGTTCTGCTGCAACTTGGAGACAGACGTCTGGCTCCCAGAGCTGCTGGGGGTAGATGGTGAGGGGTTGTAATGGGTGAAGGCTCGTATGATATCGGTGAGGTTGGTAACGACCGCAAATCAGACATGGACAGGCTCTCAGCGGGCTGGTGAATTATAAGTCGAGGAATCTCCTTTTCCAAAATCTGCAACATTTGTTGAGCAAACTCCGTGGCCTCGAGACGTTGACCCGGTGAGATTTGTTGCTGTATCATGAGCGTCTTTTGGACCCGTTGGGCTTGCCGAAGCTTGTCGAATTCGATACCCAGCATTTTCTTGAAAGATTCACTGCCAAGGAATAGTCAGTGTAAGACTGGACATCATCTATCAATCGGGGGAACATTTGAAATTTACAGTTGTGCCACAACTACATCCGATTCATCCCTTTGGTGTGTTTGGGAAAGCAACTGAATGTGCATCAGGGTTCCGATTGTTCTCATAGACCTCTCTAGCACCTCCATATCCTGGAAAAGAGAGGGGACAGTTTTCTTGCTCAATCTAGACCATTCGAACTGCGCAATCCATCTTTCGACCGTACTGATAGGTTCACCATCTATGAGAGAGCGGAACTTGCCGATAATATGCTTCAGCCTTCTAATGGTTCGTATTGATTCCTCATCAATACTTCCCATGAGCTGTTGATGTCGGTTGAACATGGGCGCTAGCTCTTGAATTTTCCTTGCAACTTTCATAGTGTTCATGAAGAAGTCGTATGTTCGAGCCACCGATTTTGTTCTTTTGATCACACTGGTTATATCGTTTTTCGCATTGCGGATTTGCTTATACAGCCTTCTTAACTTCTTCGCAAGCTTGAAGAGGTCTTTAGCAATAGGGTAAGCAACGCCCACCACTGCGAGAACGTCCGCCATGTTTTCCAGCTCGTACTTGCGCGGTCTCTAAAACGATCAGGGAGACATAGTCGCTGTGAATCATAAAAATAGAGAAAAGGTTCAATTTTACCCACGCGTGTCAGTCCACCAGGATATAAGGTAGACAAATGGTAGAGTCAAAGAGAAAAGCGACTAGTTTCTATCCTCGTACTTAAAAATTTGGGCCCAACCGCCGCTGCTAAGCCCCAACCCTCTGTAGGCCACTGCCTCATTCCACAGTGTTCGCCCATCCCACTTTCCCCGACTATCCAGTGAGGCTGATTGACAGCAATCTCCAAGGGTCAATCTGTGACCCAAAGCAAAACTTCTACCAATCTTGAGAATAGACGACTGTCTACGTTTGAAAAAGCAAAGAATACCCCGCTTTATCTCTATTCCCCGCATCCGACCAAAAGGCTTAGTACTTACATCCACAGCCAATCTCTGCATGCCACGATAGACACCTTGGAGGGACGAGCAGAACTCCGGGCCTAGTGTGCTGGAGTCAAGGCTGTGGTTTCTTGGCAACTGTTTGGTCCGCGGAATGCGGCTCAGCACAGCATGGGAGACATATCTAGGCAAGCTTGCGCCAGTCCCTAGTAAAGACGGTGATCTTCGCGAGGTGTGAGCACAAGAATCCATGCTGGATCTGGGCGTAACTTGGCCACGTGACAGGCTACTACGAGGCAGACATGTGTGAGTCCCGGACGCCCTGTATCGACGGAGGGTTTGCCTACGGAAGGGGTGCAATCGCCGCTGCCGTCAGGTCCCACTGAACAAACTTCGGAAGTGAAGGTTTATGTACTTTCCCTCCCTTGCCCTAGCCTGTCCATAAGTTTTACTAGCGACAAGTATGTTACCAAGATCTGTTCTGTATCTATGTAGCGTCTCCATGCAACTTCCTAGGGTCAGTGGATGGCGCTACCTTGGAGATAAAGAGAGTTCGTAGCAACTGAGTGATACGTTTGGCGTCTACCTTACGATGCGCCCATGACTTGCGTACTGCCACCTACTTGTGAGCAGCCTATGTCTTCTCCGCACTGTCATACACAAAATGACATCCCTTTCAGAGCGATTAAAAAGCTAAACCAAAATAATGGTAAGTAGACGGCGAGTATGTACTGTATGGGATTCTTCTTTCTCGGCCTACTGTAATGACAGACTTGTGATTAACTAGTGACTATTTGTCGAAGCCTCCACCGTCGGCTTCCTACAAGCTGTTGTTCGCCTGCAAACAATAGAACCCTGGTCGACAGAAGTTTGCGATGATATCATTCGCTATGATGTTCCCTAGGCTAAAAGGAGATCCCTTAAAAAGAAGGTCCGGCATAGGGAATGCAAGTCTCACAGATTGGGAGGAAAGTTCAAAATACCCTGCAGATCGTGTGAGAACAAGGCGCCAGGCAGCCTCGTAAGATTTGCGGTGATCCACACATTCCACGAGCTTTTCCTACGCCTACTAATATTACGCAACCGCCACCTAGCTCAGCAGGTACACACATTCAGAACGCACTCTCAGTCACACACGCGACAAAAGACATACAGGCCCTGGGAGTGGGAATCACCAGAACTAGGTATGTGATATGGTTTAAGAACCAGTTCTAAGCTAAGACAGCGAGATCCAACACAGAATGGCTAGAAGAACAAGGTAACAATACTAAGCTTACCAAACTATAGTTTGTAGTGGTGATATACAAGGCAGGGCAATGTATATATTGGTGATAATCTGAGCTTAACGGCCATGTTCGTATTATCAAGACGGGGTTTCTGGTACGCTTGGGGTAGAAGAGAAAATCCATCGCATTCAGTTCCATTCGCCGTTGTCGGCAAGAATGGGGTCCCCTTCCTCTATATTGGTGTGTGATGGCAACTGTTTGAGAGGGGTTCAGATGGTCGTGTAGCTAAGCCATAAAACGCTTTCCAATCAGCTGGACTACAATTTCTAACATTCACTACTACAGGAAGTGAGTAGTAAGGTGTTAGTTATGGGGCATTTGTAACGCAGATAGTGTTGATTTTTTTCAATTCATAATTGGATAACTAATAATTGTGTTTGTACCTTGTTGGAATAAGCTGATTATTGAACTAAATACTGTAGCTACAGTACTTAAATCATAGACAAAGTACTAATACTGTTTAAGTATATCATATTAAGGTGACCGCTACAGAGCTGTACTGAGACGCCCAATACCACATTGCCGACCCAGAAGGGTTAAGAAAATAAGGTACATAACACACTAAAAATGTAGATTCAATTTCTTTCAAGTGTATTATAATGACGTCAGTCAGCAGAAGGATATGCGGCTACGTCTGGGTCTGAACAGATGGCGTCAAGTCGAGGACTCGAGTACCCGCTAGGGGGTAAAAAGAAACAAAAGTAATTCAGATGGAAGGGCTCGAATGCTCTCCTGTGACCATGTTCCCTAAGGGTCGGCCGTTTGATTGGTTAATTAACAATTACTAACCATTATAGAGCCACCGGAATTTGAATCCCGACCATCTTCGGACTTCATCGCACTTCATCGAACGACAACATGAGAAAACGACGAGGCATTCGGTCATCCGAGTTTACATTGATTTCTAGGAGCACTGTTGAAAATGCACCAATTCGCGCCTGAAGCCTGTATGGAAACATGTTGCAACGGCGTGTACTCCACGTAGAGTTGGCACAACGCTCATAAGTACTTTCATTAAATGCAGCGTAATCCTACTACTCCATACTGACGCTAGCAGTGACATACCTCGCCCGTGTCCTCGCCACTTACTCAACACTCACAATCGGCTTACCATGAAGTGGAGAAATAGCCTTCTGGTATTCTCTGCTTGCCAATCAAACAAGTCCATATCAAGACAGCCGATAACCTGAGAACGTACTGAATCCTGTCATAGCTGGCGGGAGCTGCAACAACGTGGTGGCAGGTTGGATCCGCAGCTGATGAGCTGTTATATCGGCGTCGCTGTCCTCGTAGATAACCTATGCTCTGTGCAGCTTTTTTTACCGACTGGTATTTGGCACATCGTAAACTGGTTCGCGTGCTCGGGAGTAGGAATATCATGTTAGGGCTGGTCTTTGCGCCCATCCGTAGATCAATGTTCCGAGTACCTCCACTGCGCCTTAAGGTCGCATGAGTGTTAGATTGGGCATGGCCGGAAAGAGGGGCCGAGTCACTGGTTGCTGCGTTGTTCCGGCCCGACCCTCAGCTTCATGCTTGTCAGCAAAGTTCGTTTACTCGAACCATAAGGTGGGACACGTACCGAACAGTCAAGGGTAGCAATAAGGGCCGCGGGAAGGTGACTGTGATCTCCCCTCAGGGCACCGGGTGCAACACGCTTTGCACCCCATAAAGGATGACATACGGACATCATTATAGAACACTAGGAAAGTGGCTGTCACGGGAAGAAAGGCTCCGGAGGTATAGGCTGTCATCGCATGCTCTGATACCGTACCGAATATAAGAACATTTGTAGCTGGTCCTTGGATGAAAAACACCACACTGGGAGTAGAGGAACTTATTCCTATTGACGAGATCTGCACCTCACAGTGCAGTCAGAATCTACGTCCATAGACAAATTGGTTGAGCATCGCTGAGAAACTCGGGCAAAGATTGCTCAGCTGAAGACCTTATCCAGATAGCAGTAGTGACAGGAGCCGCGGCTCAGATGGCAGTCGCACGGAAACAGGTCATTCGGTCCCCTTGCGCCTATCTTTACATATTCGCTTGGTAATTGGATAGAATTTGGACACTTGCGGATACTTCTGGTCTCGGGACACTTCGCGGGGCGATGCTTGCGGCCCAGAGGCTCTAGGCTGGTATGTGTGGCATCATCACAAACAACATCATGCAGCTAAATCCCTGTTTGGTGGAACCAAAGAGAGCGAGTACGAACCGAAGGGCAGCAAGTATGCATGTCCGAATATCAGATCACTAGTTTAAGTGGCCTACCTCGTATGGGCCGGATATCGCCCTCCGAAGTGAAGCCTCCATCAACTTGCCGGCTATTCCAGTGTGGCGATCAGAGATGCCGAATTCAAGTCATCGCGATGGGCTCATCGCCCTTGGTAAGTTTGGGTTCGACTATATCGACAGTTGTAGCTACATGTTGCAGTTCAGATCTTCTATGCCGTTGCTACGGTGCCCATCTCCGTTGGCTTATTCAGGATATGCCTTACGACTACGCGACGCGTCTGCTTGGTGCTGGGGCCAAGTTCAGGCAGCAGTGGGGAGGTATTAATTTCATTGTATATTACCCTCCCGTGATATTCAGCTCTCAGTATGTCTCACGACGGACTACCCTCGTTTTGTCCGTGCGGCACGCCAAGAACCTCAAGGCATCAACATGTGTTGGAGCCGCCTTCATGGAATCTGTCGGCCGCAAGCGTCTCAGCTTTGGGGTGCCTTAGTCCGGGACGCGAACCAAGGAAGTGGTCTATTGTGGCATTGCTTTTGTATTTGGCTACTATGGTCCGACTCTGATCGCTGTATCTTGGATGTACCAGCGGAGGTGACTATGCGGTAGTGGAGGAAACCCTGAGACAACAATCAATCACCACTAGCGCTTCGGAACAACCCTATATACTTTTTTATCTTTCATGTCTTGTAATTGAGTTGAATCTATCGAGCACTAGTCTTTCGAGTATAATCAACGAAAAGCCGGGATCAGTTTGGCAGTAACCATCCGATCAAAAACGATCTTATAGCCCTCTACTGTGTCAGTACTCTCTGTAAACCCAATAGACCTAGCTTTCTCCAATGAATACTCCCTATTGAAGTCAAAATCGACGAGCATAAAGTGCGTATGGCCCCAGTTCTGGTTCTCCACGGTGTCGCTCTTCAACCCATGGACCTCAGCAAGACGCTTCCATTGATCCATGTGCCCATTGACAAAGTCCTCCATACTTGTCTGAGAGCCGTTCTGCGGCTCACAGCCAACAAGGCCGAAATACGCACAGAGACCGGGCCAAATCTGAGCCCAGCTCACAGTCTGCCCATCCGCAGCATTGAAAGATGACCCATTAACGCACTTCTCCCGATGCAGGGCAACGTAGATCTCCAGCTGCGACAGGATATCCTGGAATGTGTCGGAGTGCGTCGAGTAATATCCTTGCCGCGCGTCCCCGGAAATGGAACAGAAGCCCTGGCGCCATGGACCTCTCGATAGAGGGTCAGATAGAATGCTATGCCGTGCGCCATATTCATGGCATTGGAGCTAGGGGGAAATCCGACAATTCCGTCAGGCCGAATTTCGGAGAATGTCCACTTTGAACCCTTTGAGAGCTCCAATTAAGAGGTCATATTGATCGTAGTAGAAGATCTTGCTTCTCATGGCTCTGGAATTCTGGGTAGATCTTCGTGTAGCGGGGGCTGGACTCGAATCTTGTCTTGGAATTCTAATCCATAACCTTTGCCACCAGTTTGAAGAATAACTACCTCAAGGTTCGGCGCCACGGCGCTGGTGGCCTGGATTGCTGTACGGAGCAGGTCCGTGTTGATCTTTCGCAGTGATGCGTAATCGGAGGCTTGGATATAGGCTGTCCGAAGAAACCTAGATTAGTTCCTTTTGATCTAATTATGCTTAAAAGAGTGGAAGCTGTGTTGGCTTACCGCAAAAGAAAACAATATCAACCAACATGATGTCTTCCACCTTGGTCTTCAGCTGCTCCATGACTATCTCGACTGATCCTGTAAGGTCGATGCCAGAAACGATGTTGAGGCGAGTATCATTGGGTAGCATCAAGGTTTTCTTTTCAATATGGCGATTGCACAAGCCTGTAACCCGATAGAATGTCGACGGAGAAGGATATGAGAGGCACTGCTTCATCAAGGACCATCCTGAAATGCCAGAAGCCTCGAAAATGGGAGCGTGCTTCCCTTTACCAGTCATGATTTCGAGCAAATGATCTGATGCAATTTTCTCAGGCTACTTTTCCTCAGACCGGCAGTCTGTCTATAAATACCTCGTAGATCCATAATCGCCATGATTATGGATTCGTAAGCGACTCGGGTTTCATTTCCCGGAGTCTTTCAGGCAGTTAACCAGTTAAGTGGATCAAGCATCATAGCGATCTAGACGTGATTAAGCCATCCTGGATGATCTTTGGGGCCTCACATTTGGCACGCTGATGGTTATAGCGCCTAGAGAATCAGGTTTTAATCTCATCATGCTTATTAATGAAATTATATACCCATTTCTCTCCCACTGTCTGGGTAGTGGTTTCTCCATGCTTTGAAAGAATGATATTCGCCATTTCCCATACATGAGATGGTCGGGGAGCTACTCCACGTTAATCATTGGTAGAATTCACTGAATAAGCGATTCCTCTTCGTTTTAAGTCATTTTATGACTATTTGCCCGTAATTCAGCAGTACGCCCCTTAGACGCCGCTGGAGGGTAGTATAAGGCAGATTATAGACACGCGCAGCTTCAGGGATATTAATGATTGCTTCTTTTTCAGAGCTCATACCGCAGATAGGGTCCTTCCCTCCTGCTCAACTAAGTCCTTGAAGTTTGTATGCGCTTTTAGTGGCATAGTGGCAGGCTGAATACTTCAGCTTTTGAAATGGCAGTCAAAGATCCTCTCGCTTTCTGATTCCATTATAATTACATCAGCATCCAGCAACATTCCTGCGGATTTCGGATCACAACATTTCCGACTGACAAGTCTGAACAATAGGGCCTATTTATTAACAAGCGCGGGTCCGAAGTCCAGTTGAATCTAGAAATTCTCTTTCGAATTGTAAAAGCAGCTTCCTATATCTGCTCGTTGAACAAAAATATTAAGTCGCTCTCAACACTTCAACACCATGGCATCGAAGAACCCAACCGGCGGATTTAGACTGACGCATGTCGGCCTTCGTGTTACGGATATCAACAGATCCGTTGCGTTCTACACGGGTGCTTTTGGCATGAAGGAATTAGGCCGCATGGGGTTGGACACGACCACGGTTGTTTTCCTCGGTTATCCTGACGCAGCGAACCCACAAACGCCACTCTTCGCTAGGGAAGGTGTACTGGAACTAGTATGCCCAAAGGTAACGATACTTCATCAAAGATCCTCATCCGCTTCCGCTTCCGGCAAGACTGTGGCTGACCTTGCCTTCAGAAGTCCCAGAAAGGCATGGCCGACTCAAGTGACTATCCGGATTTCCGATTTGTCAAGCTGGCAATCGGTGTCCCGGACATGACAAAGGCCATGGAGTATATCAGAAGTCACAATGTTAGAATACTCAAAGAAGCTGGCGTGACTCAGGGTTCAGAGGTCGTGGCTGCGTTTTTGGGTTGCGATATGCCCGACAAGGGATTTGACAGGCCTTTGTGGGAAGCCGCCGTGGCTGTCCCTTTTGTGGAAGACCCCGATGGATACCTCATTGAAATCATCCCATATTGATCTATATTCTGGGTTATTCGCAGCAGTGTCATATAACAGCGTTCTGCACCGAATATAAGAACTCCTTGTCTTACGAAGTGAGTGTATAACTTGACGCAACGTGTGAACGTCATCATGTCTATGGCAATGGTGCTTGGAGATTACTAGACTTTCCTATTTCACAGTGTACTGTTTTGTCCTCGCCAGTTACCTATCTATCCACAGTCTGTTCTAAGTCACAGCTGCTCTGATACTTTGCGATACTAATTCTTAAGCATGGCCTTGCCTAAAGGCGCATTTCACTGAGTTACTTCGGAACTCTGCTCTTCCTGCTCCATAGAACGAAAGACTTCAGCGACGCGATGGAAAGACTCCTTCGGTACCCATGGAGGCATATCCTTAGATCTTGAATCCTTCGTAGGAAAGGTCTTTACCAGCGCGAAAGACATCATGTCCAGATCGCTCGCCCCTTCTCCTGCCGGCAGGCAAGGGAACGAAAACAGGTATATGAAGGCCGCATCTACCCCTGCATTGTTGAGAAGCTCAAGTTGCGTCCCGACATAATCGGCCTGTTCCTTCTCGCTCCGAGTCGGGACAATATCGTTCTCGAAGATGCCAGTGCCGTCTGGATTCGTGCCTTTCAAGAGTGCGAACCCGCCGTCTCCGCGCTCTGCTGCTCCCTCGTACGCGCAGCTTCCGACTTCTAGAACAGCGAGAGGCTTTCCAATCCTGTACCGGGTGAGACACGAGACATACTTCTCTGCAGTCTCTCCTCGGCGATAATAGTCTATGCCGACGACGTCAAAAATATCCCAGTCCACGACTTCCCAGGAGCCAGCTGAATATGTGACGTTTCCTCCGAACTGGGAACGAATTACCTCAACGAAAGACCGCAACGCCTTATTCAACTCAACGGACTTGTCACGCAGAGCCTGAGGAATATCCTCGATCATGTGGCCGCTGGGAAACTGCGGGCCGAGGAACATCACACGGTCGTTGAAAGAATCTCCCGGGAAAACACCTTTGCCGAAGATGGTGTATTCGCAGCCGGCGATAAAGACCAAATCAATGCCTTCATTGCGTAATCTCTCTGCAGTTTTTGCCGCCTCTTCGTAGTATGCGCGGGTCTCCTCGATGGTTGCATTCATCTTCCATGGATTGAAAAACACCTTTAGTCCCATCGAGTGCGCTGCCCGTGCGGCAATCTCCAGCCGAGTCAGCTCCTCTCCTTCAATCCGGACGGCATTGGCATGCAACTCGTCGGCGATTGTTTTCATGTCGTATTTGACTAGAGCAGGGTCGAATGGCTCGACGGAGAATCCAGTGCCATTGAAATTGAGGCCGACATCGTAGACAACGCCGCGATACTTCATGGTGGACTATTTGTTGGGAAGGGCTGATAAGTGCAAATGTCTGCGGGCTCACAGGATATGCAAGGATAACAATTGTGTCCAAACGAGCATGGGGCAAAAAGCAAGACGCACGTAGTAGTCAAGTATACAAGGCCCCGAGGGTGTCTCCACTCTTCGGACTGCGCACTCTTGGCGCCCCGGGTGTCCAGCCATGGCTCGAAATTTCATCGAACCTGCAAATCTGTGCATTGGGCAACCTCGTCGGGGAGGGCTTCCAAAAAGTCCGGACTTACACCTTCTGACAGTTCCACCATTCGGCCTGCAATTTGCCCTGCCCGAACCGCCTTGAGAGCGTCTCTAGATACCGTTGTGAACTTCTGATGATGCCATTCAGACCTGGAGGCACCGATTACGAATCCGCTGGCCAAGCAGCAGGGGGAGAAGGTGGCCTGGATCCTCAGTGGAATGGGGTAGACGACCATGAGGTTGTGGTGAAGGAGAGGGCTGCAGTATGCGAACTTTTCCTTAGTCGCGTTACATGTGAATCAGATGCTGACATGCTCCGCTCCACAGTGTGATCGTTGCCGTCAGCGGAAGGTGCGATCCTTCTATTTACCTGCAGCAAAGATTATTCCCCTGTGAGGTGTATCCGATGGGGGTCTACTGACTTTCGAGCTGGCTTAATAGACCAAGTGTAATCGCGTTAATCCGTGCTCACATTGTACCAAGGCGGAGGCGCAGTGTACATTCAGACTGGCTCACAAAGCCAAAGAAAAGCGGCAACGGGTCCTGATCTCGAGTGTATAGTGAGTTATCCGCCCAAGTACATCTATATAAGTATTAATAGACCATCAGTGAAAGGAGACTGGAGCATATTTCGAACAGAATTGAGGAGCTCTACGGGATCATAGGGCAACTTAGAGATGAGCGCCATAATAGTGATAGTAACCTTATGGCCCCAACTAGATTACGAGCACCATCATATTCATCCATCCAATCTGGCAGTTTTCGGGCATCCACCAAAGCTCCAGCTCCAGCGGAAGGGATAGAGTCCGCATTGTTTGCCCATGTCATGTGCGCAGCAAGAGCTCTTGAAACCGCTGTGATGAATGACCCATTCTCCAGGGCGGTCGATGATATAACTTCGGCGTTAACTACTTTGCGGAGCACAGTCAATGACCAAAAGCAGCACAATGAGACCCTGGAAGGGTCACATTCATTTCTAAAGGCGCTGCCTTCTGGTCTTAGTCTTAGGGATTTGCCTATCCCTTCCATGGATAAAATCACGGCGTGCCTCAGGATCACCCAAGGTGTGTCTCTCTTTTCCAGGCTATGCTGCACTCGTTCTGATAATCATCCCGCAGAGAGCTCGCCAAGGGAGATTTACTGGCCCTTCGAATTTGGATCTCTGGGAGACTTCACTCAGAAGGTGATCAGAGCCTGCACACCCGGTCCGATCAGCGATATGGAGCTGATCATAGTCCACTACGTTCTTTACGCGCTCTTCACCCAATGCTCGATTGGTGCCGATGATGAGACACTCAGACAGGACTACGATGTGCAAGCTGCAACGTGCAGAGAGAGCCTCGAGACTGTTCTATCAAGCCTTTCCTTTCACATCGATTCCAATATTGACTCTATCTGTGCCTTGTACATGGCGGTGCGTTTTTCCCTCTTAGTAGCAATGCATTCCCCACAGTATTAATTTTGCGATTTCCAACATACAGTCTCTTCATTGCCTGCACCGAGGGAAAGTGTCCACAGCCTGGACGTTTATTTCAAGAGCGTCACTTATGTGCCTGTCCTTGGGCTTTCATAGCAGTCACGCCATGGTAACGGAACAAGAAAACGCAGTGCAGCGAAAGATGTGTCTTTTTTGGGCTGTGTACGCACTGGAGAAAGCGGTGGCTTTACGGCTCGGCAGGCCATCGACTATTAGAGACCAGGATATCACCATCCCACGACTCACTTTGGACCGCAAAATGACCTCCCTAGCATATAACCGGCTGCCCGACTGGGTTGATATGGCTAGCCTCTACGGCCATTTGTACGATAGCCTGTATAGCCCGACTGCGTTGACACAACCGGGCTCCGTTCGCGTGTCTCGTACCAGTGCACTGGCTTCTGAGCTGGAGCGTATGATCGCCGCGAGAACCGGATATTATGTAAGTATCTAATCAGCTTTCTCTATGCTCCCAACAGAAGTAAGCATACGGCATCAGTCCGTGGACACTGTGACTAACCACCCTTCTCAGAGCCGGCCAGACCTGTGGAGTAGCCATGTGCTAGATCTAACTGTTTCACGGTTCATGATACACGCCAACAGAGCTATAGAATTCTCAACCTTGGCGTCCATATATCGGGGAATCCCAACAGAGAGTCCTTCGGTTATAAAACCATGTACCCAATGCATCACCGCTGCGCGAGTAGCTCTTGAAGAGGGCGAAGCCAGCATTGCCATACTTTCAGGTGCAGCCAAATGGCCGACTGGTCTTCACGAATGGGTCAACGAGATCCTCCTCATAGCTCCATTTATCCCTCTTACAATCCTGGTTTACAATGTTGTTGATACTGCTGACGCGTCGGACCTGAACCGCTTGAAGGGAGTGGTTGACGGTCTACAGTCTCTGGCACAGTCGCCGCACTATGCCAGCTGTAATAGGCAGCTGCGTATTTTCAAGCCACTGTACGATGTTGCAGCTCGTTACGTCGAAGCAAAGGCAAGCCGGGAATCAACAGACACGGTTACCAGTCTATTCACTAATCCCGACGCCGATGTCTACTTCGATGATGACACTTGGTTAGGCAATCAATTTTCTCCTGTCTCGCCTTTACCATTATCAAATATGTTGTCACTCGATTTGCTCCAAGCTCCAGCGGTTACATCATATGATGAGACTCCGGAACGAGACCGTTTGTAGAACAAGGGATGCGGACTCAAACTTGGCCATTAAGACTGTCATCAACCTTTGACCATCCTGACTTCCGAAGCCTTCTTTTCAGTGCTATAGAAATAATAATAAAAATAATAGTTACAATTTGCACATGTCAACCAGCGAACCGAATGGTCCTGGTCTAATTTACCCTTCTCCAAGCTGACATGGAAAATCAAACCATGATTTCGGACAATCAATTTCCACCCGATACCTTCCGGAAATATTGATCTGTACGGAGTCTTTGGAATCACCTGTTTCGTGCGCTGCCACTTCTTGGGCCACCGGGAATGCAATCCCGGGCTAAAGATCTGGCGCGGGGGCTTCATAGTTTTCGAGATATATCCCTTAATGTCCAGACCCCTCGGAGTTTTCATTTCTATAGAAAATTATTCAGAAGTAAAGTCATCTACGAAGATGGGCTCCTAAAAAGTCGACCTTCTATCCGTTAACAACTTGTCTGACGACGAGCATGCTGTGCTGTGCTTACGCTGAGAAATCTTATATTTGACATCTGCAACCAGAATGGTGGAGGTCACGGCGGCTCTGCCATAGGAATGGCAGCTATTGGTGTGGCTCTATGGAAGCACGTCATGCGATACAATCCTTCGAATCCCGACTGGTTTGACAGGGACCGATTTGTGCTCTCCAACCGTAAGTTAATCCGCATCAAACGAGTTCTCGTGCTAACTAAGACGACAGGGCACTGTGCGATGTTATTATACGTGCTCGACTAACTGACAGGGTACGAGGCCTGGTCATCCAATCGAGTGCCCCGGCGTGTGCCCCGGGCGTGGAAGTTACTACTGGGCCCCTTGATCAAGGGATTGCCAATGCGGTTGGTCTTACTATTGCTTCTAAGAACTTGGCAGCGCAGTGCAATCAACCGGGCTACGATATTGTCAGCTCAAGGATTTATTGTATGACTGGAGATGAATGTCTCGAGGTCCGGATGGGCGTGCGCTGCTAAAAGAGCAACTGGGCCATCAGAATAATGACCTGGGAATCCCTTCGCTTAGAAGAATGTTGCATATATCAGGATCCACGAAATGCACCACATCCAAGCCTTCGCTAACTGAAGCATAGCCTTGCGTCCAATAGTCACCCGGCAGGTTCAGGTCAATGGATCCAGCAGCCTCCCTTGACGATCGAAAGTGATCATACTCAGAACATTCTTGGGCATTTGGTCGAGTCCCATGAGGTGTTGGACCGGCGTTACCATGCAGGTGGCGCTCAGAAGCTCCTTTGACACCTTTTTCAGTTACAGCCCGTCTGCGCTTATGCCACTGCTGCTGAAGTGTACTCAAGAAAGTGCTCGTCCATTTGGCATTTTCAAAGCAGCAACCCATTTCATCCAGAGCCCAGAAGCATGTACCGAGGTAACTAGTATGCTCTTTGTCGGGCTTTCTGGCTTGAGACGGGATGGTAGTGAAAATCAGGATCAGTGCTGCAGAAAAAGTAAAGGAAACCATCTGCACATTTGCTTTTCTAAAACCGTAGAGCCTTTCGTAAATTATCAAAGCTTTGACAATGGCAACAGCAGACTCAATGCACATCTTTCGCGCATGGGAAGAACCAGGCCCTTGTGGTGGTTGAGGCTGGATATAGTGCTCTGATATGTAAGGACGATGGCAGTGGATCATGAACTGGTGGTATTGCATACTTGATCCATGTGAGCTAGGGAAATAAGACAGAGAGTTCAGATCATGCAACTTACCACAGGGTGAGAACATGCGGTAAGTACTGCTGACATTCTTCGGTTAAGTCAACATCAAGACCTTCCGGGAGGTTCTTCTTCCATTCGTACAGTCGTCCAACGGTGGCTGCGGTTAGTTCTTGAAGGGCATGCTTCGAAACCTCGAAACAGCCATACCTTGACCAAATCATTAGTATTGAGATGCATAGAAATAAGTGGGTCTGCGGGAAAAAGCTCACAAGACGTCTGTAAGAGGCATCATGAGGTCATATAGAGTCACCCACAAATGGCATATTGTCTGCAGGGGATTATAGATGCTTCCTATTTCAGTTTGCAGGCAGCCGTAAGGCTTCCATTCCGCCGATGATTGAGAGCTATCCCAGTGGGGCTTTTGAACCGTGACCCCTGCTGTCGGGCTACGAAGAGGGCGGCCCAGGTAATACCCCAAAACCTAAAACAGTAAGAAAGATTACATTACCAGGGAGATATATGAGCACACATACTGTTCGTTAAGGTATGCAGCCCAAAATATAGTACGTCGGAGCTTGCATTCCTCAGCCGAGATGATACCACTCTCAAGGTAGGGTGTCATATCGAGATGAAGGCCAAGGTCAAAAGCAAGTCGCATGGCCATCCCTTTGTATGTCAGTGGTGCACTTATTTAGTATTGTGGGCTTACTCACCACTATATAGCCATCCTCGAGTATCCCTTGTGCGGGACGCTTCGTGGTTGCTAAGAATCACTAGCGTTTGAACGGTTGATAGCGAAGGTTTTTCGAGTTCCCACTCTAACAAGGTTCTGGCCCTTTCACCGAAGAACTCTGATAATGATCGGGGGAAGGTAACAAAGTTCAGGGTGATATTTGGGCACATAAGCTGCGCCCAAGGCACACCTGCAATGGTTTATTAGTACGATGCTCTCTCATTTTGTTGGGGAATTTCACATTGCATCAACTAGGGCCCGCGAGCTATACGCAGAAACTAAACCGTCGTGGTTGTTTTGTTGTCCCGTTTTCCAGAATACCTCATAGTCGACGAGATACAAGGAGGGGTTCTGCCACGCAAAATAGAGCTCAAGCAGATGATGTTCCAGAGTTTCGTCAACGGCAATATTGAGATCCGCGTTCTCTAAGACCTCTTGTGTATCTTTCTGTGCGCTATTTGAAGTAGAACTGTTCACACTGACTAGGCCATCCAAGAGGGTGAGATTAGATGTTGAACCGAAGTATCGTAACTGCCCATCTTGAGTCAATTGGAGTCGGCCCAGGCGCCAAGAGAGTTGATTTGTAAATTCCTCATCAGCATCGGCACCTGGGAGATCATCACTTGTCGCGTTACCTTGCTGTACATTGCCTGAATCGCGCCCCGATGCAATCAGATCTGGTGGCGTATTGGCGTGAGTCGCGGTCCCTTCGATTGCATTCACGAATAAAGGGATGCTAGAGTCGTGATCAACCAGCACAGCGTCTTGCTGGCCATCGTCTGGTGTTGGGCCGAGACCCAGGCTTGTCGGAAATGTTGTCGCTGGTTCCCTTGAATGGCTGAAATTCCTGCTGGAGGCTGACACGAAGTCAGGAGAACTATTGCTGATCACATTGCCTCGAGTTTCGCCGTCCTGCTCAGGCGGGCTGACGGAATAATTATCTTGATCAGTGGAATTCCCCGCCTGATTTACTATGTAGGACCCGATCGGGTGTCCCTGTGATCGAATCCGAGGGCCTGAAGAATGTTTTTGAGATTCTGCTCGTCTTCCCCGCTCATAGCGGGAATCTCCAGACCATGCTCCCGGATATATTGGGACAAATCGCCCACTCGTTTTGCGAGCAGGTTTACTGCAATCCGGAGGGGTATTCTGGTCAGAGTCTCAGCAAAGGGAAGAAGTTTGAACTTTCTGCACATATGATGTCAAACGTTCGTTTGTCATTGCGCTGTCGATAAGTGCAATCTTTTCCTTTGCTCTGACAATTTCTGCAAGCCGGTATGTTACCATCGCACTAGCCAGCCAAATGGTGAGTTTTATTACGTCGGCAGCACAGTGAGTCGAACGTGCATACTTTGACTTTCGTCTTTCGACACGGGGTGCAAGCTGTTGTGACATGCTTGCGTACATGGTTATCACCTTTATTCCTTCGTGGCATATCTAACAACACTATTTGCGTCCCGTAATCCCGGAGGAGGAGGATCCTTGACTAGGTGGTTGAGATGAATGAGCCCGAGGTGGCGACTTCCCGGAAATCAACTTCCGAGCCCTTGTCGGCCACAGTGCTTAATGAATGGTGATTAACAATTAGTCTTAAAGTATAATAATAGTTAGTCTCTGACTGAAAAATGCTCTATAAAATGGGACCATAATAATAATAATAATAATAATAATAATAATAATAATAATATACTTATTTAAGTATTAGGGATAGGGGGGAGTGCAACACCTCTTGAACCAGATATACCAAAAGCAAGCCTGGTACAGTAGCAGCCATTAGCGACCATGGTAGAGGATGCAGTACATTCCGACGTGCTTGTCACCCTTTGACTCATACTTGAAAATAATCACCTGTAAGTATCAAGTAAGAAACTCATGCCCACCACCCATTCCTGCACAAGCAGTGCCACTCAGGGCTTCTCCGAACAGCAATTTCCATCTACTCATCGTCGTTGATATCGACGACTGTCTGCTTCCATTTGCGAGCCGGAACATGTCGCTTGAACAAAATGTCGATCTCACGGAAGGACCTGTCCTTCATCTCTGGAACCCAGATCCAAGCCATCAAGGTGCAGATAAAGGCGGTGCCAGCCCAGATATAGGCGCTCTTGCCGCCCAGATTCCACTTATCATCGTTGAGCATGTAGCTGGAAAGGAAGATGCAAGGAATGTTGACCACGTAGTAGGCACCTCGTCCAATACCGGTTGTCAGTGGCCTGAGACGAACGGAAGAGGTCTCGCCGATGATGACCCATGAGGCAGGGGCGGGTCCCAAGCAGAACAGGATGGAGACGATCAAGCCAAGTGATGCTTGCGCATTGCTAGCTGCAGTACTACGGCCAACTGAAGCCGCAATACCGAGTGCGATCAAGAATGCACAGTTGATGAATTGACCATAGACATAGATGGTGCGTCGGCCGAGGTATGTGGTGAGAATCCAAGAGAGCATGACCATGATCATCTGGAGGGCAGAAGTGATGAGACCAAGTGCAAATGCGGTGTTGTCTGCCATGCCGGCCTCTGAGCTGGTGTTAGTCTGCTATGAGGTGGCAGGAAATGGTTTGACTCACGTTTGAAAAAGTAAACTGCTTGGTTAGCAATCAGATTGCCCGTCAGATTCTGAGATGCATACACACCGCACACAATCAATGTGCGGTAGCGATCGGTACCTTTCCACAGCTCAACGAGACTGGGCTTCTTCTGGGTCTTCTCAAGCTCGATCGTGCGGCGCATCATTGCGACTGCGTCAGCGGGATTATCATTTGCACTCGCGCGTCCAAGGCGTTTGACAGCCTTCTCTGCCTCAGCCAGACGGCCCTTTCGTACGAGCCACCAGGGTGATTCAGGCGCAAGGAAGAGTAGGATCGCGAGAGGAGTAGGAAACATCCACTGGAGCGCAATGGGAATTCTGGTATGACTGTTAGTACAGCGCTGTTCGATGGCGTCTATGGGAGCGGACGAACCTGTACGATGAGGAGTTATCCTTGGATTGGTAGTGGTAAGTGATACCGCCGACAATGATCGACCCAATAGCCCAGAACATCTGCAACATCTGCGTCGCTGGAGCTCTCAATCTCATTGGCACAATTTCGGCACAGTAGGCGGGTGCATTGGCGATAAAAATGCCCCACGGGATGCCTTCCAGGATCTGGGCCGCGAAAAACATCCCCTGGCTGTTGCCGAAATAGAAGATGAAGATGAAGGCGTTCAGGAACATGAGACCGCCAATGGTTGCCCATCGATAACCAATCCAACTGGTAATGGGACCTGCGATGAATACACCGATGAAGGCGCCGACTGGTCCGCTGCACTGGAATGCTGACTGCCATGAAGCTTCGATAATATAATCCCTTTTATGTCGCTCCATACACCAAAATCATGGGCGAATCGACGTGTGGCGATGAACTGTCCCATCAAGAAGACGCAGTATGACTCCATGATCTATCGCCGCGTTAGAGAAATGATCTGCCAATCATGGGCAAGAGCTTACAATCGTGCATGACATGACGAATGCCCACCAACTGGCAGCGGGGTAGGCCTTGACAGCCTCGAGCACAGTCATCTTATGCTCGATATCCTCGGCATTGATGGCGCCCGCTCTGTCCAAGTCGACCTTCTCGCCGACATCGTAGACAGGTCCGCCCTTGGGCTGCTCCTCGAGCTCCGACGCCGTGGTCGGCTTCTCTGAGACGACGTTCTCCATGTTAACAAATTGAGAGAAATGTGAAATGGAAAAAGAGGCAGGCACGACTGGGTGTTGGGCTCTTTATCCCTGCGACACCACGCTCGTGATGGCAATCCTGCTAAGCTCAATTGAGTGAAGCTTACTCCGGACTTTGGCCTCCACAATCCAACATCTCCACTCCTTAGGCCCATTTTTCCGGGAGCCCAGGTAGCAAAGTCGCATTCGACTCGCCATCGCTTCGATCAACCTTTCTTATTAGCCGTGGCAGACATCGGTGCATTTTCTTCCCGAGTTGGTCTAGTGCGTGTAATGGTGCAGTTTTACTTATTGGTGGGTGGCTGTTTTGTCGAGCGGGGTAATTTGATACTAGTACTAGTCGGGAGTAGATGCTCCGGTCCCACACGGAATATTTCCCCGCAGGACACTGTCAGTTGTGGGGTGTTTTCCTGTTGGATTTTTTCTCTCTGTCTCAGTTAACTCCCCAGTGGACAGGGTTCCGACTCCCTTGGGCGACCTCCTATTAGCCGGAGCTGGTTGGTGCATAGTCCTGCCTTCGAACGGCACGGTCACACTGGAACATGCCGGGGTAAAGGGGGGGGAAAAGGCCACCAGTAGTACTGTCTTGCGTCTACTCTCTTTCTCCGCTTCCTCTTCATCTGGGGCCCCAGGCTTCTGGAGGCCTTGGGCCTCGCTCGTGTCCTATCCTATTGTATTCGCCTCTCAGGTCTAAGCCGCGACAGGTATCCCTTATATAGCCTGGTGGCATCGCCAGCAGCGCTGCCTCTTCCCCATGATTCTAATCTTGGCCATAGTCCTGCCTGCCTACCTGACGTTGCAGGGGGACCTAAGGAGACGTAGCTATATTGTTGGAGCGAGGAAGTGCTTGTAGGCGCCACCAAGTGTTACGGTCAGCCGTCGGTTAATTAAGCTCAGTGTTCGGCTAATTGAGACTATAGATGCACTAAATGTGCCGGTTGAGACCTTACTAGCTAGACTCAGCACTGCTCAGTGCAGGATTCAGCAAGAAGGAACACGCCTTGTAAAGCTAGAATAGGGTTAAGATTGCAAGATCATAGAGTGATGGATAAACAGTAGATCCTGAGGGTGCTCATCCCTATCTAAGGTTAGCTAATCGACGAAAATTAAGCATGCAGAGAAGGAGGAAAGGAGCTACGTTTTCTAGCTTGCTGCAACGCTACTTATGTGCGTCTAGTTGCCTGGGTAGAGTTGCATTCGGTCCGAGTTTGCGCGAGTTCAAAACCAGTTAGCACTGAACCATTACGATTCAAGTTGGAGTTTCAAAAATCGGATCCAAATCGGATCCGACCTGAGTTGGGTTGGTGTGGTTTTAACCACTAAAACACGCCACTAGGCCTATATAGGCCTAGCCTAGCCTCTACTAACTAGTCATGGTTAGATTCAGTTCAGTTCAGTTTCGGGTTGGTTAAACCGCTGAATTTTGACCATTTTATGATTACCATTCCCCCCAGGGGCCCGGTCTAGGGGCCCCTATTAAGCATGCATATATAAAATTATCATTTTTATATGAAATATATGATCATTATCATCATACTAATCTACACCTAAAATATTAATCCAATATGTATAGAGTTGAATGGGTGGTGGTTAAGAATCATTCTTGGACTATAGTAATTGTCAGTTGATGCGCATATATATATAAACCACCACTTTTCATACCAACCCCTAACAGAAATGACTATCCCCTTATATCTCAGCAACCACTAGGTATTTTGAATTAATATTTGAGTATTTAGATAGCCTCAATCTAGGGCTATGTAGAGATATCAAGTTATTAGGGAAATCCTAGAGATTAGTGATTTCTATCTAAAACAGTGTAGATTGGTTAACCTGATATAATAAACCCATAAGTTTGCATTTAATTCTATGACAATACAGCTCTATTTTTGCTACTCATAAACCAATCTATCTTCATCCAAGTGGTGCCTTTGCAGGCTATGCTACGTTTTTCGTGCATAAGGCTCCAGGAAACGCCTCTCAGGCAGACTCCCAAGTCGCTTCCCTTCCCTAGACAATAGGGTTATAGAACCGGAAAGCGTTATGCGGATCATACTTAGCCTTGGCAGCACGCAGCTTCTTTAATCGCCACGGCTCATATCCATACATCTGTTCCAGAGGCTCATCACCGAAGGCATAGTTGACATAAGTGTGCTGCTGGCGGTGAGGCTGACCATCGGCCCAGAACTGCGTGATCTGCTTTCCGATGGCGATTGCTTCCGCATCAAGGGAGCTGTCGGGGTCGTAGGTAACAAGAACATCACTATGAGTGTGAGCCAAACGGATCCTGGTTTTGGTCAAGGAAGATGCTCACCATAGGATATTGTCTTCGCGATGAGGGAAGGCAGTAGATGCTGGATCGACAGCCTTCACGCCCTCAAGCGAATAAGCCTCGAAGACGACGATCGATTGGTTGTACAGCGGCTGTGAAGTGGTGACGTTCCTAAAGTAGTCGTAGATCTGACGAGTGGCAGTAATGTTGTGCTCAAGTAAACCAAAGGGGAACTGCATGTTTGTGTGGCCGTCTTGACACATTGGGCTGTTCATGCCAGTGCCGGTTGCATCGAGCACATCGGGATAGGCATAGTATTGGCCATTTGAGTATAGAGGATTCAGATCTTGGAACGGCTTTAAGTACGGTGCAGCCTCCTCAGCCGAGCCGACATAGTGGATGAAAAACTCCAGAATAGGCTGCAGATGACCATTAGTATTGAAGTGGAATAATGCGATGACCCAACGCTCACCTCTGTCGTACTGAATTCAGCAGCCCAAGTGAAAACTCCATAGTTCATCAACTCCTTGGGCTGGCCGCCATTCTGTTGCTGGGAGTTGAGAATCTCGAAGACTGATTCCAGCTGATCCTGGGTGAAGACGAATTCAGTAATATACCATTCATCGACAGTGCGTTTGTGAATTTCAGCATGGAAACTAGTCACAATGCCAAAGTTATGACCGGCCCCGCGCATAGCCCACCAGAGGTCAGGGTGCGAGGTGTTAGAAACAGTTATGGCTGACCCATCTGCCAGAACAACGTTCATGGAAATCAATCCGTCAATGATCAACCCGTAGAATCCTTGGTAGCGACCATGGCCTCCGCCAAGTCCAGGGCCCATGACACCCACACAAGCACAGCTTCCCGTTCCTATGATTATTAGACTGGCACTCATGAAAGACGGTGCTCAACAGTACCGGTAACAAAGCCTTCCGCCCAAAGGGCATCGATGACTTGCCCATCCCATACACCTCCACCAAAGAAAGCCGAGGCTTTATCGTCGGCGATCTTAATGTCAGTGAGTTGGGCCATCGAGATCTCAATACCATTCTTCAGTCTGCCCAGAGTCTCGGTAGAACCATGACCTCTGTTGCGAGCAAGAAATGGGATGCCGTGTGAATTCGCATACTTGACCTGCGTCCGAAATTGGTTAACCAAGTCAATCTTTACCGCAAAGGAAGTAAAGACATACTATGATGGGAATATCGGACTCCTTAGCAGGCTCAACCACAACAAGGAAGTCAGGCTGAGAATACGCCTGCCAGCGCTCCGTTGCATTGAACCATCGCGGATCGTTTTGACAAAAGATAGAAGAATTGGCAGACAATTTTCTACCCAGCTCAGTGCTGATAGTTGCAGGTGTCAGACTGAACGAAGCACTGGACCGCTGCTCAATAACAGAAGAAGAACGAAGAGCAGTTGCAATTGTGGGCACAGTTGCCAATTCCAGCCACCAGAAGAAACGGCGCATCACGGGCGATGAAGGATGTTCGAATTTCCCAAGTTAAGTTGAGCCTGTAAAGTAGAACGACAAGATGAACAGGCTGAAGTTATACCGCGTTTCCTGCCCTGTCCAACACGGATATAAGCAACATCCAGTTCAATTTACTGTGAAAACCACGCCGACGCCTCATCCGACGCGGAGTTCCAGGTATCGGATCGTAATCGCTGTGTCTATCAGACCATATCCAAGGCACCGATCCGACTCGAGATCTCGAAGGCTGAACAAGGACGCTAAAATAGTCTAGGCGGCTTACGATTCGTCGTTGGCTTCAGCCCATTAGGCGCTGGCATAATAGCACGCGGGCCCCTGGGAATCCAGGTCTGCCGCGTGGGCGAACCACGTGGGTGACCCTTACAGAAACGAACGAAGTTGGTCAGATTTCTTGCCCAGATGCTATACTGTCTAGCTGCATGAACTCATCACCAATAGCCAATGGCTGGTTGTACCTAAACTTGGAATCAGCCTCACAGTGGCTTATTCTTCTTACCCTAGAGCTAGGTGGTGTTGAGATGAGTTTTAATGTAGAAAGTACGTTGTATTACCAGTATCAACTAGCCCTAGAGTCTACCACTACTAGTTGACCAGCACTCATGTCTACTACATGTATTGATTTTGTGTAAGATAGATACAGCTAAAACATCTGACAGTTTCTCGAAGGAGCTGAAGGATTCGAAACTTGTGGATTTGCACCTATGTAGATATTGTCAGCCAGAGAGATATCATTATCGAGCATCAGCTTCCGATTCGCCTTGGCAAGCGGAGAAATATCCAGCGGACCGATTCAGGAATATCGGGCACCCGGGTTTCCTCTAGGTACTTCGGAAGATCCGATCCCTGTACGGACACAGATAGACAATGAAACGACTCAACCCGATTGCCAGGTCTCAATGTCCGATTCACTCTGCAGACGTAGAAAAGAATAAAGAAAAAAGAAACAAGATCCAGCTCCGAAATCGGATAGAAATTAGCCCGAGCAAAAGAAATTAAGCATGCTTACCCGTTCCGCAGACCGAAGGAGTCCGATCCCTGCTCAGCACCCACTTGATATCCATCCGTTAAGGTACTAGTCTAGTAGCCCAACAAATTTACCCAGAACACCGATTATGGCTGGAGCCTGTTGGGGTTGATGGTAGAGGCTTAGAGCCGGGTGCGGCGTAAGCCGGGATCCTTCTTGAATAGCGTATCTTGACATTGAAGGCTTCAACTTCGCTTTTCCACTCTATTTGTTAAAGCAAATGAGACCAAAATGGAAGCGAGGCGTTTTCAGTAGTGTTAAATTGGTAATTTACGATCAGATGCTGTTTTGTCGTTGTTACGGGTACCTGTATCAGCGTGGCTGTTTTGCAGGTCAGAGGAATTTGGATATATTCAGGTGCACTAATATATTTGAAGAGCCATAAAAAAGCTTCACGCTTGGCGAAGGTTGCAGGTTTTTGTAGAATAAACAAGGTTGGATTATTCCCGAGAGGATAATGTGTAATTCTCTTGCGAATTCAATGGTCTAAGACAGTACGAATATGCGTCACTGGTAGCATCAGGAAAGCCTACTAGAACCAGCTGTTCACAGATGGATGGTCCTGCGTACCTCCATATATAAATGAATGGCATTTGCTAACTTGTTTTCAATGCTGTCCCTGGAATGTTTAAGGATAAGTTCAAGTAGCCTCACATCCGCCTCTATTAGTGGATGTATGCATGTGGGAATAAATACAGCCCTGGCAGCTGCTTCTAATAACTTAATTGCGTGCCAAATCTAGTGAAATGTCGTTCATATACGCGGGGTATGAAAAGGAAAGAAAAGAGCAGTTCAAATCGCGAATGGCAAAGTTTGTGGAGTTCCACTCTCCCACCGATGTGCCATAGTCAATAGCTTTCGCTGAACTCCGAGCGTGAACTTTGTCTTGTTATCTGTGTCAAGGAAGCGAGCAAAGTGCTGTAGAATACCAACGGAGTTGTCGAGGGGTACTGTCGCGCCGCTCAAGTCCGCAAATACAGGAATGCCACCTTCATGATTTAGATAGCTTACGATGGATGCATGATCCGGTGCAAGCATATCCAAGGCCACCGTGGCTTGTGTGTCTATATTTCTCCGGTTTTGGGCATCGTCCCCGTCGGCACAGGCCATGCCATTTGCCCAGGTGATCAGCGCCACTCGATACACGGCACCAGCCCACCAGGGCGGACGAGCAGGTTCTGGTACGGAGCGGACATGGCGCAACACTTGTCCACAATGAAAGTATATCTGTCGTGGATTCTCCAAGTGGTAGGCGTGTTTAGTGGGGAAAGCTCTCGACGATCTGGTAGCCCCTTCATTGTCGCGACCGCTGCGTGCTAGACGTTCTATTTCTGGGAAACTCACGATCATATTGAGCATGATAAGATGGTAGAGCATTATGTTGGAAGCAGTGACTGGCGTGGCCGTCTCATTCGGCTGGTGGATTTTGGCAAGCTCGTACCACTTGTGTAGAAGTTCTTGAACCCCTTGTACTTGCACTGAAAGGAGAACCATCGACATGTGCTGAGATCCTCTGTGAGTACTGCCTCTACCAGCGGCTGTATCCATGGCGGATCGCAGTTGGATCACTTGGTTCTGAAGATGACAGAGCAGGAGTCGCAGTCTGACAGGGGAAATGTGTGCCTTGGTGCTAAAATAATTCGTTTCCGAGAACCATCCTACCCATTCGCTGAGAGAAGGAGGGATGGTGACTCGACCCAAAGACGATGGCATTCGTTCGATCCAATGCTTGTCGGAAGGCGCCAGCCATGCGTCATCTGGGCTGGGTATAGGTGTGTTGAGGCTGGCGGAGGAGAGAAATGAGATAGATGGGGCATCTTGGAAGAGACATATCTCGTGATCCAGAATCAGCCATGCATGCGTAGTTCTACTCACTCGTTATCTCTATCCCAGAATTCTCTAGAGGCGGGAAAAAGATGATTTACCTGTTTGCCCTCTCCTGTTCTTTCCATGTCTCCCAGGACTGATGGACATCATTAAAGGATTCTATGCGGGCAACCTGGGCTTGTCTATGGTTGTGGTGCATTGCTTTCAAATGCATCTGAAGAGTAAGAAAGGTAACTTTGGAAGGACTGAGGTATGCCTTACCTCTAAGAACATCGATTTCTGATAGTTTGCAGTCTCTAAATCAGTCAATGGCAGATCCTTTCGCAGGGGCTAGTCAAACCGAAAAAAGGGAAAGGAAGAGAAAGCTTACATCCATCTGCGACTTGTCGCCACTCCACGCGGAAACGAGAATGTTTAGAAGCGCGCACTGCGAGACCTCGTGATCCAAAGCCAAAATGGCGTTTTGTTCGATGAGGTTTCGTAATGAAATGCGGCATATTTCAAGCAGCCCATGCGCCAATTGCACGCATGTCTCACCAGCTCCGGCCGTCATGCCACCGCCGGCGAGCATAAGGAACAATTGCATGCTTGGCAAGATAGTATTTCTGCCTTCCATGCGCTCATTCAAGGACACCGTAGGTATAAAGGGGTAGTATGGTTCATAGCTGGTGAGGTAGGCCCTCAAAAGGGAGTCTAGCACGGGTGGAGGAGGCAACACGACAATAGATGGCTCAGCAAAGCCACGAATCCCGTTGTCTTGACCTCGCAGCCCGTATAGTTCTTGGGCCTCAGTACAAAGCCACTGCAAGGCAGCGATGAGTTTCTCTCTAGTGCTGGTGAGGAGAGATTCAACAACGGTGTGGGAATCAGCTACTGGACATTGTTGGATCGGTATATTGCCACCCCTGAGCAGAGAACCTAGATTCCTGATGTGGTTCGCGGCTGTGGGTGCGCACGCAGACGATGGCATAATTGGATTGCATTGAAAGAGTGGCCAGCCTTCTAGCGTATGCAACTGGTCATGAGTGGGAAGACTACCGTCTAGAGACGGGAACAAAGACGCTGGCGGAAGGCAGTCATCCATGGCATAGTCCCCGTCGTCATTTGTCGCCCTTGCCAACGTGCCCGGCGAGACGGGAAGTGCGTGATTCCACGAAGCCATCCCGGTAAGGTCAGGCAGCTTGGTTGTCGTTGACAGCACTTGAGTTGGAACGACAAAATCGAAATCATCAGCTGCGCTGAACATCCCCGGCTGCATAGGGTGTGAAGAGAGAGAGAGGTTGGGAGGGTAGCTTTCATCTACGCGAGGTGTAGCCGCTACGAATCGCGCCAAAGAATCTTCCACTTGCTCCGCTTCCGATGTGCTCGTAGGGCGATTTCTGGCCCAGTCGTGGATGATTGAATGAGACCAGTCAATATAGACGCCATTTCCCGTAGGAAGCAATTGTGAGGTTGTCTTGGGACCTCCATCGGTGGTGGTAGATGTAACTGGATCGCACTCGGCGGTATCGGAGTTCTCGCTGGTGTTGGTGGATGACGGCGCTTGGGGATTATCATTATTGGCAGACGACGGTCCCGGCCTCGCTGTGGGACCCGAGTTTGGCAGGTGAGCTTCTTCAACTTGCATCGCGAGCATGGTACCTAGTTCGCCGCGACTTAGCATATCTCTCATTGATCTCCTGATTCCTGGAAAGGTGCCCCTTGTACCTTTCTGTCGCACTTAACTTTGGACCTGGCGCAGTGTACGCATGCCAGGACTGAATCCAGAGGGGGGGTACGTGCAGGGGATGCCAACTGTGACATTTTTAGAATAGTGGCCCTGTAACCTGTTATCCCAGGACAAGGTCGATCTGGCCTGTCCTACAGGAATGGGCGGCATACTGAGGCTTAAATAAAAGACAGGACCATAGGAGAGAGAGCCTTGGGAAGTGGTGGGCGTGTCAGCCAGCGCTCGCATGCAACACTCTCGATTGTAAGACGAAACCACCTCGAATCAAACGGCCCGTAAGGAATCTCAGCTGTATCCAATGTTCTGATGTACCTTTATTTTTATTATTTAATTTTTTTTTTGCAGGGCCGTTGTATCTAATAGATGTGATTTTCCACTCAGGACACCTCCCTATCTACACATGGCATCAATGCTCTCCGCGGCCGGCCGCTCCGAACGGGCTGTAAGTTGTACTTATACAGGGATCTAGCTCCCTGTCAGACTTAGAACACTACTGTAGATAGCAGTCACACTGTCACACATTCCAAGTACCTTTTGTTCCTTATCTCCGAACAAACTCCTTCTGCCAAGTCTTCAGGCTCGTAAGTAGTTTTCGTAATGGCTTATAGGGAAGTGGCGGATCCCACCACATTTTGAATTAACAGAGCTAGACGTAAATTTGTTCCTATGAATCATGAGCTTAGGAGTCTTGATTCTGGCCAGGGCGAAATGCAAGCTGAGGATTAGTAAGCCCTAATACATCAGCAAAGGTACTAATGCAGAGTAGCCCCAGGAAGCATATGGATTATCCATTCACAATCGACCCGATCCGTTGGGTGGCGGTTTAATAATGAGGCCATGTGCATGCAGATAACGGTCTTATCAGTGTAAACTACCTCGGTGCCGTGCCTACAGCCCTACAATTGATTTGGCATTTTTGAAAGGACTTACGCATCGCTTCTGTTATTACGGAAGAGGGACTACCCCCTTGTTCTACTGAGGCTTGTCTAGATGTTCCACCTATGTACGGACTTCGAATAAGTCCCTATCACTATCTGTTACTGAAGAACATCACCATTCCTTGGGATGTCCTCGGCCCCTACAATTGTCTCCTAGAGTTCCCCTAGGTTTTTACCTCGTAGCAAGGATATTCATTACATGGCTAATCAGGTAGATATAGTCCATAGAAATATAATGACTGGGGGATAGTACATATATGTAGACGGGAATGGTTGCTGGTCATTTTCAAAGCGGCAGTGTTTATCAATGCATGCGTTCTAAGCCCTATGAGATTATAAGGGCGGTTGACACAATGTTCAATGATGACTGCATACCTAGTAAAAGTTTACGCTAAGTCTAACACAGTACAACGTCTATCATACCTTATCTATAGTACCTTGTATGAAACAACTCAAGGATACTGCGCCGAGTGCTGCGAGACTGAGTGCACCAATCCGCTCTCTCACATACCTCCCACCCCGCCATGAGTCTGACTCATCTTTGTGCGTCGCAGAAAAACAGCCACCAAAACAGCAATGCATCCTGCAGTCAGATCCAGAATCAGTGCATCCGTAATCGCGTTGACAATTGCCTTCAAAACATCAGTTCTTAAGGCAGCACTCAGCGAGTCAAGGAGTGCCGCATTGGCGCCGGAAATCATAGCCTGGATGTTGGCCTCGCTTTCAGTTGGAATCAGATCCATGATCTCAACGGTTGCACGATTTAGGAAGAGAGTATTGGCAATGGAGAGAGCAATGGCCGAGCCTCCCACCTGAGCACAGGTCATGAAGCCCACTGCCATGGGAATCTCCTCGGGTGGGACTAGAGATTGCGCCACAGAAAACCCAGCCTGGGAGAAGACGCCAGTTCCAATACCGCCGATAACAAGGGCACCATATATCTGACCCACGCTGGTCGTCAAAGTGGTGATTTTGAGCAGAACGCCGCTGACGAGGACAAATATGCCACCAAGGAGGTACCAGGGCATATAGTAGCCCAACAGGCTCATGCCGACTCCGTTCACGAGGTTGAACACCACCATTGGAATAATGAAGGGAAGTAGACGCACTCCCGCCTCCAGGGCACCATCACCCTTCACAAATTGGAAGTAGAGGGGAATGAAGTATATGGGAACAAAAGAGGAGGTTCCAGCTGCGGCAGTCTCAATAAAGAGAAGAATCATCTCTTTGTTTCGCAGATACTGCATTGGAAAGATCCGCTTGTGGTACGTTGTCAAAATGTTGAATCCCTGCTGAATGAAGAAGAGGATGAAGAGGACTCCGGAGCACACAAACATGCCGATGATACGGCTGTCGCTCCATTTGTAAAGAACTCCACCAAAGGCAATGGCCATTATGCCCGAGACATAGGCGCCGACGAACAGGATGGGGCCTAGCCAGTCAATCTGTGCGAGTCGGTCTTTGAGTGAGATTCCTGGACGGGGGTCGACACTGGGGATCATAAAAATGAACACCGGGGCAAAGAGACCTCCAATGCAAAGATTGATGTAAAAGGACCAGCGCCAGGTTGCCGAGCTGTCTGTAAAAGCACCACCGATAATGGGTCCGAGGCTAGAAGCATTGGTCAGCATATCGTCAAAGCAAACAGGATATTGTTGATATAGGTGCTGCATACACTGTGCCTGCTCCCCAGGTTAAGCCAACCATCCCAAGATACATCGGTCGCTCGGTAGGCGTAGTGAGCATCGAGAGGATGGTCATGACACCCAAGTACATACCTGCTCCTCCGAGACCACAGATTGCACGTCCCACGATGAGCGCATTCATAGTCGGGGCAGCACCACAGACCGCCGAGCCAACCTCAAAAATGACGGTTGTGATAATATAGAGCCATTTACAATTGAACTGACCATATGCCTTACCCCTGAAGATGTATTAGTGCAAGACCTGGGAATTATAGGAGCGGACCAGAAAAGTACCAAACCAAGAGTGTACTGGCAGCTCCAAGCATAAAAGCCACAGACAGCCATGGAAGCATCGCTAGGTCCTCAAACTCTTTAACAATTGCCGGCTGCACATCCGCTACGATTGTGTTGTCTAGGGCGAAGAGAAACACGCAAGAAAAGATCGACATCACTAGCAATACCCAAGCATTTTGTCAGCCACTTCTGATCTAAACTCTTTACCTCTCCACTTCATGATCTGCTTACCGACTAGCACCCACTTGAGTCCATGAACATCCCGTGGAGGGCTCTGGGAGCTCCCAAGAATCTCCTCAGCCGTCAGTTCATTCTCTTTTCCCGACATATCTGTAGGCGAATCACCACCCCGCGAAGAGTCGTTCCCCTGGGCAGTAATCACAACTGTCGACGACATTTTGGGAGTCTCAAAAGATGCAAAATCGCGTACAGGAATAACAGCGTATTTCGACAATAAAGCAACCAATAAAGCCTACTTTATATACAGGCGCACCCCCAATAGTATATGTCCATTATCCATATATTGGGGACATGCACGTGATGAGACCGGCTTATGATGCTTATGTCCGTCCACTGCATTGTCTGGCGGACTCGGCCTGACTTCCATCCGACTCCGAAGGGTGCTGGGTTAGGAGACAGAAAAAGAAACAAAGAAGTCAGGCAATGGTGGCTGCAATGCCCTGATTGATTCATCGGTCAGGCATTCCTCCGTCGGGTAGAAGTTTCAGTCCTCCCCTGAGAATGGTCTTATCTCATAATGCAAGGCCTTCGGGCAGGTCTGCAGTTCGTGAAATAAACAACATCTCTAACTCCTAAGAGCTTACTGAATTTCAATCCTCTGCTCGATACCAACGACCTACAAACCGACATGAGTGGTTTATTCGGCCTTCTATTCACCAGGCTGACTCTCCCCGCTCCCTCGGTAATCCAGGGGAAGACTATCCTCATCACCGGTGCGAACACTGGCCTCGGTCGGGAAGCTGCCAGACATGCGCTCGCCCTGGGCGCCGATACGGTCATTTTGGGCGTTCGAACCCTGAGCAAGGGTGAAGATGCCAAAGCCAACATCGAAGCAAGCACCGGCTGCACCGACAAGGGAAAGGTTCTTGTATGGCCGATCGATCTCGAATCATTTGCTAGCGTCCAAGCCTTCGCAGCTCGAGTCCGCAAACACGTCATGGAGGGCGGCCGACTGGACATGGCTGTCATGAATGCTGGAATTGCGTCGGTCGCGTACGCTGTTACCCGCGATGGGTGGGAGAAAGGAATCCAGGTCAATGTTTTATCGACCGCGCTCCTCAGTCTGCAGCTTTTGCCGCTACTACTGCGAACAAAAGAGCGAGATCCATCAGCACAACCGCATCTGACCATTCTCACGAGCGATATCCACAAGTCAATCAAATTTCCCGAGCGCAATGAGCAGCATATTCTTGCCACCTTGAATGACGAGCAGCAGTGGAAGACATCCCAGGCTGCAGGCGGAGCTACCGAGCGCTACGGTGTCACTAAGCTCATGGATCTCTTCATCGCCATCGAAATAGCTCGACTTGTGCCTCGTGACGAGTCCGGAAACCCCCTTGTGATTGTCAATGCCGTGGCGCCGGGATTCTGCAAATCGGATCTCCTGACTAGGGAGAAGGCGCCGTGGATCCTGAAGCTGATCCAAGCTTTAATTGCTAGGACGGTGGAAGAGGGCAGCAAAACATTGCTGCATGCAGCAAGCCAGGGAGTGGAGACTCATGGGAAGTGGTTGGAGAATCAGGTTATCACAGAGTACGTCGTCCCATCCATTCCAAAAGCTGATAGTTCGCGCAGCTCATATGTGTTTTTAGCCCTGGCAGTATTGTCACAAGCCCCGAGGCGGCGGTCGTGAGAAAGAAGGTCTGGGCAGAGATCATTGCAGCCTTGCATGATGTTGATCCTGAGGTCCGAACTGAGTACTAAGCACTTAAGCTGGCGTGCTTCAGTTTCCGATAATCCAAGATTGTGAACCCCATTGTATTGTCTCCTATCTCGATTCAAACCAGCATTTTTTCGTCTTATTAACTACAGACCTTCTTCTAAATCTTTCCAATGAATTCGAGTAGACAATAATACGATAACGGCAAGCCTCTCAGGCATTGTTTCGATCTACCTATCTAAGATTCAAGGCATTGGTCGAGACTACCGTTTTTCCCAGTGGCCTTAGGGCCTTGCCGGTCAAACACTGGCGGCCGCAATGACAGTCTCATCCATAAGAGCTTTCCAGTCTGTCTCCTGAGGTGACCATCCAATAGACCGTAGACGAGCAGCTCTGCTACGACAGCTTGCCCCCATAGAAGGCCGGCGTAGGGATGGATCTCAGTTGCCTGAGGGACAGTCAACTCATCGATGGCATCGGTGTCCAGTTTACCAAGCTGCTGGAGCTTCGTCGCCACAGCCTGGGCCTGCTCTCTGAAGCTCACTTCTCCAGTTTGGACAAAGTAATACCCATCCTGTCCATACTCTATATCCGAAGAGCCACTGATAACCTTGCCCAGTGTGAAGACGATGGCGGAAGCGACATCCCGGACAGAGCACCAACTCCACACATTCTCGCCCTTCTCGACCACAAAACCTTTTCCACGTCCGAGGACTGTCTTAACGTATCCGTGGCCAAAGCTCTTCCTTTTCCATGGCCCCGAACCATTTCCCATGATTTGGCAAGAGCTCAGAATGATCGTTTTGACGCCCGTTTCTTCCGGGGCCCGCATGATGCTCTGGTCTAGCGCAGCGTGTTCCCGATCCGATCCAAAGGACACGATTTCCGCTTTGTCATCCGCATCGTTGTAGATGCGGGGTGCAGCGTGGCCCAGATTGAGGCTGGCTGGGTCAAGGAGACAGGTGATGCCGGAGACGTGGATCAACGTGCCCTTGTCCCGCTTACTGGCTAGCCCGGACAAAATGTTATGAATGCCCGATTCATTGTCCCCAGCAATGTCGATGACAATATCGGCTGCGTCTGCGGCGGCTGTCACAATGGCCTTCGAGGATATGTCACCCAGGATCGTCGTTACGGAGGGGTATGTCCATGTGATGGCGTCAGCCTGTTCTTTTGTTCTCACGAGAACAGAGTATTCTGCGGCTGGGAAAGCCTTTGATAGCAAGTCAAGAGTTGTACCACCGAGATATCCGGTTGCACCGGTGATGAAAACCTTCGATGCCTGCATTCTAGGAGTGCAGGAAGGAGAATGTGGAAGGTGATTAAATGTGGAGGTTGTTTTAGCTCTGCTCCGCGCAGCTGAGCTCCAGAAGATGGTGGCAGTGCTTCAACATTAAAAAAAGGCGTAAGCTCTATTTGAATTGAGAAAAATGATTCGGAAAAACAGGGATCGGAGGGCCGCACTTGGGATGTAATGCCGCACACTTGGCTTCGGGCAAGGAGATGCAAACCGGAGCTCCGATGTAGTCCGATTTAGAGATTCTCAGTTCTCGACATAAATGCTCAACCTTGTGTCATGATTCACTATTCAGATTAGCAACTTTGCATACTATTGAAAATGTCGTCCAAAGTCTACGCCGATATCTATGCCACTCCGGGTCCCTTTACTCAGTTCCCCGGAGCAGGTCTCCCCGATATCAAGCGCTTCATCACCACTCACAATTCTCAAGGTGAAGGGGTTTTTCTTCCTGCCGATAATGGCGACCATCAGGCCCTGATGGCAAACGGCCGTGGCTGCCAAAACATCCTTTACACAACCCATGGGGCAGCAGTCAATCTCAATGGCGAAGTCGATATCGCCTGGGCAAAGAACAATGCAGTGAGTTTCCTTTAGACACTTGAGGACTAGTAAAACCTTTTGCTAAGTGATCCTTTCTCAGCCGGGTCTTCACGTCCCTGGCGGTACGCTAGTGCGCATGATCGACTTCGCACCTGGCGTGGAGTCGCCCATGCACCGTGCCATGTCGTTGGACTATGGCACAGTTATTGAAGGCGAATTCGAGGTTGAGCTGGACAGTGGTGAGAAGCGTACTATGCGGCGAGGCGATGTCCTTGTTCAACGCGCCACGGCTCACAGATGGCGCAACCTGTCGCCCGATAAGCCTGGGCGTATGCTTTTTGTGCTGTTGGATTGCCAACCTATGGATCCCATTAACGGCAAGGAATTCAAGATTGAGCTAAATGAGCTTTCCCCCGATTTTGACGACAATCACTAGACGGATTTTTGACAGGACCTATATGTGCTCAGAGGGATCAAGGGCCGAGGCAGAAGGAGCATGAGCATGACCAGATGGGACCACCTTATAGAAGTGTATGTCTTGTATACTCTTAGTAGTAGAAAAGAGCTATTCTTCTGGAGAATATCTTCTCATTTTCGAGATCCCGAATCCTGATGCATCTTCTTTCTATGATATTGAACTGGGCTTGTTTTCCAAGTGCTCTGCGTTCTACTTCTTTTGCATCACAAGTCCACCAGATACATTGGGTGTTTATCTATAAATACCCAGGAATGTTGAGCTCGCTACTAGGTAGCGAGCTATGAGTGACGGTAAGGCGAGCAGGACTGCCTTCAAGCTTTGCAACATTGGAAGCGGAGCTAAAATCTGCGGCAACTTGTTACAAGGACCATTGAGAGGTAACCGCTGCACAAGCAATAGTAGTAGGGACATAATACTCTTATTGATGTAGGAGCTGTGATAGGGGAATATAATGTATCAGCGAAATCCCGACTTGCAGCAAACTAATCACAAATTTCGGGAATGATCAACGACCAAGGGCCCAAAATCCAAATGGGACACTGGAGTAACTTGGATCTTTGCTTGAAACAGTGATAATAGATCCCATAATGGAGTCTAGGTTTAATAAATACGTTTAATAAATACGTTCAGTACTGGCAGCCTTGATTCTCATCCCTTGCGCCGTAACGACGCCTAAGTGGCACGCTTTGTGACGCGTACCCACATATCCTTCTGCATAAAGAGAGTGAAATTGCTAGTTTTCCACGGAGATCCAGGGTATATGAGCTCAAAGTCGAATCTTCGAAGAAGCTTCAGGTTCGTTAGTCAGGGGGGGTTGACTTCTCGAGACGGATGCAACGCAAAACTAACCTCGACAAAGATCTTGTCTAACTCAACCATCACGATTGCTTTACCAAGACAGCCCCATCGGCCGGTGCCAAAAACCAGCTCCATTGTTCGCTCCATCTCATTTCGCTGCGTATCAGATGCTTCGATCCATCGCTCAGGCCGGAAAACATCAACGTCAGTTCCGAAGACCTCATGACGTTGGATTCCCCATCCGCAATGTCCAATACCAGTACCCCCGGAACAAAGCGACCTTTGATTGTCTCGCCGCCTGGGTTGACTACTTTGGTCAATAGACCAGTAATGGGCGGATGGATACGCAAGCCCTCTTTGATTACCGCTTGCACGTATGGCATTTGGCGAGACTCGGCGGATGTTATGGGGGACGAGATAGACCCATTTTTCTCTGCTTTCTGAATGTCTTGAACCAGAGTGTTATAGACTCGAGGGTTCGTCATGATATGTAACATGGTTGCGCGAACTGCGGTAGCCGTCGTATCGGATCCAGCCAGACTTCCAGAATGAGTGGCTTGTCACGTTGCGTATGATGGGGAAGAGGGAATATTTGAACATACATGGTAGTGAGAATCTCAGATTCAGCTTGACGCTGGTCGAGCCCGTTTCGGACGAAAGTTCCTAGCATGTCGTCTCGTACGACCTTTTTGGGACCGTAACGATCGCCGACAACCTTCTTCGCTATTCTATACCGTCGATCAGTTTGGATCCCATGAGCGGAATGCAAGAAATCGCGTCTCACCCCATGAGTTTACCTCGCCCAGCTTCGTCTTTGGGACTTGGCCCTATAAGGTTGACCAGTCCCGATCCAAAAACAAGATTTCCCAACGTGGGGGTCGACGAGCAGACCGTCGCGAGCGGTAATTCGCCTTGGATAATTTTCACAAAGTCATACATGTCTTTGTCTTCTGTAAGATACCCAAATGGCTCGCCAAGGGCAATACTGGTAATAACGTCCAGTGACCAATACTGAGCTGCCTGCGCCAAGTCAATCGGACGAACCTCATTAGCCGTGGAGATATACTTTCTCTCAATCAGGCTAACGAGAGAAGCGATTTCGGCATCAATCTTGATACCAAGATCACGATTTTCCCTTAGTGAATACTGTATAACATTTCCACACTTGTTAGCAGAATACTTCATATATATTTGACAAAGTGGAGTGGAGTGCAGTGCATACCCCGGATTGCATCTTAACTCGCAGCTTGTCATGCTTCTCTAGGCTAGTTTCCGAGAAGACACTATGCACATAAGGATCAACCTTCAAAGATGCATACCAAGAGGATTTCTGGTGCTTGTATTTCGCTGCACTCATGTAGCGAATTATCTCCGGGTCACTTGTCATGAGCCAGTTGGGCCCAATTCGAGTCAGGTCACCTTCAATATTATCAGCGCTGGACGATGTCGAATAAGAACACGGATCAGTATGTTGGATAGAACGGACCATATTTCTTATTGACTTCGTATAGTCGCATGTGCAGTTCCCCGGTCGTCGTGGTGCGAAAGAGCCAAGCCTCTGTCAGGCCAGCTAGCCATGGTCCCTTGAAAGCGCGAAGACGATACCATGATTGAAAGTAGGTATAGATTATACCGGCTATTGCAATTGCCGGAAGCCAAACGGGAAGAAGAGAGAGAATCTTTGGGCTGTTGGCCTCCATCATGATAATATGCAGGTTGAGGCTATCCGTCCTGGCCGAATTTGTTGGAAGGTACTGAACTGTACGAGAGACTACGACTGCTTTTTTACTCGGTCTGCGAGTACTCTAAAAATTCTTCTACTCGATTGATCCATCTCGTGACGGATGATCGGATCTTCATCTTGTCATCATTAATAGTCGGGTTGGTCCGCCCCGGAGCGGATATCCGAAGGGTCCGTTGGATAAGCAGAAGCCAATAAAGAACATTGTAGCGATGCTTGGTACTAGCGTAGTAACGATTAGTCGCATGAATGGAATTCAGCCAAAGATCTCAGGAACGCCTGTCTATCATCCGTGCTTCATCTGCAAGGTGGTTCCGCCATCGACAAGCCACCCGACCCCCGTCACATAGCTAGATTTCGGGCCACTCAGAAACAAGACCACATTGGACACCTCCTCGGGCCGAGCAAGGCGTCCGGCCGGAATACTGGCGGACAAAGCTAGACGTATTTCGGGATTGCCCGCAAAAGCCTTATCGATCATCGGGGTTTCCACCCACGACGGACAAACTGCATTGACCCGGATACCGTGAGGGGCATTGTCCAGAGCTTGCATGGGGTTAGCATCTCCATTACAGTCTGGGGGTCCGGGGAATTCGCACCAGCCGTCTTCGTAATCCCAAGCACCGCATGCTTCGCTGCAGTGTACTGGACAATTTCGGGGAAGGCAACAACCGAGTTTGCCGATGCCAGGTTGACAATGCTCCCCCGACCGACGCTACACGGCCCGGTCCGACCAGCCACGAGGCGCTCCTCTTGGTTCTTCATCGCTCGGCTAAGAGCACGGACGCACAGCATGGTACCTTTAACATTGACGGACATCAAATTGTCAAACTCCGCCATGCATGTTTCGGACACTGGTCGGGCCTGTTTGATTCCGAGCTGCAGGATGACATGCCATTAGCTCGAATCCTCCGGAGCGGAGCCCAAAAGGACGAGATATCCGTAGACCGACTCACTCCTGCGCTATTGACGCCATAGTCAATGCGGTTAAACTCTTTCAGTGTGGTATCCACCATGCGCTGGACGCTTTCTTCACTTGATACGTCCACCTGCACCGCAATAGCCCGATAAGCCGAGTTGGTAGCCTGGGCCTTGCTTTCTTCGGCAGCTTCCAGTGCCGCTGTGAGATTGATGTCCGCAAAGGCGACGCCTCTGGCTCCTTCACTAGCAAATGCCAAGGCACAGTCGCGTCCGATTCCGCTTCCTAGAGCCTGGGTTAATCCTGCTCTGATCTAGGAGTTCCTCATTCGGTACACACCCGCGCCAGTCACCAAGGCAAACCCATCAACGGACATTTTGGCTTGTCTGTTATTGCACTCCACTGCAGATCCAATAGTTCAAGCTTATAGAATACTGCGATTGATATACTCTGACGCCGTGGTCAGCTTTGCTGCATAGTAAGCACTTGCAACGCCCTTTGATGTTGCTTCACGGTCCTCCGCTTCGGAGCACCGGATATCCGTCCAGATGTCGTAAACCGGACTCGCTTGTCCCTTCTATGGCGGACTAATTGATGAATATTCTTTTTCTTTTTCTTTTTCTTTTTTTCTCACTTTTGCGTAGATGAATGACATTTAGGGTTTAGATAGCTTTCTTTCAATTGCTTCCCAGAACTACTCTTTACAGAAACATTTGGACCAAGGGAGCGTCTCCAATCAAGTTAGCTTCACTCCGCCGGACTGCAAATCAGCCAACTTTCCCAGATTAAACAAACGGCCAAAGAACCAGTCCTAAGTCACAAGTCACAATTAGCCCGGACATTTGAAATTAGTTGGGAGGTAAAAAAAATAGGGAGCCCACCCAAAATGTTCGCGGCAGAAAGGCATCGATGCACCGGATCAGGCCTGATGATGCACCAAACCAAAACCACGGTGCTGGTGACTTTTTTAATATCTCCTTTACCACTCCAGCTGCATACTGATCGGGGGTGATGCCATCTGGAATACCAGTAAGTCCATTACTACCATGGCAAAATGCGTCGGGCTCACCTGGCTTTCGGTAGAGATGTGCCTGGAAAGCGTCGTTCATCGGATAATAAACTGAATCTATTACACCACGTCATTGAGATGACCGCTTCTTTGGATAGAAAGATGGCAGTTCAAACTCACCTTCTGGTAGGGCTCTGCCATGGTCATTTTTGAGGATGTTGGTATGTACCTCCCCACTGATAATGTTCACGACGCGAACGCTGCATGGGTCAGTGTCACGCGGTGACGAGATGAAACTGGTGTCATACCCAAATGGACGCATCTCCACACGCAGTGTATTGCCATAGTGATGCAGAGCAGCCTTGCTGGCATTGTACGATGCCCCATATACATAAGGGCACACACCTCCGATGGAACCAATGTTGACAACAACGCCTTTTGCCTCGATCACAAAACGATGCATGTAGTGCACCATTCGCATGGGTCCGAAGACATTCACTTTGAACATTTTTTCGACTTCGGTCACCTCGGTGTCTGTCGCAGGCATGGTATAGCCTACAAAATGGTCAATAGGTAGGTTGAATCAATATCAATTTGCTCTACAATCTAGAAACTCACAGATTCCCCTGTAGAAAATGGTTAGATTGCCAATTAGACTCGAAAGATTTGGGATAGCACTCACGCATTATTAATAAGTATGTCCAACTTTCCCCCTGTGAGCTGCTGGACCGTTTTCTCGAGCTCCTCTACACTCTCATCCTTGGTGACATCAGTGCGGGTGACGTGCACGCCCTTCGAAATCAGATGTTCGTCTTCCTCATGGGGGAGAAGAGTCGCGATAACTTCAATATCTAGAGAAAAAACAGTAAGAACGATGATAGATGAGGGCCTAGGAAAATAATTGAATGGACTACTTGCGTTCTTCCCTCAATCTAGAAGCAAGGGCATGGCCAATTCCACCGCGTCCGCAGCTACAAAGGTCAGAAAAGAATTCAATTGTGCATACGGTTTTTGAGATTACCCTGTAATAAGTGCAAACTTTGAGGGCTGCATTTTGCTGTTGCAGAAGATAGGCAAAAATATGACAAGGGATTGGCCTTCCTATGACCACTGTTTATGAAGCTCAGCGTCCAAATATTAGGCAGAATAGATCTACCTTTGATGCCGGGGAAGTGATGGGTTGCAGCGGACGTTGGAATTCCTGTCGACGGATCGGACATGGATGGTTCCTATCAGACGGACATCCGACAGTTGCGTGCTAGGAAGACAGTCCGATGTAAGCCTCGCCTGACTGGACTAGACTCGGGGAAGCAGGCGGACTGCATGTTAGTATTTTGCAAACCATAGCTTGATATGCATCTCAGAATCGGACTAGGAGGCCAGGTGTATGTATCGCGCGTTTGATCGCTGTGAAAGATAAGCACTGGCAGCCGTCTATATAGATATATATAGAGACCCTTTGGAAGAGGAAGCTCAGATTGAACTGAGAGCCATCGAGTGAGATCTAAACCAAAGGTATCTGCGAAACATATCATACCATACGATCAATCATGTCGCCCTATATTCGAGGTGACAGTTCTTCTAGCACTAGTGGAGCATCGACCCCTCCTGCCCTGGTCCAAGTCGATGATGCCTCAAAGTGTGAACCGATTGCCATCATTGGCATGGGTATGTCTGTCCGTTTTAATTGTTGCTACCTTTGCTACCGGAGGAGATATCAGGTGAACCCGCCTGACCTCCGCTCCGGGAAATAGCACATACTTTCTCTCTCATTCCTCTCTTCTTTATACGCGCTCTTTTGGCCTAGCTGCCGGGATTCCCCTGCAGAAACTGATCCATTTACAGGTTGCCGACTTCCAGGTGGCATTGCATCGCCCCAAGATCTCTGGAACTTCCTGGTGGAAGGACGCTCCGGTCAGTGTGACGTCCCGCCGTCAAGGTGGAACATTGATGGATTCTACCACCCCAACAGCAACCGACCTGGAAGCATGAACACCAAAGGTGGATACTTCATTCAAGAGGACATTCGCCAGTTCGACAATGGTTTCTTTGGAATCAACAATCTGGAAGCGACATTCATGGATCCTCAGCAGCGTAAACTGCTAGAGGTCTGCTATGAATGTTTTGAGAGCGCCGGCGCTACACTGGAGGACATCTCCGCAGCTAACATTGGATGCTACGTTGGCAATTTCACTATTGATTATATTACCATGCAGGCGAAGGAGGCCGACTACTTCCATCGCTATAATGCTACTGGTATGGGAACGACCATTCTAGCCAACCGAATCAGTCATGTCTTCAACCTCACGGGACCCAGGTATGCATGCTATTAAGCTTGACCCTAAGGATATAAGGCTCTAACCATTTACTATAGTGTGGTTCTTGATACAGCTTGCTCTTCCTCTCTGTATGCTGTCCATATGGCCTGTGCTGCTATTGACGCAGGTGAATGCGACGCGGCTATCGCAGCTGGTGCAAACTTGGTCCAAGCGCCGGAGCAGCACCTCGGCACGATGAAGGCAGGTGTACTTTCCGGCACGTCAACATGTCACACATTCGACGCTTCGGCAGATGGGTATGGGCGTGCCGATGGAATCGGTGCTGTTTACCTCAAGAAGCTAAGCAAGGCACTTGAAGACAATGACCCTATTCGAGGCATCATCCGTGGATCAGCGGTCAATGCCAACGGAAAGACCAACGGAATCACCCTCCCCAGCTCTGACGGGCAAGAGGCTGTTATTCGCAAGGCCTACGCGAAGGCCGGTCTGGAATACAAATACAACGAGACAAGTTACGTCGAGTGCCACGGAACCGGAACCGCCGTGGGAGACCCTATCGAATTGGAAGCCGTGTCTCGAGTGTTCAAGAAGCGGCCAGTCCAAGCTCCTCTGCACGTTGGCTCTGTCAAGACAAACCTCGGCCATTCAGAGGCGGCGTCGGGATTCTCTAGCATTTTCAAAGTCGCAATGGCGCTGGAAAAGGGCGTTATCCCGCCCACTATTGGCGTCAAGAAGATCAATCCCAAGATTAAGGCACAGGAATGGGGAGTCAAAATCGTCACAGAATCGACCAAATGGCCAGCTGAGAACCTGTCCCTTGAGAAACCAACTCGCCGGGCCGGTGTTAACTCCTTTGGATACGGTGGTGCAAACAGTCATGCCATCTTGGAAGCCGTTGACAATTTCATCCCACCACCCAAGGGGCTCTCCTCCGAAACTCTGTCGAAGATGAAGTCAACCTTCATTCTTCCAGTTTCAGCCAATTCGGTCGCATCGCTTGAGGGTCAATTGAGCAATCTGTCCTCGCTAGATCTTGACAGTGTCAACGTTGTTGATTTGGCTTATACCCTCGGTGTCCGTCGGTCCAATCTTTCGTACAGAGCCTTCACGCTTGCCGGACAAAGCACTCTCCGGGAGAACCTGCGCTCGGAGAGCTTTGTCCTCCCCATTGAAGGAGCAAGCTACACCAAGCTTCCTTTCGCTTTTGTCTTCACGGGTCAAGGCGCCCAGTGGGCTCAGATGGGTAAAGAGCTCATTGAAGAAGTCCCTTCTTTCCGTAAGAGCTTGGTTGAACTGGACAATGCTCTGCAAAGGCTTCCTCACGCTCCAAACTGGACCCTAAGACAAGCTCTCTTGGACCCGAAGGAGACATCTCAGATCAACCATGTCACTCGTTCTCAACCTGTCTGTACAGCAATTCAAATCGCCTTTATCCAACTCTTGCGCAAGTGGGGTGTTGCGCCTGAGGCTGTTATTGGACACTCGTCAGGTGAGATTGCCGCTGCATATGCTGCTGGGCTTCTCAGTGCAACAGACGCAATTATCATAGCCTACTACCGTGGTTATGTGGTTGGAAATTCTCAACTTCCAACCAAGGGAGGCATGGTGGCTGCGGGTATCGGGAAGGACCAGGCGCAGATTGAGATTGATAGCTTGGATTTGTCGGATGCGATCAAAGTCGCCTGCATCAATTCTCCAGAGAACGTCACTATCAGTGGAGATGCCGATGGAATCGACAAGATTGTAGCTCATTTACAAGGGAAGGGCATTTTCGCCCGCAAGCTCAACACCAATGATCGTGCCTACCACTCTCATCACATGGCCCTACTCGGTCAACAGTACGAAGATATGCTTGTCGATAATCTGCCGCCTCCCCCGCCCTTTCCGCTGGAGAACAAGGTCCGATGGATTTCCTCTGTGACTGGCCAGGTGGTGACTGGAAAGGTCCAGCCTTCATATTGGAGAGCTAACCTCGAGTCGCCTGTCCGGTTCAGTGATGCGGTTGAGGGTCTCATCAAGGGAACCAAATACCATCTGATTGAACTCGGTCCCCACTCAGCTCTGGAGCTACCCATCAAGCAGACCATGACCAAGTTGAACATCAAACCTGGTAACTACAACTACTCGGCCGCTCTCATCAGAAACAAGAATGCCGTCACTTGTTTGTTGAATACAGTTGGTAATCTTTACTTACATGGCCATGCAATTGACTTCGCTCAGGTCAACTATGTGGAGACCTCTACAACTTCTTCAGCGCGGAATACTTCCAAGTATCCCGTGCACAAACAGGGCAAGGTCATTAAAGACCTACCACCGTACGCCTGGACATATGACACTCTTCTATGGAGTGAGGGCCGTGCGAGTACTGAGTACCGTGAGCGTAAGTACCCGCACCATGACCTTCTGGGCTCGCAGAAGCCGGGAGGTAATGGACTCCTCACAACGTGGAGGAATGTCCTCAAAGCCGAAGACAACCCTTGGCTTCTTGACCACAAACTCGAGGACACTGTTGTCTTTCCAGGAGCGGGCTACATTGCAATGGGCATTGAGGCCATCTGCCAAGTCACGGGAAGGAAATCGTCGGATCCCGGATCGATCGTTCTACGACAGTTCCAAATTCTCAAGGCCCTGCCACTCTCTGCAGACTCAAATGCTCCAGGCGTCGAGATCTTCACTCAGATCCATCCGATGGCTATCTCTGCTTTGTCAAACTCCAAGACCTGGTGGGAGTTCGAGATCACCAGCTACAAGGATGGCATCGCCACCACTCACGCAACCGGTAAACTCAGCGTTACCGACACGCAGGAGTTGGCCAAGCCCAGTCTTCTCCCGGAAAATATCGAACTTGAGGCTCTTGCCATTCGGAACTGGTACGGACAGTTCACCAAGGTTGGACTAAACTACGGTCCTCAATTTGCGGCTCTCGAAGAGATTCAAACTCCGAGAGCCAGGGTTGGCAAACATTGCCGCGCAAAGACCCAGCTTTTGCAGGGTGGTGGAGAGGGGAAGGAGACCCAATCGACATATTTGGTCCACCCCATCACCATTGATGTGATGCTGCAAGCTGGTATCATCGCCAGCACGGGAGGAATCATCAGGAATCTTCGAGCCAATGTGCCGGTATCCATTGAAGAGGCTTACTTCCAAGCTCCTTCTACTCCACCAAAGGATTCTGTCTATATCGATGCGGAGACGGATAGAATTGGCTTTGCTGCATACATGATCAACACTTGTCTTTATGATAGCAGCAACCGACCTTGCGTTGCATTGAAGAATGTTCGGGTGACTGGCTACCAAGGAGCCGCGCAGGTGACCGATGAACTGGAGCGGGAGCCAATGCTTCGACTCCTATGGAAGCCCGATGTAACGACTCTGTCCAGCGATGGGCTAGCCCAGTATCTCTCTTTTTACGAACAGGTAAGCAGGTTAGCCCCGAAACTCTTCGAAAGGGCTTAATATTCACATTGTTCTCCTAGACTGGCGTGGACCAATTTGCCGCCATGGTCGACATTATCTCCCACAAGAATCCCAGACTGCAGATTCTGGATGCCACCAACTCGGACGACCTTGCAGCAAAATTCTTGGATGTTCTTCGTGTAGATAACGCATTCAAAAGATTCCGGTCATACGCCAGGGGCCAATTTTCCGAAGAAGGCGAGCTTTCTTTGGAGATCGTGGACGGCAAGCAGCCTCTCGGTGAAGGCAAGCAGGTCAAGCCAAGTGGACAAGAGAAATACGACCTTGTCATTGCGGGGGGCACTCTTACTGACAGGCAATATTCCCATCTGGTGGGACTTGTGGCGTCCAGTGGCGTTATCCTGAAGCTGGCTTCCAACGTGTCCAAGCCCTTGGATAGGTTTGTGACTGTCAGTACAACCACAGCTACTGGAGAGAAGCTGGAGATGTCCACGTTGCCCTCTGATAAAAAGGGGGAACTTGGCTCACACGGCGTTCTGATCATTGAAGAGACAGCGCAAGAGTCATTCAACGATGCGCTAGCTCAGTATCTCTCGCGCGAGGTCGGCTTGGTGGTACAGCGCGTTCTTCTCCAAGACCTGACCGCCAGCATGATTACGCCCAAGACTCTTGTCATCTCTACCATTGAATTAACTCGGCCGTTTCTCTCAACCCTGACTGGAGAAGAGATGCAATATGTCAAGCTCGTCACAGACAACGCCCTCAGCCTTCTGTGGCTTACTGGCGGCGACAATATGGAAGGAACACGTCCGGACTTTGCCCTGATGTCGGGACTCTCCAGAGCGCTCATGCTGGAACAACCCTCTTTGCAGATTACGATGCTCGATCTTGATGTTGTGGAGCCATCACTGCAGACATTGCAAAACGTATCCACCGTTCTACGTGGATCTGTTGAATCAAGCAGCCCAGACTTTGAGTACGTCCAGAGAAACGGTCTTCTCCACATCAGCCGAATGCTGCCAGAGGAGGAGATGAACCGGGCTTTTCGCGACAAGCAGGGCCAAGTGCCGGCGCTCATCCCCTTGGGCGAGGCTATGCCAGCTCGATTGACCATTGGAACCGTTGGTCAGTTTGACACACTTGCATTTAGCCGTGAGGCGCCAGACTTTTCGCCTCTGAAGCCAGGTACTGTCGAAATTGAAGTGAAGTCTGTCGGATTGAACGCCAAGGTACGTACGAGATTTTCGTTATCTTCTTCTTCGCCCTATCCCCTGATTATCAGTAACTTATTACGTCCAGGACTTCTACGCCCTTGCTGGGAAGGTCAACACAAAAGAAGCCGTGTGTAAATTAGAGTGCAGTGGTATCGTGACCCGGGTGGCTGACAGTGGCATTGAGCGACTGGCGGTTGGTGACCGCGTCGTCGCAATGGGACCAGGTCACTTTTCGACACATGAGCGATTCCCAGAATGGGCGTGTCAAAAATTGCAAGATGATGAAGAACTCCACGTCATGACCACACTTCCCTTGGTCTTCTCCACTGCTATCTATGCTCTGCATCATCGCGCCCATATCAAGGAGGGAGAATCGGTGCTGATCCACTCGGCAGCGGGTGGCCTGGGCAATGCTGCCATTCAGATTGCGCAGCTGGCTAATGCGGAAATTTACGCCACCGTCAGCACTGAGGAGAAGAAAGACTATCTCGTAAAGACATTCAATCTGAAGCGGGAACACATTTTCCATTCTCGTGACTCCTCATTCCAACGGGCCATTCTCGCAGCTACTGGAGGCAGGGGTGTGGATATCGTACTCAACTCTCTCACCGGTGATCTTCTTCACGATAGCTGGAGGGTCTGTGCTCCGTGGGGTCGATTCATTGAGGTTGGAAAGCAGGATATCGTCGATGCAGGAAAGTTGGACATGGAGATGTTCCGACGCAATGTCACCTTCTCTGCCTTCGATCTCAGTGAGCTTTCCGATGAGAATCAGCCAAAGCTGAACCGTATCGCTGCAAGGTTTGTCTTCTCAAGCAATATTCATAATCTTCTTTCTAACAATATACGATAGCCTGCTCGCCGAAACTCTGTCCCTCTATCGGCAGAAGATGATCAAGGCCATCGAGCCGTTGAAGGTCTTTGATGTCTCTGAGATCACGCAGGCGTACCGTTTCTTTGGACTGGGCAACCGCATTGGCAAAATTGCTATTTCTCTGGAGAACGCGAACACGCTGATCCCGGTAAGCTGACACGAAGCCACTCAACCCCTTTCAGCATGAGGACTGACAGTATAGACTCTACCCACAAAACATGATGCGACCTTCAGTCCAAACAAGACCTTTCTCATGATTGGTTGTCTCGGTGGGCTGGGTCGCAGTATTTCAAAATGGATGGTTAAGCGTGGCGCCAGGAAATTCGTCTTCGTCGGTCGAACTGGAACGGACCGAAAGGCCGCCCGACAACTCGTAGAAGATTTGGAGGCAGAAGGGGCATACGTTACAGTTGTTCGTGGAGATGTCAGCAACTTGGCCGATGTGCAGGCAGCTGTCGCTGCTATCAAGGGACCTGTCGGAGGTGTAATTCAAGCCGCAATGGGACTCAACGTTGGTCATCCAGTTTACCTTTCTGTCTTCAAGAATACTAACTCGTCACAGGAAGCGCTTTGGACTACGATGCCTGTGGAGTACTGGCACACCGGAATCGACCCCAAGCTCATCGGCTCGTGGAACCTCTACAATGCTCTACAGGGTAGAACAGACGACCTTGACTTCTTCTTGATGACCAGCTCCGTGTCCGGCAGTGTTGGAACAGCCACAGAGGGAAACTACTGCGCAGCCAACTATTTCCTGGATGTCTTTGCTCGTTTCCTACGAAGCAAGGGTCTACCGGGCATCTCGATCGGCCTGGGCATGATTTCGGAGGTAGGATATTTGCATGAGAACCCAGAGATCGAAGCCCTTCTTCTACGAAAGGGTATTCAGGCCATTAATGAGGACGAGTTGCTGCAAATCATTGACATCGCCCTCTGCAACAAGGACAGCACACCATACGATACTATGGCATCCTGCCACGTGCTGACTGGTCTGGAGCCTTTGGGTCTTAAGCTTCTTCAGAAGGCTGGATTCAGCGGTACCAACCCGACTCTAAACGATCCCCGCGCCAGCGTTCTTGCTGCTGTTCTCGACAGTGACAGCGACAAGGATCTGAAGAATGGATCCGGCATGCCGGCTGAGCTGGCCGCAGCCCTGGAGAATGGCCATGAAGGACAGTCTGTTGCTGAGGCTATCGTCCACCTTATCGTGAAGCGCTTTTCCAATCTCGTTCTCCAACAGGTTGACAAGATTGACCCTTCCAAGTCCTTGTCTAAGTTCGGAATGGACAGTATGCTGGCAGCCGAATTCCGGACCTGGTTCTACCAGGCTTTCAAGGTTGATGTTCCTTTCCTTACCCTGTTATCGGACGAAACTACTCTCAAATCACTGGGCAATCTTGTCCATGTAGCGATTACCGAGAGTCCGAATTAGCTAGCTGGTTTGGAGAGGATTGTTTTCTTGCCTCGAACATTGTTCATGCATTTATATAGGTACCGAATTCAATAAAATTTTTTGCTTGAAATGTTAGGACTTGCTTATTTCTCTGTTTCAAGCTGTATTTCAAAGTAGATCAAATCAATCTTGGTACCTGACACCGTCTAGGTGGTGCTTAATTTCTGCAATTCAAATTTCGTCACTTTGTAGCAACCCAGCTGTAGCTGTGCCAATAGTTAATAGGTAATACACACATCAGTCATCTGTAGTCACTGATCTTAGAACAGAATATAGGAGTAAGTACATATATATTAAGTAATCCCTATTAATTAGACTAGTGCTTCACATATCCAGTATCTAAGGCCATTCTTTTCAGCTACATTAACTACATAATATTTATGACAACGGTGCATAGTCACAAACATATGAAAAATTGTTAACCCTATCAACATACTCATTGGCCAGACAGAGCTCATGCCGCTTGATGGTATTTGGGTAAAACTTTGGGATGCATGACATCTCAGTAAAGTCATAAGACATTTCATCATGATACATTCGGATAACTAGGTCAGCAGGCCTCCAAGGATCAATAATACTCTACAGGAAGATCAGTTAAAATTGCAATGCCATTAGGGAGCAGGAGTCTTACTGTGGAGCCTCTTGTACGTACCAGTATTGCGTGCTGCCAAGTATGTCAGGAGATGAGGTTGTGCTTGGCACTCCGGCACAAAAGAATCAGCCTGCGCAAATTAAAATTAAGCTTTGGCCATTGGCATCTAGGCACTGGGAGTATCTATCTTCACACCAAGCATAGCTTGGGTCATTCCTATGCCAAGGATGAATGTTCAATTTAATTAAATGGCATGTTTCTTCACACATGAACCCTTACTTATTATCTGCAAAGGCTTAGGTCTTTCTGGGAGTGGCCTAGACCATTGCACTTGCGATGGACTCAATACAATGGTCGAAACACTCTTGAAATACCATAAGATGTGCAGAGGTCATTTGCACTTACGCAGCTGATGGAAGGAGATTTTGAATTCCTGGGACCTGTCATCACAAGCTTTGATTACATGCTCTTGAGGCATATACAAGAGGCATTGTTCAGAAAACATTCTAATTTAACAACCAAATATGATTACCTTTAAAATTTGTTTATATTCTCAAGCCTAAAAGAATGTATATGTTAATTAACTTAGCAGGTTCCATCTCTGTAAGCTCTAGTTTCACTTGACACACTAAACCCATATCAACTTCTATGCTGTTAGTAAAGCCATTATGGCGTCTACTAAACTCTCAAAAGACTGCCAAGATTCTTCTCTGTGAGTTTAAGTAAGGATCATATGATTATAGTTTAGAAGCAGTATTCCTAATCAAAGAAAGTTGTCCGCTCTCCTAACCTTCCATCACTCTCTAATAATTTTGGTGGAGTGTTTCTTCTCGGCTAATATGACAAGGAGGCAAATTACTGACATTAAATGAACATGAACTAACTGGACTTTGTGCAAACACAATTCAAAAAGCTTTTGGACACTGTATTCCGAGCCCAACTCCTTCTGACAGTTTGTTATAGCTCATTCTTCTTCTCGGGGAATGGGTATCCAACAAGCTTCCACGCCTCTCTGACCTTATCGACATGCGCTCCAGCATTTTCAATAGTAAGGTCTGCAAAATCTTTGAACGTAGCACGTTTGTGGCGAAGCTTACCACTAGTCAGAGCGCGGTACCAGATGGGACCAGGACCTTCCCAAGCATAACCGCCAATCATAGTAGCAGCAAGGCAAAAAGCTCTATTTGGGATGCCGGAGTTGATGTGGACACCGCCTGCATCCTCATCCTCACCAAGTCTCTTAAAATCCTTCCAGTGCGCGGGCTGAGGATCTTTTCCCACTTTAGCATCGTCGTAAGCTGTTCCAGGATTTTTCATGTCACGGAGAGCCCGGCCATTGACACTATGAGCCCAGAGTCCCTCCCCAATAAGCCAGTTCGCTTGGTCAACAGTCTGAGGAGACTTTGGATCTTCGCCCCATTGTTTAATCATAATACCAAAGACATCAGCAAGGGACTCATTGAGGGCGCCACTCTGGAATTTGTATTCAAGTGGGCTCATATACTGCACCACGCCATGAGTGAACTCATGGCCAATGACATCGAGTTCATCTGTGAAGCCATCAAAGATTATTCCATCTCCATCACCGAAGACTAACACGCTGCCGTCCCAGAAGGCGTTGTAGAGGTCCCCAGCATGCACAAAGGCCTCGAGCTTCATGCCCTTGTTATTAATTGAGTTTCGCTGAAAGAAATGGAAATAGAAGTTGTAAATCTTCTCAAGGCCAACATAGCACTCATTTGCGTTATTAGTCGGATCTTCCTCCTCGGTGAGAAGTTCACCACCTTCCTTAAGCAAAATCTTGTCGCGTGGAGGCGGATCATCACGGGAATTTTGCGCATTGTACACTGTACGGTTTAGTTGACGTACAGGCCCTGCTACTGTTCGATGTTTAGCACTATGTGCAAGTGTGTGGTGGGCCGCCTCGCGTTGTTGCTCTGTCCTGGCATTTCGAGCAATTGATTCTAGGATATAAGGTGGGATAATACCTTGGGGGGTTTGTTGCTGCTGAGCGCCTGTAATACTCTGCCCGTGACGAATACGAATATCCTGAAGTTGCTTGGTTTTTTCAATGGTGGATTGGCACCGATTAATGACATGCTGTGGTGCCAGTCTGTTTTCAACAATGTTCAGCAATACATATTCCGGAATAATGCTGCATAAAGGAGCCATATTCATGTCCTGGTAAAGTATGTTAAGCAGATATCTCTCACTAAGCTTGAAGAATTGAGCGGCAAGACCTTAATTGTATGTCACTTCAAATATTTCCGGACGCTCGATCTGAAATATCTCTGCAAAAAGAGACCATTTCTTTTATATAGCATAATAAAAATAAAGATATCCCATGGTATGACCACCTGAGCCTTTCTCCCTTCGAGTCATTGTCGAGTCATCCTATGTCAAATGATCTTGATAAACCAAATAGCTCTTCATCAAAGCTTGGTCGCATGCTATTCTCTGACAAGACTGTTCTAGATTTCGTACTTTGCGATGTATATACCTGACATGCCACCTCTTTCCTCACTGTTTCACACCAAGGGACCCATTAATCTATACATGGGCTTGTGCATGTTTAGCGTAGTCAGAGATGGCAAGACTTCTATCCAGAATTATATGGCCTTTAGTTGACAGTTCTTAGTACTGCCGCAAAACTGATGGTTTTTTAGCTTAGCTTGCAGGGATTAGCAACCATTTTCATATGATAAAGGCAAACATTGCGGATTGCATTATCTTCTAGTTCTTTTAATTAACTACAGTTCAGCTACAGTTACTCTCGGTATCAGAGGACAAGATTAGTAGGGGTTATTCTCTATCGGTGGCTACTTAAATTTAGTTATATTTAAGGTTAAGCTGTTTGTGTCAAGTGACGGTAGGATAATCATGGGTTCAGATGAGAGCTGGTAGGAGTTTAATCATAACTACGTTGTCCAAAGCTCACATTGGCTGCGTGTCACCATCATGCCATGTGTGTTAAATAACTATGGTCCGTGTGTGTGTTTCCACTCTTGGCGGGAGAGCTCCACCTGTTCCAAGGATTTAAGACAATCTAGGTATCCAGGCCCTTTCAAGCCGAACTACAATTCTAGCACAGAGATAACCAGTTGAGTAAAAGTGTGCCTCTATGTTTCCCTTCAACTAAGGAGGGGCATGGTTTGTGAGCAAATATGTTCATACAAAATTCATCCTTTGAGAATTCACTTTATGTGTTAGCAGTTATGGCCACCATACATCTCATAATTGAAGCTGCTTTTAATCTTCCGCGTTCAGGGACCTAAGTTTCCTGGATCTTACAACGATCCTGCAACCATCAGAGAATCCGGTAGAGGAAAGAGTTACTACAAATTATAGTAATCAAGATGGATACATCACAGCATACACTAGAACACCTTGTTGACAAGCCCAACCACGTCAAGTGGTCGTGTGTTAATTCATTGAAATATCCTTGCTTGCGAAATTGTACCATAGTCATAAATGAAATTAACTTTCTATTCTGCTCTGGATCTTCAGCTACTTTGCTGTTATATTTCTGCGGCCAGGGCGTATCAATCCATGATCCCCAGGGCATAAGAGCAGGACATGGAGCACATATATTGACCTTCCTGTAGAACATGATAGGCAGGAGTCACTGTTAAGTATATATCCAATCTGGGTATGACTCCGTTCAGGAGTGTTTATCCTGTTGAGTAGATATCTATCCTTACAGGGAGTCACTGATATGGGCAAGCAAGGCTAAGAATCAGCATCTTTGGACTTCAGGCGGCGGAAATTAAAGAGACAACAGAATTCTTGCTGAAGCATGAATGTATTCTAGGTCTTCCTAGGCACAAGGTGATCACAAGCTCACTCTCATACATTATGGACCTTGGACGGGTGCCATAAAAGTTAGAGAAGAAGTAGTACTAAACACATTCCAGGATGGAAGAGCTCACAGCACTGTATATCTCAACAGGACTATCCTAAGTTCACACTTCAGTACCAGTGAGGATATTTACCCTTCTTGGACCTATATATATATATATATATATAGTCCCTCCATTATTATTTGCCTGAAACATCATGGCAGTTTGACAGACAGTCTTAAAATCAAAGGATGTAATTAGAACCCCCAACTCCCACAACTGAAACCTTTCCCTAAATTGTCCCTAAGCTTTCCCGCACTAGGGTTAACAGTAGTACTAGATCCAGGCTTCTTTATCAACCCCTGCAAAAGTGATCGATGTAGGACGAATGTGGCAAAAGTTAGGCAACAGTGATGACAGATAAAGGATTGGTCCGCCATTTGATTTAATTAGCTGCCTTAATGGGTTGTCTAAGAGAGCTACATATTTTAGATTATACTATAAATTAGTTCATCCAGCAACTGGATGGATTTAGATACTGTGCTTATAGATCGCAGACAGAAATAGTGTGGGGGAATCCTGATTACTTGGCAGTGTATGATCTATAGTAATAGCATGCAATCACATATCACGGTTTTTCTTAAGGGGGGGACTTCTCTTATCCGGGTTATTTTCTGGTTATTCTATGAGAATAGGTCTAGCCTCAACGAGCAAGTTTATTATGATCACAACTGACTGTAGGACACAAAAGCTCTTTTAATCGAAACTAGCCAACAAAAGCTTAGGCTAGCTTGATGGTGGATAGCACAAACTTGTAATTTTCATCTTAGTTCGCCAGCCTTCCAGTCCTTGGTCAATTCAATATCCACAGTCAGCGCACAATATAGCGCCTTAATACTAATTACATAGAGCTGCTGATAAGCCTGATGTATTGTATTTCTTGGCTACCAGAATTCTGAGAACTGTTAGCTTTTACAGGGATCAGCAGGTATGTGGCTGCTTACTGCGTTGATTAGCTCCTAACACAGTCTATACCACTAACCGGCTCTCAGTATGTCTGGGGCAATTTCCTGGGAATATCTCACTACATGCATGAGAGTCCAGGAAATAGTCCTGTTTGCTTATCCCTACTAGGCCTAGTACAATGCTAGAGGCTACCATATCTGAGAACCTACCAAGCAAACCTTGAGTATATATCCCACCCTGTGTGCGATGTGATCAGACTATAGATAACATTGCAGAGCAGGGTCAACTGGGTCAAATCATCAAGCAACCAAGGTCGGGAACCTGCAGGCCTAGGTTATATAAACACCCGGGCTTGGGCTGTATGCTATACAAGTTTCTAACCATGACAGTAACACGAAGAGCAAGGAGGTCAAGGACTCAAGACGGAAAGACCTAACTAGGCCATTAATCACTTGATGTAGACTCTCACTAGACCACACAGCAACCATATTCATAGGCCGACATGGAGCTGGCTGTCGACCATATATATCAGATATGTCAGACAGGCGACCAAGACAGACAATAGTCTTGTTAACCCAGGTCAATCTGCATGCCTGCAAGCACATTAACATGATACTGCACGCTGGGAGTTGAACAAGTAGGCAGCATCACTAACAGCTCTAGCACGCAAGACTCAACTTCCTAATTTTCTAACAAGGACAGTCATGCTTACATGGCAACCTTTAGCAAAAATGGCATCCTATAAGTATTCTGAGCTTATGCTTAACAGAAAGTGAACGCTTAATAGAGACAGCATAACTATTAAAAGGTTAATCAGTGAACATCAGCCCGGGCGTCAACAAGTTGCGTCACAATGGCGCTGTTTCCCCTGAGCGCAGCCAATGGGAGTGCTGTACAGCTCATTAGAGAGATGTAATGGGGCCCCTTCTAGAACCTATTAGCGTAGCTGGTTCTAATAGGTTGTATACGGGTTCTGCAGTTATGCTAGTATATCTGGACTCTATAACTAGCATAGCCAGATGCAGTATAATAATATAAAAAGAATAATGCCCTACTTATTCTACCAGATAGCTGGGGGCACGGGCCCAGCCAGGTGCCGTTGCGAGATGCGGGTGTGCTGATCCCTTAATCTGGCTGGTGTTAGGGTTGGGCTGGTGTCTTAGATTTATACCAGGAGCGTAGTATGGAATCAGTCCTTAGCGACCGCAATAGCTAAATGGGTGTAGGAGCTAGAGGAATAGTAACTGACACAGAGGAGTTCCGAGTATAGTATAGCTGGAAGATAACATTTTATTACCATGTGAGTTCTACTCAAATGAATAGTTGTTTCAAACTGGATAGTATCTACACCATTATGTGAATCTGCACAGTATGTCATCATGAACCCCAAGTAAGTGTCATATACTACTGTAAAGATGGTCCGCCGAATGCGGAATATTGCCACCAACCATCCAATGAAATTGTCTACAGCCTTTCCGACCCATTGTCAAATGCTGCCCGCATTGCCCTTTGTCTTGATTTAACTTCCAGGGTACCCATAAATCTTAAATATTACGAAGGGTTGTGATCCGGGGATGACGTGAAGCGGCGGAGAGGGCGGAGGGGACTTCCAACAGCGGGTTCTCGATTGTTTAGCTTGTGTCAAACAAACGCGTCATTGAAACCTGAAGGCGATGTAACTGTATACTTCCCACAGAGTACTTAAGGAGGATGTGTGCACAATACTTCTCGGGTTGCTCCAATCATTTGGAATTTTCATATCGATTGCAAAGAGTTACTGAATACAATGAGACCAGAACCACAAACCGAGGGCGCGAGCAGTAAGCCTGGTAATGATTCGCATGCTAAATTCGTTGACACTACGCCCAAACGTATTCATGAGGTGCGACATTTCAATGAGCAGTCACGAGAGCCACCAAAGCCCGACGTGGGCGCCGAACAAGGCGGCTCAATTGGGCGTTTTAAAGAGCTTTCCGAGGTGGTGCACAAGGCTACCCGCCCTCTGCCAACTGAGACAGGGAATGGAACCTACGTAAAAGATGATTCCAAGGGTAGCAGCCTCTGGGAAGATCTTCTGTCCCTGGGCATAGGAGATGCCAAAACCGTAAAGGATTTTGTCAAGACTGAGGCCCTGGGACGACCGGTGGACGATAAGACAATGCTCATGGAACGCATCATTCAGGTGACCACGGCAGCTCTGAGGGAACACTCTAAGAATGCTGATTATGCTGTCTCTAGATGGTGGCCAAATTGCCCGACAAATCCACGATCCGGGAGAAGGGAACTCATAAGTTTCTAGGCATTCTATGGAACTCGCTGCCCCATCCTCCCCTATCGTAAGATCCTCCCAACCGAGCTCAACGACGCTGTTGGAATAGTATTAAGATGAAGTAGATATGTCGGTGACAAATACGCTTATCGCTCGGCTGATGGGTCTTACAACAATCCCACCTTACCACGGCTGGGCGCAGCAAATACGGAATATGCTCGAACAACCGAAGCGTCAACGATGAGGCCAGCGAGTATGCCTGACCCGGGCTTAATCTTCGATAGTATTTTTGCGCGGGAAACTTTCAAGCCACATCCGAATTATGTCTCGAGCATATTCTTCACCTGGGCCTCATTGATCATTCATGGTACGTGCTTGAGTAGCGCCCTAATGTCGGTCCCGAACTGAATAAGACGGCAGACGTTTTCCAGACTGGCTATCCAGATCAAAGCATCAACAAGACATCATCATACCTTGACTTGTCCACTCTCTACGGCGATAATCAAGACGAGCAGAACATGATACGTACATTCGAGGGTGGCAAGATCAAGCCCGACTGTTTCTCTGAGCCACGTCTCCACATCCTGCCGGCGGCCTCGGGGGTCATTTTGATCATGCTGAACAGATTCCACAATCATGTCGCCGAGCAGCTAGCCATTATCAACGAGAATGGTCGATTCACAAAGCCCAAAGCTGAGATAATCGACCCAGTCGAAGCCCGGGCGGCCTGGGCTAAACACGACAACGACCTCTTCCAAACTGCACGCCTTATCACTTGTGGCATGTATATCAACATTACCTTATACGACTACCTGCGCACAATCATCAACCTCAACCGCGACAACAGCACTTGGAATCTGGATCCCCGCACACATGATGATCAGGATGAAATACCCACCGCACAGGGCAACCAGTGCTCAGTTGAGTTCAATCTCGCGTATCGATGGCACTCGACGATTGGCCGCCAAGATGAGGCGTGGACGGAGCAAACTTACCGAGAAGTTGTTGGGAAGCCTGGACAGGAAGCCACTTTGCAGGATCTTATGGAAGGCATGAGGAAATTTAATGCGAGGATGGACAAAGACCCTTCCAAGCGTACATTCGCGGGTCTGAAGCGCCAAAGCGATGGTACTTTTAGTGATGTAGACCTGGTGGACATATTGACTCGCGCCATTGAAGAGGTGTCCGGTTCGTTCGGGCCCAACAACGTTCCAAAGGTCTTGAGATCAGTTGAGATTCTTGGTATCCAGCAGGCACGCAAGTGGAATGTTGGGTCATTGAATGAATTCCGCAAGTTCTTTGACTTGAAACCCTACGAAAGCTTTGAGGAAATCAACTCAGATCCTTATGTGGCAGATCAGCTGCGGCACTTGTACGAGCACCCAGATTATGTGGAGCTGTACCCCGGGATCGTTGCAGAGGAGCCCAAAGAACCTATGGTCCCGGGGGTGGGGATTGCCCCAGGATACACTGTCTCCCGCGCTGTTCTGTCGGACGCTGTGGCGTTGGTTCGGGGTGACCGATTCTACACAGTGAGAGACTTCCACTGGTATTCGAGCTCAGTAGAAAGCTAACAGAGACACAGAAGGAATTTAATGCCCGGAACCTGACGAACTGGGGTTTTAAGGAGGCCGACTATAACCTGGAAGTCAACCAAGGTTGCTCGTTCTACCGACTTGCGTTGCGAGCATTTCCCAAGTGGTTCAAGTACAACTCAATCTACGCTCACTATCCCATGACGATCCCCAGTGAAAACCGCGTCATTATGAAAGCGCTGGGCCGCGAAGAGGACTTCTCCTGGGATCGTCCAGCGTATATTCCGCAGCGAATACCTGTCTTTGACTATGCCAACGTTCGTCATATCCTTCAGGATGCGTCGAATTTCCGGGTGATGTGGGGTGAAGCAACCGCGTACGTATTTGGGCCACAGGGCTGGGACTTTATGCTCTCAGGCGACGCGCCCACTCATGCAAACCAGCGCAATATTATGTCACGAGCGCTCTATCGTGGCCAATGGCACGACGCCGTCAAGCAGTTCTACCTCGACATTACCCAACAGCTCTTGACAGAAAAGTCATGCAGGGTTGGAAACGTAAATCAGGTGGATATTTCGCGCGAGTGGGTTTATCTACATCCTATACTTATGAGAAAATGTCCACTGCTAATGCTAATATCTCCCCGAATTATGAACAGTGTCGGGAATCTTGCCCATGTTCACTTTGCTGCCAACGTGTTTTCTCTCCCTCTCAAGAGTAGAGAACATCCGCATGGGATTTTAACAGAACACGAGATGTTTGAGGCAATGGCAGTGATCTTCACAGCTATCTTCTTTGATGCGGAACCTGTCAAATCCTTCGAGCTGCGCCACAAGGCTCGCGAAGCAGCGGAGAAACTGGGTAAGCTCGTCGAGATCAATGTCAAAGCCATCAAATCGTCTGGACTTATTGCCACTCTGCTTGGCAATATGCATACTAACAAGAATGCGCTCTTTGAGTATGGAATGCACATGGTGGAGCGGCTGTTACAGAGTGGCCTGGATCCTGAACAGGTAACATGGTCTCAAATTCTTCCGACTGCCGTCGCCATGGTGCCGAATCAGGCCCAGGTATTCACCCAAATCATCGACTATTACCTATCCGATAATGGCCGGAGGCATCTGCCGGACATCAGCCGCTTTGCCAAGGAAGACACTCCCGCGTCGGACGAGGTGCTTCTCCACTACTGCATGGAAGCGATCCGCCTGAACGGCATCTTTGGCTCGTACCGGAAATCCCATACCAACCTGACCCTCGATGACAAGGGTCGTAAGGTCCATATCAAGCCGGGTGACAAAGTATTCGTGAGCTTTGTATGTCTTCGTTTGTGCAGATCTACTATTGACGAATCGTCGAACACTGGCGTTGGGTGCTGACTAACAATAGGTTGATGCAAACCGCGACCCTAACGTATTTCCAAAGCCCAATGAAGTTGACCTCAACCGTCCTATGGAGTCGTATATCCATTATGGAGTAGGTCCTCATACGTGCCTGGGTGGCGAAGCTAGTAAAGTTGCTTTGACGGCCATGCTGCGCGTCGTGGGCCGTCTGGACAACCTTCGCCGCGCTCCAGGAGCGCAGGGGCAGTTGAAGAAGATCCCACGGGAACATGGATTTTATACTTATATGCGCGAGGATCAAAGCAGCTTTTACCCGTTCCCAATGAGTAAGCGTCTTCCTCTCTTGCAAGTTGCTTGGAATGCAGGCCTAACAGGATGACAGGCTGGAAACTCCATTACGATGGAGAAATCCCAGGAAAGGAACAGCCGGTTCATGGAGACTTCGTATGTAACGTACCGGGACATTGGCAAAATTGATAGTAGCGGTCTATCATGGTTCCGGCAAATTTATATTTACGAGAATTGTTGCTTGGCTACTTGTGGCGCGTTTTAGGATTTAGCTGTGACTCATGCTCCATATTCTTGTCGAGTTGCAGATCCAAAATCTCGACAATGCAACTCCAGAAGCATGGAATAAAAGGTGAGTCCGCTCCTTAACTGCTGTATTCGAAGACTTGCAGAAAGGGCTCGGCATAAAAGTTACGAATACATTGTGGATACTCCGAGGGATTAAGGCTTAATGTCTCCAAATGAAGCGTCCAATCATCCTGAAATACCCCTATCATATTCCCCATGAAACTAGTGAAAAACCTCTAATAGCGTTTTATTCCATATCATTCGAGTTCTTGTCTCTATTGCTGCGTCTGATTCCTTCTGGCCTGGTTCTTCATAGGAGACTTACCAGCAATACAAATGCAAGTTCACCAAATCAAGAGACGAACAAGCGTCGGGAGTATGACCATAGAAGTGCGTAATGCAAGGTTATATTTACAGCACATAGAAGGACGTTCAAGAAAAGGCTCCTGTCTGATATAGCCAGCTGTACTTATATCACACACAATGAACAGAGTACAGTGCTAATTCCACTTGCTACTGGAGTCTTCTCCCATTAAATACAGGGCTCTCTACTACATTACATAAATTCTTTTAAAGAGGGCCATGTGTAATGTAAGGTCTCCGTCACCCTTACTTCATTTCTGATCTGCTCAGCACATCCAGTCAATTCAAGCCCGCAAACCTATCAGCTCTTAGCAGGAAGCCAGGTCGGATCATTGTACTATAACTGAACATCGGATTTCTTACCAGTATTTTTATACTCACAATCTTCGTGTTACATTGGAAACATTAATGGTCCATATGGCGTGCCTCCTTTGATAGCGGCTTGCGCACATATGTTCCTTTTATAGGACAGCCAGGATAGTCCGCAATCTCCCACTCCCCGATTCCGCATTCTTCTGGTGCCTTTTTCTTCCCTCTCCCTCCACCTCCCATGATCAGGTTCCCCGGCCGATATTCTGGATCTGACTTCAAACGACGAATGGCTGAAACGTGAATCTTGGCATCATCAGGAATGTCGCGCACTTCTCCGCAAGGTAGAGGCCACCGAATGGGTTTCCATGAGCCATCTTCCTGCAAGTCCATCCGACGGAAGGGCAGATATTCCATGACTTTCCAGGAAAGAACAGTTGTCCAGTGAATCCCCTTGCCAAATCGGAGAGAGTCGTGCATTCGTGAATCTGTGCTGGACCTGTGGAGAAAAAACTCGAAACCAGACGTGGGATCTTCGTTTTCTGAATGATTTTCGCCCGGTGAGGGTCCTGCATGATCTCCAGTTGAGTCGCTTGAGCACTCGAAGAGCCTCAACTTTCCTGGCTCGAATCGCAGTCCTGCCTTCTGTGCATTGTGGACCATCCACACCAACGGCACCTGACTGAGAGCATATTCGCCTGTGTTCAATGGCCATCCTCCTCCGATATCTGCGTGGCATCCGGGAAACCATACCTCTTCGATGTCCTGCACGTCGTTGATTTCCTCGTTCTCGGACGAAGCGGAAGAAGCAACAGCACTAGGTTGCTGAGCAGAGCCCGACAAGCGGCTGTTATGGCGCTGGTGGTGACTATGATGAGGAAGATGCATATGATGTTTCTCCAGGTGCTGGCGCAACCGAAAGCGGTGTTCTCTCCGCGTCGGGGTAACGTCTGATATGAGGTCCTGGCGGAATTTGGCCCGACGCTCGTCGATACTCACTGCATGGCGGATCACCTTGGCTGAGGTGCGGGCAGTATAAGGAAACCGGCTGTGTCTTCTCATCCAGGCCCGCTCAAATCGGGGTACACTATTGACAGTGTCGAACAGGCCCAAGAAGCACAGGTTGGACACAGGGTGGCAGAATGTCTCTTTAAATGCCCTCATGTACTGCTCTAACTTCTCCTTCTCGGTCTTTTCTTCTTCGGTGTTGCCGCTGCGTTGTTGCCACTTTGCAAATGTCTTCCAGACAAAATGTATCAGCTCTTCATTGCCCGCCTCCAGAAGACCAATCTTGTCCAGCATTTCAGCGAGGAAGCGGGCAACATATGCCCCGCGACTGAAGCCGAAAAAGTATATTCGATCCCCAGGGCAGTAATATCGCATCAAAAACTTATAACCGCCCATGACATGGTCAGCCAATGTCGACCCGATCGCAGCGTCTTTCGCTTTCACATACGCGGACTTGATCTTTCTAGTGATGCCGCTATCTGAAAGCGAGGCTGACGTTACATACGTGCCAATACCAGGTTGATAATAATGACACTGCTTGGAGGTAGTCCGATCGAGCATCTTCCTCTAGGTAAGTCCGGGTCTATTCACAGAGCATGCAGGGCTTACTCTGAATATTTTAAGCACATTGCTGTCGGATGAGTCGCCATGGAATTTGTTATTAGTCCCATCAAAGCAAAGGACAAACTCCTTTGGCCCCGCGGTATGATCCATATCTTGTATATTATCTTGAGAACTATAATAACCAGACACGGATATGGAAAGGAAGTAGTTCTATTAGTTTGCCTGGAGGGCACTCCTGATACTAGTAGCTTATAACCTTGCAAGATGACCTCACCTTGGTTTATCCCTCCTCCTGTTCAGTAGCCTTAACAGCAAGCTTTCAGCCGCAAACAGTAATAAAATCAAATTAGACGAGCTGTAAGGAAATGATATGTTTCAAGGTTCAGCATTTTAGGCCTAAGCCCAACACAAACCGTGGCAATGCCGTCAACAACAGAGTTTAATTTCTACACATTAGACGAAAACGGAAATCGTCGACAAGGCGAAATAAGCTCTGACTGCATGACACTGAACTTAACTCACGGCAATCATTATCTCAATTAGCCATGGGTTAATTCTGTGGCAAAAGTACTCTGCGTCCAACAACCCATTCCCGTCGCCATGGTTCCAACATCCTTGGAGAGACAGGAAAGCTTCGTCCCAATCCTGATTTGCATCATAGACATAGTTATGGTTCAAATTTATTCAGAAGACACAAGCTAGTCTAATATTCTAGTCACTGCTTTAGGCACATGATAACTATTGCTAAACGTTTCCCCCTGTGCGAGCTAGGTGGAAATGAATATGGATGGTTCCGACTTGCACGTAGATGGTATGAGATATATTACAATCAGAAAGTCCCAACAGTTCTCCTTTCCTTAATATTGAATAATCCCCTACTTAGATTGTTTCTGATCACTCTGAAACCTTCATCATCTCAACCAAACACTTTCCTACCGGAGGATATGCCTCGAACGTAACCTTCAATCCCGAGGAAGCCGCTAGCTCCCTCCACTCAGCAGCCGTCCTCTCTTTTCCAGCATGCATAATGATCATCGCCGCATGGGTTGTTGCGCACCCTGCCTTCTTCGTGGACTCCTGTATGACAAACCGCGACGATGGTATCATTGCCCTAGCCATTTTCCTGAGGAGCTTAGTTGCCTCCGAGTCGGACAAATTATGCAGCACATTTGCCAACGAGTATATAAGCGCACCCTTCACAGGCTGCTCATTTCCGTCTTCCTTGTAATTCCACGTCATTACTGTGATGTCTGGGATGGCACCGATCTCCGCGTTATATTCCTGCAAGACAAGGCTATCCTTCCCCAGGCTATTCGAGTAAGCTGCTTTCAGCTCTAGGAGTAACCTGCCCCGGACACCGCCGCCGTCAACGATAATAGGGTGTTCCGTGCTGGAAATCAGTCCGTCTAAGTCGTAGCCCAGGGCGCGAGCTCTGTCAGGCATTGTGCCACAGCGCCCGAATTTGCCCGTCATGAATGTGTTAAAGCTGTCTAGGCGGCCGGGTGTGGTGCATGATAGAGTAAACGTGTTCCTGGGAAAGAGCTTGGTTACCCAGGAGCTTGTAGGCATACTGGATGGGCGTTTCGCATTCTTTGAAGGGGTAGGCGAAGTTTGTGTCTTCCAGCCGTTTCATCAGGAAAGCCGATGCCAGGAGCCTTCAGTTGTGCTATTGTTTCCAGAGTCAGTTTAAGGATTGTGCATATGGTAAGTAGGTATTACAGGTGAAGGGCGCCGTGCTGGGCGGAGGGCGTGGCCACGAGGTACTCGGTTACTTCTTTGGCGGCGTAGACGTCGCCGGGCAGGAGGTCGATATAGCCGAGTCCACCCATCACGAAAAGGGTGTCATCTCAACACAGTGATTGTGAGGTTGGTTCCCGTCACGTACACGTTTTCGGCAGGGGAAGATAATTCACACTTACTGGCGAGCGGGACGGCTGTCGGGCATTGAATTGCTCGTTAGCACCAGTTGCAGCTGGGAGATAGATGCTAATGATGGAACAGCGTACAGAGATTTGAGGCTCCATATTTCTTCATATGAACTCCACACACGTCCTGAGCTGTAGCTGGTTTGCCGATTTCTTGCAGACAACTGAATAGGTCGAAATGCACCGCGATAGGCACGAATCCAAGAGCAGGCCCCTAGGTGATGGAAGAAATTAGTGAACATTCACGCTGCTGACTGGCACCATCTTAATACAGGACTGCCTCTTCAAAGTGTTGAATAAACGCACAAGGGCAACCGTGTTCCTGAAGTGCTGTCCGGCTTTTGGAATCGACATGTTCGATGTAGAGACAAAACTGGTTAGAAACTGGGGAAGTGCTTAGTGACTGTTATGGAGGGTTTTGTAAACTAAATATTATAATATGTGTATTGACAAGGCCTACATTAGCTATTTAACTTTGAACAGGGACAATAGGGACAACAGGGTCCAGCATATTCTTCGATTTCCCTGTCACTAATCGTGCGTAGGCATAGGACCATCTCTAGGAGCGTTAAAGATGCAGCGTATCCTCCTTGCTGGACACAGGTAGCTGGTGCTTTGTATATATGCTACTACATGTAACTCCTAACTGCAGACTTACTTGACCCTCTACTAAGTGTCCTGTTTCCTATCAGATATTAGCCGAGTAGAGCCCTGCAATAGGAAAAGCGAATGATAATCACACGCCCCTTGCAGTCAATGTTGAGGTTTTCTGTTGACCACTATGTCCCAGTATTTCTCATGCCCTTACTACAACCTGTAAGCATCCTTCTCTTTTACCGGAGATTCGTGGTCGGCTGTAGTAGAAGCCTATCGCAGAATTAATGACAGGAGCTACCCTTTGGGAAGGATTCATGGCGGAGAATTCCTTGAGTCCACTGCTCCTATGCAGACGAACTATCTACTGCCCTGACTCCCAATGCGCACCCCCCACCTACTTTGTGACTGGGAAGCCACAACCCACGTCCGCTAACGTGCACAACAGGGTTGGCTAGCTGTGGGATTTACTCTGGGTTTAACAGTGGCTATCTTGCATCTCGGCAAGGGGTTTGGAACCTTTGTTGCGAAATGGGTGTTTCTGAATTCCTTGACTATGTTTGCAGCGAGCAGTGCGTTGTGCGGTGCGGCACCATCGATGAATGCAATTATTATGGGACGGGTTTGGGCTGGTGCTGAGGGAGCCGTGAGGTACCGACGGCAAAGTTTTTGCCAAAGACCTCGAAGACGGTGATGGCGTCGCTGACGGCCGCGAGAGCTGTTGGCGTAGACGGATGTGAGGAGTTGGCAAGGATGAACCCAATCATGGAAAGAGTCTTCCACTGCCATTGAAGGGCCTCGTACCAGCCTTTGAGGAAGTCAGTGGCGGCTAGAACTTGGCGCAGGACGTGTGTGATGGCGGTGGTATGATTGACGCCAGAGACTGCATGCTCTTCAGCGAGAGGTGTGTTATTGAAGCTGGTGAGTGACGTGGATGGGAAGCAGATGAAGGGCTAGTAGATGTTCATAGAGAGGTTGCGGTAGAAAAGCTCGGGGAGAAGCCGTTGGCGCTGCAACCACGAGGTCGCATACCGCTCCAGATCTAGTCCGGATCGGTTGGTCGAGAACGGCTCTCCACCATCCTTGCGTTTGGTCTTCATGGTGTCAGGGACACTCCGTAACCATTTCCGTAATATTGTACATCTGCGATGTGAGGAATTCCGCCAAGATTTCCAGAGACGATGAATCTGAGTACAGACTCTCGCATCATTGGCAGCCAGAATCTCAGCACGTCTATAATAAAATCCAAGATGAACTGGGTGAGCCGCTAGCACTAATGTCCTGAGGAGGCGGCTGTAGGTAAACCAGGTCAACTTGTTGCCACATGCTGCGTTGTTCGACACCGACAGTCGAGCCAGCTCATGATCGTCGGCGGGCAGTTGGCACGTCGCAGGCATGTCAGGCACGGAGCATGATGGACCTAGTTTCATGCATGTCTTGCTTTCAATTGTATACAGCGTCCACCAGATGCGCTTGCGCAGCTCTCGCTCGGGACGTGGTAGGTTCTCAGGCGGCTCGAGATGCAGCCCGGGGACATGAGCGGTGCGCACCGCGAGCGCCAGGGTCGTGTGCGCCATGTTCTGAAAAGAAGCGTTGCACAGGTAGACGACCGAAAGATATGACATTGCAGGGTGGTCGATGGACGGACTTTCCAGTTTCGAAACGAGGAGAATTTGCGACCGACGGTAGTACCATCGACCCGCGATACTTGCGTCGCTGGCGTCGACATGACTGTCGGGTCGGCCGGACCTGAAGGAGGGGTCAACTCTGCTATCCAGGGTTAAGGCAACCCCATATTGCATACACAGAGTTAGGATTATATCGACTAATGCAGAATGTTTTCATGTTGTGGCCGAATTGACCCAGAGGGGATTCATAATGCTCCCAAAACTCCGCCTCATCGACAATCTGGTAGGTCGGATAGTATGAATGCCAAAACAAGATTTAGAAAAAAGTCTTCCTCGATGCTATTGAGATATGTCTCCGACCCGACGGGCCTATCTGCGATCGCAGAAATCGCCGGTAGCTCTTCCAGGATGGGCTCTAGTCGAGGTAGGGCTGGTAAAGATGCGACTGGCGGAGTTGGGCTGTAGGTTATGATCGTCCTCAGCTTCATTGAAAACGGTGCTGGGATATGCGCTTATGCGACCGATAAAGTAGAAGGCCGACGATGGCCCATACCGCTGGGTTTGTGCGGAGTGTGCGGTACGTGTATGGACTCTGTCCTATCCTTTCCTTGTCCCCAACTGTCGGTTTTCCTTTCGAATCGTCAGGTCGTCACCGTCGGAGGCAGTATTGGTATTGGTGGCATTTTCTAGTTGTTCTTCAAGTCCCTGAACAAGTTGTCGTAGTCGCTCAATCTCTCTATTTGGGTGGCAGTTAGTTGCAGGTAGCCAACGCGCTCGGAGAGTGGGTACAACCTCTCAGCCTGGGGCAGTGTGCGGATTTCGGTCGCACTCTTTTCGCTTCAATTACTGCCTCGATTACGACAATTCTGACAGGGCAAGCTGCTGTCACACTTGATGCGATGCACACGGCACCAGTCGCAAGCCCGTGCGACTCGGTTGCGCTTAGAATGTGGAGGAACTGGGGTGGAGGTGGAGGAAGAAGACGATCCGATGGTGTGACTACTTGTTGTTATTACTCCGTACTGTCATACTGATTGGGGGAAATGGGGACAAAAAGTGGAACATGGACTTGTCGTAGCTCGAGAATAGGGAATTTGGTATGGATCCTGATGGATTCCTGCTGGGCTCTGGATAATAATAATGGATCCCATGAGTAAATCAAATATCTACCTTAATACTCCATCATTGAAGATGGGTGGTAAACGATCAGTCTATACATGTATTTGGTGGTTCTTTACTATTCCCCTGCTTTCCGCGTGTCAGCAAATCACTACCTCACCTATGCACCGGCATCTGGCTGTCTTAGCCATAGAGGCATCAGAGGCGGACTACTAAGTTATGGTACATTAATGAGGAAATAATATATCCAACTACAGTATGGCTACGCCTCCAAGGTGGTATATGTCGAGTCTAGTCTCTGCGTGCTCCAATCTTTCTGACACTGCCTTGTGTACAGTACCTCTTGCAGTTTGATATATATCTTCACTACCAACAGCCCACCATTATTTAGATCCATCATCCATTGACTGGTAAAGAACAAATAATCTAAGGGCTATCTACCCTAGTTCAATAGCTTCCAGCATCTTTCTCCTTTTCTCTAAAAGAGACATAATTATAAGAGCTTTATTCTCTATCTCTTATACTAGATTATAAGCCTGGATTCCCCAAACTTGGCTTATTAGTATGATATAACGTTACTAACTACTAGCTATTATCTAGAAATAATACTTCCTTTATAGCCTTGACTCAATGACTTCTATATAAACATGTAAGACTATAGCTATTAGGAGGAAGGAGGGGCATGTTAATCTCATCTATTAAATCTTTAATAGTAGTACCTAACTATATATACTTATTTTAGTATTTATTCTTAATAATAGCTAAAATAAAGTTACATAGCTCTAAGTGAGCATATATATCCTGCTAGACTATTGTGAATGAAAATAGAATATGGTATAGGAATGATAAAGGAAGTTCACCAATGCAAAGGGGAATACATGGCTTGCTTAGGTATGAAGGAACTTCAAGGAAGAATAGTAGTAGCAAATAGCTAAGGATACCTTAGCTTAATATCTTGATTCCTTGATTCAATTCGTAACTAGCTATAGAGTGATTTCAAGGGTGTATTTATAGGCAATTCCTAGTGGAAACTGCGCGTTGGATAAATCATGACGGTCGCCAAACTACTCGACCCTGCAGAGCTACAGACTGCTACGGGCCGCCTTGATGATTTCACGAGGGCTGAGAAGCACGCCACTAGAATGTCCATGGAAGAAGCTCAATATGGCACAAGTTACGCAAATCATGGTCGGTGCCGCAGGTTTTGGATCAGCCTGTTCGAGATGCGAAATGATGGCGTCGACAGAATACTACTATATCGCACGAAGGAATTTGACAGCTTCTCTTCTGACTGATAAGGCCCAAAGATTGTGGATGGTGGTACGACTAGGAGACGGAAGACCGCGAACTGACTTGCACACCAGGTGCAAGTCTCATATGGTCAACTATCTCTATTGTTGCGACCCCACGCAGTAGTGCGAACGAGGGTGCACTCTGGCATGCCTCGATGCACCGATTTAGCGCCTCAGGAGCCGGGGCTGTCACTATTGGGTGGGAACATGGCTGCGGAAGTCGAAGAAAGCTTAGCACTGCAGTGCTACCACGGTCCACAAAACAGTGGCATGGGTGCCTGCCAAGCATTTCCGCAGCCACAATACACATGGGCTAGCAACTCGGCGATAAATTTCTGGACGATTATGAGCATGAGACAGCTGTTCTAGAACTTATTCACCCTGATGAGTCATTTCACGTAAATAGATACATCTTATCCGGCATTGTCTTTCGATTGGAACCTCACAGGCGTGATTTCCTCTCAAGATGATTCTCACAAGAAGGCATTCCTCTTGTTGGATGCCTTCTGAGCTCAGACACCTTCATATAAGGACACTACCATGAGCACCCAATCATGAATGACCTTATGTGGCATACCACATAAGAAGGTCTAGATTCCGTGCATCAACATAAAAAATGCCTCTCGAGTGGTCAACTGCTCTGAGAGGTTTCGCTCATGGCGCTATAACTCATGCTGGTCTACAGACCACTTATTTGCTGCTCTACATCCGTTGCTGGAAGCGATCCATGGGAGCCCGCTACTTCCTTTGAACAGTCGCAATCATTGGAGCAGATACGAAGGAAATCCAGGTTCATCTTCGGGCAGTGATAGAATGCCCAATCTTCCGGTAAAGAGACAATAAAGCCGACCTCAGACTGCAGACAGATCAGGACAGCAGCTATAGAGGCAGCATGTGCACCTCAATGCTATCTTAGTCTGCATAGGCATGCCATAGGATGCCGTAGTCGTGGACTAACGACGCACTCAAAGATGCTTAAGCAAAAACTCGTACATATCCTCCAACTGGACTTGCTCATCGAGATCAAAGAAATGAGATAGGCCATGCACACGTTTGTAGCCTACCTCCATATTTAACCCCACCATCACACCAACTACTTCATCACTCTGATCAACGCCAACGTCTTGGTCTCCATCCGGATGCACAATATATGTTGGCGGTAGGCCACACTGAAAGATGCTCCTCGCAATGCGGAACTCGTCTCCGGACCGGATACGTAGGAGAGCGGCGAGGTTAGCTTTCTCCAGCATATAGTTGTACATTTTGTTCCGGCTGCTCTCGTCGCCGGGTGCGCTGTTAGCAACTACGTGGGATTGAGGATTCAGGAACTCGGCGATTAACGCGGGTCAGTGCGTGCTGCGCCCAGGGTGTGAAGTTGGGAGGTAGTGAAGAAACTCCCCAGGGGGTCCGTGATTGGGTAGATGCAAAGTATGACCTTTGGTTTAGGGCTGACATACAGGCCAGAAAGAAGTGATAGGTAACCGCCAGCTGAGCTTCCTGAGACTGCTAGGCGGTGGGTATCCAGGACACCGGGGCCCGTGTGCTTAGCTAGCTCAGTTCGGATGAAGGCTATACAGTCTCGGACATCCTCAAAAATATCTTGGACGCCTACTTGAGGGGCTAATCTATAATCGGCCGAGACGAATGCATAGTTGTATTTTGTTACACCGCGGATCATATGCGGCGGAATGTGCGTATCTCGTCGGCCCTGGCTGAAGACGGACGTGTTAATTATCAAGTTCCAACAAATGCACTATAGCCAGCTGGGACATACAGATGGCCACCACCGTGGAACCAAAGAAGGACTGGTAGTTTATAAGCATTAGGAGGGAGTCTCAGATCCAGCTGTATATGAAGCTGGCCGACTTTTTTGTAGGTAATTGTCTGCAGTTTCAAACTACCCATATCTGATGAAATGAAGTCACAGCTACTTCTCCTGCGCGGATGATGTTCTCATGCAGATTTTATGCGTGGGACTGGCAGAGGACCAAAGTCTTTTGAGAAAGACTCTCGGGAATATATGATGAAGAAGAGAATTTCGGCGTGCACTAGTACAGGCATGGACCAATAACATCCAGATTTAGGATTGGAAGACTTGCATTTATGCTGCAAGTCAGATTGGCTGTCTTCTCCGTCAATGCTGGACTTGCTGTGGGCACCTTATGGCTTTGCAATTTCCGGCTCGTATAGCACCGCCTCTGGACGAATCGGGCATCAAGATTGGCGGTGACTCATCCTCAGGGGTTGCCTGGTCAGTAAGTTAACTAGGTAACTTAACGTTAACTAAGTTGACAGGGCTTATTATTAATCAGCCCCTCCTGATGAGGTTGAGGGCTGCAAGGGTCGTGCGAAACATGAATAACCACATGACTACCTGCCAAACTGACACTGGATCCTCCCACAGATTATTCATCGCCCGCCTATTCCTCCCGTCTATTTTGTATGACGACTTTGAAAAATCCTCCACGATCACTCAAGAGTTCCCGGATATTTTAGTGATCAATATACACTCAATGGACATGCTTGAACTAGTCCATGGGAAGGTTCCGTGTCCGGCTCAGTCGCTGGTCCGGTGTGGGTCCTTGGGTCATGTCTAGTCATGTTCAGTGAAGGGATTGTTGAGCGCAGAATTAGCCACGCCCTTTGGCATCCACTCTCGGTTAATGACCTCCTACCCTGGCGTTAAGGGCCAATAGGTTCACGCTATGGACGTGCTTATGGATTGAAAAGCGGTCGAGAGATAGTACCAAGCATCCGCAGCCAAATTTGACATATAATAGGTTCAAGGTGTGTTAGAGCGGTCCGTTGGAGAAGTGGCTCAGCTACTGAGACACCACGTGAGAGGAAGCGTTAGGTTGGACCGTAAGTGGGTGTCAGCACCGCAGAGCTGCTGCTTACGGCTTGGGCTAGAGAGGTTCGAATCTCCACGGCGGATGGCTGACCCAAAGGGCATGTGCGCGTTAACACGATTTACCATTTAAAAGCCTAATACCCATTACCTAAATATCGGTGTACAATACCATGAACCATATTGGAAAATCAGTGCTAACGACTTGCTAAAACTATTGCACAGTGGCAACGACCATGGAACACAATAATACCATCCCAAAACTCTCTAACTCTGTGCTTGAACACCTGCCCCAGGCAGATATATGCAAGGCCGCTTTGGATCTGGCCTGGCGAGCGCTTCCCGAACCTATTTTCAATCATGTTATACGAACTTTTCTCCTCGCCCGATGGCTCTCAGAGAAGGAGGGCAGCGAATGGTGTCAGCCAAACAACCTCAGGCTATTATATGTCGCCTGTATTTGTCACGACCTTGGTACCAGCGATCTATATAATGGGAGCCAACGATTTGAAATTGAGGGTGCAGATGCTGCGAAAGCTCACCTATTATCGCATGGTATATCTGAAGAGTTGAGCCATCAAGTCTGGATAGCAATCGCGCTGCACACCTCTCCAGGTATTGCTGAGCGTATCTATCCGCTATCCCGCCTGGTGCGATATGGAGTCATGATGGACTTCTCACTAGCTACCCGCCAGGCCATGGGAGCTGTCGAATATTCGTCCGAGATCGAGAGTCACTTACCACGACTTGATATTGAGAAAGTCCTTGGCGATGCGGTTGTCCATCAATCAGAACAGTTAGACCAATGTGACGGCTCTACGTTGCCCGACACCACGAAGCATCCTAAGGCAAGCTGGCCAGGTATACTTTTGCGAGCACACCTTGATAACCCAAGTCATCGTGGCGTCAATCCAGCCTTTTAGGCGTTTCTCTCCTCAGCGATGATGTATCTACCCGTATCACATTTTGATCCTCATGGCTTCGCAGCTGGTAGTAAGATTTCAACAAGCATAAGTGAGAGGCTGTTATGACGTTGACAATGTTGGACCAGAAGCTTAAAGATCACAGGCTATCACAATGACACAAAGAGTCCAAGAAACACAGACATAAGTCCATAAAAATTAATTATTAAGAAAAGTTACTGTTGGAGCCGAGAGACTTGTCAAGATGGCTCTACAGTAGCTGGGTCCCGACGGGTTAATCAGCTCTACATATCGATAACAGGAGTATCCTGGAGTCAAGAAAGGCTTATATAGATATGCGAATGGGATGTTGTCAGGCCACGACAGCGACTTGGCCACATCTCCCACCCCTGGACCATCCAATGACTGAATCATCCCATCCAACTTGGCGTCAAAGCAAGACAAGGATTCTGTAACTAAAAAGGCCGTTGCGGGCGCGATAGTGATAGAATTGCTAACATGCAGTGGGAAACTGCCTTGAACATCAGAGTTAATTGTGCACTTTTATTTGGTCTCTGCCAAAGTCAGGTCAGGTTATTAAGATGGACCACCACTTTACAGGGATGGTCACACTTTATCGGTTGGGTCGTATTATGTGTATCCTGATTGGGTTACCACACTTAGACAGGATCTTAAGTAATCCTAGGTTAGTGCTGAGAGTTGTTGACCATCCAGAGAATATCTGATTTTCTTGGCCAACCCTTCAGTTTTCAAGGTTTCTTGTTGGACGTGGCCTAGTCGGAGCGCGCTGACCTTGTGACTGCGGCAGCCTTGCGGCAACGCACAGCTGCTGACTGCCCCTCCAATTTCCAACCTAACCACCTCTAGTCGAGACATATTTTTGGAAGCTCATACGCGCAATCCCAATAGCAAAGAATCATCTCTTATATCTTAACAGAAGAGTTACTGATCCTATGCTAAGTTTTGCTGCCATATGTCTGCGCGTGAATCCAACATGATATTCACACATAGTGACTACACCGTGGCATGGATCTGCGCTTTGCCGCTGGAAATGGCGGCTGCGAAGGCCCTGCTGGATGAAGTCCATCGGCCACTGCACCAGCCGAAATCCGACCATAATGTCTACACGCTTGGCACTGTTGGCGGTCACGATTTGGTCGTAGCCTGCCTACCATCAGGTGTATACGGGACGGTATCTGCTTCCACCGTGGTGTCACACATGGTTTCTACCTTCCCAAATATCCAGTTTGGATTGATGGTTGGTATTGGGGGAGGTGTTCCCAGCAAAAGTGCTGATATTCGCCTGGGCGATGTTGTTGTCAGCAAGCCAACTGCTGCCTTCGCTGGTGTTGTCCAATATGACTACGGCAAAACATTGTGCGATGGACAATTCCAGCGCACTGGGACTCTCAATAAACCCCCTCTGATCTTGTTAAAGGCTATGGCACAAATAGAGAGTGACCACTTAAGTGGAAGGAATGCACTGAGCGAAATCATAGAGGATGCACTGAAAAGAGAAGAACTTAGAGGAAGGTTTTCACGACCAGAATGTGACTGGCTATTCAGAGGGACATATATCCACGAAGGTCTTGAATCCAACTGTTCCGGATGTGATCTGGCTCAGGTAGTAGACCGGCCTCTGCGAAGTACTGATAAGCCTTACATTCATTATGGCTTGATCGCTTCCGGCGATCAGGTCATGAAAGATGCGAGAACTCGGGACGCCGTGGGTCAAGAACTAGATGTTCTCTGCTTTGAAATGGAGGCAGCTGGCCTCATGGATGAACTCCCGTCACTGGTCATTCGAGGTATTAGTGACTATTGTGACTCCCATAAAAACAAACAGTGGCAAGGATATGCCGCACTGGCTGCTGCCGCCTATGCAAAGGCTCTCCTGTCAGTAGTCCCTGCGAACCAGGACAGCAAGGAGCTACACAAGCCAAAGAAACCAGTTTGGATGGTCCCCTTCAGAAGGAACTCACGGTTCGTGGGCCGGGAAGAGGAAATTGCCAGAATTGAGGGTTTGATCATGAAACAGGATGGACCCAGCAAAGTCGCTATTTGCGGACTAGGTGGGGTTGGGAAGACCCAGATCGCACTCGAACTGGCGTACCGGATGCGAAATCGAGACACTGGATGCTCAGTCTTCTGGATCTCATGTACCAGCTATGAGGCTGTGGAACAGGCCTACATGAACATTGCATCAAAGCTAGGAATGACTGACGCAAAGCCGGCAGAGGTGAAGGAACAAGTCAAGACTTACCTTAGCCAGGAAAGCGCAGCAAAATGGCTTCTTCTTTTTGATAACGCAGATGATATGGAGATGTGGAACAAGGGCAATGCTAATAGCCCAGCAATGGCAGACTTTCTGCCTGAGAGTGAACGAGGCCACATTGTCTTCACCACACGAAGCCGGCAGGTAGCTGTGAAACTAGCGTCTCCTAATGTGGTAATGATCTCTGAACCAGACATGGAGACTGCTATCGACATTCTACGAGGATCGCTGATCAATAAAAATTTGCTGAAGGATCGTGATGCGGCCCTTGATCTCCTTAAGGAGCTCGCCTGCCTTCCACTGGCAATCACACAGGCGGCTGCGTATATCAATGAAAAAGATACTAGACTTTCTGAATACACCGGACTTTTACAAGAGCCAGAGCCGGATGTGATTGAGTTGCTAAGCGAAGATTTTGGGGACGACGGGCGGTATGAAGATATCCAGAATCCAGTGGCAACGACATGGTTAATATCCTTCCAACAAATTCAGCAATTAAACCAACTAGCAGCAGACTATCTATCATTCATGGCCTCTATCAATCCTCATAATATCCCGCAGTCCTTGCTTCCTCCTGCAATCTCAAGCAAGAGGAGAATTGATGCCATTGGCCTACTCAAAGCCTTCTCCTTTGTCAGTGAGGGTGATGGGGATCATTCTCTGAATCTTCACAGACTCGTCTACCTTGCCACTCGAAACTGGATGAAAACCAATAACAAGTTTCCCCTGCAAATATTGAAAACAGCAGACCGATTAAGAGAAGCTTTCCCAGATAATGATCCTACCAATCGGAAGCTATGGCGGGAATATCTACCACACGCACTCTCACTAATAGGAGAAGGGCGCTTCCAACTGGAGCAGGAGAATTACACCGATTTGATTCAGAAGATTGGGTGCTGTCTGTATAGTGATGGAAGGTACAATGAAGTAGAAGACTTGTTTATGCAGGTGTTGAAGATCCGAACTCGGCTGCTGGGGCCTGAGCATCCGGACACTCTATACAGTATGCACAATCTGGCGTCAACATACTGGAATCAGGGACGGTGGAAGAAGGTAGAAGAGCTAGTACTGCAGCTAATAGAGAGCCAGAAGCAGGTGCTGGGGCCTGAGCATCCTAACACTTTGGCCAGTATGCACACTCTGGCGTCAACATACCAGACACAAGGGCGATGGAAGGAGGTAGAGGAGCTAGAGATGCGGGTAATAGAGAGCCAGAAGCAGGTGCTAGGGCCAGAGCACCCTGATACTCTGACCAGCACAGCCAACCTGGCGTCAGCATATTGGAATCAGGGACGATGGGAGCAGGCTGAAGAGGTGGATGTGCAGGTGATGAATACTAGGAAGCAGGTGCTTGGCCCAGAGCATCCTGATACCCTAACCAGCATGAATAACCTGGCATCAGTATACCAGAATCAAGGGCGATGGAAGGAGGCAGAGGCGCTAATCATGCATGTGATGAATATTAGGCAGCAGGTGCTGGGACCAGAACATCCCGACACCCTGACCAGCATGTCCACCCTGGCATCAACCTACTCGAACCAGGGACGATGGACGGAAGCGGAAGAGCTAGGGGTACGTGTAATGGAGACTAGAAAGCAGGTGCTAGGACCAGAACATCCTTCCAGTCTGACCAGCATGACCAACCTAGCGTCAACATACTCAAGCCAGGGAAGATGGAAAGAAGCAGAAGAGCTAGAGGTGCAGGTGATGGAGACTGAGAAACACATGCTGGGCCCAGAACATCCCTCCACTCTGGTCAGCATGGGCAACTTAGCGTCAACATACTGGAATCAAGGCCGATGGAAGGAGGCGGAAAAGTTAGAGGTGTGTGTAATGGAGGCCAGAAATCGGTTAATGGGACCAGAGCATCCTGATACTCTAACCAGTGTGGCTAACCTTGCCTCAATATACTGGAATCAGGGACGATGGAAGGAAGCGGAAGAGCTAGAGGTGCGCGTAATGGACGCCCGAAATCGATTAATGGGGCCAAAGCATCCTGATACTCTGAACAGTATGGCCAACTTGGCTTTCACATATTCAAACCTGGGAAGATGGAAAGAAGCAGAAGAGCTAGAAGTGCAGGTGATGGAGACTAGCAAGCAGGTGCTGGGGCCAGAGCATCCGGACACTCTATCCAGCATGAATAACCTGGCGTCAACATACTCAAAACAGGGACGATGGAAAGAAGCAGAAGAACTAGAAGTGCAGGTAATGGAGACTAGGAAGCAGGTGCTGGGGCTAGAGCATCCGGACACTCTGACCAGTATGCACAACCTGGCCTATACCTGGAAGGCCCAGGGAAAGATTCAAGTTGCGTTGGCTTTAATGGAAGAGTGTGTTACGCTCCGTAACAAAGTATTGGGACCTGACCATCCGAATACCCTACTATCCTCTGAGATCCTCAGGGCATGGAAAGAAGTGGACATGAAATAAAAATTGGGCACGTTCTGATAATTATATCAGGGTATTCATCACTTGACAGAGCAAGTCATGGATAAAATCCAAAGACCATATCATTTGTCCTCTCTCAACTGTCGTCTGCTCTGTAGTTAGCCAATCTGGAATAATGAAATCGAAGATACCCACGACGTTAAACCCAGCCAGATGATCATCCCTTGAGACTCCCATGTGAGAAGCGGCACTTGGATAATTAAGGAAATCATGAAGAGAGGTTGTACTATCCGCCCCGTGAATATTAATTTCAGGATAAACGTGCTGCTGTTACACGGTTTGGTCACAAGAAGCCTTCGGAGAGTTATTGGGCAATGGGACAAGTCGACGTAGATATACCGAAACTGGAGTGAACAATCATACGAGGTCGGCCACACATATGCGGAGGACAGGGCCACTGTTCGGATAGGTTGGAATCAGATAATTTTCGGAACTCTGTGAAGGGCTGTTGTCAAAATACTTGTTATGAGCTATGCCTAACCTGGGCATGGTAGACACAATGGCGTGCCTCTTTCATATAATCTCCAAAGATGCTCTGAAGCTGAGACACAGTCGAGCCTGCATCAATGATGACGCAGAGCATTAGCTAGTCCCTCGGCGTAGTAGGTACTTCGTAGGACGGACGTCGCCGGGCATACACTCAGTAAGGTCTGAAGCCTTCTCCGGACGTCTGGCTGGGGGTCTAGGCCGACGACGGGCATAGGCTTGGGTTCTGAACACCTCGAGGGTCGGAGCGAGTGGAGTTATACGTTCCTGTATCTTGTTTCGACCCCGCTGGTCTACAGACCGCCCAATAACATGGAACGAGGAGACTCCAAACCCTGGATACGTCGGATAATTTCCTGCTCTTCCAAGGCTGGGTGAGGTGTGGCACCCCTACCTGTGCAAGCCTCGTCACTGTGTTCGGGTCAATATGGCACTGTAGATCATTTAGATCGCATATGTGCTGCTCTACATAGCCTGCCATCCGTTGTTGAAGAGATCCGGTCCGATGAGGATGATGGGGAGCCCGCTAATTTTCAAAAGTCACAGTCATTGAGGCAGATACCAAGGAAATCCGGGTTCATCTTCGGGCAGTGATGGAATGCCCAAACTTCCACCAAAGAGACAGAAGCCAACCGCGGGCAGCAGACAGACCAGGAAATCAGCTGGATCATGCAGAATGGAAAGGACTGAATGGAATAGACCACAGGAGAGGAAGACTGCTGAGAACAGAACACTGTTAAGGAGGGACACACTGAAGAGGTGGGACTGAGCCACAAAGGGTAATTGCAACAAAATGGTTGACAGGACACAAGAGTCACGTGCCTGATCAGGGGTGCTGATAGCCAACAATCGCGATAGGAACAAGATTTCTAATTCTCGGCCACTTCTGACCCACGTGCGGCTGTTCCGTCTAGGCAGAAATCCATCCAGATGGAAGCCTACAAGGTGCCAAGGGTCGCTGCGGCAAAGCTATGCTCGATCCAGTCTAAACAACAAGCATTTTGGGCTTTGACCCCGACCAACAATGACTGACAGAGGATTGTCAATCCAGGGCTCACCAAGCATTTAAAGTCCGGGCGCGTCCTGATTTTTATTTGGTCAATTGCTCATCCAACATGGCTTCTGTCACTGTTCTTCCAAGTGAGCTCCTCGCTCGCATCATCTCGTTCCTTGACCGGCAGTCCCTGAAGGCTATCCGGCAAACGAGCCGCCTCCTCTCACAGTTTGCTACTCCACGGCTATTCGACACTCTGCATCTGTTTCCGGACGAAGAGAGTTATGAGGCTGTCGATCGCATTACGGACCATGCAACGCTGAAGAAAATGGTCAAGAAGGTGTATGTCAATACGTGTGAAGATGACTATGTCAGTCCATATCTATCCCCGCGGATCGATGAGCGCGGCATGCTAAACAGGCTCAGGACGACTATGACGAGGAGGAAATCGAATTGACAAGCGATTTCAAGGACCGAATCGCCAGGTTCAAGGACTGCCCAAATGTGCAAAGCGCTGTCTTGCGGTTTGACAAGCATTGTAGTACAAGCCGCGAATACTGGATGAGAGAGAGTCCAGAGACCATCCGCTTTCGCACAAAATCTCTTCGTGTCTTTTTTAAATGGCTGGCCTCGTTTGAAGTACCTTTGCGCGAACTCGGGATTCGTAACATGCAAGATGTGAATGTCGGGGATGAAAAAATATCCGCCAATATCGAGAAAGTGCTGCAGAATCTACGCACTCTCCGATTAAGCGTCGTGACAGAGCACAATGACGCCGCCCCGGAGGATGACCTTGACTTCCCTGAGCCGCATGACTTCTTCGCGCAACTTCCATCCGTGTGGCTCAAACCCTCCGCGTCATCTCTCGAGCACCTGACGCTCTCCTGCGACAACTACTTCGGCTTCTATCCCAAGCTGGAACTAAGCGAGGTACATTTTCCGCACCTTAAATCCCTCGCCTTTGGTAATTATTGCTTTGTGCGGGACTCTCAGCTGGAATGGATCCTCTCGCATGCAGCCACTCTGACTGACCTATCCTTCGACGACTGCGCAATTTTATACGATGTGTGCCTTGCCGAAGAGCATCTCAACTGGGGACCCTTCCAGAAGAGCGAGATGGAAACCCGTCGAGAGCTCGATGGCCAGGTGTGGGTAAAGTACTACCGCTCCTACAATAAGCGGTGGCATCATTACTTTGACTCCTTCCGAACAAAGCTACCTCATTTGAGGCAGTTCCTGATCGGAAGCAATGACTGGAGTGATGGCGTCCCATTTGAAAAGGAGGCTGAAGTCAAGATCTGCTTGCGGGAAAATAGATACATGGTCTGCTATGATGGGTACGGACCCAGTCCGTATCTTGAAGAAGACTATGGCCGCCATGAGTGGGAAAGGGTGGCACCCAAGTGCGATGAGGAGGATAGGGACTCCTTACGCCTGCTCTTTGAGAAAACCGGGCAGAGAGTCGTCAAGATCCCATTCTTGAGTTCATTCCAAGATTATGTCAGCGAGGACTAAGAATTCCAAGTCAGATGCGGCTCGAAATCTGAGTTGCGGGAATATTCTCTCTACACACAGATCAATTTGATACACGATATGACATTATACGAATGTTGAATGGACCCTCTGACGACTACGTTCTACCATCTAGTTGTTTCCACAATCAAGCGTCGAAACGCCAGTCATTACTGGACCACTATTATTCGCTCCGTAGAACTGCTGCAGGACGAGCAGCACACCGTAGCAAGAAGGAACAAAGAAAGAACAACATGTCACTCAACAATAATCAATCAGCCAGGCCTTGAGATCACCAATGGTGGGACAATCGAGAAACAAAGAGCTCCGAAACTCCAGACGAAATTCAGCCGTGAACTTCTCCGCCAGCACGAGTGACAGAAGGGAATCAACCCCAATCGAAGAGAAAGCTGTCTCATCCGACAGCTCGGTCAGCTCAATTGCCGTTTCCGCCGCGATCATGGCCATCGCCCGGTGGACAATCGGACGCTCCGTGCTTGCAGCAACGGGCCGGAGGGTCAGCGGAGTGAGGGTGGTAACAGGACTACTGTCGGAGCTATCCATGACTGTTCGAGACAACCTGTGACCTTGGCGTGATAGTGTCTCACTGAGGACTGCGGATTCTTGACCTGCTGGGCCCACCCGGAGCGCATGCATTGACTCACTAAACATTGGGTGGTGGACTCTTCCTGCTTGAATCACAGCGTTCGTCGTTGTATCGGGAGGGCTAAAGAATGTGTTCAACAACGACCGGGGAACGTCCGGAAGGTGATACCGCCAACAAGGCCGACGATCTGGCCTTCGTGGAGGATGTAAACGTCGCCAGCGTAGAAGCCCGGCTGTTCTCGAATGGGCATCATCTTCACGTAGGACTGGTACCGAACCCCAGGGACCAACGGGCGGGTGAAGCGCATCGATTTCCAGCCTGGGGTGACATAAAAGTTCCGTCGGGGATCGAGAGCATTCCCACCATTGAGAATGAAGCCGGCGAGATGTGCCACGCTGTCGATATAATGTGGTGCCACGGTCCATTTGCCACCCGATTGCTCGGGGGCAGCGAGAGTCACATTGGCCATGGCTTCCAAGCCGTGTAGGACGACCATTTGCATCCCGCGATACTTCTCCGCGTAATCCACCAGGTTGTTAAAGAGCATGTACACCATGTCCCGAGACAACCGGCTGGCCGTGCCCTCGTCGGCGAGGCGCTGCAGCACGTCGATCCGACTGACGACCAAGTGTGCCACTGGAGACCATTCCTCCAGCCAAGCTTCGTGGTCTCCATATTCCGCCACCGCTGTAGCGAAGCTCTCCTCAACCCGATGGCCGTGCTCGTCTACAAGGTGCCACGACAAGTGGACCAGGCCCCGTGCGACGTCTGCTATGCCGCGGACCTGGATGAGCTGGGGCCGGGAGCGATCCTTTCGCGCGACCAGGCCGTGCTGTACTTGCATATTCTTCACATTGATGTCCAGTGCGACGGTGGAATTAGGCATGATGCTCGAGGAAAGGTACTTGGCCAAAGTGAAGGCAATGTCTGCATGGATCGCCTGTAAAAAAGGAGAAAAAAGGTCAGTCGGCATCAAGAAAGGGGTGCTGTCTGAATTACCGTGGTAGCTACTGCGCATCCATTCATCCTATGGCCATTCATCGCCTCGAAAAAGTCTGGGTGTTGGATATCGGACTCGACAATGACCTCTGCTCTATTGTCCTGAACTGATTCGTACACGAGACGATGCACGAGTGAGGTGCCCAATGCAGGTGGAATTGATTGAAGCCGATGATTTGCGGACGATGATGATAATGGTGATGGTTTGCCATCCTTCCGTAGCATCCAATCTCCATTGTACTGAATCCAGTAGTTCTTTGTGTTCCACTGGTATGCAGGGAGATCTATCAACAGGCGCAAGTCGCTTTCGAAAGGTGCATGCCACTCATGCCAGTTTAGATCCACCCCAAGGTTATGCAATTGACCCAAATTGCGCGCAAAGGTGCACCAGTTATCCTCATTACTGTTCAGACTTGCAATAGTCGCGGTTCCTGGCGGCATCGCGCTGCCCACAAAGCGGCTGTACGACGCATGCGGGCCGACTTCCACCCAGACGGTCTTTGCATCTACCAGATCCATGCCACGGGCCGCTTCAAGGGCATCGACAAACTTTACCGGATTGCGAGTAACATTGGACATATAGGATGGATTGATGGTCTTGCCATCAAAAACGCAATCGCCGAGTGACGGGGATATCACGGGTATATTAGGGGCTTTGAAGGTGACACCGCGGGAGATCTGCGCGAACGGGCCAAGGAGAGGATCCATCTGGGTTGAATGGAAGGCAAAAGGGACATCGAGCCGAGTACATTTATATCCACGTTGCTCGATGGCTAGTTGGATATTAATGATTTCAGCGCTCGAGCAGCTGAGGGTTATGTCGCTGGAGCCATTTATGCAAGCCACTTCATAGGGCTGTCCACCCAACACATCGCTAATCTGCTCCACACTCGCGCGCACCGCTAACATGGCATGAGTATTGGGAGTACACAGCTCTTGCAAGAGCAGGGCACGGCGACCCACGAGATAGATCGCATCGCTCGCGGACAGAACCCCAGCAGCATAGAGCGCAGCAAATTCACCGAGGCTCGCCCCGGCAACCACGCAGGGTTTGACACCCAAAGTCTCCCACAGCCGACACAGGGCAATACTCACACAGACAATTGTCAGGTGAGTGATTATAGGCTCTGCTTCGGATCCATTGTCGCTCAGATCTCCGGTGATGGCCCGTCGGAATGAAGGGAAACCATGGCTCAGACAGATAACGTGAAGGCGAGTGATCTGGAGTCGGAAGCCCGGATGATGCTCATACAGCTGGCGGGCAATACCTGTGTAGAAGCTGCCCTGGCCTGAGAACACAAACGCAATGGAGGGCGGCATGTTAGGAACGGGTCGATGCGTGTGCACAGCAGGCAGGTACTTATTCAACTCCTGCATAATACTGGACTGGGTGGAGCCATGGACGGCGACCCGATGATTGTGGTGCATGCGTCGGGCCGTCGTAGTGTACGAGAGGTGAGCGAGGTTTATAGATGGCCGGGACTCAAGATAGGCTAAGAAGCTCTGCAGATTATTCTTCAAGGAAGCCTTGCTCTTCGCCGATATCGCGACGATAAATGCTGTTCGGGGGTCTGCTTCAGGTTCAGGTCTTACCGGAGGCTCCTCAATGAGAAGGGAAGTATTGCCACCCGCAGCACTGAAGTTATTAACGAGTGCATACCGCTTCCGGGTGGGACTACGCGGCCAGGGCACCTGTTCGTAGGGGATTCGAACATTGAGGCGATCAAGGTCGGGGAATCGGGGGTTCAGGGACGTCTTGATGCCCACATGTTTGGGGATGGCCTGTCTCTGTAGAACCAAGAGAACCTTGATCAAAGCCATGACCCCGGCTGCCGCCTCTCCGTGGCCGACATTGGCCTTCACAGATCCAATGTACAGTGGTTGGTTGCGTTTGGGGACCCCGGGACTAAAGACGGAGGTAACCGACTCCATCTCTGTTAAATCGCCCGCCTGCGTGCCAGTGCCATGCATCTCAATAAAGTCAACATCCATGGGGCTCACTCCAGCCCGGTTCAGAATATCACGGTAGAGCTCGGCCTGGGACGGGGCATGCGGATGGGTTATAGAAATAGCCCTCGCGGAATGATTCGTTGCAGATGCGAGGATTACTCCGAAGATATGATCGTTATCCCGTTGAGCATCATCCAATCGTTTCAGAACTATGGAGCCTATTCCGTCTGCGCGGCAGTATCCATCGGCGTTGCAGTCAAACGTCTTGCAGCCACCTGTTTTGGACAGAAAATGACCCCGGCTGAGACCTGCAAAGCCGTCGCTGTTGGTCAGGATGTTCAGGCCTCCCGCCACGGCCATATTGGTATCTCTATGCAGCAAGAATGTACACGCCATCTGGATAGTGGCTAAACTGGAAGAGCAGGCAGTATCACAGTCGAAGCTGGGCCCACTAAATTTGAAGAAGTAATTGATCCGGCCAGGAGCAAAGGCACGGCAGCCACCAGGAATATAGTAGGTGTCGACCTCCTGGCCGGCATTGGCCTCGCGGTAGTCATCGCACGATTGGCCATAAAATGTCCCGATGCGTTTCAGGTGCGTCGCTTCCGTGCGGTTTGGGACAAAGCCAGCTTGCTCCAGGGCCTCGTACGCGGTCATCAACGCCAGGCGGTGCATGGGATCTGTCTGCATTGCTTCCCTGGGGGACATGTCAAAGAATCCAGCGTCAAACAGCCCCGGCTGATCGATGAAGCAGCCAAACGGAGTGAGACTGGTATTCCGAGACTTTCCACTCATGTCAGTATGACTTTCTACATCATATCGGTCCGTCGGTATTTTCTGATGCACATCCATCCCTTGTTCCAAAAGATCCCAGAACAGGTTCAGATCGTTTGCGCCACCGGGGAACCGGCAGGCCATTCCCACAATTGCGATGCTGGAATCCTCTCTACCTGTCGGCCCGCTTCCAGTGCCGCTTTGACAAGTCCAGTCGAGCAGATCATGCGTTTGAAATTGGCAATGGGGTACTTTGACCTGCCCCGACGCTACGATGTCTGCGACCACAGCACATGGACGAAAGGCATAAACGTGGCATTCACTTGGTAATGTATGTCCTAGTGAATCCAGAACCCCATCTACTGCTCGGTTCCAACGGATCATGCCCATGAGAAGGTCGCAGACGACCGACTCGAACAACTCGCGAGGCGTAGACGCTTCGAACGGCGCGTCGTCCCCTGGCGGAAAGAGAGGTGCGGCATCTACCATGATCTGGTCGAACGCTGCATCATTTATTGGTTCCATGATCCATGTCCAGTGACAGGAGTTGTAGAGATGGGGAGCATGACAGAGCCCGCCATAGACGGGCAAGTGCGCATAGCGTGCAGAGCGGAGCTTTTCCGAGACTCTGAACACTTGACGGAGCTCTGACGGAGGTCCGCTGATAGTGACGTTACCAGTGCCGCCAGCACTGATGAAAAGCCGGCTGGGGACCGGGTTATGCTAAGGGGTTGTGGGTTAGCTATAGTTCGATAGTCCATGGGAAGCGCCTACCGTGGATGCGTTGAAGAGGTCAAGTTCCTCTCGTACAGTATCCTCGTCCAGACCCATTACAACCGCGGCCCAACTATCAGCCGGAGCATCTGGTTCTCGTGCTTCGACGCTCTGGGAGGTCTCAGCCACCACTACTCCCATCCGCAGGGCTATCCGCACGGCCGCAGCTCCCAGCCTGGGGAGGTCTGCTAGCGTTAGTGAAGCAGCAGCGGCGGCAGCAGCCAACAAGCCGGTGCCAATACCAGTAAAACATGCTGTGCGTGCAGAAAACTTGAATTGGTCTGGTGTCCTCTCGTAGTGACTACGCCAGGGTCAACGACACTAGGTGTGATCGGGTAGATTCGAGGGCAATCGAACTTACGCAATGAGAGATCCAATCTCGATCAGACATAGCAAAACCCCTTCCAAAGCGCCAGCCAACGGCCCTCGTCTCCAATCCGGCAAAGCGGCCAGATCTAGTGCGCTATCCAACGGAGTCAACGGATTCCGCAAATGGTCCGGAAGCTCGCGTATCTCTTCGCGTAACGCATTGGTTGCTTGTACGACAAAAGCCCGCAAGGTCCAACCGCTCTCGGTCTTGCTCTGGCTACGAAGTCGCCGGAATAGATCCTGAATGTCCTCTGGGGGGAATCCATTAGCAAAGTGGAATAGAGCCAATCGGCTTGGACCTTGCATGTTGAATGTAGGTTAGGTCAACTTAGTGAACGCCCATACTAAATCTACAGTAAATAGCTGGATTACAGACCCTGTCTAGTTTTATAGACATAGTGCTGCTGCCTGAAAGAAAATCAACTTGCAGCTTTATGGCTATTTCATGACGGCACCCCTATTCCTCATCGCTACAACTTTTGCTACCTTGCCTGTCATGACGCTTATACAGCAAAGGGTCGATGAATGCGGTAAGGCCCAATCAATAGATCGAGGATGCGAGCGCACCTCCTTATGCGAGGGTGCCCTGAGTGAGTACGTATACTCCGAGGAGGACAAATCGAGAAGCAAGGACGGATTGCAAGCATAATGGATGGTTAAGAGTTTTACCTACAAACAGGATTCTCTCGGCTCACATTGGCGAACCAGTGCTTCTGGCCGCCCTTGAAGCGAAACCCTACTCGCTTATCACGCGCCATCTTCATGAGGATGTCTTTCATGTACGGCGCAAAGAATCGATCGGCCACATCCGCAGGTAGTCGACCAAAAATGGTTTCGATTAATTCTGCCTGCGTGGCGGCGCCATTGACGTCACCGACTGTCCTCTTCTCGCGCTGGATATTCTGCAACGCAAGTAGCACTTGCTGCTCACGACGTTGCTTCTGGGCAATCTCCTGCTGCACTTTCTGCTGCAGACAGACGATCACGACTCCATGTCCTGGGTATCCAGTTCGGCATCCCAGACTCTGGATCTTATGCAGGCTCTGCATATACTCTTCGAGATCTTCCACACCGGTCGTTCCATGACCAAGAACCGTGTCGCCGGTAAAAATGGCCTCCTCCTCCTGCAGAAGAAAGCACATGTGATCTGTTGAGTGTCCGGGCGTGAATACAGCGCGCACAGTAGCCCCCTCCACGGAGAAGACCTGTCCATCGGCAATGGCCTGCTGGCTGGGGTCCGGATGACATTTGTAGATTGAATTTGCGTCTCTCAGCTCGGGAAAGATACCGAACAAATGTGGTACCCCTCCAGTATGGTCGAGATGCCAATGCGTCAGTAACACCTTGGATATTCTGAAGTTGTGCTCTGCTGCAAGGGAGGTCATCAGCTGGTCCCAGCGTGCTCGACCCTGTCCGCTATCTATCAGCAGCCGTTCGACTCCCGTGCCCAGAATGTATGTGTTGGTCCCTTGAAGTTGCATCTGAGCGGGGAAGTATTAGCCGTTCTTCATGTTAGCAAGAGAAACCATTCAGACTCACCTGTCCCGGATTTCCGCCCAACACACGCATCACTCGGGGGCTTAGCACATCGACTTCAGGGAGGTCTGGAATGGACCTGGCCTGTGCGCCGAGGTAATCTTCGAAAGCAAAAAGGTTAGAGTATTGGTCCATGTTCCGGGGTATAATGGCCTGAGTTCAGCGGAAACTCTGTCGCAAGAGAAGGGAGGGCATTACAGCTTGATGAAACACAATTTAAATTCTCCTTATGTAACATGGCTCTATTCCAAGCTCTGTATATGTCGTAGGTGTGTCCGTCGTGTATGCAAGGGTCGTCCCCTTACATGATACCTGATCGTAATCAACAAAGAGCGGTCTGGTGGTGCTTTCTCATTGACGCGATTACGAGTATTAAATATTCCCTAAACGGCCATGGAAAGCCACTTCGGTCTCAAGACATCAACCCTTGACGGCACAATGATATCCTCTCAGGGCATAATCAAAATCGTCGCAATCACTGGCGGTGTGTGGTTATCCGGTAAGTAGTCGACTGAATCCCGTGCATCTACAGAGCCAAGTTCTGCTGACAAGGAGGCTTGCACTTGATGTCGCACAGGAAAAATCACAGCACACAGCCTGATCTCTGTGCCTGCTCTTCTTCAATCCAAGTCGGAAGATGGTCTCTCCTCCTGCGCGATCCTCCGAGTATGGCAACGAATCTATGAGCGCGGACACACACATAGCCCGCAGATTGCCGCGTGTACCTCAACAGCCTTTGCCTACCTGGCATGGTGTGCTTCTGACCGCACGTCGAGGCTGCTGTACGGCACCGCTGCGTCTTTAGTCATGGGGATTGTGCCCTATACACTCCTGTTCATGGGCCCAACCAATTGTCAGCTGCTGGAAAGAGCGGCAGCAGAGGGGGAGGAAAAGGTCCGAGGTGCTACTCTGGGGAAGGATCTGGTGAATGCACCTAGTGAAGTGACTACGGAGGAGCTGCTCAGTCACTGGAAATTCCTCGCCGGGATTCGGGGCTTGTTGCCACTAGCTGGTGGGATTCTTGGCTTGTTCGCAGCATTACATTCCAATGAAGGAGCTCTGTAGACCCTAGAGTTCAGTTATTGTACTGGAAGATATGTCAAGAATGGTCAAACACTGTCCTGCATGTCTACATTACCGTTTGCTCACTACTTGTGTTGAGTGATGCATGTATATGCGACTAGCTTTCGATAAACACCAGACGTAGGTAGGAGTCTGAAATGCTTTCGTATTAAATATGTTATATTTTCCAACCACAAAGACAGTATTGGAACAGCGATACCAGAGGCCTCACTGGATCTTCCAGAAATGAAGGTTACAGCTCCGTGTGGACCCCCTGGCGTTCCGCGTTGTAGCGTTTTGCCCTCTCGACGTTGGCCCTCACTGCTTCACCAACCACCTCGTGAACCGTGGCAGGGGGATATTTGACCGGCTCTCCCTCTTTCCGGAACCGCGACAAGCACTCGCAGACGTAGTCCGGGTTGCCAGTGAAGAAGAACGGGATCGAATAGCGCTCCAACCCGGACTTATTGATTACCCTATGTAGAGCCGATTTGTAGTTCTCGTTTGTCATGCGTGAAAATACATTGGCCAGATTGACGATGTATGCCCCGGGGACCGGCTCAACCTAGAGACCACGCGAGTAAGCAAAGCATTCGACAATATTTCCCATTGAGAGCGCAACACACATCCAGCCATTCTCCGGTGAGCTCGTCCAAAACCTGAAGACCGCCTGTTCCGTCTTGCAGGAGCAGAGTGATACAACTGTAGTCCCGATGAGCACCAGTTCACAGCCCCTTCTCAGCTTCACCCACAGGTTGAGGTGGATAGTGCAGATATCGTAGCGTGGCGACGGCGCCCTCAGTCAGGGGATTAAAGAATGTCTCCTCATAGTCCATCGTGAGGGCGAGCACAGCAAAGATATCCTTTGGCAGCTGAAACATAGCGTCGTAATATTCCATGGAGATGCGTTTGAACTCTTCTAGGTCGTCAAGTCCCTGGGGCCACCGGTTTGGTCCACAGTTGAGCTTCCTCCGAACACAGTACGGATGATCCTCTGGCAGGTCTGGCCCCAGGAAAAGTCCCTCCTTCCGGTCAGGAGCGCTGCTGGCTGGGACATGTGCGACTGGAAGGCCTCGTAGCCACGGGTGAGGGCATTGGGGCGTGCCAATGTCAGCTACTTGTCAGCGGGGTACAAAAGGGCAATTCATACTTCGCTCATTCTTCTTCTTTTCAGCGAGTGGTAGGTCGAAGAAGCGTTTGGCGCAGTCGAACGTCCGGCGCTGCAACTCTGGCGAGACTTTGTGGCCGGTGGTCTGAAAGAAGCCATTGCTCAGACAGCACTCACGCACTCGCTGCACGAGCTGGGTTTTGGCTTGGCTGTCGTTGCCATAGAAGACGGAGAAGTCGAGGATTGGAGGTGGCTGTGGATTGGTCATATTGAAGTAGTATAATACCTGACAACAGCCGGCCTGTCAACTTATATACAAGTGATTTTCTCTTCCAGCCCAAATATCCGGAGACATCACATTGACTGAATTCTTCTATGATATTGGGGCGGAAATTACAGTAGTATAGATGTGGTGAAGCTAGCTTGTAAGTGCATGCATTCAATGGGATAGCCAGTACGTACTCCTGTACAGGGCTTGGATATGGCCCTGTGCCTGATAGCGACGAATGTATTTGGAAGTGCTGATTTTATGTAACATGCAAGGATAGCCTTTGATTTGTATATTGCATCTCTAGTGAATGTCCACAGTGCACAGCTCTAAGCAAAAGGCAACAAAAAATCTGTTCATGTAGAGGATGAATATATGATACCTATATAAGGCACGGAGAATGGACACACTGGACCTGGGATTTGCCGAAAAGGGTAATTTTGAGGTGTCTCCGCTTCCCCGTACCGAGTAACTAGTAATTCAGCCAATCAGCGTCGGTATTTCTGTTTCTGACAGTTCCTGGTCTAGACTCAAAAAGATCAAAAAAAAGATCAAAAAAAGGAGGGGGCAAAAGGAGAAAAAAACTTCGACCTTTGATCTCCTTCAGAAAACAAAAAAACAAAACCAAAAAAAGAGGGCCACGCTCTATAGTCACATTTCTTGCCAGCCACCATGGGTAACGTAAGGCTCTCCCTGTATATCTGACCTTTTCTCTGGCTTACCACAGGGTAACAGGGAGCCAAAGCCGCCTCTAAGCGTGATCGCAATGCCAAAGATGCCAAAAGTACTGCAAAATCTCAGCTGAAAGTGGTATGTACCTACCGAATATGGCGAATGGATCTCCTTTCAAGCTGACAGAAAAACAGAACGAAGCTGCCAAGGACATCATATGCATTACTTGCAGGCAGACCTTCCTCAAGACCACGCGTGCTCCGGCTCTGACTGAGCATGCCTCAAATAAGCACAACAAGACGCTTCAGGATTGTTTTCCTGGCTTTGTAGAAGCCCCTAAGAAATGAGCACGGGACGTTGCACTTTGGTCGATGACTCTAAAACTTATGGGGAATATGTGCATCCTACGAGTCGGGAGAATTTGCTTTTTCTTTGTGTTTGTAAGCGGAAGTGATAGCGATGATGTAGCATGAATAGACCATTTGCATTGAATTAGAGATATGGTATGTAAAATCAGCAGGCAGAGAGAGTCCTGTGATGGAGGTAAGCCTGCTGTAGCCGGGAAATTCATTGTTGTATGGTGAACTCAATGACGGCCTTTTACAAGTTCCCTATCAGCTGCTCTATGCTGAGGAGAATGATAAAGATCGATACGGCATGCATGATTGCATAGATGATTCTACCTGAGGGAGAGTTGTATTGTTGTTTCACGATACCTTCAAACCCATCCTTACCTATAACTGACTGGGATATTTATTACGAAATTGCCAATGTCCGAAGCAAAGATACATGCATCCAGCGAAGATCGTCCAACATGAACTGAGTCTACTTGGTCCATACCCATATCCACTCCAGGAACCTCTTGCCGTTCTCCACGGTCAAACCAGGGTGAGGGAACTCCAGTCTTCCCTTTCTCCTATTACTCGAGACTTGGACACAATTCCGAAGATCTTTGGATCTCTCCGGACCCCATTGAGAGAAATTGAATCCATGTCTCCGGATCTTATAGAAGACAATAAGCAGGACGAAAACAGGGACCTGTCAAAATTCAATTAGCCGGTTTGCACTCTAGTTGCGGGCTGCGCAATATTTTCCAGAGCCTAAGGAAGAACGTACACTGATATAGGAGGCAATGAAGGTCCGGATATCGAATGGGTCTGTCAGGAAGGCACTGACACCGTTGAATATAAGCAAGATGATGCATGCCACCATGCCGAAGCCCGCCTTTAACCACTGCGCATGAGACTTGTACGGGTATCGCGGATGGTTTCGATCATATATCCCGGCCTGCGTCTGGGGATTGTTGCCGTACTTCTGCGCTTCGTCCAGTCTGAACATGAACCGTCAGCTGTGGCCAGGTTCGCGGAGATCCAGAGGATACATACGTCTGATAGAAGCATAGATAGGTCGCACAGATGGTAGCATAAACGATCAAAAAAGAGACGGTGCAGTTGGACGACAGTTCGGTCAATCTCTGATTCAGTACGTTAGCTGCAATCGAAATCTACTCTATTCGATGCGCGCCACTCACCGCACCAGGCGCTCCAGTAGGCCCCAGGTATGCCACCAGCATTACCGCAGCCGAGACTAGGACGGCTCGCATCGGGACCCCTGCACGACATTGCCGGAGCCTCCGAGTGATGAACTCCGGCCCCGTCTGGTCTCGAAGTGCGAGCGTGTGGAGGACTCGAGACGCAACATAGAGATTATCCGACGCACAGGTCGCCGCAGAGAAGAGGAACATTGCGTTGAAGAACTGGCCGAGGGCGGGCAGACCAGCCTCGACGACCGCAATGATGAAGATCGAATGAGCGCCACTAGACTGCCCCTCGCCGTTGATGAACGGGTGGTCAGTGGGGACAAGGAACGACGCGGTCAGGATTGTCAGCGTGTACAGGGTGATGATGCGCAGCGAGATCTTTCGCGACGCCATCTTCATGGCCTCGGAGTCGGCAAGGGCTTTGCTCTCGGCCGCAGTGACGGTGACCATATCCATGCCTGTGTATGAGAAGAAGGCTCGTACGCACGCCGTCCTATGTGAAGACGAGTGAGTCCATGACTCTGGTATAGATGCTGATCATGGAGTATAGTGCTTACCAGACACCAACAAGTCGTCCGGTCCCACCACTGATTGTTTGGTGGAGGTTCCCGTACTCATCTTTCACATGGTAGTCCGAGTTGAAGAAGGAGTACGGGGAATTCCAGTCTAGAATCGAGCCTATTAGCCTCATCCTCCCTCCGTGTTGAGGGGTATTCTTACACTTTGTCCCAAGCGGCTGACTGTAGTATGCATTGGATCGGGCTGTATCATTCCATGCCTGTTAGCGACGAGGCGGAAATCGTAGCTCAAAGTCACTCACGTTTCATGACATTCAAAGTGAGCATCATGACGGTCAGCATCGAGATGAATGTAATCTTAATGCATCCGACAATGTACTCGAGCTCCCCAAAGTACTACCATACGGCGTTAGGACAGCACCACAGCGTATGGCACTGCAACTCACCTTAACTGGAATCATATTTACAATGACAACGACCACCAGGAAAACGGAAATCCAGAGTGCCGGACTGGTGTCCATACCAGTGGCCCAGTTGATGAACGTGCGGCCATCGTCGTACTGAAACCGTATTGAGGCTGCTACGGTGACGACTTGATCTGCTGCCATCACGACATAGGAAAACCTTGACACAGTTAGAAATAGTCTTTGCACAACCTATGAGGGCCATCACCAGTAGATCCAGCCAACAGCAAGACCGACACCTCGATCCAGAAACCGCCGCGGAAATTCCATCATCGGGGCGTTGACCGGCATCAGGGCGGTCATCTCGCCCAGGGAGGAGATCACCGACGAAATCACAGTGCCCATGATCACGTAGGCGACCACTGCGCCTCCAGGACCAGCAGCAGCAAGACATTTTCCACTGGTCAAGAAGAGTCCTAGAGGGATATGGTTATTCGATCAATTCATGGTGTAGCGAGCGGGAGAAATACCATTGCCGATAGTTCTACATAAGTAAAAATGAATTGTGTCAACGATGGGTATTCTAGACAATTGTCAAGTAGCCAACCTACCCAGTAAATGCAATCATCTATGCGCGCGGAAACATGCGAGATTAGCCTGTGATAAGCGACGGTGCATTTGACGTTGCATTTGACATACATTGATCTGTCTCTCGTTCAAGACTCGCCTACAAGCCATCATAAGTCAAGGACTTTCTCAGGCTGGCTAAGCAATGGTCTCTCACCAAAGATTGTGACCTTTCTGGTCGCGAACATCTTCCTCTTGTGGTCCATCACCCGCAGTGTCAGTGTAGTCAAGATCAAACCCAGGACTCTGTATAGTGGAGCCCTCGTCCTTCATGTCGTGCTCGGTGTGCTGCCAATCGGCCGCCATTTTCGACGACAAAAAGAGCGATTGAGTTGGAGAACTGGTATACGTTTTTGTGCCTTTATCTGCAGCAGAGGAAAAGGGCGGGATGAGGCAGGATGGAAATACTTCGGCGCTGCTTGGCCTGCCTCATGCGCATCCGATCTGCTCAGCCTGCTCAGGATAAAGATAGATCGCGATACCACCCACAAACATCGGGAATACGAGCTCGACAACTCAGCTTGTGATGAACACCAATAATCGTGGGGAAGATAGATTAAACACTGCATGAGTTGTCCAATCATGTTAAGACGCGGGATCTTCTAATGCAGGATTCGCGTGTTAGCAGGCCGGGGACAGCCAACCACCGCATCTGTATGGATGATAAGGATCCTGGCCGTGCTCCTGTTTGTCCCACCAACCATCTCCTCTCGGCCATCACATTCCAGTTCATTGCCCAGCCTGTGATTAAGCCTCATGCGGGGTTCACCAGGCGTCGACCATCGACGATGAAGGAAAATGGAGTGTCTAGCCTGGCCCAAGCGATCCGTGCCATAAGTTGAATAGTTCCCCACAAGAATCCACACTGAGGCTTAATTGCGATCTCCCACGAAACCGGGAAAAAGCACTCCCTCGTGTTCATTGCTCTTCAAAAAGGAAATGGCGACGGCTTCGCCCTCGCCGATATTTTCGAGTCTGTCCGGAATCTGGAGTCTGTTGGCTCTGCGCAGCGACATCGACGATATCATCCTTGAGCTCCTAGGTCGCTTCAGCCTCGAGAAGATCTACGCAGACGCAGACAAAGAGTCGTATGCGGACTTGATTTTAACCTTATTAGTTCAGCTCAGAGTAATATTCTTCATCCAGCGCCTCACGCTCCCCCCGGCTGGCAGCATCCCCGTGGATTGGTCACTCGGCTTCCTGGTGAGCTGGGAGGTGACGGTGCGGACGGTAGAATTCATCCTCCAGATCGTCTTGGAAGCGCGCGAAGTTCTCTGGGACTCCCCATTACGCGACGAGTATCTCTCGCGGCTGGTGCTATCGACCGTCCAGATTCTTTTGCTGCACCCGAAGCCCCCGCCCAACTCGCGGCTCAGAGATCGTCGAGACCGATTTGCGCGGGTCCACAGGGCTCTGGAAAGAGTGTGCGACAATTATCCAGATACCAGTTCATCTTTTCTAGCAGTCTGTCGGGCAATCGCAGACGCTCTTCGCGCCGAACCGGATGCTCTGTCGCTTCCCCCTCGGTTGAAACAGGAGTTGCCATCCTTGACAGGAGATCTAGTACGTGATGATTTTCCGTTGCTGCCAGGTTACTTTGGCTGCCAACAGACATGCTGATGTAATTGCTGGTGAACAACTAGTATCCTCTGCCCGACTGCCTCTCGTCGTACTCCGTCGCGACCATCGTCCCCCAGCAAGGTTCGTCGCAGAGCTGGTTATCGCAACTTCTGGGTCTGTACGACGTGTCGCAATTTGTTGTCGGCGCGAATATTCAGTCCGCAGTGAATACCAGGAAGTCCTGTGATCCGGAATTGGAACGAGCATCAAAGAGCAGTCGCGATGCCGTGCTGCATGCTCTTAATCGCATCCGCTTGCCTCCCTACGTCTCCGCGGGCCATCTCATCCCGATGATCAGTGAGGATTTTCGAATAATACTTCCGGATACTCCTAGTCTCGCACAGCACCGGCACGATGGAAACATGGTTGATGCGCTGGAGGCGTTGCGAGAGCGACTGGGTCACCGACTGATGGTTCACCGCGTCAGTGATGGAGCAATGATGCACAGTGTGTCCCAGATAACTAAATATATTGAGCTCTTGGACGACCCAAGCGACCAGTTGAGGTCGGCCAGCCCGGCATTGTACGTCGTTAACTGCCCAGAGTGCCATTTACTAGGCTCTTCACAGGTCCGAGAAATCGCAAACCTGACCCACCTTGTATGTAACCCTTGTTCTTGCAAGTCGTGACCTAGCCTGAACCGATTTTTAAATAGGATGATGCCGGCAGCGCATCAGGAGTTGCCCTCCCCCTTGAGTCCAAGTGCGCGTTCTGTGGCTCGGCAGTCACCATGGTACGTGAAGTATCGCTAGCGAGGTATACTTGGGAGCATCTCAAGCCGCTCAGCCCAAACGTCGAGGCCATCAATGCGGAAAGGCATCTACCCACGCAGTTCCTGTTGGCGCCATCGCGATTCGACCAGCTCCGCCGTGACTCCGGGACGGCATCAGGACCGTCCTCCCCGCCTCCCTCTGGCTTCTCTGGCTTTCCTCAGGGGCGAATAAACGCGCCGCGCGCGGAACCTTGGGTCGATAGTCCACCCCCACTGGGTAACCGAAGGATGAGCGAAACTTCTCCCCCGAGAACTGTCAGGCCGGCGGCCGGGGAACCTCCATTCTCTGCAGATGCCGTGGGAGGCTTTGAACCCCTCAGCAAAACGACCACATTCACTCACACCAGCTCATCATCGAGTGCGGGCATCCGAGCCCTCTCGCCTCCTGCTATGTTAGACAAGTCACGGTCCAAATGGAAGCCCAGATTCACCTCTTCGAAAAAGGAAACAAGGGACCATGCAGACACCAGCTCCTTGTCTTCAGCGACTCTAGAGAGCCAGAAGCTGGAGGAGATCGACTTGAAAAGCCTCTGCCGGCGAGGCAAGCATTCGGCTGGAGGAAAGTTTGCCCAGAATATTAAAGTGAGTCTATCACAAGACTCGACATACTCGCTGTTCTGGTCGCAATCCTCGATCCAGGTCTGGGATCTCAGTACCTGTCCCCCTACGTTCAAGGATACCATCTCAACGGATGGATTCTGCATTCTTGCGGCTGTGACAGGAACACACGTGGCCTATATGACAGGAGACCGAGATCGGAAGCAGACGGTGAGTTTCCCTGCACCCCAATGCGATGATCACTATTTAATTCATGTGTATGCGGCAGCTGTGGATCCAAAGTGTGGACAGGATGTCCGCACGTCCAGTGGAGTATCGTGTAGGGCCCACACCCTGGTGCACATGCATGACCGTCTCTCCCAGCGGAAGCTTCGTAGCTGTCGGATTCGACAAATCGACCGTCGGCTTGTTCGCCCCTTCTGAATGGCAACAACCGCGGCTCCATCGCGTGCACGCTCGCTATCACCAGGACTGTAAGGACTGCCCTCCAATCGCCACCGTCTCATTCTCCCATGATGGGCTCGTCCTGGTGTGCAGCACCCGAAGCGAACGAAACGGAATGATTCAAGTGTTCTTGTCGCATTTCCCATTCTCTGACTTCCAGGAGGTTTTACCTTGCCGGTACCGCGTCCCTCTGCACGAGTCGGAAGATAACGGCATATCGTCTGTGCTCTTCCAGCCGGGAATGGGCGGTAAGGAGGATCTTATCTGCATCACGACATGGACCCAGTCCGGCGTTCCCATTCTGGTCCATCCCAACGGGGGCCATCGCACAGATATCCGTATGCAAAGTTCCGCCTCTTCCAACCACAAGGGCAAACTGGGCAATCGTATCCAAGCCGCTGCCTTTTCACCATCGGGAAATGAGCTCGTTCTCGTCAACGACAAGGGCCACGTATACCGGGTGTCCAATTTGGGCTCTATCCCGATTGAGGTCCGAAGGGTTGCTACGTCCAAGGAGTTTACTGCCAAGAGTGAATCCTTTGCATTGACATATGTGCACCAGACAGACGAAGACTTGATCCTACTGTCCTGGTCCGATTCATCGAAAGGAATTGGCTACGTGAAGAAGATCCCAATTATAACCACAGTACGTGCTCTCAGAAGTCTCGCCGCTTGATCTGTACTAATCTCTTCTTTGTCGCTTAGGGGGAGATCCAGCACCCTCAAAAGTCGGACATTGTCAATATCACTGTCCATCCTAGCCAACCAGAACTTCCCGAATTTCAGCCACCAGAGGACAAGGCTCCTGAGAAACGCCGGGTTTTAGTCAAGCCCCCGGTAGAGCTCGAGGCTTCCGAGATTAGCCCCCCGCCGGTCCAACGGCCTTCGAGAATGGGTCTTTTCGGATCGTTGCACGGCAAGAAATGAAGTGCTTCTGAGATTGGTATCCTACTACCGACCATGGAGATATGGTTGTCCAGGGATGGGAAGAGCAAGGACACTGATACACGGAATATGTGTCCCCTTAATGCTCAGTCGTGGAATCGACTCCTATTACTCGCAGCGAATCCTGCTGGACATGGTGAATTGTGATGTACTTCTACCCTTCAGTTTAATGAGGCGATCTTCGGTGCATCCTATCGTCTCTACTGCAGGTAACAACTCTGGTGCTCTTCGTGCAAGGCATGACCTGACCGTATCTCGCAGGAGTACTAAGTCAGATGATGACGGTGAATATGTGATGATAAGCCTTGAGAAGCTGGCAGGCTAATGATCTCGGCAATTCATGAAGGAAGGATAAAAGAGGGACTATCCGTCGAAATGATAGACAACCGCCAGTCGCAACGGATCAAAGCAGATGTTATGATCTACACTCCTCTACTGAGCTGGGTGTTACCATATGTCGGATTCGTATCGATAGGATGCTTTTGGCATTTAGTCAACTTGACTTTCTGTTCTAATAATCTATTTTTTTCCTTTGTCTTTTGAAAGAGGAACAAATATATACACAAATATTTGATAATATCATCCTATGAGTTGTTTCCCGTGACCGCTCCCCAGATGTAGGCCACCCAGCCCCCAACCGTCAGTAACAGGAGCGCCGTGAAGCAGGAGATAGAAATCAATTTGTTGCGAGCGTAGCATGTCACTGTGTGTCGCTCACGAATCATGCTAATATGCTCTGGACCTAACGCCAGCCGTTGTTTCCTCGTCCATTGCAGCGGCGCCAGGCTGTCAGTCATCAGAGCCGCGAGCAATATCGCCAACCCGACAGCAACAGAAGCTGCAGCGAGGAAAAGATAGACTCGGACTACTCGTCGATACGAGTCGTCGTCAGCATCTTGCAGCGCTCCGGTAATGATTCGGATGATGATGTTCATCCTACGGCAAGGTTAGTTTCTCTTTTGATCTGAATGCGAAATGAGATCCACGTACGCATTGTTCATTGTAACTTTGAGGGCATAAGCAGATCCAAAGACTGACTGATGCCATAGTGTCGTGCGAATGCTGTCGATGATCGAGGTTGGGCCAAACGACACGGCAATAGCGTATATTCCAAACGAAGCGGCGGTTCCAGACTTGGTCTCGGCGAAGTTGACCAGAACCATGCTGAGGAACATTCCGATTCCACAGACGCATACTGGGATATGTCAGACAGGTTAAACATATGGTTGACTTGGGAAAACTTACAAACACTGGCGCGGTTGCCTAGGACATCGATAAAAACACCCAAACATGGGACCAAAAAGAAACCTGGCAGAGTCAATGACGGAACAGACTGAACGAGAGACGCTGGAGCATCATACCTGCATATTGTGACAGAGAGCTGTACCACCCTGCTGTAATTGAGTCCACATTGAAACGCTTCTCTGCCAGCTCGGTAGCATTCTGGCTAAAAACTGAGGCAGTAGTTGTCTGGAACAACGAGAAGGCCATGACAGCCCAGAACATCCAAGGGAGCTGAAAAATTTTTTGAAGTTCGAATTTCTTGTTTTTCTCAGTCAGGACTTCCTTAGTCGCCGTATCCTGCCTTCCTCTGTAATGGATATTGCAGTAGCGGTTGAAAAACCAGAAGATGACTGTCGCAGCGTTGGTGAAAAGGTTCATAAAGACAGCGGTCCAAAAGACCCAAGCAAAGTTTCCAGTTTTCTATCCAAGTTAGTGATGCCTCTTCAGGTCGTGACAGGACTTCCTACCTTGGCAATGACATTGGCAGTGGATTTGCCCACAAATCCACCAATCTAGAAGCTTAGGTTAGCGTAACATATCTTACCAGAACCGAGTAGGATCGCACCTTTCCAACCGCCAACTCAAAGCCGAGAGTAGAAGCAAACCCATTGCTTGGGGGAAACCACGAAGAGAACATCTTGTACTGAGCGATCTGTGTTGCAATATCTCCAAGCGCTAGGATGACTCGACCGCCGATCATGAAGTTGAATGAGCGCACTGTGGTAGCTGCAGCAACTAGGATCGATCCGATTGTATAGACGGCATTGCCATAAATGATCATTTCTTGAAAGATGTCAGTCGCCAATAAGGAGGCGTGGGATCAGCAAAGGTGTTGACGGACCTGCACCGCCGATTCGATCCGTGATGACTCCACTGATCAACAAGAGCACAGTCGCCATAAAATCCTCGCTGGCCTCCAACAGGGAAAATTGAGTGTTGGAGACATGCATTTGCTTTGGCGCGTCAGTGGTTGCCCTGTAGAGACGGGACTATCGAAACCTACCTTCTTGATGGTGCTCTTCATGGCCCCTGTTACTCCGGAGCTCCAATGAGAGCCAAAGCTGATGCATGAGATGAGAAATACAGCAAAGATTTTAGCCAGTAATGGAGGTGGACGTTTGCCATCAACAGCAGTATCGTGCTCTTCCTGCGAAGGGGACGACACGGCGGGCTCTTTTGTCTCCATGGTCGACTTGACTGCCTCCATGACGACGCAGAAAGCAACGGAGTAGAACTCCTGTTGAATAGAGAGGGAGGGAGGGAGGAAGGGAGAGAAAGATAAAACTAGAAGAGGCCGGATCTCATGGACAAAGAGAAACAAGATTTAAGATGTCGACTACAATGACATAGACTGGCGAGCAAGTTAAGTATTTGGAGGGAGCAGAAGATGAGAATTCGATCAGATAAGATTCTGACGGACACGCAATGGGTTGTGGGACACTCCCACACTCCAGCATTCTCATCGCTGCTAAAGCCCTGGTGGGACTGACTGTTCTTGGTCGGTCACTTTTATTGGTTCGACGGTCCAGGCCAAGACGAACTACGAGCAGATTTGGCTCAACAACCGTGTGGAACGAGCTGCTCATTGGCCAGAGTTCTGAATTGAGTATTGATTGATAAGATTCGGTGACCTTCCGAAGCTCCTAGTGGATCATGTTACCTAAACCGATTTCGCAGGATCAGATTACGGGAGGACATGCTCCGATATCGACCGATTTCCGGTTGTCGGATGGGCCCATTGACCACGTGGTACGTCGATAAATTCAAGATGAAAAGGCTTGGACTCTTTTCTTCGATTGCCCGCGGAGTTGTCTGTGACAACTGCAGAAGCTGCAATTCCTGTTGACCGACGAAAGAGAGGAGAGATCGCTCAGCCATTCGATCAAGCACAATAAATCTGAGGTATATGCTCCATCCGAGCCACGTCCTCAGCCAGTCCATTGTCTGTACAGAAGGTTCTCAAATACTCCGCTTTTCGTACTCGGCTGCTGCAGTAGTAGTGGGGATCCAAAAAGGACTACGTAGCTAGCAGTAGTCCAGATCCTGGCCCTCCAGCACTCCGCACGCATCAAACTACTCAAAAAAGCCAAGGCAGTATAAATCCTCCTTAGTCGAAGCTAAATTAATTGAATCAGACACCGACAGCGTAAGGGGTGCAATGAGCGAAATCCTCCACAGAAAGTTGCAGTTTTACAGCATTCTCAGCAACCGCGCACACTCAAAATGAAATTCAGCCATTGGAAGAATCGTTACTACTTAGCTAGTCACAAAACAGTACGGACACCTTATCATAACTGATGGGCTTACATAATGATTGTACAATGGATATATATATTTTCAACTTGTCGACTTATGCTGAGGTATTGAACCTCGTTGTCAGACATAGACTGACAGCCGTCGATCTTCCCCTATCTGATAAGGTGTATCACTATGCTTTTAGCCATGGAGCAGTCACAGCTCGGAATAAATGCTAATATACCATGATGCTTAGTTTGATTAGTAACCTTTGTGAACGAAGACTGCCGATCGTACAGTATATATGAGCAAGGTAACATGGAGGGAATTCCAGCAATACCAACCAGCGACATATTAATTATGCAAAAGCTGCTGATAGTCTGAGTTTTGAAAACAAGACAGAAGGAATTTGATATCCGTCATCACGCAGGATATCTTTACAGAAACGCCTTACCGGAAGAATATGGATAGAAAGAAGACCCTGTCGGGGAACTCTCTTCCAAACAGCTGACCGTAGAGATGCCTAGGATGCAGTGCGACACTTGTGCATCAACGAGCTGGCTCATATGACTGACACCCATGGGAAATTATGACGCCACTTTAGGCGTCAGCATGACTTGGACCTTCGAAATATAGGGCTGATACTATGGACGAAAATAGCAACCAGCTAGCTTTCAACTCATGATGTCTATTTTGCTCTTCACTTTCTACAGACGAACAAGGCTTGTGTAACTCTATTTCGTGTGCTCGTAAAACTGGAGAAACTCATCCAATTATAACAACTTTCAAAGCCGACACCCTCCAATCAAGAGAAGCTTCGTATTTGTCTCAGAAGCTGTGCCATATGCCAACCAGTTGGCTGAGACCAACTCGGTCAATGCCGAAGGTGACTCTGAGATGTCTCATGCAACCGATCTTTACCCTTCGATGGTCCGTTGTGCATATATAGAACCACGATACTCTCGTAGTCCCCAAGGACTCCAATACTCGACTATCAGTCCATCACTGAATCAATCAAACAGGGATCACAACCTCATACAATGCATACACCAACTCCTCTCACCGTCTGCACTGTGCTTGCTGCCCTTGCCAGTTGTATCACGACATCATGGGCTCAAGATGCGCCTGCCATAAAGGACTCTACTATCCTGCGCTCGACTGTTAGCTGCCCCGACTGCCCGGAGAGAAACTGCTACAAATGCACACTCGGCCACGAGAAAACACTCCGCGCAAACACAGGCGGCCTGGCCTGGGTGCGCTTCCTGGTTGGCTTCAAGCTCCCTGTCCCAGTTACCCATGCAACCAAGTGCACTGTGCAGTTCCCTGCCTTCGTTCGGCCTAATACGTTCGCCGTGAATGTAACAGTCGCCCGAGCGCTGTCCTCGGACTGGGATGAAGATACCGTGGATGGCGAGAATGCTCCTGACTCCGGCGATATCTTTACTAGCATGTTGCTTGAGCCGTATCAAAACATGCAGGCAATGGATATCACAGCAGCATGTAAGGGCGCGCAGGCCGACGGGGAATTTTCGATTTACGTGGGCACTCAGTCCGACAGTATTGAGATCTGGTCCAAGGATTCTGGTGCTCCGGCTATTCTCCATGTCAGTGGGCCTGCGTGCAAGGCATCCTAGAGATTCATCTTACTGCTGGAGTGAATGATGAGACTGGAGTGACGGCTGTCACGCCGTCACGTGAACGAAAATAATGATAGCTATTTGCTGATTGGGGTCTTTAAAGTGTAATGTTCTTAATGTTTAATTTCCATTTGGAAAGTTATGACCCTCTACGATACTATCATTGTATTAAGCATGGTCTTATGTATCTATTTCTAGTCCTCCCGGGGAACTGCCTATGTAGGGACCAGAAGGTCAAAAGCAGCACGGAGTTGCATATACATGATTGGCCATGATGTTCATTTCATAAAACAACAAGGAATCCTTTATGACGACTATAGAATACAAAGTCCAGGAGCTAAATAATCGATTGTAAAAGATAAGGTGTACTAATATCCTCGGATCTATGGGATAATCATCGACGTCACGGAAAGCTTAACGAGGGATGGTTGTACTATTGCCACACTTTATCGACATCTCCACGACCGATTGACTGCAACAGATGACTGTGCCAGACTGACTTTTGTCCAACCAAAAGAATGAAAATAGACTGCGTCTGTGGCTATAAGAACGCACCCCCATGTGACTGTTTTGGCTATGTCACCGGGCACTAACTTGACTTTCTGCGACAATCCTTTTTGGTAAATTGGAATTGGAATTTACTATTTTAGGGATTGATTCCTACGGCTATGGCTGTACCTCTGGACTACGTCTCAGAGGGTCCGGATGGTACTCGGATTCAGAAACAGCCGTACTGGAGGCTCATCTCATTGGATAGCTTTGGTCTTCACAGTTTCTGAGATTCTGATCTTTATGTCCCATACTACTGATATATGAAATTTGATTATTGGAAATGTTTTGCCGCAGGGTCTCTCAGCTTATTCATTATGTGCGCGGATTCGGAAATCCCAAGTCATGGATCCTAGTTTGACTGTTACACATAGGGCGGCACAGTCTCCAAGCAGCAAGTACGGCAGCTGAGCCTCCTAGAACACCACTCGCACAAACTTCTCGAGCAGGTAAGATTAGGTTATTCAATGTCATCGATTATCTGATGCTCAGTGTTGCTATTATGAGTATTCAATCCCAGTACCACACGGATATGTGGTCACAAACCCGGGGGATGCGGAGGCTGTCGTGTCATCAATTGGTAAGCCCTCGTTGAACTATTGAGCAATGCTGATGATCTTCACCAGGTGCGCCGTCGGTTCTGAAGTCGCAAATTCTGGCTGGAGGACGCGGCAAGGGAAAGATGAGCAGTGACGGCAAAGGAGGAATTCGAATCGTAGCAACGTGAGTGCAGTGGAACCAACTCATTTGATCCCAGGAGTTGACAGAGAATAAACAGACCAGAACAGGCGTTCCAGAATGCGTCCAGAATGCTTGGTCATTACCTGACTACACAGCAGACGCCACCAAGTGGTCTGCTCGTCAGGAAATTGTATATCTACAAAGCAGTCGACGTCGAACAAGAGTTTTATCTTTCACTGACGTTCGATCGCGAACGATACAGCCCGGTTATCCTCATCTCTGATCAGGGTGGTGTGAACATCGAGTCCAACCAGGACAAGCTGCACAAGTTCTGGTTTAACCTTTCCCGGGGCATCACTGCCGAAACCATGGTCGGGATTCAGAAGCAGTTGTGCTTCACAGACGAAGAAATGCCGACCATCGAATCGATAATCAGACAGATGATCAAGCTTTTTGAGGAAAAGGATGCCATTCTTCTGGAATTGAACCCGCTTGTGCGGACTCCTGAGGGAAGCTTTGTCTGTCTTGATGCCAAGTTTGATTTTGATAACGCCGCCCAGTTCCGTCAACCTGAGATCTTCAGTAAAGAAGAACGCATGCCGGGCTTTGAAGACGAATACGAGGCTCAAAAGCATGGTCTAGTATATATCCACCTCAACGGCCACATTGGAAATATCGTCAATGGCGCCGGACTGGCAATGGCAACGAACGATCTGATCAATCTACATGGCGGAAAATGTGCCAACTTCCTCGACATAGGAGGCAAAGCAACCACGGAGACACTGCTGAAGGCTTTTGAGATTTTGAGCCGGGATCAACAAGTTCGGGGGATTTTCGTCAACATCTTTGGAGGTATGTGTACTCCTGCATAAGGGAAAGCACTGCTAATGAATCAAGGCATTGTTCGTTGTGACATGATCGCCGAGTCCATTATCCAAGCAGCACACGCACTAGGAGGGTTCAGGGTTCCTGTAGTAGTCCGATTGCAAGGCACTAACTGTGATGCGGCCATGAAAATGGTAAGCCAACATAGCTTTTCCCAAGGAGCAACGAAGCTCACCTGTGGATTGTAGCTCTCATCATCGGAGTTGGACATCAGCACGGACACCGACCTTGAGAAGGCAGCTAAAAGAATAATTGGGCTTACATGGAGTTAAAACTGGTGGTAGGATTGCGAGCAGTCTGTCTTTGGTGCTTGAAAAGGGATCCTGCCTATAAAAACGAACAAATATTATGTATTATATCGACAGATAGCAGTATGTACTGGCAAATTCAGGTCTGCATTGATAATATCGAATATCTGTGACATGTGGATCTTTTGATCGACTGCACTAGCGAGGGTCTGACTGTGATGATCACCCTGTTCCAGACTACTTACCCTGTCTGAGATTAATTCATCTTACCGTTACTGAGAGGGCATACCACATACAATACAACGATTTTAGACATCTTGTGCTCTTCTCAGTAAATTCATCTCTTTCACTGCTGAGTGCAGTCCTGAGCAGTTCAGCTCCCTGTTCGTCTCAAAATATATCGTCCGCATGAGCTGTCACGTGTTTTGACCGGTCTACCTCCAGACTAGTGTTCTAATCTACAATTCCTACCCCTCATTCCTACACTGACATTAGGGACACAATCCACATCCACATTGTCATTCTTGGCCTCGTCCCTTTGACGCTGCTGCCCCGGTTGTTTCGGGTTGTCTCCTGCTGTGTGACTTTTGGCACCTTCGGCCGATGGAAGCATACAGGGTGGGGTCAAGGGGCCACACTCGCTGGGCCTGCGACCCACCCACCAATAATGCTGTACAAAGTGCATTATTCTCCCACCTCAAGGGTACATCCATTATTGAATTCATCCACTATGGCTGAGTATGGCTGAGTCTGGCTGATATTCAGACCCGGGGATCGTTTGTATCTCTCCTTACTTTGTTGGCTTCGCAGTTCAGTTGTGCCGGTTTTCTGGCTGGATCGGAGACAGCGGGGGCCTTGAAGGGGATCCCTGTTGTCCCGGACCACATTGGCCTTTCCCGATACCGGCTAGTGCAACGACACCCAACCAATCACATCCCGCTGTCTAAATGACAAAGTACCATGATGACGTTGTGGCCTTGGTTCCTTAGGCCTCAGCCTGTCTCTTCCATGTTTCTAAGTTGTTTCCCCAATTTCGCATTCCCCAGCAGGCCCGGTGGTCCTGTCCTCTGACCAGCAATCAATCGTCTCTCACCAAAAATTTCGGTTTTCCTTTTCCACTGGCGACCTGTTGAGATCTGGCCCCCCAAAAAAGAATTAATCATATTCCTGTGCAGCCTCCCTTGAATTCTTGAGCCATGTGCTAGTGAGAGAGATGAAGAAACAAGCCATGAGATGTTAGAGCTCTCGGAATATAGCACACCAGGCTGCAACCCCTCCCCCGAGGTCGCTATGGCACAGGAGCGTGAATTCTACAAGTACGTGCCACCGTATCCGCTTACCCAAGAGAGCCAGGTCATTTAATTCAGTGCCAGATATTTCCAGCTGCCTCAGCGTCCGGGTCTCCTCCATCGGCCACCACCATCTCCTCGGAGCGAAATCGATGCGGAACTGCTACCACAATCATCACAAGACACCACTTTGACGGCGCTGGCGCAGCTCGGAGCTTTGCGATTGAATGCCCGACGATGCATGATCTCCCTCTTCGATCGTCATACGCAATATATCCTCGCTGAATCAACTCGCACATTAAGTCTCCAAGATGACAGGGTCCATGTCGACGGTGATGGCCTGTGGCTGGGCAGCAGTGTCATTCCCAAACCAGATGGGATCTGTCACTATTGCTGCGAGGAGGATCAGCTCAACGCCGGGCCAAAGGGTCCGAATGGAGCATATTCCGCATTGGTCATCCCCGACTTGACCAAGGACGACCGGTGCAGCAAGCGACAGTATGTGGTGAACGCCCCGCATCTGAGATTCTATGCTGGAGTGCCTCTTATGAGCCGTCGGGGCATTGCCATCGGCGCATTCGCAGTGAGTGACGGTCAGCCTCGTGCAGGGTTAGATCCGCTGGAGATTCGGTTTATGACGGACACCGCGGCCGCCGTCATGAATCATCTGGAAATGATGCGCTCTCATGAACAGAATCGCCGCGGGGCCAATATGATCGCAGGATTGGGAAGCTTTGTCGAGGGAGCGACGTTCCCGTCAAGCAGTCTCCGAAGACCAGTACACACTCACGATGAGGATGAGGAACAGGAGCCAGAGAAGCCGCAGAACATCATCCCACAGACGCGACGGCATCACCAAACACGTGCGGACAGTCGCCCCCCGTCAAGGAACGAAGCCATCACGGGGAGGCCGTTGCATCGCCATCAGGTACTGCCATCTATCCTGCTGACGGCGTTGAACAGAAGCATCTCTAAACTTCTCTTTATAGGATCTCATGAAGGACAGGAGTCTGAGAAGCGACCTCGAGTCTCCTCCACGCCCAATCGCCACCGTCAACCGGAGATCACCCTGGCGTCGGGTACCAGAGAGATCATTTCACGCGCGGCTCGTGTTCTGCGCGACTCTTTAGAGGTGGAGGGCGTTGTTTTCTTCGACGCGAGTGTCAACTCTTACGCGACTTTGGTCCGGAACTCGGACGGTCGCCAGTCGGACATGGAGAGCAGTAGCAGCACAGGTGACGCCAATTCCAGCAGTGACAGTGACAATCCGACTACCGGACACTCGTCAACCGAGACGGACGATTCGGCCATGTGTGAAGTGTTGGGATACTCCACGGCGCAAGATGATTCCGAGAAATTGACCGCGCCAATGCGAGAATCGTTTCTTCGATCCCTCCTCCGCCATTATCCCCGCGGTGCTGTCTTCAATATTGATGAGAACGGTGGGGTGTCGTCTAGTGAGGGAAGCGACAGTGCCTCCGCAAGCTACGTCTCTCGAGAGATCGTTTATCGTCGTAACGAGGGCTCCAAGGTTCAGCGACACTGGAAACAGAGAAAACGGGAGCGATTGAGTCTCAAGGAAGAAAACAAGACCCTGATCAAAGTGTTCCCTGCTGCCCGCAGTGTGACCATGTTCCCTCTCTGGGACTCACGCCGAAATCGCTGGTTTTCAGGGCTCTTTGTGTGGACGGCTGCGCCGCGCGTCTTCAGTCTGACTGGCGAGTTGGCTTATCTCTACGCCTTTTCCAACAGCATCATGGCGGAGATCCATCGGCTGGATATCGAGTTGGCGAACAAGGCGCACGCCACTCTCGTTGGAAGCATTTCTCATGAATTGCGCAGCCCCCTGCATGGCATTCTCGGCAGTACGGAATTACTGACCGATTCCACGATGACACCCGCTCAGGTTGCTCTGGTCACTACCATCGAGCACTGCGGTCGGTCGCTGCTGGACATCATCAACAATATGCTGGACTTTGCGAAGATCAACCAGTTCGCTCGCAAATCCCGATCGTCCCGGTTCAAATCGGCGCACGCCCTTCGTCGGCGGCCGGGGTTGCCTGCACGATTCGCTTCCAACGATAAGCCCGGCTTGGGGGTTGTCAATCTGATCTCAGATGTTCAGCTGGATGCCGTGCTGGAAGAAGTTGTGGACAGTGTCTTTGCTGGTCATTGCTTTTCCGCCAAGGGGGGCTCGTTGCCCGACCAGCTCCCCAGGTTCCTGCCCGGGATAGCGCCGGAGATTTACTTATGAAAGGTGCTACAGAGCGACCGCTTTCCGCTTTTAATGAAGCACTCACCATCATTTACGATGTTGAGCCCGGTGTGCAATGGCTCTTTGAAACACAGGCCGGTGCATGGCGTCGGATCCTCATGAACCTCTTCGGGAACGCCCTCAAGTACACACAGTCGGGTTACATCTCTGTGACGTTGAGGTGCAGCTCGACACCGTCCAACCCTAAGATGAAACGATTGGCTCGTGGAGATGGGACACGGGAGGGCATGGGCAGTGTAACTTTGACCGTCAAAGACACCGGGCAAGGCATCGACAAGCAATATTTACAGAGCAATGTATTCAAGCCGTTCTCGCAGGAAGACCCTCTCTCTCCGGGGAGTGGCTTGGGCCTCAGCATTGTCCATCAGACTGTGGTATCACTTGGTGGGAAAGTCGACATAACCTCCACAAAGGGTATCGGGACTGAGGTGACGGTCACGATGGATCTACCGCGCACTCCTCAGGCAGAGGTGTCGGATAACGAACGCGACACCAGCATTATCCGCAAAGCAAAAGACCGAGTACGTGGCAAGTCGATTGGGCTGATCGGATTTGGATCGTCGTCCTCCCAACAAGAGGATGAGGCACTGATTCTCTTGCGCTCGTCCCTCCTTCGAATGTACAAGGAGCATTTCGGGATGGAAGTCGGCATCGTCTCGTCGAACGTGTCGGATCAGCAGGTGTACGACCTATATTTGGTCCGACAGGCAAACCTGGACGAAGTGGATCAGATTTGTCGGCAGGTCACAATGGCCGAGAGTGACTCGAGCAGCCCGCCGATGATCGTCGTTTGCTCAACGCCTCAGATGGTGCAAAAGCTATCAACCTCTGCGAGTCAGCGACCGTCGCCGTCGATCTACGAGTTTATCAGTCAGCCATGTGGACCGTCCAAGATGGCCAATTCACTTCTGGCTTGCCTCAAGCGCCAAAGGGAACGGCCGTCTTGTATGACGGCTGGCGGGCTTGACACTGCGTTTCTCACCGCGGCTCAAGCGAGCAAACCTAGGCGGCACAGTGAGAATGTGTCGCGGGTCGACTTCTCCTTGACGCCGGCGAAGGCCATAGTTTCAGTGACTACCACTAAAGTTGATGATTCGGCTATGGAAGTATCAACGATAGAGGCAACCAAAAGAGTTCCCTCCGTCCTTTTGGTGGACGACAATGACGTGAATCTGAAGCTGTTGGTCGCTTTTATGAAGAAGGCCCAGTTTCCTTACCATACGGCTTCCAATGGGCTCGAGGCTCTGGAAGTATACAAGACGAATGTCGGGTACATCCCAGTTGTTCTCATGGGTGGGTGGTCCTATTCACTACCAGGTCTATCGGTTCTTCCAACTAACCAATTAGACATCTCCATGCCGGTCATGGACGGTCTCGAGGCGACGCGGGAAATCCGCCTGTTCGAGAAGATGCACCGCGAAGGAAGCACCAGTGCTGGTCATTCGTGCTCCAAGCCCACCACAGTCATTGCGCTGTCGGGATTGGGCAGCGCCCCGGTGCGGCAGGAGGCCTTTAATTCCGGCATTGATCTCTTTCTGTCCAAGCCAATCCGCTTTCAGGAATTAGTCAAGCAGATTGACGGGCTCATGCATTGACTTTGGGTTCATGTCAGTACAGCATTTCAGGCTATCTTAGCAAGGTCACTCACGCACTAGGATGACGGAGTTGGGCGTTTGTCTTATAGGCAGGGACGAGACACTAGTAAAGGCATCTAGCAGGCACGTAGTTCCTTGTCATCTTTGGTAAAGTTAGCATCATCCTTGGGCTCTAGGTAAACAGGAACCAGGATTTATAATCATTTGTGCGCTCCTAGTAAAGTCTACTAGTACACTTCTCCCCAATTCATCAAAGAGGAGAACTATACAGTATGGAAATTAGGAATAATATATTCTATTTGAAGTAGTCCATGAAACCATCCTTTGAATATGCTTATCACCACTCAGATGCAGAACCCTCTGGCTTCTGACAGGTTGTATATCTGTAAACCCCAACTCTATCCACCGACTCGATGGCTATCCTTTTGCTCTCTTTCCCCGCATACTCGGCGAACATCTTCTCAACAGAGTCGGTATCGCCCCGCAAACCAGGTTCCTCGAATCGGTCCGCAACCAGACCCGCGATAGAAAGCCGGGCCTGCACATCCGGGACTTCATCTCGGGCACTCCACGCCGCGAGCCCCGTAAGAACCAAGCCGCACACGACATACAGCAGACAGACCACGACCATGGTGACAAGCGGCGCCGCAGGGATGCGTGCCACCAGCAACGTCTCCCGTTCCTGGGCGGCCAGCGCCGGCTGTGCGCCTAGTGCATCCGCCCCAGGGCGATGGTCGCTTTGCTAAGAGCCAAGGCAACCTTTTCCGCGAACTCCTGCGCCGTATCGCTGAAGATCGCTGTGCCAACAGCCTGCTGGAAAACCGGGAACCAGTCCTGTGTCTGCGAAATGCTCGTCTGCCAGATGTTGCTGATGGAGGTGTTGCTAACCGTGGGCTGGAAACGCGTCACGGTGTTGTTCAGGCGGTCGTACTCGATATCGTAGATGGTAGTGTTGCAGCCGAGGACATAGGTCGGGACGCCATGGAGACTTTTCACAAACTCAGTTGAATTGGGCGTCTTCCCTCCGGACAGGTTCACCGCGGACGCTAGGGCGAAGTAATACGGATTTCCGGTGCCGTAGTTGGACACCACTTTACCCTTGAGATCTTTGCTCATGCTTTCGTCCTCGAAGAACGCTACCTGCAGAGTGGGCGAGTTGATGAACCCCGCAAACTCAGCAGAGCAGTTGAATTTCACCGACGAGGCTACATTTTGCAAGGCACATTTCGTCGAGATCAGCTCGCACTGCGTGCGGGCAGCGTAGCTCTTGGCTGTGAAGTCCCGGGTGAGCAGGGATGCGCTTTCGGGGACCCCCAGGTACGTGTAGGGCGTCTTGTGCGTGTCGACGTATGTGTATACCGTCGCCTGGTCGGAGACATTGTTCATCACTTGGAGGGAGGCTGTGCCATTTGCCAGAAAGGAGCCTGTGGCTGCTATCGAGACGCTGCAAACGGGGCCGGCGCCCCGCTGTGCTGCCACAGAGTTGTTACCTTTGAGACACTGGGGCAATAGGCCAAAGCTGTAATCCGGGTGATCGGTGATTGGGGCTACTCGGGTGAAGGGCACGGTGGTCGTTGTAAAGTGGAGCCAAGTGTCGGCAGCAGTGACAAGCAATCTGTGTCCGATATCAATCAGAAACCTCCAAGTAAAAACCTGCGGAGATGAACATACCCTAAGAGGGTTGCAAGTACAGCAACCGCCGACGCTGCTCTGAGAGGCGGCGTCTGCCGTTCACCTCCCTTATTCCATGAAAGAAGATAGCAGATCCAATTCCACATCGCACCGAGAAGACTGCCATCAATGAACTTCAAAGTCAAAGCCAGCTGATACGGTGTGGGCAAGCGATCTGCACGGCCGCGCTGGATGTCACGGGATAATCTGCGCGCGATGGGAAACGAAGCAAGGACGAGCACAAAGCCAGACAACATAGGAGCCACGGAGCTGGCCCAGGACGTACTGAAGAGGATGACGCTCGAGCTCAGATTAACATAGAACACATTCTTCTCATCCTCCGCAGAGGGTAAGCGCAGATTTGGAAACGGGGGATCGCCATGGGTGAGCCGGTAATGAAACACCAGTACCAGGAAGACAGCAGTCAGCGCGGAAATGGGGACGGTGATCAGGAACCAGCTCCATGCGATTCCAGCTCGGTGAGAGGTAATTCCTTGGGAGCGCGTGGACTTTGGTTTGCGCCGCAGCAAAGTCGAGTCGCTTTCAGACGTGGGATTTGGATCGGTTTGCGCCATGGCCAAGGATGAAATTTGATAGCTGTCCCTCCCTAGTTGGGATTGTCCGCGAGAGCTTGGGAGTTGGCTGGATAATGTATCGATATTCAGAAGGAATCGCGGAATTCGTCAGGCGACAAAAATGGGGGCCAAAAAAGGCCGAGCTCACATCAGCGTCAAGGCTGAGCGTCTAGGCTTAGCTCTGCATCCTATCATATCATATGCCAGCCAGCACTGGATCAGTAGCTGACAGTAGATTCAAGGAAACGGCAGCAAATCGCGCCAGTTAAAATCATTCGCCCAAATATAGCAGCGGGCTATCGGCCCCATCATTGTAACGGACCATTTTCGGCAGACCGTGCAGACTGCAGACCGTGCTTTCTACCCCTGTTATTTGTCTGCAGTCATCTTGGCATAGCAGATTGAAACACTATATGAAACGCTTGTAATTAAAATATCTCGAAATGGAGCCTTGATTCAAGTTTTGAATGCTTGGATCAACTGCCTGGCCTGAGCCTGTGTATTTGTCACCAAAGTGCCTGCATCGACGACAGATCCAATCTGTCCAACTCCAGCACCACTATAAAAGCTTATCAGAGCTGTACTGAATTTCGAAACGACGGGGAAGACCTTACGCCCAAACGACAGTCGGAGGCGCTCTGTTCATATCCAGGTCCTTGTTCTTGTTCAATTCAGCATCCCATTTCCGGTGGACATCGGACACAATCGCGCGCCCGGAATATTGGCTCGGCCAGAATTCAGCCCTGCCTTGAATCTCATCATGTACGCGTGATCTAGCAGCTGTCAGTCAGTCGTCGTGACTATCCATTTCCAAGGATGAGCGTGATTGTACTTCAAAGTGGATGAAGCCCCATCTTGAGTGGCAATCAAAGTGGCCTTGACCTGGTCCGGGACAGGGCATTCCGTTGTGCATAAAAACTAAGAACAGTCAGTATTGATTAAATCCAGCGTGTTACAAATTACCCTTGTCCCCATGACGATTCCACTTGCGCCTGGACACACGTGGTGCTATTAGCTCAGATTCCGCAGTGATCAAGTTGAATGCGCCTCCATCTCACCTAACATCAAGGCAGCTGCGGCTCCCCTGCCATCCATGATTCCTCCAGCTGCCAGCAATGGAATGTTTCTCTCTGGATATTCGCTCCTTACCATATCCGCTACATCCGGAAGCAAGGTCATCAAACCAGCTCCCTGCTTGAATTGATGGCCACCGGCATCGGATCCTTGAACAGATAGAATATCGGCCCCATCATCGATGGCTTCTCTAGCACTCTCCATCGTGCCAACCTGGACAATCACTTTCAGTCCCCAGTCTCTGGCGGTAGTCTGCAATGCCTGAATAAGTTCCGTGTGCTGCGACCGGTGGGTGCACGCAAACAGCCAGACCGCTACCGGTCGATGTTCATTGACAAGCTGGACAAAGTTATCATTCCATGTGTCGGATTTCATTGTGAGACAGCCGATTCCAATCGGTAGGGGTGCATTGGAGTCAACGATCCGAAGGAGCTCCCTGGCGTAGATCAATTGTTGGCGGAGATTTGCCAGCTCTGGGGATGACGCAGTGAAGTCGGCTCCGCCGCCAATGAGACCTGGACGATTGATGAGTCGTCTTCTCTGTATTGTCTGCTCAGCTCGTACCTAATCCACCAGCCTTGGCCACTGCTACTGCCATTCTGGCGTTTGTCGCACCCGCCATCGGTGCATTGCATATCAGCGGCCGGGATGTCGCGGGAAAGAATTGCTCTAGCGTTTCGGCTCCGGTGGACATGATGGTTGATACGCTGTGAATTTCAAAATTGATTGAGAGTAACAGAGAAGGATATCAAGCATCGCGATAGTGAGACGAATATATATATTCAATCGTGCTGCATGTTAGGGTACCATGGTATCTACTCATACTAGATTAGGTTGAGCGCTGACGCCACTCGGCCGCTAGGCTGACAGTGACGCTGACACTGGCAAATGCGTGGATACAAGGGACAGGACAAAACAAAATCCCCATTCTTTGGCCAATGGCAATATATAAACGTGCAGAGTTCAAATACGGATCCGCTTACCTGCCCGCAGTTTGGCTGTCAACATTGTTTCCGCACCTGAATCTAGTCTGACACTCTACGGAGTACTGATTAGAGATCGTAGTACAACATCCAAGACGGTGCGATGGCTGTTGGGTCTGTGCAAGGGACTAAGAGTCCAGATATTTGTCAGAGTATTGATTTGATAGCAGGTGCATTCTAGCAATAATGTTGCGCTGTATAATAATGAGCTATTTGCTGAGAACATCAGTAATGCCTCCACATAATCTTACGATCTGAAGCCTTCTCAATCTTTTCGTACAAAAGACAATATCGAGGACGATCTGGTTGAAAAAAAAAATTATTGGCATATATTCATCAAGCCCAGGTCATGCTGGTCGTCTGCCAGAACAGCAGTAATTATAAACAGGTAATTTCTAATTCGGCTCCACAGGTCTGTTCGCTTTTGCCTTGAGTCAGACTCTCTCGTAGTCCTGATTCAGGTCAGAACAATGGCATCCTGGCAGTATTCACATAATCGACATTTTCAGCCACAGACTCGATTCGTTCATGACAGGTTCCAAAGATCCGATCCCAAAGACGAGTCTGCTTGCCGTAGTTGTGACTCTTCCGCCACCCCTTCCGATGATGCAAGTCATGATCCTCAATGACAATCTCTGCATCGAGCCACTGCAGTAGCCAGCTGAGAGGGGACGGGACGGTCAGGTGTAAGCGTAGGCCGCTGTGTCCGAACACCTCTGCAAAAACAACATACTCATGGCAGATCCACCACTCGTAGAAGCCCATGGGCAGACCCAGCAGCCGCAGAGTGAAGTAGGTCATCATCGGCACCCCGACCATGTCCCCGAATTCCTGCTCGTGGTCCGCGTACGCAGTGAGCAAAGGATTGGGGTGCTTGGTGAGGTGGTGAGTGCGGTGATACTTCCAGAGGAAGCTGACGTCGTGCATGAGGCGATGGTACCAGTAAAACCAGAAGTCGAGCACGATCCCGTACAGTCCAACCTCAACCGGTAACCAATACCAGTTCATCTGTGAGGGAAGCTGACTAGTTTGATAGGAGAAGTACACCGATAGCGCCAAGCGAGAACCGGTCGTTTTGTACACCGAAGCCACAACCTTGCCGACCCCGACGTCGGGAACGCCGTCTCGTTCATGTTTGTCGCCATCCAGGAAGCCGTATATGTGACCGAGTCGCCGGAGTATGTGTACCTGGTAGATGACGATCGCATTGAAGGCGAACATATACAGATTAAAGGTGGCTAAAGGACCCAAGTTGCGTCCTGTGTACCATGCATAGGCCTCATGAAACGCCAGTGGTAGGGACGAGTAGAAGATAACCCAGAGGTTCAGCGACCACTGCGGCATAAATGGGATCGGTTCATTCTTAGAGTGCACCGGTACCTCTTTGTCGAGTTCTGAAGGGTAGGCGTTGAGTATATGAATGAGCCAATGTCCGAGGCTCCAGGTATCCCTGCTGGCAGTACGCCAGGTGGACTTCATCGAGTCTTTCGGGTTGCCTTTGGTTTCCATGGCTGCGATGGTTTCGAGGGCTTTGTAAATCCGTAGGAATCCTGAGCGATGACCGCTCTTTAAATAGGCTCGTCGGCTTCGATTGCAGTCGTCGGTAATCCGGAGATACTAGGACATGTGAAGAGACTATCACATCCCACAATGTCAGTATATGTGGATCTTGGTTCCCAACAAAATCTATTCCACATATGAATGGAAGATCAAGCCCCTCGATCTGGGGACTAATCCGTAGCGAGTTGCTGTGGACGATCAGCATGTGAGGCTTGATGAGAGCATGTCACTCTCCACAACGAACCACTCGCTTGAGGTATGGACGTACCTCGCATACCTTGATGATCAACAGTTGAAATATGATGGACTACACTCCTCGAGAATGATATCTTTGCGTACAAGGGGGCAAATAACCAGGCATCAACTGGGAACTGCTTGGGATACCCTGCGAGGCAGCAGAACCCCGGCCAAAAGTATTCGCAATCCCATAATCAGATTGTTGAAATTGAAAGAGGGGAGTACTCGAACTAGTCCATCTGGCGAAGACCAGCAATTTGGGGAAGCCTAACCAGGGTCCACCAATTTAGCGTTCGCAACCATTTCCGAATCGGGTAATATCTCGACCATCCCGCAATGATACTATGTTTGAGGTTGGTCTATGCTTGGCAATCAGAGGATGAAGATCGCATCCATGTAGAACGCAAGTGACAATCAGATCAATTATGCGGACAGCAACTTGCGACCAGATCCAGAACCAGTCCAGCCGCTGCTGTCACGAAAACCCAGCGATCTGCCAGGGTACGTCAGAATACCATACATCAATAAATTATGCCCGTTAGGGATTCTGAAAGAATGACCATATCGCTCATGGGATCAAATGTCAGGTTCTGGGTCACTAATGCGGATCAGTGTTAGACATGATGGGTAGCACGTCTACTTGACGCTTGTGGCCAGTCAAGTCAAACTTGAACTGGAAAATCCCCCATGAGTATGAGTTCATGGTATCCCGGTACATGTGAATCGATGTTCGCCACGCTTGTGATGTTAAGCAACAACCCCGTTGGGAGATATGCCGGCCTATTGAATCCCGGGGAAGAAAGGTTATCTTGTGACTGTACGGAGAGCTGCAGTCAACCAAGCAGCAAACGCAGTGAAGAAATGCGTTTTACGATTCGTCGCTTTATTGCAGTACTCCAGCAGTGCGAGATATCGTTCCCTCGCTGTGCTTCCCGTTGCATGTACAAGCTTTGCACAATCAACTGGGCAGAGGTAGGGCGGCTGCCTCGTGTCTTCTGACAGAGACGCGCTTCCTTGCATGATGCATGCGTAATATACACAATGATCAATACCAAAACAATGACCTAGTTCATGGCTTGCAGTGCGACACATTCGAGAAAGCCAGAGTGATGATAATAACCGTGGTGATGAATCAATATTTGGGAGGGAAGACAATGCAGATAACGCGGCTGTTAATGGCGCAGTAGCCAAGGATGACGATTCGCTGGCGGTCTTCCGCCTCTTGGTACTCGCCACGTAGGAGGAGCTGGTTTTTCGGACGTAGTCGTCACAATGTGATGCTGGCCACGAATGCTCTCGCTCTACTGACTGAACTTCGTCCAGGGTCGGACAATACCTGGCGCTGGAGACCACTGCGACGCGACTTCCACCGTATGCACGTCCGCAGACGAACGTATCATCAGCGTCCTCATAGAGATCATGGTTCACCAAAAGACACAAGGCATACGCATCATTAGGAAGTATGCTTATCGCAACTTCTAGGAGATCATCGAGGTTCAATTGACGAGGGTAAACTTTGTCGGGGCATGCACGCGTCCGAATGCCAATGCACTCGTCTGAAACAGCTAAACCAATGAAGCGGGTTGAGGTCTTGGATCTTTGATCATCCCAAGGAACGAATCGAAAGGCCGAAACTCGAAGAAGCTTAACGGGCACTCCATGGTAAAATGCCGCCAGGTAACCGACGATATCTTCTGGATTAGGCGCTACTAGCTGATGCTGGGTCTTACCCACTCCAGGAGAGGTCCATGCCTGTGCGAAATAGGCATCTTCGTCATATTCAGGTGGCGCAACAACATAAACTGTCTTTCTGTCCGAAGTGACTTCGTTGCGATCCTCCTCGACCAACCACTCCCGAAAAGATTGCGGTGGGTACCCGGGGTCCAGTGCCAGGTCATCACCAGGCAAGACCAGCGGAGCTTGAAATATGGACGGACCAGTAGTACGGCCATATGGGCCTGGGGATCCTGGTGGTCTCGTGGCCGAAATCCTTTGCTTCAGACTCGGTTGTTTATAGCCTACTTCAGCAGCATGAGGAGAGGAGTTGTAACACATAGAAGGATGGGAGCATCTTTGTTCCGAAGACATTCTTCGAAATCTTTCCAGATATGCCAGGATATCCAGGAGGGCGGAAACTGCAGAAGACGAAGGCTTTCCTAGACTCAACAATCACACGGGTATATATAACCCAAGGAGCTGATCAGGGTCCTACAAGAAGAAGCGCAGACAGTACGTTATAGTGAGGGATAAACAAAATAAGACCTCAAGCACAGTCTATAGTCTCTTGAGAGAACAATATGGCATGTTTCTAATAGATGAATTAATACAGCATGTCGCTGCAAAATACAAGTGGTTTGTGTTTGTTGACGCGAGGCTGAAAGAGGCTGAAATGCGGCGGTGCAGAGTGATAAGGGTGGATGGTGGGTGCTCAGCCACACGATAAGCACCACGTGACCATATCGCCAACGAAGTGACGGCACCTGACTCATTCGTCCACCTGCCGCTTTCTTCGCCAGCTTCTCTATCTACACCAAACTCGAGCATGCAATGATGAGGTGAGATTTATCATTTATCATCAAAATGGACCAACAAAGGGAAGAAACCCCTCAGCAACAGTCTCGCAGACTGCAGGAGCGACTTGACGAGCAGTTCGACATTCGCGACCGGGCCCTTAGGCAAGAATTCGGCAGGGTGCACGAAAGGGTTGACGATTTAATCAAGGACAATGACTCTCGGGATAAGGGCATCAAGAGGGAGTTCCGCAATGTTTATGAGAAGATGGACCAAATGTCACAGAGGCTTGACAAGATCGACACCTTGGAAACATCATTTGCGATCTTCGAAGCAACATTTGCGAATTTCAAGGTGGCCCACCTTAACCAAAGGATACAGGCCATCCCTATGTACGACTCCTTTCATCAACCAGTTCCAGTTCCAAAGTGTTTCCCCAAAACGGCTCTCAGACTCTATCGACTGCAAGATCGGAAGAACTGTACGTCGTTGTCACACTCTATTGCCAAAGACTTAATCTGCTAACTTCGAAAAGGGAATCAATTGAAGACCCTTCTCAAGCACTACAACCTCGAGAAAGCGACCATTCGGCTCGTCGACCGTGGAGAGCTTTACGACTCCTCCGATTCCGATAGTGATTCCGACACTTCGTCCCGTTTTCACTCTATCGACGGGGAACTTGACCGCGCCATTGAGTCTAATCCGTTTGCGGCCATGTGTTCGCTGGGCCGCCATCTTGGCGTGGATACAGACGCTCTCCATGATCGGATCACGCAGCTCGAGTTTCAACAGAAGAAAGGCACAGTCGCCAAACGCCCAGCGGAAGACGCGGGAAGTGTTCGGAAGATGATACGCGACTTGGTTACGGGCGCTCTGCAGCCTGGTTCGTTCTCGAGAGCAGAGCCGCTTCTTGATGATGACTCCGAAGGAAAACATACCAAACTGGAATGGGAAGTCGACTCGGAGAAGTTCAAACGGGAAACGGCTCATCTTCGCCTTCGTGACACCGAGGTCTCGCCCCATGCAGCCAGCGCCAAAGACAGCCGGGGAAGTCGCCAACAGAAGGATTTGGAGGTCCGCTCACGTCTGTCCAAGGGCAGCCTGTCACCGACCGAGAAGATGACCACATCAAGCAACCAATCAGAGGGTCATTAGCAGCGCCTGAGTTTCTGAATTTTTTTTTTTTTTTTTTTTTTTTTTTCCTCTTTTGCTGGTTTTGGCGTTAGGGAAGCACATGTATAAGATACCCAGTCTGGTTTTTTTGAGGCATTTTGGTTGTTTTTGAAACGCATTTCGGTGTATATAGGCTTAATAGGGCGTTTGGCTCATGGAGGCGACTCCCCTGGCATAACAGCCCTATAGAGAGGGCCACTGTATGGGTATGAATACTACTACTACCTACTACTTCTACTACAATCCACACGTCAGGTGGTCATTTTCACTACATTCTAAGGCAACATTTATGAATCCACGGACGTGATGTGCAGGCTCCTTTTTTATTATTGACATCATATGAGAGGTACACATTAATGCAAATAGACCAAAGGATATCATTCACCACGGAACAGCGACATCGGCACTAAACCCAGAATCTGGGGAATATCTCCAGCCCACCATTAAGCAGGGAAGCAGCGCGCAAATATCGCTGATTGGCTGCAGCACCAGGCCGAACTAGAACGAGGTGTAGCTTGGGTAAACACGCAACAGATGTCAGAGAAGTACTTTGCCCCCATTCGCAGGGAGCCTATCACTAAGACTTTCGTACTACCTCACTGTCTAGTTGTGGGCATCAGGCAGATCCCATTTTGAATTCCCGAGTCACTCTGCCGGAGAAGTTGACAACTACCGCATGGTCCCTCCGCTTTTGTGAACTCCTGGTATGATAATGACTCCATCAGATACCGGATCCTAAAGTGCTGGAACGAGGTAGAGATGTTGCACTGCCCTTACCTGTTGACCCCTTCAGCATGCCATCCACCTGCAGCATCCGGTTCCCTTGATAGGCAATATTCCACGCAACCTCTGCACAGAGGGGAGAATTGCTTACAAGATGATTGTAGATACTACTTTCCTTCAGCGTTGAAATTGATACAGCGTCATTGACCGCCAACTGTAGCCTCGAATGCCGTGGGATCCCGCACGCCTGGTAAGCCAGGGGGATAGTCAAGGCTTCTGGAAAGGCGCCCAGGGCGTCATGCATGTGGCAATCGTCACACCTTCGAGGTTCTAATGAACCTGTTCCAGGAATTGGCAATCTTCTACCATTGTAGAATATGCCAATCGCACGCTGTTATACATTTGTCATGTAGGAACTCCAAGACTCTCGCGCAAAAGTGCTTGATTGGCTGCATTTAGTTGCCTTCTTCTGGCTTATTGCCGAGTCCGCTTTGTTAGGTGGATTCATCTACCCCTCACGCCTGTGATTATATTACGACAGAAGATAATAGACACAATGATATATAACCCTCGATAAGTCCTGGGATGGCTTACTTGTCATTGTGAAATTACATCTCTATCATTCTACCACATCATCCCACCATGACCATCGCCGACTGGCAACAGAAAGTTCAGCTCAAGCAGTCCGAGGCTGCTCGCAAGATCCCTCCAGAATGGAGACTCTCTTCAGGTATCCTGAATACTATCTCCAACGAGTCCAATGTCCTTGATATTCCCGCAAAGTGCGGTGTTCTTTCTGCTCGCGAGCTCGACATTACCGAAAACTACGACGCTACTGATCTTGTGCAGAAATTGGCGTCAAAAGAGCTCAGTGCACTCGAAGTCACGACAGCCTTTTGCAAACGTGCTGCTATTTCCCAGCAGCTTACCTTCTGCCTGACCGAAACGTTCTTCGACCAAGCACTCGCCCGAGCTCGGCAACTGGATGACCATCTGATGGCCACAGGAAAGACCGTTGGACCCCTTCATGGCCTTCCCATCAGTCTGAAGGAGTCATTCAGCGTTGCTGGCGTGCCAACCTCTCTGGGGTTTGTATCCTACCTGGACCGTCCGGCCCCAACCACAAACTCGGCGCTGGTCGATATCCTCCTCGCCGCTGGTGCAGTTCTCTATGTCAAGACCAATGTGCCGCAGACCCTGATGACGGCAGACTCGCATAACAACGTCTTTGGTCGTGTCCTCAACCCGCACCGCCGGAGTCTCACGGCGGGGAGAAGCACAGGGGGCGAGGGTACTCTGATTGCCCTCCGTGGCTCGGTGCTAGGCATCGGCACCGACATTGCAGGATCCATTCGCATCCCGGCGCTGTGCTGCGGGATAACCGGCTTCAAGCCTTCTGTTGGCCGGGTGCCATACGGTGGTCAAACACCGGCCGGTCGAACCGGGATGGTGGGAATTGCGCCCGTGGCAGGACCTTTGAGCCATTCTCTCAGGGACGCTGAACTCCTCCTCCGGACTGTGTTTGACTCGCAGCCCGAGGATCTCGACGATGGCGTCGTGGGCTTCCCCTGGTGTGATGCGCCCACAAAGGATGTGATCAGCGTCGGCGTCATGGCAGAGGACCCAAACTACCCAATACATCCACCCATGCAGCGGACTCTGGCTCTCGCGGTGAAGAAGCTCGCGGCAGCCGGCCATCGTATTGTCGACTTGACCGGGAAATTGCCCAGTATCTCTGATGCCTGTGAACTGTCTTTCCGATACTTCAACATGGATCCCGACCGGACGGCTTTGAAGAAGATCTCCGACAGCGGCGAGCCTCCTGTCCCCTCCCTACGCGTGACATATAATGCCGATGAGCCTGGACCGGAGCCGACACTGCGAGAACTGTACGATATGAACGTGAGGCGGAGCGAAGTGATGGCAGAGGTGCGAAAGGCGTTCCTCGAGAATCAGCTGGATGTTATCATCGCCCCGGGTTACCAGAGCTGTGCTGCTCCTCACGATGAATACGGGAAGCCGCTATATACTGTCTTCTGTAACTTGCTTGACGTAAGTTTGATCAACCTGATGTAGGAACGTCGCTGACTTGTCAGTATCCTTCTTGCGTTCTTCCCTTTTGCAAGGCTGAGGAGGCTGCCGACGCCGAGTTTGTGGGAGATATCCAGTACTCCCCAGCGTGTAAGTACTCTGTCTTCTCGCAGAGAACTGTAACTGATGTGGAAATCTAGACAAGCCCAAAGAAATCGAAGGTGCCCCTTGCCATGTCCAGATCATCGGCAGAAAGCTGAAGGACGAGGGCTTAATGCAGCACGCCAAGATGATTGAAAGTATCTTATTGAAGTAGAGGTCACGGTAGAGTCGTTGTTTGTTCAAATGATAGTCAAATCTGCGTGTCTGAGTCTGATATACTTGTACGGAGTAATCGATCGAAAGGCAGCATCCCATAAACGGGTGACGAAGAAGCGCATCAGCAATGCATAGCAAGCGCACATAGCAATTGACTGCTCAGCAATAGTATTACAATGATATTGGTCCGCGAGAATCTGGAACCGGGGGTGAAGAAGAATACTCTATATATCTGACACAGTCCCCACGGAAGACTTCCGGAGACTCGTCACCAGGCTACTTTCAGGTCAAGAGCGTCGAGTCCACATGTAGATGTGATGCTTAGCCTGGCAGGCTGCGTTTAACCTGCGGAGTTTCTCCTTAATTTGCAACCTTGTTGGACATCATTCCTTTAGATATCCTACACCGTCAAACACAGAGATTCTTCCTCAATTCTGGCTGATACCGTTGACCCACTCTCTTGAAACGAACAACGCGGCAGGTCTCCGTATGACGTCTCCATGTTGTTTCGAGAAAAGGAGACTCGTCAACCCAAAGATATAAGAATCATTAACAAACCGTCGTCCAGAGAATACCAACAGCATTCTCATCACCGCAATCATGTTTTCCAAGTCTCTGATCACCGTGCTTCTCGGCGCCACACTTGCGCTGGCTACCCTCGACCCAGCAACCTCCAACACCAAGGGCAAATGCCCTAGTACTTACAACTGCTCTCGTTAGTACTACTCTGCCATCTACCGAGTCAGATTAACTGACAGTCCACAGCCGCAAAGACCTCCAAGGCAATCCAGGCCGCGGAATGTTCCCACAACACGCGGACATCCAGTACGTACCTACCTCGCCCGCATCTCCTACGATTGCAGGCATGCGTCCTCTAATACCAAAGCAGAAACACAAACCTTTGCCGTCTTCGTCACCGATCACCAGTATGACTCCGCCCATGGAGCTCCCTACGGAACCTGCAAGGCGTACACCTGCACCGCACCCACTGCCTCGCAGATGACCGATGTCGATGAGGATTGCTGGACGTTCTTCTGGAAGTGAGTTATGGCCACAGGATGTTGCAGTATACAGAGCAGTACAAGTACTAATCCATGCAGTAACAATGGAGAGTCTTCTGGCGTCGGCACCGGTTGCATTAAGAGCCCTGATGATGGTACCTGCGGCTGCGAGAACTCGGACGGCACTTTTGTTTACGGTGGGACCAATTGCTCTTAGAGGTTGAGATTGGGCCAATGCAAGCAATCTTTGAGTGTCATAGTTGATATAGACTATTGTGGTTGTACAGCTGGCGGCTAAGATGTAGATGTGTTTTTAAATATCGCCTTCCGACATCAAAGCTTGTCAGATGAATCTAGGTTGCCAATGCTTGATCACAGAAGTAGAGTGGTCACACCATAGGAATGACGGGTTGACGACAACAGGAAATTACAAGAGGACAGTGCAAAAGCTGGGGAAATGATCTAGTCTAGTATAGTTACAAGGAATGCCAGAAATAGCTTCTTTATCTGCACATTGTCATAGAGAGTGTGAATGAATAAAGGTTATGTTATTAGGCAGTGGACAGTAGCCGCATGATTTCCTAAATACATCTCATGGAGGAAGCCCTCAGGGGTATCTCTGGACTTGTATATCATCCTTTAGGCTTCAAGTGCGTCATCTTGCCAGACACTCTAGTCATCATCACTCTGCATCACTTCGGTAAGTTAGGCGGTCCAGATCGGCTCTCTTCTACCCCATCTTGTTGGGACCTAGCGACGATCTATGACCTGTTGATGTGCTCATGATGTTATGTCCCATTTCATCTATACTAATGATGCGGATTCACTTTAATACCACAATAGAAATGCAGTTTACCAATTACTGGCTTTGCTCTATTCCAAGCTGGCTGAATCCCTTCAATCAAACATCCTGTTGTTAGGTGCATAAGCCATTTCCAAGCATTGATGCACATTAGAGTTGTTCAACTATACCTTCCAAAAAGACCACTACACCACCTAGAAACACCTTACATAGGTTGTGTAGCGCACTGGGTTGTGGATTAGGTTGTGGGTTAAGTTGCATTGTTATGTTGGATTGCATTACTTCCTGTCCGTCTCTATATCATGGTCACAAGCATGTTGGAGAGTAATATGAAGGTGTATATAGACGCCCCTTGTCTGATTTTTAGGGACAAAAGAATTGGTTTAGTTACCTTCGTGATCTATTCCATCTCCCTACAAAGATCCCATCGCCCGTTAATCGAGCCCTAATATTTTATCAGAATGTCGAAGTTATATGTTAGGTTTGTGAAACACTCATTTACTGTGCTCTGTGGCTATGCTGATGAGAACTCTACCAGAACTAGTCTGCATGACTTCTATCAGAATTATGGACGAGTATCAGACGCAGTAAGTAAAATCACACCCTTCTTCTTCTGGCATACTGCCCAATGATCTAAATTACTATAGGTTGTTATGGAAGAAGGAGAGACCGGCCGCTCTAAAGGCTTTGGTATTGTTACCTTTGGCTCAGATGATGACGCAGCTTTTGCTATGAATGCAACACATGATGCGGAGTAAGAAGCAACTTGGTGATATAGTTGGACCCTTTGCTAATAGCCTCTAGGTTTGAGGGTAGCAAACTCCATGTTAGCAAAGTTGGTGCCCGCCCGAGAGGAGGAAGGGGAGGAGAAGAATAGAAACAATAAGCCAGAAGAAGCAAAGGATCATTCAGATAGCATTTGACAAGAGGCTCATCTCAATGACTTTGCTGGTCAGTGGTATGTCATAGCGTATTGCATGAACCTGCCAACAGTAGTAAATTTAGGCATCTGAACAAATATCCTTCCTGCTTCTATTGTTAATACTGAGTACAGAGTTCCTGCATATGTTGGCTTTATTACAATCTTGTACAGCAAAAAGAGTATGTCATAATGTCTTGTCCAGGAAGGAGAACAGACTGTATATTCACCTTGCCTAGAATTCCCTGAAATCCAGTGATCCAGCGTGTCTCCAAGAGGTAGTTGTTGAAGGGGAAACTCAACAGCATGAACGCTTGGAGTGCAGCTTTGTCTTCAGGAAACCCCTTTTTTTGTTATAGTCACTTTGTTCACTGTAACACTTGACTTTATTAAACTAGGCATTGTTCATTGACTTAATAGCAAATACATCGTCCTCAACATATAGTTAACCTTTATTGAGTTTCGGACCATATTGTGGTCAATCACGACAAGATAGTTCTCTTCACATTTGCACCCGACAGTATAACCTCCCAGTCACTCCCACCTCCCGGAAATGCCGCTGTCAGGGCCACGCTCTCCCCCTTGAAGATGGTCACATAATTATCAGACCAAAACACCGGAGTGATCTCCTCCTGCGTCTCCTTGTTGATGGCTGACAGGTGCATGAACACGGCAGGGGTGGCTGAAGGATTGTTTAAGACGACCTGCACCTGGGACAGGCCGTCCCTGGCGGGCAACCGCTTCAGTGATGCAGTCACAGCAACAGTCGGCATCGACATCAGTGCCTTGTAGTCGACGTACTTTGTAACGGGAGTATAATACCAGTCAGAATTTTCCCAGTCCAGGACGTCGTTCTGAGCGGACAACCAGTATACATTGCGGCTGAGGATGGCTCCTGTATTGGGGGTTTTGAGCACCAGACGGAGAAATGCGACATCCTTGATCTGAGTAACTGCCTTGACTGGGATGACCTTCTTGGAGGCATTGGGTGTGGTGTTAACTGTGACCTCCTTGTTGAAGATCGATTTGCCATGCAGATCAACAAGGTCAACAGAGACAATGCGAGGCCTTTCCTTCTTAAGAGAGTGATTGATCAGGTAGACTGCATGCTCCTCATAGTCATATGCAACATGCTCAATCCTTGCACCGACCTTGGTCCCGAAATATGCCCCGGCAGGACTCAAATAATAGTCAAACAGCTGCCAATGCAGATTCGGCCATGCGCTATTCAACATCCAATATATGACTCCAGTGGCCGGACGAGAGGCATTCTGGCGCACAGAGAACGCTTCGAATTCTGCCCGCGTGGCCTCATAGTCCATCATCTGCACCTTGAGAAGATAATCCTCTAGGCTGACAGGGGCTCCGTACCGCGCAAAGAGAGCTTTGTTATACAGAGCACGATTATAGAAAGACGAGTCATACCGGGACATATGATACTGGTTTTTGTCCGGGTTCTTCCACAAGGAATCCAGTTCCTCTGGCGACAAGAACTTTCTCAGACTGGTCAGTTCGGGGGTTCCGACACCAGCACCCTCTTCAGACCCGAATCCGAATGCGGCACCCAGCTGGTCACCATAGAAATAATTCGGTGGTACCCAGTCATACGGGCCATCCATCTTCATACCGGACGGTCCAAGTGCCTGTGGGTATCCTCGTTTGCTGGCGGACGCAATGATCGGCACTGGCCAATCCATGCGGTGCAACGCATCGAGATAGATCTTGGTTGCACGGTCGTTGGGCCAAAAGTCCGATCCGATTAGAAAAGCCAGCATGGACGGATGAGTCTGCATCATCGCTGCTTCATGAAGCATTGAAGTATTGGCAATGGGGTAGTCCTTTTCGGTCCATTTTTCTCCGCTGGCTTCATTATTATACTGCGTTCATCAGTAGAGTATTCCTCGTCGTTGAATCAAAGGCATTGACTTACATCCCATCCCTCCCACTTGTCGCAACATTCCCATCCAGCTATAATCATCAATCCCATTTCATCGGCCAAGTCATATAATTCTGGATGCTCCTGCTTGCCCTCGAGTCGGACGGTGTTCAGTCCCATGTCGAGCATATACTGGAAGATATTCCGCACACGATTGACATCAAACCGGAGAAACAAATCAGGCCCGTATCCTCCGCCGAGAACCAGGAATGGCGATCCGTTCACTGTAAATGCGGTGTCGTTGTGAGAGTTGACATGAGACTCTACCTGGCGAATGCCAAACCGCCTTTGAAGCGCAACATCCGAAATCTCCCCCTTGCCAACTTTCGCATTGACATTGACCGTGTACAAGGGCTGAGACCCCCATTGCGCCGGCCACCACACCTTAGGCTTTTCGATCCTGACATTCATAGGGATGGTCTTTGTTTCGTGTGGTCGGATAGAGAATCCCTGGGAAAGCGCGAAACTTTCGGTGCCGGACTGGATGGTTCCCTGTACAGTACCGTTGACAGTCTCATTCTCATGGTTCGTCACGTCCACCATAACATTCACCGTGACCGGCTTCCCATCAGGCTTTCTAAAGTTGGTCAGTACACGCGGCGATGAGATCGACACAGGCCCGGTCTTTGTGATCATAACATCCCGCCATAGACCGGTGCCATTATCCGCTGGATACGGATTCCAATCCACGAACCCCTGTGCGAAATCCCGGAGATAGTTTGTTGGATATGCCTGGATGAGCAGTGCATTTGATTCAACCCGAAGGTATTCCGTAATGTCGTACGTGTGACCGCCGTACGATCCCTGCTGAACGGAGCTCGGTGCCACCAGCACCCCGTTGACGTATATATCCGCCTTGGAAGTGATGCCATGCGTGTGAAGCAAATAATGCTCTCCTTTGCGTATCTTGTTCTTGATCCGCACTTCATGTCTGTACAGCCAAGGCGCTTCGAACATGGCAGTATCACCGATTTTGGTTTCCATGTTGTTGGAATAGAACAAGGTCGTTTCATTGAAGACGCCGTTCTCGAGTAAACCAGCCATGACGGTCGCTCGCGTACCGACCTGATACCAGGAGGAGTCATCGTTCCCTGGGAGCGACCACGCAGACACGTTGGATACCGCAAGGGAAGATTGCAGTCGCCATTGACTGAGCTTGGTCGTATCCCCTGCAGTCTCGCTTATCCCGTAGACGACAGTCACCCCGAATACCGCCACATATAAACCATACAACAAGATGATCCAATCCATTTTGAACTTGATTAAAATTGTCATTACAATCAAAGCTTCCGAGAGGGGAAGAAGAGAGATATATACCATCGAGCATCAGTCTGCAGGCTGCCGGTGGAGATGTCAAAGATCTCCGGTTTCACCGTTAATTCTGCAGATCACACCGGTCCTTGCATTGAAGATCTCATTGTGGCTTGTGATAGGCTGCGACTCATGTAACCATGGTAGTTTAAATGGTAGTCAGTTGAATGACCGAATCCTGATGAGGTCAAGCGAGTGCCATTGTTACATCAGGGACTTGGGGGCCAAACAACCACGGTTGACACCGAGGCGCGTCCTCCCGAGCATAGATCTTGTTTTCCTATCAGATGTTCCGTCGATTTTCATGAGATACTGAATTTATTATGTTGTACGCAGAGTCACAGGGGAATAACTGCGAGCTGCTGCAGAATCACCTAATAATTAGGCAGCAATTAGTAAAAATTCATGATTTCCCTTTTCGGGTCTAGTGGCCCCGTCTATTTACTCTACTTACTCTACTTACTCTACTTACTCTACTTACTCTACTTACTCTACTTACTCTACTTACTCTACTTACTCTACTTACTCTACTTACTCTACTTACTCTACTTACTCTACTTACTCTACTTACTCTACTTACTCTACTTACTCTACTTACTCTACTTACTCTACTTACTCTACTTACTACTATATACCTGCTTCTATATCTTTTATCTTGCTATACTACCATATCCCATCGCTATATACTATCTATTCATCGCTTCCTAGGGATCGTTATCATCCCACCTCCGACCTGAGATAGGCCATTACCCATTACTACTCTAAACCAAAGGAAAAAGCAGCCCGTGGGGAATCCTCCGCGAAGAGAATCACGGATGACGGATCAGAGTCTAGCCTAATGGAGACCCCGCATTCCTATTATGACTCCTCTTTCTGCTGTATTTATAGCTCCTCTTCCTGCTCGGAACACAGCTTAAAGCTCTCAATCACTCACCCAAAAATTGATTAACATATACTGCAGTCACAAATGGCTTCATCATCTCCAACTCTAAAAGAAAATATTAAAAAGGCCTACGACAACGTAGCTGTCAAGTACGCAGAATGGACAAAATCAAGCTATCCAACCCGCGTCGAATATCTCCAGAAGCTACTCGCATACCTTCCGCCCTCACCCGTCGAGAAGTCGGTTCTTGAGTTGGGCTGTGGCTCTGGCCAACCTTGCACTGCGATCCTTGCTTCAATCCCTGGCATGAAAGTCACAGCAAACGATATCTCACCGGTGCAGCTCACCCTTGCCAGAGAGCATCTCCCTTCTACGAACGTGTCTCTTGTTGAGGGAGATATGATGGAGCTGTCATTTGAAGACAACAGTTTCGACGCCGTGATTGGCATGTATTCGATCCTCCACCTGCCGAAGGAGGAACAAGTGACTCTATTAGAAAGGATATACAAGTGGCTGAAGCCTGGGGCATTGTTTCTGGGGAGCTTTGCGGCAGGCCTTGAGGGTGAGGACTTGGTTGATAAGAATTGGCTGGATGGGAAGGATGGCGAGATGTTCTGGAGTGGCTGGGGAGAAGCGAAGACCTGTGAGATTGTGTCTTCAATCGGATTTGAGCTGGTTCTCAGGGAGGTTGTCGCTGAGATTGAGGAAGAGAAAGGAGAAGGAAGGGAAATCCCCTTTTTATGGGTCCTGGGGAAGAAGGCGGATAATTGAGCAGGCGATGATAGTTCGTCTTACCTTTCTACGGCCTTCCGGAACGATGATTGTCCTGGGGTGTGGCAACTATTTAATAGGAAACTTCAACGGCTCCATTAAGCTTGGCGACTGCTCAAGGGAACATGGTACGACTCAATCCAAGCAAGCTTCCAAGGAACAGTAGAAGAGAATAGATTGGAAGATTAGAACATTCTCTGGACGAACTATTCGCTATAAGAGCACAGGATTCGATTTTACATTGATTGTACAGAGATTCTCGTAAGGATAGGTTGGCTCTTCTCGAGCTACAATGACGTATTTGTGTCTATTTGGACCGTAGAGCATAAAGGTAGAGAAGGATCTGGCCTGTAGGTTTCAACGAACATCGCTCTTTCGTCGTTTCGTGCCGGCTTTTGGGCTGCTTTTACCAACTGTCCTTTTTGCGCGCTCCGGAGTCAAGAACGGTTTGGGGCCGTTGTGGTTCGGTATTTCAGACATTTCAGGGAGATTAGGGGCACTTTGATGGCCTCTGGGAGTATTTGAGATATCGTTCGCTCCGTGAATGCTGACCGAGCGCTTCTTAGAGGGAGGTTCGTGTTCATCCGGCATCTCTCTTTCACTGACTATTTCGGTGAGGATCTTGTGTCCTGGCGAATTCGAAGCTCTCCTGGTAGCCTTCTTGCGCGGTGACTGGGGAATGGTTTGGGCTTTTAGAGTGTCGCTCAATTCGCTCGTGATCCTCCAATGGGCAAAAAAGCAAGGCATGGCATAGTACAGAATGGATTCCCAAGGAGCGTTGCTCGAGAGCCAGAGCTGGAGCATTAACAACAAAAGCAAATGCAAGAGAGTCGTCGGGGCCCACAAGAAAGCGGTTAGGCGTTTCATTCTCTCGCAGACGTCAACGAGAATTAAAGTGCGATTCCCAAGGGCCAGCCACATCAAGGACATGACTTGACGGAGAAACTCCCAGCGAATCCTCATGTGACATTCGTACTCGAAATAATCAAAGTCTGTCACCTGCGTCCATGCTTTCAAGCGTAGCCGGAGACATGCTTGACATGAGCTGGAACCAATGTCCCTGGCGGAGCGACATTGAGTACTAGGGCACCTGGGATGTCTAAATGCTTTCCCTCCAAGAAGACGAAGTCTATCTTTCCAGAAAGGAGAAAGTTGGAGGTCCTCGTCATATGGGTTGCCCTGCAGCCAGTCGGACCAGCAGTTGAGGATTTCTAAGGCCTCCTTCACTCTTCCAGTAAAGTATTCTCTGTGGGGCGTACCGCAAGAGCAATCGAATAAATACTTCACATTGGCGAGTTCAGCGTGCGCCAGCGATTCCAAACGACCGTACCAAGGAACTGACTGCCCCCGGGGCAGCATATCGAGCACTGTGAAGTTGGGATGTTTGCATTTACTTTGATGCACTTTTTCGCGCTCCCCTGGATTTTCAGATTTCCCCAGTTTGAAATATCCCGCCTCATCGCTCGGATCCGCGAATAGATAGGCATATCCTCGCCTTTGTCCTTCTGCTTCCGCGGTCTTCAGGATAACCTCCTTGATTTTGGTTTCTAGCGTCCAAATCGGCATTGGTCGCACAGAGGCCGACGGAGTACCTTCGAGACATCGTCCGGTGCCACAGCTTTCTGGAGAAGCACCGCCATTTGGAGCATCCACTGGTAATTCGAGAAGCCTATGAGGCGTGTCGTCCGCTGTAGCATTGAGATCTTATTAGTGCACTGCCAGATGATGACTTGGCTCGACAAGGATCCCCACCCAGGTCGCTAATATTTATATCCGATTCTCTGGTATTCTCGACTTCATTCAGCGTTTCCATGTTGGCATGTCCACCAGAAGGAGATGCGTCTCGATTATGGCGTCGGATTCTTTGCGGTTGGAATTTGGCCGAACTCCGAGGGGATGGCGATGGACTATTGTCGGATAGCTGACGAACAAATCCACGAAGCGCCTCCGTATCCGAGGCATCCGATTCATCAGAATCGGATATAAGTATGGGGTTCTCGATAGAATTTCCCGATTCTGGCGGTGTTACCAGAATAGGATACAAAGCAGTTGAGGGTGGGGTCGCTGGTGTTTCGTCGGACATGATGGATGGTTATTTGCCGTTTACTTGAAAATGAAAGAAATCAAGCTTCCGGAACCAGCGCTCGAGAGACGGGAGGAATATATGCGTCCAGCTGTGCCACACAATCCCATCTCCATACCTTTCAAAAGTACCACGACCCCTGACAGGGTTATGAACCGCCCATAGAGCAGGGCAGCCTCGATGCATGCACCGCCCGGGTGTGGCTTTCACACCGGTCTAAACCAGCCTGGGGTCGCCATTTCAGGCCATCATGTCGCTATCAGCCTTGGGGACTTTTAGGACGAAAACCCTTGTCGCCAGCCGCAGTAGGTAGAATATATATAGGGTCATGCGCCACACGAGCGTTCGTGTGAAATGAGAGTTCATGGTTAGTGTGTTGGCGCTACTGCATGTACACTGCCCCGCGTGTTTCGAATTGACAGGGGTTGGTTCTTTTTTTGTCGCTAATGCTTGCCGGTTCAGAGGCTGGAGCGCAATTTGAGGTATTCCTGCTGTAGTGACATGCATGTTATTCCAGGCAGCACTAATTTCTGAAGGCAGTGTGGCCTGGAAGGGAAGGCACTTATCTTGGGTAAATTAGTTTCTGATATCGTGCCTTGCAGTCGGGTTGAGAGTCTTCCACGGTGAAAATGAAGGATATCATGGGATGAACCCCTCAGGATGTACTATCTATCGGAATTGCAAACCTTTTAGAACGGTATACAATTTGTTATGTAGTCTATAGTTCAGCCGCGGATCCCTCCGTAGCCAGAGATGCCCGGTCAGAGATCTATGGCGATGTCTGCAACTGAGTCATTGAAAAAGCGGGGATCCTCCCTTCAAGTCCGGCATTGAGCAATCAAGATTAGGATGTCATAAGACATGCACGTTGGATCCAATGTATTGAGTTAATGCTTAATGCAGTTGAACGGCGCGGAGATGGAGGGCGTTGGGTTGGAAGGAGATTGACAGGAGTTGTTACAAGTGGAAATAAGTACGGAAAGTAGCTTACCTAGGTACCTGTCAATAGTCTGGTTATCTACAAGTAACGTAATTCCCAGACGAGCCGGACACCCGGGCCAGCTGGACACCCCCATCAAATTTTAATGTGTTTGAATTTGATGCTATCTACACAGCTACTATGCTATGCAAATCATATTAAACCTTTTAAAATTTAGTGGGTTAAGAGGGAATGATCCTATTAGTAATACTATTATTAAGAAAGCAGGAAATTTAAAGTATTTATCACACTGCATAGATATTTAATGTGCCTACATCTCCCCTCTATAGTTAACTTTATAGATGCTAATATTGAATTAAAAAATATGTAAATAACTATTAGCTCCTAGAGCACTGCCCCCTTCCCAGAATGCCATATTATCTGAATACCACCCCTTTCTAGTATGGCGCTGTCTGTATCTCCTCTTATCTTACCCTATTCAGCTTCCGAGTCACTGATAGCTTAACCTATTTTAGTAACCATTACTATGTTAGTGTCTCAGCTATGCACATCTCCCTTGTCCATGCGCACCCTATTATGTGTGGCCACTATTGGGCCTTGGGCCTGTGAGATCAAATACTCTCGATTGACTCGCCTAAAAAGCTCAACCAGTGGAATGACGACCTCTTATTCGACGTATTGTTGATGGGGACCGTGCTCATAATCATGATAAGTAGAGTCAATTCCTGAATGTGCACAGTGGATAACCAAGCAAGTTGCCTTCTCCATCAAACATTACAACGAATATAACAGCATACCCAATTGCTACTTTTAAATGGTCATTTGAATCGACGACACTCGCATGACGATATCTTCCCAGTTTATATACTTCAGTCTCCTCTGTCTTCAGCTGAACCCGTTGATCTCATAGATTGTCAACAGCAAAAGCAGGAGAACATGGCCTCCCTCATGGTTTAAGCTGCACGATTTCAGACGCAGTGGCTGCCACCAGAACAGCGGTAGCCACCAGTTTGTTCTATCCAGCGATAGCCTATGACATAGACCCCTATTTCCCGCAATTCTGCCTGCGCTTGCTGCTCTCGGCGGCGGTTTCGTTCTATTTGCTCTCTGTTTGCGGATTTCTCCAGTTCTTCCTGTGCCCTTCCAATCTAGATCATGTTACAGGCAGGCGTGCACATGGCGGACCCTGGTCTCCTCATAGCCACTTTGCCATGCTTCTGCCAGTATCTGAACTACATTGTCCTCAGCTTCCTTGATTTCCGAAGAGCTTTGCCTGGTTGGCTTCGTCGTCTTTCAATTCGGATATTCCTTATGTCGAGCTCAGGCGGCGGCCGGGAAGTAAAACGGAGCGCAGAAGAGACGCCCTCGGCATGCGATAATTTCCGTTCGGTTGATCCCGCAGCTCGAGGGCTACGCAGCAGGTCCTTCCGATTGGAAGTACCAGTTAGGCCTGTTGTTTCCTGAGTACTAGCTGTTAGAATCTAGGGGACGCGAGGAGATTGAGAGGTGCATAAGGTGGTAAGTTTGAGGCGAAGGGATCCATCTAAGCTATGGAGCCCATCTGGGCCGTATGACCAGATGGAGACAAATCTATCAAACACTAGTATCGCTAGTTATCAAGAAATTTTCATCACTGGATTCCTTAGCTTGAGAAAGGTTGCCTCTCTCTGTGCTGTGCTCGCAATCTAAAATCGGTAGTATAATAGCCATAGAAAGTCATCGGCCAAACACTTCCTTCATATGTGGCAGGCGGTGAGTGAATATTGCTGCAGGCTGCAGCAACACTTTTCTCCGCGTCACAGGATCTTGTTTGCAGCTGCTAGACTACTGTCCATTGCAAACTGGGACAAATCATGCCATCCCGAAGGTCTCATACAAAGTCCCGTAACGGATGCGGAGAATGTAAGAGGCGAAGAGTAAAGGTTGTTGGTTTCTCACTCCGCGTTCATATTCTCTTGGTTAGCTGACGAGGGTCGTTCCGCAGTGCAATGAACAGTATCCTTGCCACAACTGTCTCAAAAACAACAGTGACTGCATCTACGGGGCATATTTCGGGCAGTCAAAAGCCCAGGCTGCCTTTACTCATAATTCACTCTCTCCGGGCCCAAAAGGACTCCCCACCTTCCCCAGGATGGACTCCGTTAGCACAGCTGTAGACAGCTCGTCTTTCACTTTTTTTAGTGGGGCAAATTCCTGGCTCCAAGATCTTGAGCTGATGCATCACTTCAGCACCGTTGTCTACAAGACGCTCGCCAGTCGCAAAGCAGTCCATGATGTCTGGGGTATTGCTCTCCCGCGGGAGGCTTATTCGTGCGAGTGCCTCATGCATGGTCTACTCGCACTATCGGCATCACACCTTGCCACACTCAGTTCCCAAAGAGTGGCTCACTATACGAACCTATCGGCATCTCATCTGCATAGGTCTCTTTGTCTTTTCAGAGTGGTGCTTGCTGATATCTCGGTCGTCAACTGCATCCCGGCATTTGCTCTGTCGTCACTTCTCGTCATACAGGTTTGTGCACAGCCGATATTGGATAAATCCAGGCCCACCGTCGAAAAACTCATAAAGTTGTTCAACATGTGTCGCGGGGTTGGGACTATTCTTGCGCCATACGGTGCAAATATCCAGCAGAGCTCTCTAAGCTCCTTGCTTCATGATGACTATAACTTCTTTAACAAGCTACAAAGGTACCGCCTACAGATCATCCATAATACGGTGTTTATTGGAACGCAAAATAACATTTTCGAAGATCAAAAGATATCCATCCAACAAATTCCCAAGTCTCACCTCTTGCGCGGCTAAGAGACTTGATAAAGGGTCAGACCCTCAATCATTGGGAAGAAAGCGTGTACTTCGATGCCCTGAGCCAGCTAGAGATCTCATTTGATTTTATACAAGCGGCTAAGAATCCGTTGGAATGGGGGATGGCCTTTGTTTGGCCTGTCCTGCTTAAAAAGGAGTTTCTCAATCTTCTCGGACAACTCAGGCCTCTTTCCCTAGTGATGCTCTCACACTACTGCGTACTTTTGTATCATTTTGACCACCTTTGGTTCTTGAATGGCTGGGCTAAGGCTCTTCTTACGGAGATCGGGGATACTCTGACCTTGGAGCTACAGATGTGGATTGATTGGCCTAGGGAAGTGTGCGGTTTGAGGCATCCGCGAGTTTAAGAAACTGGGCATATTAATTGTGGCAGTTGGCTTCTACCCACTCACAATTCGCTGGCTGGATGGACTAAGTCTGAAGGAAAGCTACGTACAATATTTGGACCAGGGATACAGAACTTTGTTTAGCAACAGTTTGAGTGTCGATTGGAAGCAACCAAATTTACATGCTATTCCCCCCTCCCTCATCCGCCAAACAGAAAAAGGGACAGTCTCTAACGCTCCCGCACCACCTCCACCCGAAGTTGAACGTAAATCAGCCCATGTTTTCCAACTGCGTCTGTGGTACCGATCTCAAACTCTCCATCGAACCCTGACGATGTTTATAATCACCAGCCAATATTACCGATGGGTGAAGAACATTCATCGTGACCATGGCAAAAACCATCAATGTCGCATCAAACACATACATGAATGCCTCGTGGCCAATCAAATACCCATCATTTCCCTGCGCATACTCAACAAGGCGGAAGATCGATCGTATCAGAATCAGCGCGCTAGCAATATACAGTCCCCAAAGAGCGGACTCCCAGCTGCGAAACGTCGCTTGATTGGAGCTCCCTCCCAGTTGCAGAGCTCGTTGTGTTGGATTCAAGCGGATACGTCTATGAAAGGTCGCCGAGGTAAGCACGAAAATTGTGAAGAAGACGAGTTGCACGCAGAGACCGCCAATCGTGATGTGTTCACCCGTAGTTCTGGCACTAAGGCTACTACTAGCCATGGTCGCACCACCTTTATTCTAGATTAGTAAACATTTTTTTGTCCAATTTATATATCAAGAAGAATGAGAATAGTGAGCAGCGAAAGCAGTGAGCATACCTGCTGCCTGCGCCACAAATGCAATGACATCACCCGTCACAAATATACCAGTCAGCCATTGTACTGGGACCAGACTGAAGTGTTCGGCATGCAGATAGTGAATAATTCTACCGAGGACCATATATATAGACGCGGCATAGAGTGCTGGAGCTAGCAAAATAAGAATTGCTTGAACAGAATAGATAGGGACGTTTCCCATGTTTGAATGCGCTGCTGCTCTGGCTGCATATCCTATTATCTGGACTATGGCCATGATGGGATTTGTTCAGCGGGGCATCCCAGGGCACAATAGAAACTTTGCTTAAGTTACTTACAGATTCCACCGAGAACAAATGCAACGAAATACCAGGATTTGTTTCTGGCTAGTTGGTAGAGATGATAGGCAGTCGTTATGGTGAATAAGACGATGAAGATAACAGCCGCTGCAATAGAAGGCGTATATTGGTAAAATTTGAGGCCAGCTTCGCCGCTAGAGTCGCTCATGGTATAGATCTTGATGCAAACCACACCACGAAAGGAAAGATAGAACGAAAACGCTACGAAGTGCGTGTAGTAAAGGGGGGTTATCGAATCTCAAGTAGAACAGAATAAGAGCCTAGGCAACTGCACGGGGATATAACTGCCTCCTTAAATACAACAGCACATTTCGCACAAGACAGCACACCTACAAAATTCCATGAATAAGCCATAGCCAGCGAGTATGTCCATCTAAGTACTTACTATACCTGCTGGTCGCATTAGGAAAAGGTCTCGTACTCTAGTAGTTGAGTTAACCTAATATAGATTAGTGTACGAAGTTACGAATGTGGATCCAGCGGAGACAAACCACCCCTGCAAATTGTTAGATGCTGCTATCTTCCGCTCAATAGACGCGGAATTGGAAACGACCTGGTTCGCACGGGGCGCCCCGTGGGACTCTTCACCCACCCAGCCAATCAGTGACTTTGAAGAATTGGCCGCATCATCTGCCTGGGCCCTTGTCTATCTACAAAGAGAGACGACAAAAACTGGCTTACAATCTGAGATCTAAAGTAGACAGCAGAGGAAGCCTAATAGTACTCCTCCTATATCAATAAGAATGTAATGAACTCCTATAATTTATTATTTACTACTTTCTACCTCCTGTCCGTGTTTGCATGGAAGAGAGCTATAAAAAATTCATTAACAATATCTAGCTTAGTAAAATTGTCAATGCAGACTGGTTCAATCCTCCTATGTTGCTTGACAGAAAACTCCCTTTCCTTAGGATATGCATAAACAGGATGTCTGCTGCTGTTCCCAGCCGGATCTTGATTCTAGTAACTCGAGTCGCATAACCGAACCGCAAAAATCGAACCCAAACCTCAACGAACTCGCAGCGGTGCGGGGTTGGGGCAAGCCTAGGGAATTGCTTCAGGTTCGGTTTCTCTACCCCAGAACCATTTTGGGTTCAGTTAAAACCGCCGGTTACGGTTTTTGCGGTTTTATCGGATTAGGTTAACCAACCTGCACTGTTTTACCTAGAAATCATTAAATTTAAGATATTTTTAAATGATATTAATATCACTAGATAGCCTTTGATTTAGGCTATCTAGTGATATTAATATCAATTTAAAATATCTGGTGGTTGCTGAGATATAAGGGAATAATCATCTCTGTCATAGGTTGGTATGAAAGTGGTGCGGAGAGATATATATATATAAGGATTAACAACCACTATAGTTTTTTAGCCACCACCCATTCAAACCTATAGATATCGAACTCATATTTTAGATCTAGATTACTATGATGATAATTACCATATATTCCATATAAAAATATTATTTTATATAAGCATGCTCGATAGGGGCGCCAGAGGGGTCCCCGAAGGGGGCCCCGTGGGGAATGGTAAGGGTTAAAACAGCCAAAATTAGCAGTTTAACCAACCCGAAACCGAACCGAATCTAACCATGGTTAGTTAGTATAGGCCTAGCTATACCTAGGTAGGCCAAGCAGCGGGTTTTTGTGGTTAAACTGCAACCAAATCACATTGGGTTCGATTTGGTTGTGATTTCTAAATTTTGAACCCGAAACCGCAGCGGTTCGGTGCCAACTAGGCTTAAACCCGCCCGAACCCGCACCAAATGCAACTCTACTTAAGAGATTTAGAAGTGAGATGGGCACTATTATAGAATCTCTATATAGTGCCCCATCCCAAGAGGCTCTTAAGAGATTTAGAAGCGAGGTGGGTGCTATTATAGAATCTCTATACAGCACATTATCATTAAATTCCATTATTACTCCTGAGAGCAATGTAGACTACTCTAATTCATAAGGGAACCATAGCATTGTTATAGAGAGTTAGTCTTAAGGTAAGAGCACTGCCAGAACTAGATCTCCTACATCTCCCTATCCTAAGTGCCTTGTCCATAGCCTGCAAGAACTATCTCCAGACTCTAGTTGATAGTATTTGTACAGCACTCTTCCTGCTTGCGGCTATTTACTAATAGATCAAACTGGGCGTGTAAACAGCTACCCTTATACATAATAAGAGACCAATATATGTAGATGGTATATGTTCAGGTGGTACCTAGCTAATTAATTATAATAAGCACACTGTAAGGAAGTAGCATTCTAGGCAGCTACTAACCACAATACCAAAAAGGTTCCAATGATGATTCCCCTTGGAATCATCAAGCCTAGAACATGCTTATATACCACCAACCCCCCTAGGCTGTCTGCCCCCATGACACACACAGACAACTCCCCACAAGGCTTTGGAAGAGAATGAAGTTAGTATACCAGAGGGGCTGAATTCCTGAAAGAGGAAATATGAATGCTCTGCTCTATCCTCCATGCCCATATAAAGGTCCTTAAGGCTAAGAATTGATTGGAAGACATGATATTGACGGCTTGGGTTTTATATTTCTGTATAATCTTCTATTAGTTTCCTATTTTACTTTCTTTTGTGCGAAGCTGCTCTTGCTCTTTAAAAAAAAAAAAAAATTTCTAGAGGCCTGGTTGGGTTAGACAGAAATGTGAAGATATAACTAGATTCCCTAAGTTATATTCTAACATAGACATCAGCATCATATAGCTCACTATACTTATATGCTTTCTTCATGAGGCCTATCTTACAGTAATTCTTTTTTTACTAGGCAGATTTTCTGGGTGATAATATGACCCAACATGGTCGTGTGGTATTCATGTTTCTCATTACGTAGACCACATTCTTTGTTCTTTATTTTCCCACGCTCGTTAATTTTTTCGATACTGCATATCAGAGAAGGCTGCAAATCCTGTAAACGCCGAAGAGTCAAGGTTTGCTATATTGGTCGTCCGCCTTCGTCTCCTCATCTGCTCATCTCCCCAGCCTTCTTCACTTATTGTACAATTGCCCTCATCAGATGGATATAGCTCCTAATTTCCAAATGCAGCTTTCAGTACACCCCTAGAGTCTCATTTGAGTATATGAATAAAGTGAAAATCGTACAGATAGAATGCCTACTCTCTCTTCGACTGCAGCTTCATTTTCTGGATTGCATATCATCTCGGATCAGAAGCACCGCCGAGGAACTGGAGGGTAATAACTGTGGGTTGGATATGATTATCGTCTTTGCCGTCATATGCGGTGATCTGGACTACAGAGCCTTCAATATGGCGAAGCGGAGTCGTTACAGGCTCTGCAATACGAGCACCGTTTGGGAAATGGAAATTGAGCGTGATTTCTCTAGGTACCGGAATTATTTCAATAACTGGTCGGTTGAAAACAGTGTCGACCATAGTATACCCGGTCTTTCCTACCGAAAATGCAAAGCCATATCCGGCGATGTCCCCCTTCCAAGAGAGTTCAACCTTTGAATGGCCTTGGAAGAGAGAGAGTCCAGTTGTGTAAATAGTTCTGGTGTTTCCAGGAGTTTGAATCGTAACTGGGCTGGTGGGTTTAATAGAACTCATGTTTTCAAGAGATTTTAATGGTAGCTTGAATAAGTTCTAGGTCAGACAGTAGCTGCTCGCGAATGAAGATGTTATAAGGAGAGCTCTGGACATATGAGTGCTGGTGCCTTCTTTTAAAACAAGACAAAATTGACAGCTCGAATATAAGTGGTAGTCCGCTTGGGATCCTATTTCCCCTCATTTGATTGAGAACGCCAGATCTTGATTGGTTGGCGTACACTGGTGCTGAAAGCCAGCTGAATACACCACCCTTGGACATTTATGCATGGGACAAGAATCATCATACGCTGCAGGTTACATCTACTCAGCCAGCCTTCTTTGCACGATTCATCTTACCGCACGCTTGGCACACTTTGGCCCCATAACCATTCGCGGATGATTTTCCGGTGGTCCCTTCTTCCTGGACTATGTTTGTGTATATGTGTGCGTATACACCTGGTTCTCAACATTTATAGTCATTGAATTGGAAACTGGAAGGTGTCTGATGGATCATCCGGCCGTCGTCGTGGTTAAATTGAAAACAAACAAACAGAGGAACAAAGAACTTGAACAAAGACGATCCATGGTCTAATCTGTTACCTGAAGAATCCTCCCAGGTCTCAAGGTCTCCAGTTGGGCCATGTAAACCTTATAATCCGAGACAAGATGATTCCTGGGTACGATTGACATGGGATGACACGTTAAGGGAAGCAAACGACCTGGAACAAATGACCCTGACATTAACTGATCCGGAGCCCACTCCAGAGAGACGGAATTCGCAGAGTCAGTTTGATTGAGGAGGCGCACGACATATAAAGCATCATTGGGGAGATTCCATCATATTAGACGGTGGAAGTCGGGTCAGTTAGCATCGAGTCGTAAGAAGCATCTAATTAAGATCCTGAACACTAAAACGTACAGTACAGGCTCCATTATACTCCTTGCAGAAATATCCCGATGGAGACCAACAGTCGTAATGCAAGATGCCATGAAGATCATCGTCGAAATACGACCATCGAAACCAGGAGTTGACGATTCCCCGATATATCTAAAATAAGCTGCGCACTCAGTCCCACCAGTGTGCTCAGAACGAGACCAACCAATGATTGCATTTGCATTCAGTGTAGGAAGAATCTGCTCAAGAGCAAAAGAGATATCTCGACAGACGAACAACCTTCAAACTCGATAGACGGCAGGGGCACATTAGCCCTTATTGACAGATCCAAAAATCGCCAATGTCATGTCCTAATGGACAATCACAAATACGGTGCCATTCGCCTTTGAATGATATGCTGCCTATAGCACCAGTCACCTATTAAATGACGTAACCTTAGCCCTTACATGCATAAATGTGATTTTGGTGAAGGTTAGCACTTACGCATCGTGCTGGGACATTCGTTATAATATCTTGGACAGGAGCAGCCATTGCCGCGGTAGTCATGGATGCAACTAAGATTAAGAAGGATTTCATGTCTTCCGAATCTTCAGAATATAACAGGCTTTCAATGTTGGGAAAATGTGTGTGTGGAGCAAGTGTGTTCCAATAATTCCACCTCAGGGTGCCTGTCGATGTTAAGGATAAGACTTCTTGAGAGACCAGAGATGAGATACATTAAGGTTCAAGACGGCCAGAGATGGTATGCACCATTTTATAGTCGGACCACCATGCTCGTTGCTTGGTATGTGATCTTTTTGGCTTCGCTGCATGCTTTGAGAAACGGACACGCCGATGTTTGCTCACTATTGGAAGCAACCAGAAACAACATGGCCAATCAGGAACTACAGGTAAGCCAACATGTTAATGATGAGACTAAGGAAGATGGATTTATCCCTATTTGCCGAGGAGTCTTCACTTCTATTGGTTACAGGTCCACTGCTTGCTCGCACCAGCTGGGAAGTAAGGCTCATGATGGTCACATGGACACACCTCATCGTCAACTCTTCAGGTCAGTGGAACATTGCACTGTAGGGCAAACTCAGCCAGCCTCATGGAGTCATGAGGTCTCATCCATCGCCTATTTTGTGGGTTCGTAACGGATAATTAATTTTGGCGTGGATGGATAGGCCGCTGCGGCCCAGAGTGACTTAGTAAACACATCAAGTAAAGCAGTATATAGAAAGAAGATCATATTTCAGACAACCCCCGTCCAAGCAGCGGAGCGCCGTAGTTCTGGCCTTCGGATGTATGGAAAAGATTCGGCCCGAGAACCCGCCGCGAGATAGGATCGACCAATGTGGATAATGACGTCAACTATGTCTAGCAAGTGACAGGTGAGGTGAGAATGCAGGCAACGTGACTAACACCAAGTTGGCAACGGATAACTACAAAGCCAATGACACTTTTTACAGGTGGCTTCATTCTGCATCTATCCTGGTGGTAGATCTAGACTCTCAAAGCATGAGGTTTAACTAACCACAATACTACTTCAGGCTTCATACAGCAAGCCAAGATGCAGCTAAAGCAGTACTCATGTACCAGCTTACTTTTGTGAAAGTGGAACGAACTTCTGTTTCAACTGCTCTGTCATCATAGTGTCGCAATGGCGTGCCAATAGCAGGTGTGGTTATAATCAATTATCAGAGGGGAGAGGAGCTTTCTACTATTAAACAGGGCACCCAAGTGTCAGCGGAATGAGGCCTGATAAGACACTGCAGTTTGAATACGCCCGGCGGACTGAACAGGGTCTAAAGGGAAGCACATCACAGATACGAGACCACCTCGAGTCTCATTTACAACGCATGGAACAAACTCAGTGTCAACCAAACCATTCCTAGTGACTCCCTTGGATTACTTAGGGAGCGTTTGGCTATAACCTTCGCACCCAAACTTACGGAGCAACGAAGGAATGGCTGGCGTCGAAACCTGGATATATGGCACAACATCAACGGAAGAAGGCTCGGAAAATCTATTTGGAGATTCTGGAGAAAGACCCAAACATCTTTCCTTCCTTTTATCCTGGGCTGTTTCCCATAGAGCTTGCTTATCCTTTGATATCTCAAGCTTTCTTGCACGGCACCAAAGTCAAGGAAGGCATTTCCTCAGCAACAATGCCAAACCAATCCTCTGGGGTCTCGCAAAGAAACCTGACATTGATGACTCCCTCAATTTCAGGAAGTCGATGCATGACATTTTCCAACTGTCTCCTCCAGCGACTGAAGCAGAAGGCAAGAAAAATTATTCGTGCATCTAAGCACTCTCCCCGCAATCCGCAATGCACTCGGTGATGTTATCTTTGACGCAATTGAAGTTATTGAACGTTCCCCTACACAATGACAGTGAGAGCCAAAACTAAATAGATCGGTTGTCTCTTTAGCACCATGTCAATACAGAACACATACGTGTCCCTAGGTTGGCACTTAGTACTGTGACCCATAGTGCGCTCAACTTTCGCTGCAAATCTTCTATCTTCCGCTCATAGTGATTGGTATCTCTGCTGGATAATGATACTTACTCATTTCATTTGATGAATTCAATCACGGATGTAAGGCATCACCAATCAACTGTAGATAGAGTTGGGTAGGGCGCATTAACTAGAGGGGTCCATGCAGCCTGTGACCGCAATAGCCCGAGGAAAAGTAATAATAAAAATAATGGATGGGAACTCACTCAGTCGCGGGATTGGTGAGCAGCCAAGGCGCCATTCATGCTTTCGCTGGATCAAATCTCAGATTCCCAACAGGTTGTCTAATATAGACATTTTCTATTGGTTTGCAATTTTGACCCACTGTAGGTTTGGAGAGCAAAGCTGACCCCTGTTTAGGCACTCCTCAGGCAGCCTCGTCACTTTAAACAATTTTGGTTAGCTCCCTTGAATAACCCCTCTTCAGCGTGACACTTCAAGCTCATGAACTCCTGCACCACATCCATAAGTGCACAGAAATGCAGAGTACCTGCTCCACCGTTTGTCTTTCCAATAGCATTTTCTAAAGTCCTTCTTTTCTCCCAATTCTGAGCCAGCCATGACTGAGGCATCAGATCTAAGAAGCCAGGCTTATGCTGAACAGCCTTCCATCCCTATGAGACTGCACAGAAGGCAGAGCCCTCTTCTAGCCCTGTCAATCTGAAAAACTCATTACCTTGCCAATATCCAAGGTTTGTCGGGTTCCCTCCGCCCTGTTATTGCGTGGAGGACCGTGCATTGCTAAAACAAGCGGCAAACAGCAGCCTCACGACAACCAATAAGGTTGGCGTGTCGCTCGCCAAACCTGGCACCATGGGAGTAGCCAGATCAAATCAGATGCACAAGTACTACCTCAGAGCGAACGACTTTCCCGGTGTTCAGCTCCCTGACAGCTTCGAAAACTATGGAGACTTTCCCGCAATTACTATTGAGCTGGGAGGGAACAAAAGAGGCTTACCTTGCGACGATGTCACTTATTGCAACCTTTGTAGATCATTTAACACAATTTCCATCTATCCATCCGGCCCACGGACCGAACGGATCCATGTGGCCCATTTCTTTAATGGTGATGGCACTAACTGCGCTACATCGATTTCCAGGACTTCTTTATTCCTTATGGTGACATGTCCGGCAGGCTCACTGTCCAATATTGGAAGGACCGTGGTGGTTACTCACTGCAATACTATCTCAATGGCACCGTTCGAGGTAACGGCTACTTCTTCATACCGTGTTAGATGCCCTACACGCTGTAGTAGCTAGTTCTAATAAAAATATATTGTTTTTGTCGATTTGGATAGCTTCGAATGTTTGAATGCGTTAAAATCAGATGGGGGTTCTGGCTGGCCCGGTTGTCCGGCTCGTCGTAGTGTGGGGATGACATTCTAAGGTAGATACTGACAGATGCAGGGTTCAGAACGACCAATCAGTAGATTACAACTCAGCCTCGTCAGCATGCGAGTTAAGAGGGCGGCTATGTACAAACTTGCAACTCTTCCAGATTGCCATTTCTATTTCCTGACAATATGTGTCGTTGACATTCATGTCCCATATTATCCTCCTCTTGATACCACGACAGGGCTTGTTTAAGATAAAATTCATGGCCGAGACTCTTGGGGCTGCAGCATCGATTGTAGGGATTGCATCGCTTGCGGGGCAGATCTGCAGCGGGGTTCAGCAACTCTACGCCTTTGTAGACTCGATCAAGCATGCTCCGTCCGATATTCAGAACATCAAAAATGACATTTTCCTTATCGAGAGGGTCGTACGCCGCATGGCTGAAGACTGTTCCGACCTTCCAGAGCATCTTGACATTGATATTCTCAAGTCCTCCTTTGAGCTGTGCCTGTCTCGCGTTAACCGACTGTTGACAATCATCCAATCACTTGATACCTCGAGTCAGAAGAATCGAACCATCAAATTGGTTAAGGCGACTGTGAAGAAGACAAGGGTTGCCGAGTTTGCGAAAGAACTGGACAGTGCAAAGATGACTTTGATGCTAGTGTATCAACATCATATCCAGTCAGTTGAGGCCACCCAAATGTATGCCTGTTGGTCTTACTGATATTGCTTCGAATAGGAACATAGGCCCTCTAGGTATTAGCCAATCGTCCTGCCGTTCTACAGCCAATGCGGGACGGAGGGAGCAAGAAAAGTTCAGCACACAGATGGTGAATTTTGGTCGATCGTACAGCAACACGTCGGAAGTAATATACACACTGTGTCTCGGCCGCCTCACCGTCAAATCTGAAACCGTCACACTAAGACAAGGAATTGGTAAATCAGATACAGCGCAAACAGAGTACCGATCAGAGAAAAAGACATTCACTCTGAGATCAACAGGATGGTGGTCATCTCGCATCATCGAGCTGCAGGCTATTCGACAAGCGAGTCAGTGGACTTTCAACCTACGACCATGGCATGTAGTCAGTCCTAACTCTATGCTATTTGATTTTTGCATGGATGGCGATTTGCGCAATGTCCAACGACTTTTTAGTAAACGCCTGGCCTCGCCTTTTGATATAACCTCCGACGGTGACACGGCATTGCATGTTTGTATTTCGCAGTCACGGCTGGCACCGGTTGGATGCTAACTATTCTGACAGTTTGCGGCCTTGTCAGGAAACCCAGATTTAGTTGCATTTCTTCTGTGCAATGGAGCAGATGCAAATGTGGAAAATGCGTCAGGAGAGTAAGCAGTGCATAGCCGTTGCCCCATCAATGACTAACGAGATATTAGGAACGCTCTTCATCTCGCAATGGTTAGTCCGCGAGAAGAAGAACATCTGGAACTGGCCCGATTGTTAGTAGAAAAAGGCCAAGTCGATCCAATGGGATCAGTCCGAGAATCTGGCGTCATACATTCATATGCTGGTCCGGTGGAGGCCTTCAGATACCTCATCCACCAAGATGAGTTTTTCGTCGATCTGGAAGAGCGAAACCGCGGTGGAAGGACGATTCTGCAGCATCAGATCTTTCATCGGCTTTATTATGGGGACTCGTTCGAGCGGATCCAGGTCCTTTTCGCTGCTGGTCGCCACCTTCCTGAAGGTTACATTGATGGAGACCCGACCTATGACGGCTATTCCGCACTCCACTGCGCTGCTCACGTCTGGGCTAATGCTAAATTGAGGGAAGATGAGCACACGGCTCAGCAAAGTGAGTTGGTTCTCCGGAGCCTCTTGAGTAGAGAAGAGGATATACATAGAATAAGCGGCCGAGGTTACACCGCTTTAACGACTATCGGCGAGATGATTCACTTTCGTAACAAGAGGCCGGAGCTGAATCACGAGGTTATAGCTGCATGGCTCAATCTGCTTTCGGATGCGGGACACGATGTGAAGGTCTATTGCTTGACGGAACGTACCCTGGAGAGGAAGAGACAGGAGACTTCAAGAGCGGCTGTTCCCAGATTTCTTGTCATCTTCGAAGAGATGAACGGAGTGGACGGAGTTGTTGATGGCCTGCAGATATCTATATCCTCCCTGGAGCAAGTGATTGAAGTGGAAGATGAGGATGAAGTACCCCGAAAATTGATAACACACGAGCATCGTCATCCCAAGTGGCTCACGGTCTTTGGGAAAGGCGTACAGGCGTCACCTTTCCAAACCGTTCAGTCTCTTTTGGTCTGAAAAGGAACGCGGTTTCGATCGTGATGTTCATGTTATTCATCTACTGCTTCTTCATCTCAAATAAGTTACGGCTTTAAAGGATATAAAATTATGCACGATCAACAACTGCTAGTCATATTGCGTGGAATCTATCCGTAACTAATGCATATATTCTCAGAAGCAGAAAAGGTAAAAGGGCAAGTAAGAATAAAAGGGTGACCAAAAGGGAACAAGCCAAGCACACATCCAATCCTAACAACTATGCCCGGTCCCTTTAAATACCACCGACCCTGACCACGGACAGGTCTATCAATAATATCTAATTCCTACGAACCCGGCAAAGTCCAGAATCATCCCAGTCCTCACTTCCCACTCCCTTGCGAGCAATGAAAAGACCAGCAGGATCCCATTTCTGCTTGATGCGATACAGACGCGGATAATTCCGTCCCCAAAATTCAGTCTGGAAATCTGGCTCATACGCATTTGCTTCGTTCATATAGGATCCCATCTTCCTTCCCTCGACAGCCTTGAGAATCGGCATCTCAACATTAGTAAGACGACGAATGATAGCATCCCGTTGAGCGAGAGTGGCATGCGGCGGCCAGGCGCGAGCAAAATCGATATGGGTGGCAGCTTTTCTCCAGGCTGGATTCAAAGCGCTGTCGATAGTCCGTCCGTTCTTGGCGACGAGGCCTCCTGCGACGATGTGGCCGGTGATACCTTGTCCGGGGTCGAAGTTGATGTTCTTCAGGGCGGAGGTGAGTTTCTTTGGGCCGTCAGGCGAAACAAGCAGATCGCGGGAGAATAATCTTGAGCCTAGGATAGTGTTGTGACCAGTTGGGTCTTCACCTCCGGGAAGGAGGAGGTCCGAGAGGAGAGTATGGACGTTGGGGAAGGCCAGGGACTCGTATTGCGTGAAGACACCAGACGTTGCATTCAGCTTTGATCTGAACGGCGCATAGAGACGATCCATCATTGCAGTGCTGGTTTGATTCGCAGCCATGAGTATGATTGACAATGACGAGACATTCGTTGTCTTGTCCACTGGCATGTTGGGAGTCATCCAATAGTACCCCCCAGCGCGGTCATTCATGGCTGGTAAAGCGGCATGGAAATCCGTCATTGCCTGCCAGAAATTGCTATCACCGGCCACGGTACTGACATTGAGATTGCCAAAGACAACTGGGACCTCATCGAAGGTGCGCAGGGTAACTGTCACAACTACACCAAAGGTGCCACCCCCTCCGCCGCGTAGCGCCCAGAAGAGGTCAGTGTTCTGATAGCTGTTCGCGATAACAAGGTGGCCCTGTGATAATATTAGCTCGTTTCCTCATCGTCGGGTTGTTCACGTACATCAGCAGTCACGACAGTGTATTCGAGTACATTATCAGTCGACATGCACTTCCAGGGCCCCAAGAACGAATGCCCTCCTCCCTGGATATAACCCCCGGCAGCACCAACGGTATGCGAAACGCCAGCAACCACTGTCTTGCCTTTCTTCCCGGCTGCAGGATACAGCTCCTGTAAGCTGACACCAGCCCCAATGGTGATGGCAGAACCCTCTGACATGTTTCTCGGAGCACCAGCTGGTTTGAAATTGTCACTGAACCGAATATCCTTCATCCTGTTGGTAAGGATCTGGAGTGACTCCGGTGCCGTCGAGCGACCAAGAAAGTCATGGCCAGAGTTCTTGATCGCAAGGCGAAGATTATGTCTCTTGGCGAACCGAACAGCTTCTTGAATATGAGACGCGCGCTCGGCCACAACAGAGTATAAAGAAACCCTCCCCTGACCGCAAGGCCCCTGAGGATCTATAATAGAGCAGGTCTGGTTATGCTCCAACCACGAGTCCCAGTTTTCCCACTGGACTGCGCCGGGCTGCGCGGCTCGCCATGTGGAATTATACCATTGCTTGGTGACAAAATCGCAGGCCTCGGGATCTCCTTCATGGCAGGGGGCGGCCACCGGTCGAACGGCGAGGAGATTACCATTAACAGAGCTGTTAAGGGTATTCCACTCTTGTGGAGAAGGCCAACAGGGTTCGTGGGGTCTGCAACGACATGAGGAATTGGAACTGGCAAGAGCCAGTGCGGCGAAAGTGAGACTCAATAATGCTTTCATGGCAGCTGCTATCTTGTAGATATGCTTCGGCTATGTTAGGAATGATCGGAAAAGTTGACAGCCATGACGGCCAGCTCGCTTCATATATATACTGCTGATAGAGTTGTCATCTATGTAGCGAGTACGACAGTCAATGGATCCTAAACATGCGCACGGCTTGGATCTCGTACTCGCTAACGTTCAGGATGTCGATTAGGAAATAAAAGACCAAACACAGTGGTCTGTCTGATCAATCATCCAGCTGGGAGGAGTAATAAGCAGGATGATTGGCGTCACCGTCTGTTCGCTCGTATTCGACTGCGCTGTCGCAGAGGGTTTGGTGGATAAGGCTGGCATAGTGGGTCATACATTAAAATGACTCCATTTGGATAAGATTATCCATAGCTTTTGCCTTGAACCATAGGATCTCAGCCACAGCCGCAGAGCCTGGGGTCTTGGCTAAGCAAGTAAGCTGCACGATTCGCTCTCAGACTTAATTTGCACTGCCCTGTAGTTTTCAAGCGAACACGACATTTTTCTATAGTTGGCATAGTACAGTCATTGAAGCCACGGAAATGATTGCAGATCCCCGGGCTGGGTAAAAAGACTTCCAAGGGGACGCAGCTCAGAGAATTGAGCATCCCGCCCGAGAACAGTTTCCCTGGCAGTCTACATAAGTTTTCACTATTGGCTTAATCCGAAGGGCACTAAACACCATTACAAGGTCAGAATGACAGCTGGCCATTGGGCAGCACACCATGGGATAACTTGATACTTCCGAGATCAACGCATATCACTCAGACTCTATCCTAAAAAACAAATCGAAAGGTACGAGGACGGAATGCGTGGTCTGTCTCATGACCAATCACGGTGGTCCCAGAAGGGTGTTGGACTCGACGTGTGGAGCACACAACAGTCGAGTAACTGTCCAGCCAGAGGTGTATATACTGGACCTGAACTATCGGAACACGATGAATAGTGATAGCAGCATCCGTGTTTCCATGGCATCGTCGCCTTAGACCAGAATGGGACAGGAAATGCCTACAGTCCAATATAGCTGCGCTCTATTCTCTGAATCCATTTCCTTTTTTCTCGTTGAACTGAGTGTGACAATATCGCTAAGAACCAAACCCTGATTGAACAACAAACTCTATTGCAATGGTTGCTAGCAAAGAGCAGAACTTGGTGAATTCTGGTCAATGAGCTCTTGTGCGATTGAGAGATGTCAATCAGCTGGCGTTAAGCACGAAGTTTCAGACCAGTCACCTCCTCACAAGCCTTGACCACCTTCTCCTGTAAGTTGATTTCCTCTGAAATTGGCAACGGACGTCCAAGTTTTCTCTTCGGTTCAAAGTACTTTCCGGTCAGGCTTTGGTTGTAACCCCCCTCTGCCAACATCACATACGTTTCCACCCCGTCCTCCAGTTTATCGGTTGCCCCTTGGCCCCGAGCTTGGTGGCTACCCAGCCTGGGTGTACGCTGACCACGGAGGTATCTTTAAACCTTCTTGCTACAGCATTTGCAAGCAAGAGAACATGCAACTTCGAGTCACAGTACGCCGGGAAATCCCGGAATCTTGCTTCGCCGCGCTTGAGCCAGAAGATGTCCTCCAGACTAGTGTCACCTTGGCGGTGCAACTGCGAAGAGATGTATACGAGTCGCTTGGGACGACGCAACAAGCAGGTCAGAATATATGGTGCAACAACATTGACAAACACCATGCTGGGGATACCGGTGTCCGAGGTCTTCCGGAACGGCCCGGATAGCATGCCGGCGTTGAGGATGACGGCATCAAATTGGCCGATCGCGTTGGCTTCTTCGGCGAGCCTGCGGTTTTCAGCCACATTGGATAAATCAGCGGTCAGTACACCAGCAGCACCAGGACAGGCGGCTTTCGCATCAGCTGCGCGTTTCTCGTTGCGCGCGTGCAGGTAGACGGTGTGGCCGCGTTTTACTAGTTGGCGTGCGGCCTCGAGACCCAGGCCGTCAGCGGAGCCGGTGATGAGCACACGGACCATGTTTGGTAAGTGTCGCGTAGAGAAGGTCAAGGAGTGGATAGGCATTCGAGGTTAGATGATCTTTGAAAGATGGCAGTGGAGGAATGAGGAGGTCAGTAACCAGAAGATCATCAGCTTCTCTTATATAGAGCTCGCTTTTACTCTTCTGACCTAAGGTTCCGCATTTACCGACGTAAGGTCCGTCATCGAAAGCCTAAGTAATAGCCTTCGGAGATCGACACTTCCAGCTGACAAATAGAGTTGAACGGACTTTGATGCTGTTAAGTCCGACTGTCCGACGGTGGAGTTTCTATGTCTGTTTGCTGGAACCGTGTTCTACTCTAGATAGTACATAATCATTGCAGACCGACCGGAGGCTTTCTAGATTGAAGTCGGACTCTCGCCCCTGGGCTCCAGCAATGTAGGCATCTGGGGATTCGTGGGAATGTGAGATCCTGCGCCACGGAATGGATGAAGATCCTATCCTCTCCCCAATTTCTTGGGTACTGAAATAGCAGAGGATTAGGACTTTAAGAAGAAGGATGTAGTTCGTGCGATGTTCTTCTCGGTCCACGGGAGCTGTGCAAATGAAATAGTGGAGATGCTGCTGGTCTAGCAAAATCGCAGGACATCTCATCCACCGCCGCTGGGATTGCGCTCGCAGAATATAATTCTAGACTACATCAGTCCTTTCCCTTGAAATCAGAAGTAAAAGATTCAATACTGACATCGCGAAAGCTTTGGTCCGCAGAGGCCCATCGTTCCATAAGAGCTCGTCGTGCATGCAGTTCTTGCTCTAGGTCAGGGGCGGGCGCCCATGATTCCTACATAAAGCATTAAATGAGAACTAAGGTATCAAACTCAAGTGGATGTGTTCCGTACTTTGAAGAATAGAAGCCAACCCCTTGCTTCCACCAGCAGGTCACTCCGTGTCGTGGTCTCACCCGCGTTGAGATCAAGACGAACTATTGCCGAATCCCAGGCCATTATAAGGGAGATCGACTATCCAAGGGCTGATTTGGGTGTCGAGTCCGCTTGATAAAGGAAAAATTGGCGATCTAATTCTTTTTTATCCTTTTCCCTTGAGGGGTGTACGGGAGTGGGTAATCCTGACTGCGGATCTTGTTACTAGGGCAATTAAGTCCAGTCCACACATTAGAGAAACAGCAAGCAGTACGCCAAAATATACATCCTGCATTCCCTATAGACCCCGTGCCTGAGTGTATCTGACGATGAATCGCAGGCAATACTTTAATAAAAGCAAGGCTAATCACAGGGTTGGCCTGAATACAAGCCGTCGAATCCCATCTTAAAGAATATAAAGTTAAGATGTAGAGGTGTTATGCAATATATGTGAGACGTATTCTTCGAATCTCCTAACCACTTCAGCAGCTTGTTGGTCGGACATGATGGAAGAGAAATACGTAAGCCTTGCTTCCAAAGTTGACTGCTTGTCAATCACAGAGAGAAGAATATACTAAATGAGAAGTCAGTGAGCCTGTTCGATAACATGAATAAGTGCATTGTAGCTGTATCCCTACCTCTGTTGGCTCACGGGTGTCTATCTCCGTAAAACAGATGCCGTCCACCTGTAAGCTCGACAATTGTTGTTCGAGAGAGATGCACGTGTTAAACAACCTCTGACCAACAAAATTTGACTGGCGCAGAATATCATTGAGGCAATAGTGCTGGTACGACAGACGGTTTGCGATCTCGACTTGGTTTCCTCCAAGAACGCGCAGCAGATGGTCCGGACAACTCAAATTCAGCTGACAAGGAAGAACATTGAAAAAGGGCCCAATTGTCTCATGCACCCCCTGCAAAGGAAGATCTCTGCCGGAAACAAGTGTCCCAAAGCAGACGATATTCTGGTGCGTGTAGGACTGCAGGGTGAGTCCCCATGCTACTTGCAAAACATTACTTAGGACAAAACCACTTGTAACACAGTACTGTCGAAGGTCGACAGCATCTCTAATCTCAATCCTGGTAACACTCAGTGTGTCCTGCCCCGGACCTTCACTCTTGAGGGATGGAAAAATGCATGGCTCTGCTGCTGCCATCTGTTTCTTCCAGTAGTCCGCGTGGCCCTCGTCTTCAGATGTGTAGTCGAAATATTCCACCACGGAACGGTAGGGTGGGCCGGGCGCGGAAGACAGCGTTGCAGTATATGCCTGGGCAAGGTCTTGCAGAATAATCAATAGCGATGTCGCATCCAGAAAGGCTTGATTACCCTCAAGCTTACAGTAGACGCGATTTTGTTGTGTCTGATAAATGGCGAACTTAAATGGTGGGCAACCAGTCCCAGTCATCAAGTTTGGCCGATGCATCGTATCATCGCTTACCCCCGAGAATACAGTATCTTCACTAGGCGAGCCATGGAGCACAATGTGTATCTTCTTCCATGACTTCCCGGGCAAAGGGTTATCAATGAGGATTGTCCGAAGTGCAGAGTGACGATGCACTAGACTGAGCCAGGCATCACGCAGGCGAAAAGGGCACACGGCACTGTCGCGGCCAGTTGCCGTTACTTCCCAGATGGTGTAAGACTGATAAGTCATAGGCTCTCGTAATTAGGTCAAGAGTAGCCCCTCATGGACTGTCGTGCAGGGATATGCATCCTCGACAGCGTCCATGCTGGCTATACCGAGCTTAGTTTTGACGTCAGCTTCGAACCTAGCCCTCTCGGACTCGCCGGCCATGCATAGTAAAGAGAATAGACTGCTCATATTCCAGTCTGCGGCATGGTCTGGTGGAGGCTTAATCCTGGCGAGGGGTTGTAACTTGCTTGCAATTCGACTCATCATTCTCTGTTGAAAGATATCGCGAACAGTGAGAGAGAAACCCTCTTTCCTGCACAGCATAACCATCTGCATCGCTGTACTGGAATCGCCTCCGAAGACGAAAAAGTCGTCCTCACTGTCCACGTCCTCTACTTTCAACCCAAGGACGTGAGCTACGATGTTCTGGGCTGTTGATAAATGAATTGGCCTCGAGAACGCTGCTTCACTCTTAGTCGGAAACATGGAATCTTGCTGGATCTTTCTGCATAGATTGGATGCGGCCGCGCGCAAGCCTTCCCTGTCTGGTCGACCGGCAGAATCCTTGGGCAAGGATTTAATGATACTACCGACTGGCCGTTCCAGATTGTCGTTAATTTTACTGAATAGACCCGCGAACTGCTGCAGCATTGCTTGTGCCTCATCTGGCGAGGTCACAGCGGAATCGATCACGGCAGTAACATCAACCCAGCAATTATCCGCAAGTTCGCAAATGAGAGTCAGAGGATGAGTGCTAAATTTCAGTTGTTCGTCATCATTTTCCAAGGGTTCCCCGAATAGCCCATCGGAAACACCTCCTCGAACTGGCGGTTGGATAACCAGCAAGCTTTTGAAGTCGCACGCCAATGCTGCGCCTGCGCTAAAAGACTTTATCCAGCGCAGTCCAGTGTGCTCGAACGGAATCAATCTGGTTGCATGCTCCTGCATCCTGACCAGTGTTTCCTGAACGCTGACATCGGGTTGAAGAACAGTTCGAAGCGGTATTGTAGCGATGGTAGGTGCAGCGAGCTCGTGGATCCCGGACACAGGAGCACTACGTCCGTTGACAGTCACCCCAAAGACGACATCGTTGGATTGAGTATACTGCGAAATAAGCAGTGCATAGGCCAGGCGTATCACTGTAGATAGAGTATAGCTGCCTCGCAGCGAATTAGATACTTTGAAGCGAGAGTGCAACCTTCGCACAGATGTACTGCTATGGCCAAGTGCGGGTGCTGCTGGAAACTTGGACGCCCTAGATCAAGAAACTCGTGCTTCCAGAACTCCCTGGACTTCGCCCGATGTAAAGACGATGTATACTTTATAAAGGGCGCGAATGACTGCCAGCTGACACTTAGCCCTCAATATGCAGCTCCGACCTCCTCGAGGATAATTCTATATGACCACTTATCGAATACAGCGTGATGCATAGTGAGGACGAATATCAGTTGCACCGTTTCATCTGGCTCACTATCCATGCAAAGTTGGATAAGGGGGTCCCCCAACAACATGAAAGTTTGGACAACTTCATGGACATGTTTGACAAAATGCCATGGTATCTTCTCTTCACTGCGGACGATGACTTGGAGCGCTTGAGCTGTATCAAGCTGAACAATCCTGGTTCGTAATATCAGACGTGCAGCAATGACCTTCCCCCACGCATCCTTGAACCGCGCGATATCTAGTGCCATAGGAAGCCGGAAATGGATCTGCGCTTGCAAGGAGCCTGGATTTCTCATCGTAAAACCCATCATGGCTTCCTGCAAAGGCGTACATGGGTACATATCCTCAATCTGACTTAGAGCGATGATACATTGCTTCGCTGCCTGTTAGATCAAAGTCTCCTTCTCCTTGTTCAGTAGGGAAAAAGGCTGTACCGGACTAGTACTGCAAGCACAAATATTGTCTGTGACGGCCACTAGTTTCCGAATAGACCGAGATTGGAAAATGGAGGCCACCATCATATCCAATCCCCGCCTTCTGGCTTCTGCGACGAGGGAAATCGCGGTGATGGAGTCGGCCCCCAGCTGGAAAATGCTGTCATCTATCCCTATTTCAGCTTCAGGTAACTGGAGTACAGTTGCGAGAAGCTCTCTGATTGTCTTCTCAGCAGGCGTCAGTGGGGATTCCACAGCTGGACTCGGATCTGAAATATGGTACTTTCGAACCTGGGCATCTGATAGCTGGCCAAAGGCGCTTCGCAACAACCTTCTGTCTACTTTCCCTGTCCTTGATAGCGGTATTCCACTCCCGGGAATATATACCGTCGGTATCATGTACTCGGGAAGCCTGTTCCTGAGCCGCGCCTTGAGATGAAGAATGCGCCGACGGAATTCATCGTTCGGTTCGCAAAACAGAGAGCTTGGACAAGCATCTTCAGCAACCTGTCCTTTCGGCGCCATAAAAAGTACCAGGAAGGGCCTCTGATACGCCCACAACCCCAGTTCAACTATAAGATCGTCGTGGCCCAAGCAGGTTCGTGCATGATATTCGATTTCGCCCAGCTCCATCCTTTGTCCATGAATTTTGACCTGCGTGTCCTTCCTTCCGCAGTAGATAATGTCACCATCAACGTTGTATCTGACCAAATCGCCGGTCCTGTAGAATCTGTAGTGGCTACTAAGATCAAAAGTCGGCGCCCAGACAGGACTCGTAAAGAATGCGGCCTCAGTTTGTGCAGGTCGGTTGAGGTAGCCTCACCCAACAATGGGTCCTCCGATAACTAACTCCCCAACTGCGCCGATAGGGAGGAGACGGTGGTGATTATCCTTGTCAACGATCCAGCATGTGCCACCATAGGAACGACCAATATTGCCCGGCTCCTGGACATGTGGTTGGACTGTTGATACGATGGTACATTCCGCCGGACCATAGGCAGAGATCAGTCGGAGGTTCTGCCACCTGGAGATATCAATAGAGGAGGTTGGTTCCCCTCCCAAAACAAGTGTCCTGATTGATGGGACCTCTTTGGGGTGCAGAAGTCTGGCAACAGAAGGGGTAAGCTCGGCCCAATTGACCTGAAGTTCTCCGCAGGCTTCGGCTAGATTATTCATTCGTTATGCCTCAGATGGTATGCATGTGCAGCCTCCAAGTAGTAAGGGCGTCAGACACTCTTGAATGCTCACATCGAATGCAAAGGATGCATACTGTAGGACTCGAGAGGAACTGCTCAGATTGTGTATCTTGCTGGTAGCCATAGCGTTTGTGCAAAACGAGCCGTGCTCGATGACCACACCCTTCGGCTTTCCCGTGGATCCCGACGTGTATGATACGTAGGCTGCGTTTTTAGAGGTGACTGGAGCCCTCGGTGGCGGATAATAGACCCAATCCTTCAAATCCTCACCGACTGCAACAATGTTCATTGGGCGATCTATAATAGGTGCTTCCACGGACTGCATGACGACTTGCGCTTGAACATCCTCGCAGATATCCCGCAGGCGACCTGCAGGGTATGAAATGTCCAAGAGAACGAATGCTGCGCCTGCCTTGAGGACGCCAAGTATTGCAACAACCGCCCACTTGGACTTCTCAAGAAGGACGGGGACAATGGATTCTTCTTGAAGGTCATATTTACACAGTCACGTCGCCACCTTATCAGACAATTCATCCACCTCTGCGTATGTGAAACACCCATCCCAGGCACACACTGCCTGCAACGAAGGGCTTTTCGCACACTGAAAATGGAAAAGAGAGTGGATGCAATCGTTAGTGGCTTTTTCCAGAGCCTGGCTGTTCCAGCTCCATATTTGGTTTCAGTGGTCATCATGAAGCAGATTCAACTCCGCTATTAGCTGCGCGTGATTAAAATCTAAAGCGTCAAGCAGAGCACCTAGACCGGTAATGACATGCTAAGCCTGCCTTTGATCCAGGACCCAAACACAGTAGTAGAGATCTATCTGGGGTGAACTGCAGGTGGCGTCTGCTATGATCAGAATATCAACAATCTAACACATCCGTGGCCAGTCAGTATTCAACAAGTCATTTAGGAAAGAGCAACCGGCATCTTTCTTACCGTAGAAGTCAGAATGTCCATTGTCTCTGAAGCAGCTGGTCCTCTCCAAGACATCAATGTATTAAACTGACCATTGTGCCCAACTTCTGCCAACGGCCATTCGTGAAGCTTTTCAAGAGTGACCGCTCGAGAGATGGGCTGCTCTGGGTTTACAACTGCTGACCACTGCTCAACAATATCATTTCCCGCATCGCTGGACAGTATACCAAAGCTAACGGTCTTGGAATCAACGTAGTCAGCCAACAAAATGGGCCATGCAGTCTTCAGGAGATGCAAGAGTGAGGGATTGCCTCCTCTAGCTACTTCCATGAGGACCTTGCTATCATTCGGCCCCAGGGTAATGGAAGCTGTCTGTCTACCCTCGTTTCCCGGTGACCTTAATTTCGGAAATACCCCTGGACGTTCAAGGTCCTCCGATGTACTCGGGACTTGGGCGTTCGACATGTCAGATATGAGGCACAATATGCAGACTAGAAGATCCAGGTGCGCAAAACGAACAAGTCAACGACTTAGTGCAATATTCGATCATCGAATATTATAACATTAAGGGTTCTTAACAGTACCCATAGCTAACTGGCAGGCCCAGATACATACCCTTCCAGCCAAATAAATCCAAGGGAATCAACGGCTTCATGCAACGCAGTTGTAACATGAGTTTATAGGATTATAAGATCCATGGCATATCGCTTGTGATGCCGCAGCTTTCCATAATGTCCGTTGAATGCATACTGGTTCCTTAACCTCAAGGCCTGGCCCGCGGTAGTGGAATCTAGAACTTGAGATCGAAGTATCTGCCGAGTGGCTGGATCCGCGGCAGCCAAGAGGGTAAAAGGAGGTGACGTACGCAACTTTACCGATGTCTCACCTATGATCCTTCCTGAACTCGCATAGTTTGTGATAGGTGTCTGATAGCAGGAGGCTGAATCGATGGATAGCTTCATGGTCGGTGGGCTTTCAACGCGTTAACACCGAAGCTGTCCGTGCTGTCGAGGGCTCTCACAGACTGCTGTGGTTCACTTTGTGTCATGTCTTCGATTTTTGGGCCGACAGTGTAGCTCTGGAAGGGCGCAAGTACTATATGCACATGTCTTGTGGGACGTGTAGTCCTACGTCAGAAGTTTCCGTACAACCTATACCCGGACGTTTAACTGTATAACCTATCTGTAATATGACACCTTCAGCAAGATTCACTGTGCTATGTTAAGTAGAGATATACAAACTAGAGATATACAAGAGTATATGTCCTTATTTTAAACCTAACTGGATGAATCTGTTGGCGGTAGTCACTTGGCACACTTCCAATAAGACAAAGCCTCAAACCCATTAGATACGGCAACTTTTGATGCATGTAGAACTGTAGATTGAGTGCACTTCGCAAGCTGCTTGGGTAACCTCGCAGTTTTAACTTCATCTGCAGCTTTCGAGGCAATGTCCTGAACAAATCACAAGCTGGTTGGTGTCAGTCCCGTTCTACCCTTCCGTGCAGGACTTTTAAGACTCGGATATTTGGATGCAGACAGTAATAGGGCATAAGGGCGAATCTATCCTATGCCCAGATGGCCTTTTCATCCTCAGAGTACGCAGGCAAGCCCGAGATCAATCTAATGCAGAGAGACGATACGGAATCAACTTCTGAGTCGTTGCCTGCCTACGATACCCTCACAAAATGCTTTACGTTTTCTGGCATTGACCAGCATGAGTGGTGGACAAAGACGGCCCCTACGCTAGGCAAACTACTTCGCGATGCCAAATACGATCCGTGCCAGCAATTGCAATACTTATACCTGTTTGGTATGCACATTATTCCGATGCTGGGACCATTCCCCAACGCCAGGCCGGGTCTCTATCGGAGCATCCTTGGTGGCCTCGGATGTCTTGAGTTCAACCAGAACTTCACTCAACTGCTGAGAACAGTCCGGATTGCCTTTGAACCAACCAGTCCACGCCGCCAGTACCGGGGAGGATCCCTGCAACCGGCGCATGATCAATAAAGCATTGAGTCGCCTGAAATGCCTGAGTCCGCATGTGGATTTACAGCTGTACCATCAGTTAATAACTGAAGTCACTCTGACTGACGATGAAGAACGAATTCTTACAGACCGCAATGAACTGGCAACACAGCCATCTATGACTTAGTCTGTCCTCGCCCTTGACCTGAAAGGAGGTCATATTGCGGTCAAGCTATATTTGTACCCTGGACTTAAGTCTGCTGCGATGGGGACACTGATCTCGTAAATTGTATTTTGCTCAGTGCGAAAGGTCGACCATGATGGCGTCTTTGGGGACTTATTGTCCCTGATTGAACATTTCCTGCGCTCAGCACCTTCAAGTCTTAGTGTCTTTTATCTATCTTGTGACCTCAGTGCTCCTCGCAACACCCGGTTCAAAATATATATCACCGAGTTTCAGGTTGGGTCTGAGCAAATATCCTACATCTGGACACTTGGAGGGACACTTCAAGATCCGGAAATGCTAACTGGGCTGAGAATGCTTGGAGAGCTGTAGAAGGCACTAGAGATTCCTGAAGGGATGCTTCCCTAAGTAGAATAACTAATAAGGCTAGGAGATCCACCACATCTGCTCCCTCTCCTGTTTAATTTTGAGATCCTGCCACACAAGCCACTGCCCCAGGTCAAAATCTATGTTTCTCTCACAGGGATCAATGACATGACCATCACAGACATGTTAACCCAACTCTTCAGCAGATGGGGATGGGCTGAACACACCTAACACTCCTCCAAAGAATTGGCGTCATGTAGGCAAGTAGTTTACATGATTCAGGTCCTTACTGGCTGATCTTCTAACATGCCTCATAGACCCGGAATTCAACTTAATGAGAGCACTGATCTCCAGGCCTGGTTGTCCTTTTCCTACTCGGAGAGTCATGCTTATTCCGAATCCAATAAAGTCCTTTTCATGAAATATACGCATCCTCGCTCCGTAGGGCAGCATATTCATCCGTTGATGCCGCTGCCCGCGCCAATGTCGATTGGGAGCTTCTTGACTTGCTCAAAAATTGCTACTGTTACGAGACACGTTAATTCACATGGACTCTTCCAGTCGGGAAATTTAAGAAGAGGTAGCTGATGTGGCCCAGCTCCAGTCCACAGAGTCGGGTAAACGTTTTTAACTGTAAACCTACTTTAACTCCACCGCATCGTAGGTCCTGGAGAGGTAGTACAATGCTTAATGCAGAGTTGACAGCAACCTAAGCTCTATCTTCGGCTTCCCACACCATGGCGATTTACAAATGGGATGTCGTCAATGTTTTATCTAGACGTCCTGAGATGAACACATTCTGGATATGGACCGGTCACAGACTGATAAGAGTAAGCACCATCGACAGGTGGTACTGTAAGAGAAGATCTGCATGAGTTATACTTCTTTCCATTTCTTATGCTTAACAGGACCGTAATTCAAATATAACAACGTGTATCACATACTACATTCCTCTAAATGTGCCGAAAGTCTATATAACTGCTGCCCGCGGCAGCATACCCAGTGACATATCTCTTCTGTGTAACGAGCAGAATCGGAGCATTACGCAGCAAATAACTATCCGAGGGTCTATGTGTCACTGTGGGTGATGAGGTGGCAGATGGAGAAGCATTATGCTGGGTTCTTGCACGTTGGTTCTGCTTTAGATGGCATTCTGAAACATTGCTGGATCATTATCCGTCGTTCCGAGTACGTCTACAGATTCGACCAATATCTGGTAAATTTACTGTCAGTAGTAAGAGTTATATTATGGCCAGTCTATATTCTTTTCCTGGGCCTACAAGTCCCTGAAAGGCCTCCCTCTCTCTGAAATTTCCCTGATCTTCCATAGCATATTACCCAAGTTGCCCTTCCATCATGCCCCCGTTCAAACCAAAAATCAAGCCCCAGTCGCAGTAGGGAGCCCTGCTCAAGGGCCCAATCCTCCAGCGGATACGCCCTGGCGCGTACTCGGCCAAGCACTTTGGTTTCATAACCGCGACCAGGAACTTTGGTGGCAGCACACGGCGCCCTTCTTCAACAATCTCTTAACACAGTGTGACTATCAAATCCATGAGCAATATCGCTACCTCTGCTTCTACCACGAACACATTCTTCCAGTCTTAGGGCCATTTATTCGGCCTGGAATCGAGCCAGACCATCTGAGTTGTTTCACTCCAGAAGGCTACCCCTTTGAGCTGAGCGTGAATTTCCAGGCAGACCGATGCGTCCTTCGACTAGGCTGCGGACCCGTGGGTGCTTTTGCTGGCACTGAACACGATCCCCTGAATAAGTATATGGCGCGGGAGCTCCTGGGGAGGCTAGCTCAGCTCGACACCAGTATCGACCTGGGGTGGTTTGATTACTTTGATTCTCAGCTGAGCCTCGGAACCAAAGAGGCCAGAGCTGCGTCAGAGCAACTCATTCGTCATCTACAGCAGATTAACGAGGTTGCATTTGACCTGAAGGACGGTCGAGTGGTTCCCAAGGCGTACTTCTTCGTCCAGCCCAAGTCGATTGTGACCGGTATCCCCAGCAGCGTCGTCGCCTTCGAAGCAATAGAGGGTTTAAATGCGGATTTTGGAACCAGCCTGTCTTTTCTCAAAGAGTATCTCTCGCCATCTCTTGACGGCCGGGACACTGACTCTCCTGCCTTGGAAGTGTTTTTAATCGGCTTTGACTGTGTAGCTCCTGGAAAGTCACGTCTCAAGCTATACGTCTGCAATACACACCTATGCCTCGACCACCTTGGGGCCTTCTGGACGCTAGGAGGCCGCATGAGCGATCCCATCACAATGAAAGGTCTAGCCATTGCAGAGAAACTGTGGAGCCTGCTTGGCTTTAGTGACACTCTGTATGACGAGATGGACGTGTACAAATTGCCACTAACATTTAACTACGAGTTGAAGTCGGGAGGATCAGCACCAAAGCCACAGTTGTACTTGCCCGTACAAGGCAAAAGCGATGATCTCGTTGCTGACGCCTTGACGGACTTCTTTAAATATCTGGACTGGGAGGGATATGCCTGTCGCTATAAACGAGAATTGGTCTCAAACTTGTGAGCCCCCTTAGTAGTTCTTTTTAAGTGCTTCCCCACCCGAATAATGGATTGACGCGATATAGTCCCTGCCGAGATCTAAAAGAATCAGTGACGGCTCAGCGATGGGTGGCATTTTCGTTTACTGAGCCTGCCGGAGTGTATTTGACTGTATACTTTCATGCAGTCGGTGGAGATGTAGGTCGCTTCTGAAGGGCGTTGACTTGACGCAACAGACATCATACATTAGCTTGCTTTTCTTGTTCCCCAGTTCCCCCCGTCAAAAAGGGCTTGTCCAGTAACACTTTGGATTGGCTCCGTCCACGACGTGATGTGCATCTAGCAGCGACAAGGCTGAAATAGGAGCGACCGCCTATTTTGATAAGACCGTGCCAGATAGCAATGGAGGCAGAATGGACCGCTAGGCTGTCTGTACAAACTATTTCTCTATTTTATCTTAATATTATTTATTAAAACTACTGACAAAGCTGTTTTCTCTGCTGACGATGCGAAAGGTGCACTAGACATTCAGCATTGCGCAAGTGCGCGTCATACTGGAACTCAATTGCGGAGCGGTCATACAGAGTGGCCGGTAGATAGTAGTGTGTAGCAAAGCTGTAACTTTGATAAATATGAGTTAGAAAACATTTTCGTCAGATAGCAGCTCCTTAGAACCTACGTAGTACCTGTTCAACAAGGATCGATGTCGTGGTAGACGCATCTGATAATTGCTGCTTATAGCGATACAAAGACAACATATCCCGATGCCGCCCTCAGCCGAAACCCATTCTCACTCTACCGGACAAAATGGCAAGCACCACATGTCCCTCGGTGACGCCAAGCAGGATCTTCTCAAAGTCAGGCAGGACGAATCATCCCCGACCTGCGGACCATCCAAGAACTCTACCAGACAGCATTCGATCGAGGTCTAGTTGATGACCGGAAGTATCTGGTATGCTCCTGCTCCAGTCACTGCCAAATAGTCGCTCACGAAAACAGGTCGAAAATATTAGCCAGGACACAGTGTCCCTGCCGAATACTTCTGGATTGAGAGGGAAGATCACAGATGCGTTCGTCAGCACTCTATGGGATAACCTCCAGCATCCTCCTCTGTTTTATCTCGGGGACCAATTCAAATATCGGACCGCGGATGGGAGCTACGACGCACGCAACTGCACCTTGATATCCGATGGATGGACTGATCAATCTAGAATACCATGTACCCCCATCTCGGTGCTTTCAGTAGCCATTATGCTCCGGACTGTCACCCCTCAGCATCCGAGGCCAACTGTGCTTCCTGATCCGTCTCTTATATTTGACAGTATGAATGGCATTTAAACCTCCAAGAGCTTTGCTAACACAATATTAACCCTACTAGCACGCGACGGTCTTGCAAGGGAACACCCAAGCAAGATATGCAGCAATCTGTTTTATCATCGATAGTGATCATTCACGGTGCGTTAATCTTGGCTCATTCCTATACCACGCTAATACGGTAATAGACCTCTTCCACACGGACGAGCGCCACGGCACTAGAGTAAAGAACTCTCCTACCTCGATCTCGGGCCGCTATATGGCCATAACCAAGGTCAGCAAAACAAGGTTAGGATTTTCATCGATGGTCTCCTGAAACCAGACACATTTGGAGAAAAGCGTCTCCTCATGCAACCACCGGGTGTTTGCGCATTGTTGGTTGCCTTCAATCAATTCCGTAACTCGGTCGTGGGGTAACTGGCCTACATTAACAAAGCGGATGAAGCAGGATGAAGCCAAAAAGCCCTTCTACCCAGGCTCCGGGTTGTGTCCTGGGTTCACCATCTCTGCGGCCATTCTGTCCGATGCTGTGGCTCTCGTTCGCGGAGACCGTTTCTACACAGTTGACTATAGTCCAGCCAACCTGACCAATTTTGGTTTAGTCGTGTATCTCGCTCAAGATCTCTTGGGTAATAGGTGAACAGCTTCAATGCCGCGAGCTCCGACTTTGATGTGCTGGTGGGGGTGTCATGTACAAACTGCTGATGAGAGCCTTCCCTGGATGGTACCGGCCAAACAGCGTCTATGCAACTATATCCATTGGTCACACCGGAGAAGAGTCGCGAGATCCTGGACAAATATATTAAAATCCAAGGACCTAGATTTTGATCGACCGGCATATACTCCGCCACCTGTGCTTGTCACAACCTGGGAAGCTGCGATGAAGGTCTTGGAGGACCAGAACGATTCCATGTTCCTTGTATGTCTATTCACTTAGTTAGTCCTGTTGTGGCTAACTGACATACGATAGGGGGAGCACGTACATTCCAGATTACAGGGCATGATTACATGGTCAGCGGGGATTCCGCGGCGAATGCAGAACAAAGGCGATCCGTCAACGAGTGTATCTATGAACCAAAGACTGTGCTCGAGGATGTGCGAAAGCTGTACGAATCCATCACGACAGGCCTGCTTCATGAGGAAAGCTTCAAGCTTAGGGACTGCTATCACGTTGACATTGTCCAAGAGTAAGTCCATCATAGCAATCGTCATCGCACAGAAGACGCTAACGAATGTAGTGTTGGAAACCTAGCGCACGCACATTTCTGTTCGCAGTTCTTCAGTATCCCGCTCAAGGACAGCAAGGACCATTCCCCTGATGCTTATACACCCAGAGAGCTTTCTGATGCCCTTTTCCTGTTGTCCCGCTATGTGTTCTTGGATCTTGAGCCGACAGATTCTCTCAAGACTAGGATTGCTGCTGCAGCAGACGCGCAGAGAATGGGCGCTATCATGGCCAGGTCAGCCTCCAACGCCAGAGATAGAGTCGTGAGACGTTTCATGCAGGCGCTTGGAGGAGCGAGGCCGGTGGAGGGAGTAATGGCCAGCAGCTTGTGAACAGGTTCAGGTTACTAAGAGAGGGCAAGAGTGTCGATAAAGTCGTGTGGACCATTATCCCAACCGCAGCAGCAGCGTGTGCGAACCAAGCGCAAGGTGTAAATCTAATTAACCAAGTTAAATTGTGGCATACTGACAATGCAGTGGGCACAAATGCTCGGCCTCTATTTATCGGACAAGTACGCCTCGCACTGGCCAGATATACAAAAGCTCGCACGATCCACAGATCCTGGAGTGTTTGACAAGTTGAATAAATATGGCCTAGAGGGGTACGATCTCATAATCCGGTCTTTGGCTTGTGCCGATATGTACAGTTTCCGCTTGTCTACTCCGGCTTTTGGTGTCCTCCGGACAGCAGTCGAGGAAGCCACAATCAAGGATGGAGAAGCCACTGCAACTGTCCACAGAGGAGATACCATTTTCGTAGACTTTATTACTGCCGGTCGCGGTCCTGTCAAGTTTACCGACCCTGAGCAGATCCGACTCGACCGTCCGGCGGATATCTACATCCACCATGGCTGGGGTCCACACGCGTGTCTTGGAAGGGCAATTGTCACCACAGCCGGTGCCTCCCTCTTGTGTGGCCTAGGTCGGCTCGAAAATATCCGTCGAGTTCCTGGACCTGTCGGAGAGATGTAGAGCAAGACGGTGAATAATGCGTTTAAGTTGTACTTGCGCGAAATGGATCCTCCTGGACTCCGTTTCCTCAGAGTAAGTTATTTGATTGTTCTACATGGCTATATGCTGGCTGAAATAGATATGAATGTAATGTTCGATTCTTTCAAGTAGGCTTAGACGGAGGAGGAAATTTTGCTCGTCACAATGATGTAACTATTACCAGACAGGTGTTAGTAGTCTGATCAAGCAGACCTTATGAAGATCCATCTTCCTTAGCTGCATCCACATGCAAAGTAGAGGTGTTATAGCAACCCACTATTGAGAACGTTTAGTTGGTGATGGCGTCCTTCAACCCGAATATGCCTGTCCGGGGCAATCCCTTCCTCGACATCCCCTCCGATATAGACGCTCACCCTTTCCGCTTAGTATGGGAGGATGTCTGCTCTGTTTTCGGTCTAGCCAGACTTTTACCATCTATATTCTTACCTGTTCTGCCTTTGCAATCCGGACCGCTGGATGAACTCTACCCAAGTTTCTGGAATCTATGTGATGTTTCTCTACATGTTATCCTCATTCTCAGCCAGGTGTTCCTACTTATATCCCTACCAGTTGTTCTGGCGACCTCGTGGATATTACCAACTGGGGTGCATATAGCATTTATTGCAGTATTTATCTTCTTCACTATGGTGATCGTCAGGCTCCTGAATGGGCCTCCGAGAGGTAGGTCCCTCATTGGCATTCCGCGAACAAGGGACCCAGTCAACGATGAAACCGAGCCGTGGTTTTTTATCAATGGAATAGCCACCGGGTATAACATTCCCCAGCGAGCAAAAGACCCTCACTAATTGATATAGGAAGCACTGGCACCAGTCGAACCTAACCGCGCTGGCAGACACTTTTGGCCGGCAGATCGTGGGGTTCCACAACCCAACGTGCGTACACCACCTAGTAACGTGTATTGCTTAACCAGTATCTACAGCAAAGGCGTTATCCTCGACCTCGTCGAATGCCTCATCCAGCGTAATCTCGACTTCAAAACAGCTGATATCCGACAAGGACGCGCCCAGCTGCGTGCTGCGCTCGCCGCGTCCACCACGAGGAAAGTCGTGCTCATCGTCCACTCGCAAGGCGGGATTGTGGCGTCGTCGATTATTGACTGGTTGTATGGCGAGCTAAGCGAATCCCAAATGCAGAAATTAGAGATATACACCTTCGGTAACGCAGCGAGACAGTTCCGCAATCCGCCTCTGCACGAGCGGCAGGACAACAATCCGGCCGGAAACACGCCCCGGAGACAGATCCAAGGGGCACGAGCAATCCGGCATATCGAACACTACGCAAACACGCGGGACTTCGTGGCTAATATCGGGGTGCTGCAGTTCGCAGCGCCTGCGGGCGCATATTCAAATGCGAGTGTGTTTTCTGGGACCGTCTTTGTGCGAGAGGGGTCGGGGCATTTGTTTAATATGCATTATTTGGATCCGATGTTTGGGGAGGACAGTGCCTTTATGGAGTGGACGGTCGATGTGCGGCCTGGCGAGGGACCGGGTAAAACTGTTTCCATGCGAATCAGGGAATTGTCCAGGCTGTACAAGTATAAGAATGGGGAGAGTCCGGAAGATCAGGAAGCCAGGTGAGCACATGTTCCTTGTCCATTACATTTAAATGGTCGGCTAAAGGTGTCCAGGACAATCATGTGATGTTGCCATGACAGCCGATTTCATTCTTGACCTGTGGCTAGGCCATTCACCTTGGATGTACATGTTGATATTACCTCGACGAATACAACCCTAAATGATTTAATAACCACGCAAGAAAAGTGCTTGGATGACAATAACGGGAGGTTGAGCTACTGTTCATGGAACAGGCCCATAGTCAAATCACTTACAGTAGAGGCCTCCTCAAGATGAGAGATACCCATTCTCCCCGATAATATACTTGTTGTTTAAGCACGCTGATGGGATCATGGGGATGCGGAACAGGGGGTCAAAATTTGTCAGCACTTACTGAAATTCGCGATCTTCCTTCGCAGCTTAACTCGATTTGATCTGCTCTAGCTTCTAGACACAGATGATTACTGATGAAGGGGGGAAAACTTCCGGAGCACAGAAGTCCAGAAGTACACTGACGGAAGTGGCAATTGTCCAAGCTTTAAGCGTGATATGGTCCCGCAGGGCCCGCGCGGGCCGACTACTGCTGTCGCATCTGGTCTACACGAGGAAATATGAGGCATTTCCCGACGATGAGCAACCATGTATTTAAGACTGGGATCAGCAGCTATGACTATTGCTTGTTGTTCAAGACCGATGGCAGAGCAACGGCCATACACGTCAGAAGCGATCCATTTGCATTGACAGAACTTTCGTACCGCTGAAGTTATAGAGCATGCAGCCAAGCGCAACTTTGCTGAGGATGAATGCAGGACTCGACAGCAGCCGGTCTAACGATGAAACCCGTCCAATTGGGCACGGCTTGCCAGTGACGTTGGTGAGAGAGTACATGGTCAGTTTTGACATGGATCCCTCCATGGATCCTCGAAACATGGACTACGCAAGGAAATGTGTCATTGTTGTGATTGTTTCTCTCGGATCTCTCTGCGTGTAAGCATCATTCCCTATTGACTTCATTGTGAGCCTTTAGTTAATGCGCTCTAGGACTTGCACGTCAGCTATGTACACAATGACGTACCGCCAACTGACAGATGAGTTTGGCTGTTCGTCCTTGATAGCCACTCTAGGGCTTACAACTTATGTTTTTGGACTCGGTGAGGACTGCTCGATATTGAATTAAAACACATCTATGTTATGAGAGCCTGGAATTGCTAACTTACTCGCCTTAGGAATTGGTCCACTGTTCCTGGCCCCCTCTCAGAGGTTAGTCGCAGCCCTGGTGCTCTAGCAGGCAGGACACGATACTCACGATGTACAGTTGTACGGACGACGGAACATCTACATTATATCCTTCACCTTCTTCTTGATATGGCTTGTTCCGTGCGCGGTAGCCCGCAACATTCAAACCATGATCATAGCGCGGTTCTTTAATGGCCTGTCTGGGAGCGCGTTTCTAAGTGTCGCCGGCGGCACAGTTGGTGACCTCTTCAACCGGCAGGAGCTCGCGGCGCCGATGATGTTCTACACTGCGAGCCCGTTTATTGGTCCTGAGATTGGTCCACTGTCAGTAGCTCATATCCTTATCGTCTCATGAAACCTGACCAATTCACCTAGTGTGGGAGGCTTCATCAATACATTCACCACATGGTATGCCCCCTTGACTTGAGAGGCTGAAAGCCGATTACTGACTTGCCTAGGCGCTGGACATTTTACGTTCTCATAATATGGACTGCTGCGATTCTGGTACTTATCTGTGTTTGCGTGCCAGAAACCTACCACCCAGTGTAAGTCGCTGACCACGAAATATTACTCCTAATCATGTCCACTAAGGCAAGCAGACTTTTGAACCGCAAGGATGATCAATGGAAGGCCCCTACTGAGAAGTCCTACACCTCTGTCCTGCAAATGGTCCGCTCTTCCGTATACCGGCCGATGCAACTGTTGGCATTGGAACCGATGTGCATGAATCTCTGCATATTCTCTGCCATCTTGCTAGGCATCCTGTATCTCTTCTTCGGTGCCTTTCAGCTGGTCTTCTCCCATGTCTATGACTTCGGCCCCTGGCAAATCGGCTGTTCGTTCCTGGGGATCCTTGTCGGAATGGTGTCAGCGATCCTGACGGATCCCCTGTGGCGCAGGAACTATGCCCGTCTCGAACGGCAACATCAAGAAGTTGTTGGGGAGAAGAACGAATTCATGCCAGAATGGCGGCTACCCCCTGGTAAGTGTCCGGAGGAACATCATCATTCGCATTTAGATACTAATATACCTCGTTATGAAGCAATTGGTGGAGCTCCGCTTGTAACCATTGGACTCTTTATTTTTGCGTGGACAATCTATCCCCATGTCCACTGGGTGGTGCCTATTATCGGGAGCGCGGTGTTTGGGGCGGGGTAAGATACTTATGATACCTGAACATACACAGATGACTGGAGTCGTTTGCTAATCCTTCTCATATGCAGGACTGTCCTAGTCTACTCTGGGGCATTTAAGTTCCTGGTGGACGCGTATTCGACATATGCGGCGAGCGCTTTGGCTGCCAACAGTTTTGCACGTTCAACTTTTGCGGGGGCCTTTCCGCTGTTTGGCATCCAAAGTCAGTCTCTTCATAATTTGACGTTTTCCGGCTCTTCAGGAGGGTTACTAAACATTGGCGTAGTGTACGACCGACTCGGCTACCACTGGGCGACTTCGCTGCTGGCCTTTCTGACGCTGATAATGGCTCCCTTCCCGTAAGTAGCCCTGTATGCATGGCATTGGATTTCACAACGCATGTTTGATGCAGCCTCTTGATCCAGCTGTGGCTGACAGAATCTCTCCGATACCAATTCCAGATATATATTCTTCCGCTACGGCGGTCGGATCCGGAAGAAGAGTCGGTTTGCAACATCACACACCTGAGAGGAAGAAACCATACTATGTACTGTATATGTGCATTTTTACTGATAGAAATAGAAATAGAAATAGAAATCATAATAGAGAATTTGGCATTATTTAAATGGATATTTAATGTTGCAAGCTGCTTAGCTGTCTGTATAAGAGTAGGAGCCGATCAATACTTTGAATCTCTATGCACTTATTATAATCGCAAGTATTGAGAGATACTAAATATTAATTATGCAAGAAGGCTGTTTATGTCGCGCGTCAGCAATGGCATTGGTCTGGTTGATAACAGTAGCCCTCGGTAAATGCATTGTTGGCAAAGTAGTTGAAAGATCTCGAGATACCGGGAGACAGGGTTCTGTACAAGACGATGTCCATATTTTGTCGTTAAGCGGAGTGTCCTGATGCCATTATCCGTCTCTAATTGACCTAACGCTGTTCAATTCGGAGTCCTCTTGCATAGTAAGATGATTCTTTCTTTGAGATACCTGACCGACTTCGAGAATGAATGCCTGAAATAAGGATGGTTTGGATTTCCCTTTTCATCCACTGAGGATTGAAGAGAGGTACGCTCTGTGTCACGAGTCAGAGAATGATTAGTTGATCTGCGGCTGCATATACTGTCACTACTTTATCAACCACGATCCCTCGTTTGAATGGCACATACGATGAGAGCGTTATTGTTTCATCCAACGGCCTTATAACATGTGGCGGTTCATATGAATTCCGTCGGTTTCGTGGGTGTCCAGGACCGTTTGTGTCGGCTATGTCCGCTAACGATCGAATGAAGGGTAATACTGCATCTTCTGCAAGCATTTCGTATGCATAATGAAGGACGGGTTCCAGTAAGATCGGTGGGGGGCAAGGAACCCCAGGTGTGATTTCCATTAAAGTGTCTCGCATCCACCCTGGTATGTTGATCTCACGCGGAGCATTGGGAATAATATATGCGTCCTTTAAATGTTGCCATTCCCTGAAGACATACGAATCTTGATTTTCATAGGGGTCTTCACCTGACACGCTGAAACGAGCTAGTGACAGGTTATAGCTCTCACCGTAGTGCTTCACCTCAGAGATGAACTCGAGCGTTTCAAGGCAATGATTCCTAGCAAGGAAATCCACAAAAGCCTCGAACGTATAGGGATGTTCACTCGAATGGGATAGGATATCGCTGAGAGTCGTCGTCCTGCAATGCCGTTTCAGATTCGTTAACGTTCCCAGTCTCATAAGGCTGCTCGAAGCCAGGAGAACTCCGGGATAACTTACATGGAGGATCCTTAGCAATCAACCTTGCTGGTTTCAAGTCTTGTCAGTTCATAGGAACGATCATACGGGATGGCGATTTTGGCAGTACAAGCACTACATATTATACGTGGAAAGAAATATGTATTTTTATTACTATGATTAGAAATCAATTGCTCACCCTTGACCTCCTGGCAATAAATTATGACATAAGTGATCTCCTGATATCGTTCACATATTGAGTTGATCTAGAACCTGATAGTTAGTCTTTGACTTTCTATGGTTCCAGGGAAATGAACCATAGCCACAGCAAAGTAAGAGAGTTGAGTCCATATTCGCCCCCAATAATAACCGCCTCATTGGCCCATTAGTGTGATGACTTTACCGGTGTCTGTTTGCATCGTGCCGACCTCCCCGGGGTAAAGGTAGGTATATCTCTGGAGATTAAGTGGGAGCAGCCACGATAGGTTGTAGAACTTTCTTGTATAGTTATGCCCTCAGAATATGTAATCATTATCAAACATTAAATCATTTACACTATAACAGTGAGCATTGGCATCGTCGCATTATTATATGCAAAAAGTCTTCTTAGTACTCAGTACTCAAACAGCATCACAGCCTCGTCAGTCTCGCGCGCTGAGATTAAGTACAATTTCGTTGACCTCGACCCTCTCCGGTCCAGTCTCCTTTATGTCTATCATGCCACCAAAAGCGGCGTGCACTGGCTGATCCTCCATACCCTCGAGGTTGAGCCCCAGTACCACGAGGCATCTCTTGCCCGAAACGTCAACCTTCATGTCAACTGAGTACAAGGGAAGAAACCTTGCACTGGAGAGTAACTTGTCCTGTGCAAAGGCGATGTCTTTGGGAGACACTACCCTCAACCCATCCTTGTCCTGGCGATAATGTCGAAACCCGGAAATAGTTTCTTCCACCCCGCGATACAGGACGATTTTCTCGCCCTGCTTTGCCGTTATTCGGAGATCGTTGGAGTAACTTACAGTAGGCAAGCTTCCGACGCGCCGATCTGGCTCTACTCTTGCTTCTATTCCGCATGTGTCAGCAGAGAGCAAGACTCCATCTGCAATATCTGTCCGCTCAAAGTTTCTTTCAGTGGTTTTCCATGCGAAACTCAGGAAAGGGGTAATAGAGCATGGTCCATCGAAATTTGTCAATAAGTGCCACCAGTAACCTACTCTTGACTTCATGGGGACATTTTCGTCGTAAGTAATGTCTATATCCTCTATCCGCAGTCGCCCAGTTTCTCAGTAGATAGGACTATTCGCTTAATTGCGTTAATGAGAGCGTAAAAGAAGCCTTTCGTAAAAGAGACAGTGTCGACATAATCAACGGATGCTCAGCTGAGCCAGCACACACAGGCAAGGCCTCCTATACTTGAGACGGTAATAGATTTGCGTTTTTACTCCTCCATATCATGCGAACCCCGACCTAGGCGCACTATATGGTCACATTCCAACTATTACCCTTCCCATCTACCTCACTACATCTACGGCAATTCCTTTATTCCCAATCCTTCAACCTCATCAACCTCTCTTGTTGTCTCCAATCTCCCTCCCAGGGGAGTGCTTCCACTCAGCTCCACACCCCTCGGACAGTCAAGCTCAACGCTTCCTTCCGAGCTATCCGACCTATATGTCTGCCGCTGGCCATTCTTCTCCCGCATCACATTTGATATAGTCGGCACAGTTGATAAACTAGACATATGGCGATGATGCGGCGGTCTAACAGGGCTCGGTTCGCCCTCTGTACTGGGCGTGCTAACCGTCACGGGAGACACATAGTCAGTGCCCGACACGTCGGAAGTTGAAACCGGACTGGGGAGTGGGTTATTGTTGTACGGCGTGGGAAGTTCCACGGGGAGTGTGGTTGTGTGGCCTTTGCAATGATTAGTACGATACAAAAAAACCGGGCGACGGACGGACCTAGCATCTCGTAAACGGGATCACCACCTGCTTCCACACTTCGGGGTGACACCGCTGTCGCCGGCGTGATATTTGAATTATTTGCGAATGCACTGTGCCCCGTTGACGCCGTGGTGTCGCCTGACTTCGGCACGCCAGTCGTCAACCCCCCAGTGTGAATCCACCGCAGAATCCAGGATCGAGCTGATTGCTCGCTTGTGGATCGTGATTCGTGAAGCTTGCGACGGCGCCGGAGACACCAGAATATGGCCGCTGCTGTGATGAGAAGGAGGCCTAGAATAACGCCGATGATGGCACCGGCCCAGCGGGGGAAGCTGGAGCCTTTGTCTGCGACAGGGGCGATGGTGGGTGAGCCGCTGGTGGTACTGTTGTAGGGATACCAGGTGCTGATGGTCTTGGTATACTTGGTTTTGAACAGATCTGCAAGAGAGGAATTGGTCCAGGAGGTTGGTGATACTTTTGTGGCCCCGCCTCTGGAGCTGTAGCTCGTTAGCAAGTCGGTGCAGAAGAGGGTGGCATACGTACTCTCCCCCGATGACGGCAGTGACCAGATCCGGGACTTTGTACTCGCTCCAGACTTTTGGGTTGTAGGCGTTCTGGAACCTGGCGGTATTCAGGTTGAATACTCGGATCACTCCACCGTCGAGGCAATGCGTAGGGTTAAGACGCACTCCTCCGAGGACAAGCATTTGGTCTGGATACGGTTTGACACAGCGGTGACCACTCCGGCCATGGATGCTGTTTCCACTGTAAAGCTTGATCCAGCTGAAGGAGGGTAGGGAGAGGACATAGACATCGTCGGACGGGGTGTTCTCCGTGCTCAGCCCGTCGTAGCCGCCGTAGATATAGATATTGTGTGAAGATCCGTCCGCTGCACTGGCATAAACCGAGCAAAACTGCGTCAGCTGAGGAGGAATGTCCCCTGTGGTGTTTTGCAGATACCTATTCCCGGTGAGTATTCGAGTCTTTAGTGTACCAAGCACATACCATTTATCGCCGCTGACATCGTAGACAGACACTGTCTCCATAAACCCCTGGCTTGCCCTCTTACTCGCATTCTGCTGCGCGCTCGTCAATCCTTCAGACGAAAAGATTGTGGCTGGAATAATCACACCCCCAATCGCAACCAGGACCCCAGACTCAGCGACTGGAATCCAAACGAGCTCCGCATTAGCACGCGGAGGGACATATGTCGGTAACGACAGATTGGACCACTTGTTTTCGCGCATACTAGACATATCCACCTTGATCATACGGTCGGATGTAACATTGGCCGATTCATCATCAGCATAGACAGGTCCCCAGTCCTTGCCGCGCATACCACTGAAGTAGAACCCGAGTTTCTCGCTTGGTGCAGAGACGCCGGCGCCATTCGTCGCGTATCTCGTCACGCCGCTGTCGAGATTGTCGATGATGAAACCTGGTTGCCAGGATTCTCGTTCTGGGCCGTACTGGTATCGTTCGTAGCCGAGAACGGCGTTGTCGGCCGGGGGGTCTTGACTGTCTGTGAGACGAAGGAGGCCACTATGTATGTCAGATGGGAATTGATGAAGGGGGAGCCAAAGTACCCGTAAAGATATAACTCGTTGTCGTTAGCGAACATGACTCCATCGCGGTAGGTCGGGGCGATATTGTTTGCGATTCCTCCTGCTTTAGAAAGGTTGCCGAACAACGCAGTGAGGTTTGAGGTTGTTGTATCGAACGATGTGGCAAGATTAAGGTAGTAGAGCAGCCCGTCATCGTTCCCTGCACATGGTCAGCCATGATCATTCATGAAGCTGATGATACTTGCCATCATTTGCCAAATTGGACGTCCCATCAGCCAAGTCTCTATTGGGGTTGTCAGTATGATTCGACAAAATGGGAAGGAGACATACCGCTTCCACCACAATGATCCTCCGTCAAGGTAGACAGTGTCGCGAATCATATTAACTGGGACATGTGAGCATTGCAGCACTGGGACACCTTGACGGAGTTTACCTCGAACTTGATCCCAGTTACACATGGACACATTGACATTCCATCCTTGCGCTGACGAACGGCCAACCAAAAGGACAGATATGCCAGCTAATCTTTGCCAATCGAACCGCATTCTGTTAGCAAGGACGGTTACGACAGAATCAGAACGAACAGCTCCGTCCTTTTCCTGCTGGTTTGGCTTTTCATAAATCACATTACCCTACGAGGCTGACCACAGTACGGCGAATAGAGAAGGACGCAGCTAACAGCATTCGCAAATAGTAAAGACTGACCTCGGCCCAAATAAGCGTGCTGAGAAACGCAAACAAAGAACGCCTGAGCCACGAGGGCAACAAGAAATCGGAAAAGATCGACAGACGAGAAAAGTCAGACAGACCATCAGCAGCCACGCTAGCGTTGCTATTATGAGACTTGAAAATAAAACTGCAGTTGGTGGGGGAAAAGATGAGAACCCACAGCCTGTCATATACAATACGAGTCATGCATGAGTATGTTGAAGATGTTGAAGTCTGTGTCTTTGACGGAAACAGCGACGCTCCGAGTAGACCTACTTGCTACAGGGACAAGATTCGAGAGGAAGCCATCAAACTCGAAGCAGTGATTGTGCAATAACCTGATCCCTATCCGTTGCATGTTTTCCCGTTTCAGTTAGTTCTTATTTTCTTTGTCCTCTACCGCGCCCCGACCATGTTCGGCACTGCAGGTGGAACAAAGAAATAAAATAGAATATCTTCATCAAGCCATATCCGCTCACTAATCTTGACATAATATCTCATATACCAGAAAGAGGAAGACGTGAGCAGCAGGTGGTTTAGGCCGTTAGATGAGAATCACCAGAGGATTCGCCCTGACCAGAATTGTTGATGAGACACGAAAGAAAGTGGGTTTCCGTATGGATCTACTCTTATTACATGGATCCTTCGCTAATAATGCAACCAAAATTGTTTATTATCACCATCCAAGACTAGACCGGCGAGTCATGCAGTCACACTCACCAGCCCTCCCTGCTACTGTACTCCGTACCCAACGTGTCATGCCAAGTCCGTCTTGGGCTAAATGATTGTGAAGCATATCATAAACGGAGATGAGGCAGGGATATCGAGGCCAAAGCGTCAACTGTACAGCCTCAGCCTGAGTAACGGCATGTAGCACGATGGTTAGTATGCATACTCCCACAGGTAGACGAGTTATTGGCTCAGACGTGTCTATATTATCCACAGGTAGCTACTACCATGTGGACTGGAGGCTTCTTTGTTCATTTGTGATCAACCGAGGAACACAGGGTGACATCGACCAGGAACTGAGTTAGTTTCTTTGTCTGTTCCTTCAGCCACCATCACATCCTCTCCGTGCACGGGCAACATCAGTTGATTCGTTATTGATCGCAGGAAGTATTGGCAGTCTATGCTGAAGGGCCCGGCATAGTATTTCTAAAGCTCTCCTCTGCTTCTGCATTCTGCTTGCCTTCTCGAACAACTTTGCTATCGCATCGCGACGGATAGGGGCAGTGAACATTATGAAGCTCTCGCGCGCAACTCTGCTGGCCCTGATAGCGGCCTATTCGCATCCAGTACCGAGTACTGCTTCAGCAGATGATGTGACAGTGACAGAGACAGTTCTTGAGACAGTCACTGTTGCTGAACCTTGGGCGGTCAGTTGAACGTCTATTGTTCGTTATAACTTCTAAGATGCAGTAGGCAGCAACCAGCCTACAGACAAGTGCTGCAGCAAACTCAGCGGTTCCTGAACCCTCAGCGTCCCCTGCTGAACCGCCGTCAGACGCAGAGACAAGTACTTCGACTATCACAACACGCGCGGAATATATTTTAAGGAAGAGGGCGAATCCTCCAGAGTCTCCGGCTATAATCGCAAGAGCCCCTGCTACGATCACAGTGACTTCGACATCAACAATCACAACCTGTCCTGTATGCACAAGTACATCAACTACTTCCACCACTACTCCTACCATTACGACTACAATACCGCCTCCTGAAACCACCCCAACTACATCCACAACAACTAGTAATCCTGTCACCACGCCGACAGCAGTACCAGGGTCTACTGTCACAGTGACTGTGACAACCACCGCTCCAGGGCCCACGGAGACCGACACTGTCACCACGACTGTCAGCTTGCCAGGCACTACAGAAACAGACACTCTCACTAGCACGGTCACTATTCCGGGAACTACGGAAACAGATACTGTCACTACAACGATTAGCTTACCAGGTACCACAGTGACAGTCACTTTGCCCCCGACGACAGTGACCGACACGGCTACGTTCACCCAAGTTTCAACTACATTGGTAACGGTCCCTGGGTCTACTATAACAGTCCCCGGTTCGACAGTAACGGATATAACTACGTCGACTGAGAGGATCACTCAAACAGTCACTATTTCTGGGGTCACAGTAACAGATACGGCGACAGTGACTCAGACGTCAACGGCAACAGTCACTAATCCTGGATCAACCGTTACGGACACAACCACATTGACTGAGATCTCAACCTCGACACTCACAAACCCAAGGGTAACAGTGACGGACACGACCACTCTGACGGAGGGTTCCACCCAAACCATCAGCCGGATTTTAACTACGACGGCCACCGAGACCGTGATCTTGCCTGGGACAACCGTGGTCAATTCAAAGACTATTACCCTACCTGGAACGACAATAGTCAACTCGCAAACTGTGACCCTCACGGCCCCTGGAAAAACAGTGACGAATATGAGGACAATTACTGAATCCGGGACAACGAGGACTGTCTCTGAGGTAGTCACCCTTCCTGGTTCTATAGTCATGACGATAGAGACAGTTCCAACTACTCTCCCTGGATCTACTATAATTACCACCATCACTGAGCCCGGACAGACCATTACCATGTCCGGATCTGTTACCACAATGCCAGGATCAACTATTGTCCAAACCACTACACTTCCCGGCGTCACCACGACAGATGAGCAGACCGTTCCAACAACTATGCCAGGAGCCACAATTGTCACTACGGTCACTAAGCCAGCAACTACAGTGACGGTATCAGGGACCATTATTACTGTACCAGGATCGACTGTCGTACAGACCAGATCTCTCCATGGCTCGCGATTGGTCGAGACTGCGTCAGTGGCTGTCGTCCATAGTACTACTATTTTCGACACAGTAACGTTGACTGGTGAGTCCAACTTCCAACGCGTTGTTATACGTCCTGAGTAGTTTGCTGACAAGGTAGGCTCCGATACAGCTACATCCACGACTCAGGCCGGCAACACTGCGATAGTTCCCGGAACCACCACAACGCTGTCCATCTGTCCGACACTCAGCATCAACCCCACTTACACTCCGGCCGCCCCCCTCCCTAGCAACTACACCTGGGGTTGTCCACCAGGCTATCTCTGCAAGCCCAAACACACCGGCGCCGACGCAGGCTGCAACATCGAAGCCAGTCTGCCAGCGGAGTCCTATGTCTGCAGTCCGGATGAGTGTATCAAGAGCCCGCCCTTCATCCACGACCAGTACTGGGGCACACCAGTTGAATCCAATGAGATCCGCTCAACCTACAATATCTCGAAAGACTACTTTAACCTCGACCCTCAGACCTTCGGTCTGAACTACTCCATCTTCCGGATCCCGGATCTCAAACCAGGAGATGACCATTACTACATCCGGTCCTCTCGCCGATCGTGGAGCAGACTACTCTCCCGGCAATCGATTGGGATTTCCACAGTGCCTGGCGCTTGCTATGACGAATGCAACGACGCAGCATTGGAGGTTGGATCTACTGGCAAGACACCGGAGATCTGTAACGCCGGCTCGGCGTTCAACGTCTCTCTGGGCCAATGCGAGAAGTGCTGTAGTGCTCACAAGACAGCTACTTCTGCTAGCTTTGAGCAAAAGGTTCTGCCAAACTTTCAGCAGTTTTTGAACTTTTGTGAGGGATTGGAGGACTCGTCTGCTACCACTGCTGCTGCGGATACAGTCAGCTCAACTACTTGTAGTCGGCCATCTGAGACAGGCACGATGTCCACGCAGAAAGGCAGTAGTACGCCACAGAGTAATCTTTCAACCGCGTTGACTACTCCAGATACTACAAGCAAGGCCACCAAGAGTAACGACGAATCGGGCATGGCGGCATCTACAAGCTCAACTGAACAGACAGCAACTTCCCCACCATCTCAGCAGGCAACTGCGTCAGACTTGACCACAGAGTCTGGACCCACCACCGCGAGTGAGGCTACTACGGATCCTGTCTTCAGGTCAACATCCGGGTCAGCTACAGCTGCCACTTCGAGAAAGACTCCACAAAGCTCTTCCAGTAGCAACGACCCTGGTAAAATCGCGGCTAGTTCAACATCTCATAGCCCAACGGGTACACATTCGGAATCAAGGCCATCCGCATCTGTATTACTTTTTACAGGCGCGGCAAGTCCCCGGACGGTGTCGTCTCACTGGAGTCTTTTGGCGCTAGTGTTTGGAGTCGCGCGCTTCCACGTCTGAGGTTCTGGTGAAAAAGTCGATTTTGAGGATATTTCCATTGAGATTTGTGTTTCTTAGATATCCAGGTAGATTGTCTGTGCTTTTTGTAATAATATAGTGCTGTTTTGAGATTACTAGTACTCGTCACCAATGTATATTCAGGGCATTTAGGGATGTGCCGTTCTTCCGCATGTTGAACTGACATGATCAGGACCTTTTCCTGTGGACAGGCCATTGTTTCGTTAAGATTTTTAAATTGGGAATGTCTTCCACTCGAGAACGGAATCTGTTTATCTTCTCTGCTCCTATTGAATGCATCCATTTCTCTCTACCATGAGGGGACCTAAGCCCAAACAGGGAAGTCTGGGGAATGCTTGGCATTCTGGGCGGAGACTAAGCCAAATTAGGAACATAGCATCATGGTCTCTCCGGTGACATATCGGTAGTTGGCATCAAGAATTCCAGACAAAATAGATGATCAATACACATAGATAAAATCCTCATTCTTTAAATCCGTGGTGTCAGAGAAGCCCTTATCCTCCGTCGGAGCCGGTGGCGCAGGAGCGACCTCCTCCAGTTCTAGGGCCTTACCCTCCAGATGCTTCTTGCTGAGCATGGACTCATCCACAATGTGAGCAGACTTGCCTAGTTCACGTCTCCTCTTTGCCTGTTTCCTGTTCAGGTACACCAGGTACAGGCTCGTCAATCTGGCCAGTCAGTTAGCAGTCCCTGAAGGGTGGAGAGCCACATACATAGAAAAGCCTGCTACGATAACAAACATAATCAGATTGGAAATCAACCCGGGTCGATAGAGCGGTGCCTGTGACGTGGAATAGAGTTGGGGACCAATGACCTATGCGCGTTAGCACCCTCTGCAAACTGATCAGGGGCAGACATACGTTTCCCGCACACATTCCCACCAAGACCACGGCCGAAGTGCATTTCCTCTTCGTATCGCCTGCGGTATTCTGCGCCTCCCAGGCGTATATCAATGGTGTGATGGCCGCCAGGCACGATACCTGTCTCGTCAGCTCTGCCTCTTGATTATTAGAGGATAACCAACCAGGTAGTATCCGAACAAGAGCACCCCTTTCTGCTCCCTCGGGACAACAATCATGAGCAAGGTCCCGACGGCCGCGATGAACGCAAACCCCACGATGACCAGACCCTTGCGCTGGAATCGAGTGGCTAGCCATCCCCCGCCAATGATGGCGATGATCTGAATAACGCCAAAGGGGATGTTAAAGAGGATGGTTTCGAAGCTGTTATACCCAAAGGACTTGATGATGAGGTTGCCGAATGTACTGATGCCTCCGCTTGGGATTCTGCGGTACGTTAGCACGAGTCGCGAGTCCACCCTCTCATGGACAACGTACGATATCGACACGACGAGAAAAAACCAGCACCACGTTTTGAGATCGTAGAATGTCTCCCAGACGTGGTCCCACCGCCATTCCCGCGAAATGATCCCCATCTGGTTGGCGCGCAGCCGCTCGACAGCAATCACTTTCTCACGGTCGCTGAGACATTTCGCTTCCATGGGAGAGTCGGGCATGAAGATGAAAATGAGGAAGGAGTAGGCGACTGTCAGGAGACCGCAGAACATGAAGATGATCTACCCATTAGTCTTTGTCATTGACAAGGGAGCAGAGTGGTACCTGGTATGAGAATAGACTGTCGCTGTGGATATGGCCCAGCCCGTAGGTGAACAAGCTGCCGACGATAAAGGTCACGCCGTTCATTCCGTTCCAAAAGGCTGTCCGGAGTGTCTGCTCGCCTCGTCTCCACCACATTTGCGTGACGGCCACGCAGGAAGGGGCTAAACGTGTTAACATGGAACGGGAATTGGTTGGGAGAAATACCGATCATGGCTTCAAACGCGCCCAGAGTGAATCTTAACCCTAGCAAACTGGGAAAGTTGGTGCAAGCGGCCATGATAGCAAGGGAGCTTCCCCAGAGAAGCACCGCCGACCCGATTAGCTTCCCCGTGGGCAATTTGACTAGTAGCAACGCGGCAATAGGCTGCATCACCAGCTGCGCCAGGTACAAAATCGACCCCAGCCAGGAGTACTGCTTGCCGTGGAGGTTTGCATCCTCCACGATGCCAAAGATGGAAACATACGAGAGGGACGATTTGTCGAGCTGCTGGAAGAAGTATGCTCCTAACAGCAAAGGGAGGACGCGCCGGTCGATCCGTCTCAGCACGGCTTTCTCCTCCTCCACTGTAAACGTTCGGTCTTCGTTTACGGTGGCCAGGAACTGGGCCGCTTTCTCCTTAATGGGGTCATTGCGGGTGTTTGGAACCGCAGTGATATGGTCGTCCTGCGCCATTTGTTTGTCCTTCCGTTGCTTATGTTGCATTCCAGTATTCGTTCCGCCTTATATATTGGCGGTGCCAAGAGCCATTCCTGTCTGTATACTTCTTGGCGATCTACATTTACCCCAGACTGTCAAATCCCCCGCAGTTTAGTGTGTTCTGATTTATGGAAAATCCATTCAGCCTGAACGTTGTCCCTTGGGTATGTGTGCGGGGTGTAGATCTCGGGCTATCTCACCCCGAAGTTATATACATTGTCTTTCCTCTTTTCCTTGACCCCATCACACGAGTCCATCAGACCAAAATCAAACGAATTAAACCAGATAAACACGGACATGAAGAAATACGCTCTCATCGGCACCGGCGGCCGCGCCATGTTCTTTTACACGGCCATCGTGCGCGACTTTCCCACCACCGCGCAACTGGTCGCCTTTTGCGACACCAACACTACGCGGATGGCATACGCCAACAGTCGGCTGGAGGCGCTCGGCCACGCGCCAATCCCCACCTACCTCGCCAGCGACTTCGACAAGATGATTGCAGATACCAAACCGGACGAGATCATCGTAACGACCATCGACCGCACGCACCACCAGTACATCATCCGCGCGCTCGAGCTCGGCTGCAACGTCATCACCGAAAAGCCCATGACGATCGACGCGCCGCGCTGCCTGGCCATCATCGACGCCGTGGAGCGCACGCAGCGCCAGGTCCGAGTGACGTTCAACTACCGGTACGCGCCGCACAACAGCAAGATCGCGGCGCTGCTGGCCTCCGACGCAATCGGGGATGTCCACTCCGTGCACTTTGAGTGGATGCTCAACACGTCGCATGGCGCCGACTATTTCCGGCGGTGGCACCGCGATAAGCGCAACAGCGGCGGATTACTCGTGCACAAGTCGACGCATCACTTCGACCTGGTGAATTTCTGGCTGCGGACGAGGCCGGCGAGCGTTGTCGCGATGGGGGATCTGCGGTTCTACGGGAAGGAGAACGCGGAGCGCCGGGGGGAGACGCGGTTCTATGCCCGGGCGAGAGGGAGCGAGGTCGCTAGGTCGGACCCGTTTGCGCTCGATCTGGAAGGTAATGCGCAGCTGAAGGCCCTGTATGCGGATGCGGAGCACGAGGATGGGTATTACCGCGACCAGAGCGTGTTTGGCGATGGGGTCAGTATCGAGGATACAATGGGGGTGATGGTGCGGTATGAGAGTGGCGCGGTCCTGACGTATAGCCTGACGGCGTATGCACCCTGGGAAGGGTTCCGGGTGATGTTCAACGGGAGCAAGGGACGGCTGGAGGTGGAAGTGGTGGAGCAGTCGTATGTTAATTCGAGTGGGGAGCAGGCGATGGAGGGCGCGTTGGAGAGTATGACGATTCTCCTGCGGCCCATGTTCGGGAAGCCTGTTGAGATTGAAGTTCCGACGGGTCAGGGAGGGCATGGTGGGGGGGATCCCCAGCTGCTGAAGGACTTGTTTGGTGGTGAGGCTATAGAGGATCCGTTGAAACGGGCTGCGACGCATGTCGATGGGGCATGGTCGGTTGCTACGGGTATTGCTGCGAATGAGTCGATGCGCCGGGGGCAGGTTGTACGCGTTGATGAGTTGATGAAGTTGCCAGTCTAGAGAATTACTATATTACAGGGCTTATTATCGATTTATATTGGTTGCTCGCTGTCCTTTCCATCGCCATGCCTTTATATTCATAGCTTCGCGACAAAGCATCGATAGCGATGCCGTAGGACAGAGCATGGGGGTTATTCCTATGCTAAGTCGCGACAAACAAGGGATGATCACGTCTGCTCGGAATATTCCCAACCTGCTTGAGGGATAGTTGATCACACTCTCCCCACATTCCTGGCTGACGACAGTCAGGCAAGGGAGACGATGCAGTCAAATCTCCGACTGCTCTGCTTTTCAGCATGTTCGTCTGTTCCATGCATAATATCAACCAACAGCAACGACGCGTAACCTCATCGTCTCGGGATTCAACAGCATTACAGAGATGAGAAGAAATCTCAATCACGTAGGCCTATGACCTCACATTATACCAAATGGTGTGACTCTGGACAAGTCCAAGTATAGCAAAGGTTATCTGAGGAATCCAGAGAACGAGCCTCTATTGGCAGGGACGTCAATCAAGGGAGGAGCTTAGGAAAGAGCTCACCTGCTATGACGAAGGTCTGCCCGAGGCAATGATGGAATAAATGTCTGCTCCTCATGGCCTTCCTTTCCTCCTCCATCTCTCAGTGACACCATGTCTCAGATCGTGGAATCCAAAGAACTTTGCGTGGCGCCCTCGCCCATCGACGAGGGTCTTTTTCAGCAGCAGTTGGACCTCCAAGGTCTCAAGCTCACTCCAGATGGATTCGTGCATTGGAAACCGGGCAACAAGCGACACCCACGCAACTGGTCGAAGCTGCGAAAGGCCCACGATGTATCAGTCATTTTGTTGCTGGAGATGTTCACGTATGTTGGTCTTTTTGTACACCTGGGCGAGGACTGACAATTCGCAGGACTTTGGTCAGTGCAGCAGGAGTATGTCACTCAACTGATGGTATGAGCATCGCTGACCCGACAGTCTGCCGCGGCCAATGCCTCCCACAAGGAATTCAATATTAGCAAGACCCTGTCGATTTTTCTCTTCGTGCCGATGTACGTGACCCGTCCTTTAACTCGGACACAGCTAACCGGTGTAGGTACCTCATCGGGCAAGGAATCGGCAGCATCGTCTTCCCTCCGTACTCCGAGGCCTTTGGACGCAAGAAATTGTATATAGTCAGTACGGCGATGTACAGTCTGTCGTGCATTATAATCGCCATTGTACCATCCGTCACTGGAGTGGTTGTCGGACGTCTGCTCAGCGGGTTCTTGTCGGCTATTCCTACCAATGTAGTGGCTGGAAGCATTGAAGACATGTTCAACGCAAAAGACCGGATATGGTTCCTGTCGTTGTGGATGATGCTGGCTCCGTGGGGTCTGGCATTGGGACCGATCTACAGCACATACATCATTTACGCCTTAAATTGGTATATGTTTCCCGGCACTGGCTGAAAACAGTACTGACTGCGTCCAGGAGATGGGTGTTTTACGTAGCAGCCATCGTCACCGGCTTCATCGCGTGTCTCCTGCTCGGCATCCGTGAATCTCGACCTCCCCTCCTCCTCGACCAGGAAGTCCGCCATCTGTGCCAGGTCCTCGGCAAGGAAACCCAGATCGTGGTGCAAAGCCTCAACCCAGACCGGATCCCCGACCTGCGCACCTTCTTCACCATGGCCCTCTTCCGCCCCATCTACCTCTTCTTCACCGAACCCATTATCTTCCTCGTATCAATCATCAGCGCCATCCCCTTCACTCTCATCTATATGTTCACCGACGCCCTCCCCCCAATCTACCAATCCTTCGGCATGACCCCACCCACTCGTGCCTCCCCTTCCTCGGCCTCGGCCTCGGCTGCATGCTCGGCATGCTCACCCGTATCCACGACTACAAGCTCATCGTCTCCCACCACCGCCAGCGCCTCCCCCTCCGCCCCGAAGACAAGCTCCTCGGCTTCATGATCGGCGCCCCCGTCTTCGCCCTCGGCCTGTGGCTCTTCGCCTGGACCATCCCCCCTGCGATCACATCCGTCCACTGGATGGTCTCCACCGTCGCCCTCGTGGCCATCGGGTACGCAGCAACCGAGTTCGGCTCCGTCCTGACTGGCTATCTCGCAGATAGCTACCTCAGCTACGCGGCCAGCGGGTTCGCGGCGCAGACGATCCTGCGGACGAGTATGAGCGCGGCGTTCCCGCTGTTTGCGCCGGCGATGTTTGGCTCGCTTGGTGCGAATGGCGCGGTCAGTGTGCTGGCGGCGATTGCGACGGTGTTTTGTCTCGTGCCGCCGTTGTTTGCGCGGTTCGGGGAGCGGATTCGTGCCAAGAGTCGCTTTGCGAGGTATAGTTTGGATGTGTATAATCGGATTACGGTTGATGAGGAGGGTTTCTAGCGGTGTATCTACGGCGTGATTGGTCATTGGTGTCTATACGAGTAGTGGTCAGTGAATTAGTGAGGTATTTGGATAGATCGGATGAAGACTCTGTGCATGGTTCGGACATACCCAAGCTCTGTCCCAAGTTGGTAGTGTCTATTCCGCTAACTAGGTAATCCCCTTCGCCAGGCTGCTTCTGGCCACTGCACGATTTCAGCCCCAGAGTCTGTCTCCGTAGCTGGCAATTTCCCTGCCATATTCCTCAAGCGCATCCACACCGACGCAAAGAGTGACGGGTCCTTCTCCCCTTGTGCAAGCACGCCCTCCTCTCTCAATATCCGCTGGCGCTCCTCCCAGGCTGGTCGGTGATACTCTACAATGGCAGATCCCGCCAACGCCATGATCACAGCGACCCATGGACCCCATTGTCCCACAGCATACGGCGGTTCGCTGGTAGGGATGTCATTGTGGAGATGTATGAAAACCTCATTCAGGACGATGACGACCGCACAGGCACTTGACAACAGACCAGTCATCAACCCCGGCCGGCCGCGCTTCTGACCACCAGCCAACTTCTTCTGGGCCATCGATTGCCTCTGTTTTGCGTAGCGGCGCTGTTTCGGCAGGAGGTCGCTTCTTGCAAGGGTCCTGTTTGCTGAGCGGAGTATGCGTTCCAGCTCGCCCTTTGTGTAGTAGCGTGGCGTCACGAGGAGACGGTAGAGTGAGACCACCGCTCCGAGGAATATCGAGAGGCAGATTGAGGCTGCTAATAATCTGAACCTCTGAATGGATACCGTGCCAGCTGGTACCACGCGAATGTCGCTCGGGTCTCGAAAGACCTGTCGTGTCCTGAAGCAGGCGTACGTGCAGTTGAACAGCAGCAAATCCAATTGTGCCGTGCTCGTCAGCAGTATAGGTTCTGTGGTGTCGGCCCCATCACTCGGTATAGATGTACATCTCTCCTCGCCGGGATAGTCTCTCAACATCGCCACAACGGCACAGACTGTGCCAACCACCATCAGTAACCCCCAGTATTGGAACACCGGGCGAGCCGGCGATTCGCGCAGCAGTTCAGACCCATGGAAGAATACAGTCACGACCAAGCTTCCCACGCTGACGATGGCAAAAATCCCAAGACAATCCAGATCAAGCAGAGAATCACGCGATATGCCTGCCAGAATGGTTGCATGGACGGCGGCTGATGCGGCGTAGGTCATGGCCGCACCTAGCGCACCAGCCACCAACCATGGCGTCTTGCGACTGACGATGGAGAAAAGGAGCAGGCCATAGTAGAGGACTCGCTGGAGAAGGGCATATTGCCCGCTGATTGGGTAGACGCATTCTATCCGACCCTCGCCTAGTGTCGCATTGTACTGAAGGAGACTACTAGCTGATGCTGCGGGGACGATTGTCAGGAGCCATGGCACCAGGATAGCCGGGGTAAGCATCTCGCCGAGTCCTCAATCCTCATTTGGCATTCAACCTTTGCCAATGGTGGACAGTGATCGGCAAGTCGTGGTTATATGCTCTTGGGGAGCTGACGTCGGCCACATATTGCTTTTTCGTGATCCGGGTTTCTATTCGACGCCTCGTCTTGCTGTGATTTCTTCTACGAGATGAGGCTTGCCGTACCATCCAATGAGCTTGTTGCAACAGAGCTACATTAGGATTATTATGAAAACATTTAGAAACCCCCCTTTTGCCGCTAGAATCACCGCTTTTCGTTTCTAACTATTCTGCCACTTCAACGCCTGCGTACGCGATTTGATTCTATTCCAATACACATCTAGATGGCGCGATCTAAGGAGCTTACACCTACTGTTCGTGCTCGAATCTGCGAGTTACATGATATTGGATGGGTATACAAGCGTATTCATACGCGACATCCCCAGATACCTCTCTCTACCATCCAATATACTATTCAAAAACAGAATCAACGTAATGATCAGCAATCCTTACCCCGAAGTGGTCGTCCAAAAGCCTTAACTAGTGAGCAACAGAATTATCTACTTGATCTTGCAACTAAGGATCCTCATATTAAGACGCGTGAGCTGCAGATTGCAGTTGATACCTCCCCATGAAAGGACACGTTTCGTCGACTATTCCGGAGTCTACATATGCGTAAATGGAAGCAACGAAATCGACCAGAAATTAAAGAAGAGAAAATGCTATTAAGCGTTTACAATGGGCTCAGTCTAATGCAGATTCAGGCTATGGTCTGGCCACCATACTCCCCTGGTCTGAATCCAATCAAGAATCTATGGGCAAAAAGAGCAGATGCTGGGGGAGGACATGTTATGGTGTCCTTGCTTATATGAGTAGGGTAAGGGGGGTTGAAAGTCCCGATTCTCAGAGTGCCGAGAATCCCCTAGTACAAACGTAGAAATCATGACACAAATGGAATTATACCATTGCTGATATACTATTTCAATACACTTCCCATGTGCCGGTCCCAGAAACACTTATGGCCGACTCACAGGACATTTGGAGAGGACCGTCAAATTTTGGGCCGTTCTTGATCGTGAGCGTCACGTTGTCGGTTCCGATCGTCCCGTCAAAATCTCTCTCGCCAGTCAACTGTGCCATTGTGGAATATTCCATTGTAGCGTCGTCGGTAGAGCAATCCTTGACAGATGGGTTCAAGTGGCCGGAGAATTAATAATATCATCAATGATGAAAACAGCATTGAATTTGGGGCCATATCCCATGGTTTTGAAAAATCCGCGTGCAGTACGCATCTGGCCAAATAATATGTCAGCCAAGGCTATATTTGACGTTGCTTAAACATTGGTTTACCTTGCTTTAGACGTAAATTCAAGTGAATCGTGTATGGTCTTGATGAGTATATGGAAGGGAAGTATGTAGAAAAGTGAAGGGAGGTCCTGCGTCAAAGATAAGTTAATAAAGACTGCAAAATGTGCCTCCATCTTCCGCCTTGTGACGTCTCTCGGTTATCTACTACATATGCAATCTCCTAACAGCAGCTAATAATGGCCTGCCTGGCTGCTGAGTCGACAATAGGCGAGCATGGAGCTGCATCAGTTAGCGTAATCAGCCTCTATCCAGCTGCCTCAAATTTCGTACGACGCGACCGGCCATGGGGGGCAGTATGCAGGACACTATTTGTGCAGAGTTATTTGAAGCTAAGCGGTGGAGAACTCAGGCCGCAGCTAGCGGCAACCTTGGTGGTTACTGAAGGTATCCTCTGGTTAATATATGTGGGTGGGTATGTAGTGTGTGCTGGCTGCATAGACCTTTCTCTCTGCTCCACGCTCGGGCCTCGCTCGGGGCAATAAAGAACAGTTCAAGAAGGCATAATATTATAAGCCAACAAATTTATACATATAAATTCTAAGTGTGCATTCCACAGGTAGCAAGTGCAGTATGTATAGTAGCATATAACTTGCCTGAAAGTAATACATGGCAATTGAAGCACCGTCCACAGCGGAGAATTTGATCATCTTAACTTTAGTGCGAAGCCGTGTCTGTTTTCCAAACCTTATCTAATGATGGGAGATCTAATATGAACTCGACTAGAACATTTTGCCTCCGGGGGCTGAGCTGTGCCCTAGCAAGTTCCAATATAGGCAACCGCACTCTTGCGGCCAAGATTAGAGGCATCCATGGAGCAGCAAACCCCAACTCTCTCTTAACAGACGGCGCAGACATCGCAGGACGCATTTAATGGTTCAGTTTGTTCGGCCTCGGTTGGTTTGACCGTTCCACGTCGGATCAGCGCAACACGAGGCACACACAGCCTTGCGGAGGCAAGTTGCACACTCCTGACTCATGAGTCTCGACACCTCGTATAGAAGCCTGAGCTGCCTGTTAGCAGATCAGCACCGCCACAACAGTGCATTGAAGTAAATTCTCTCCCTGCTGATTTCCGATTTCCGCTCCTGGTGGGGTTAGACATGGAATACTATGGTATAGTCCAGCGGATCAGAGAGTCAGTAACTGTGAATCAAAACACCCAGCGAGGTGGGGCACAGGGCCATAATTCGCGGCTCGCCCGGGATGGCGGCTCACCTGCGAATTACATTATCGCTTTTTCGTGATCTGGGTTTCTACTCGACGCCTCGTCTTGCTGTGATTTCCTCTACGAGCTGAGGCTTGCTGTACTATTCCAATGAGCTTGTTGCGGCAGAGCTACATTGGGATTATTATGAAATCAGTATCATGTACACGTAGAGTGCGCCACCTTGCCATTACGAGGGACAGATCTGTAGGCAGATATGGTGATATTAGAAAGAACAATGTTGCGTTTGAAAACCTTTATCCTAAATCTAATATCTCAAATATCGGAGGTCAAAGCTCCGGTAGACGACCTCCCTTTTCATCAATAATATCTGGATCGACGTCGTCACAAGCCAAGAGGGCCTGATCACTTAGTGCAACTTTGGACTATCAACGGCTGGGTATACTAGGGAGGTGACAGAGAAGGAGATTATAGTTCTCGTTATCTAATAATAAACAAAGGCTAACAGGTTTTCAATGATCTTCACAACCCTGATCTCCCTGCCATTGTCATGTTGTGATTGCGAACCGCTGGTAATAGAGAGTGTCCATCTGCTTCACCGGACAACGAAGGACTCGATGAACATCGCGTCTGACCGTAATTGCAGCGATGTCGTTGTCAACTTGGATAAAGCTTGTGAGCCAAAAGCAATGACAGCAATAATACTGAGTGTCCTCGTCTCCCCATGGGAACTGCAAGCGACGTCGAGGAGTCATTCTATCGCGAAGCATGCAAAATTTCCTGTGAGAAAACCTTTAATGTCCTGTCTCTTAACAGCGTCGCGGCTGAGCCACCAGTCCCGGAAAGTCAACATATATCACACCTATTCAGGGGTTGACAACTGATGAGTATGTCCTCCGACCCGATGAGTGGTAATTCCCCGAAGCCTGGCGACTCGTATATCCTCGAACAATGTTTCGACAGAAAGACTCTCCGGAGGGCTAGAAGGCACTCTTCTCAGTTCAGACAGGTCGACATCCCTGTCAGTCGGCAACTGCGTTTATGCAGCTCGGCAGTGCCATCAGTGACTTGCGCTGGATTGAACTTCGCGTTTGCGCCAGGAGAAGATAGAAATTACTCGATCAGAATGCAAATAATGCTTTTCCTCCTACTCTTGGTCTGTTGATCTTGGGTTCGGGACGACTTAAGTGATTCATTAACACCCTCGGCGGTTAGTTTGGTGAGATTCCAGTGGCAGACTAGCCTGGATTATCGTCCATGCACGGTTGTCTATTGAGGATTCCATTATTCTGTCGTGTCTACCAATGATAGTTGAACTGCTGCATAAGGCATGCACATCCAGAGTCGGTGAGCACTTCACAAAAGTAAGGTATACACTTCTGCTAAAGGGGTCTATGGTACTCTCCTGATCAAGCGCAAGCAAATGGTTATCAGCTATTTCGTGAGGGCTTACATACATCCATCCGTAACTGTTCCAAAAAGACTGTGCCTACGATAGAATGTATATCGAACAATATATAAACAAATTTCAAGAAATCAATGAGATGCCGTCAGAGTCAAGCATGCAGGCATGACTTTGCAACCTTAACTAAGCTATACGACACAAGGAGGCAGAGACTTCATTGTGCTTCTTCTGCCCAGTTGGTTATTACTACCAGAAACACCTCAACCGCAGCTCTCTGCAGAGAAAGTAGACCTTTCTGTTCATACATATTTGCAAAGGTGCCACCACCTCCACACCGCTAGCTATCAGCAGTATTCTGTTCCTACAGACGAGGAGGCGTGGTGTCCTCAACAGCTACACAAATCTATCCAGAGGTGTCATCTAGCCGTCAGCAACTTCAGAGGACCAGGAGCACCACCCACAATGACAGTTCCAGTCCCAGACTTCCATGTTATCATCGGAGCCGGTACGTTCCTTCATCCAGTACCTATCCTGATACTAAACACACTACCAGGCGCAACCGGCCTCCTCCTCGCACAGGGTTTGCAAAAGGTATTCTTCTCCGCCCCAAGCCGAAGCCACAACTGACAAGGCAGTTCGGCATCGCATACACCATCTACGAACGGCACGATGAGGAGACTTACGCCGGCGCGGGGGACAATGGACCATGGCCCTGCACTCTGCCCTGCCGTATCTCGAGTCCATACTCCCTCCTTACCTCCGCGACAAACTCGACTCCGCAACGACGAATCCCTGGTCCGAGCCGGACCCCGCCATTGCGGCCGCTATCCCGTTTGTTAATGGTGCCACTGGCGAGCTGATGGCTAAGATTCCGATGCCGAGTCCGAAGCGCGTTATCCGGGGGAAGCTGCGTGATCTGTTGAGGACGGGCGTGGAGGTTAGATTTGGGATGAGGCTGACCGTTGCCGATTTCAATGGGCAGGAGGTTAGGGGTAGTGTGCTTGTGGAAGCGGATGGAGGTAGGTTTTCCTCTTTTTAGTGAGTTGATGCTGACGGTTTCGAGTGCGGAGTGTGGTGCGGAGGGCAACTCGTCGATGCGGAGGTTGCGGCGTTGCAGAAGCCGAACATCATGGTTTTGGTTGGTGTTTTTTCCCTCTATCCCCTGTAGGATCGCGCTGATGGATGGAGTAGAATACCTTCCCGACGTTCACTAGAGAGCAAGCCCTCTTCATCCATGGCAAGTCCCACCCAATCGTGCAGCTCGCTCCCCATCCGTACCAGAAAACAAGTATTTTCTCCAACGGTACGTCCTCTTCCCTGCCCGAGAGCACAACGCAACTGACAAGCTAGTGGCCAACGTGGTCGGCCCCGTTCGCCGGAAACCTGGGTGTTTCACTATTGCCTCCCAATCTGGACAGCCCGAGGACCCCCCAGAAAATGCCGAGGCGCGGCGCGCACTGTTCAAACATCACATGAGCCAATACTGCGAGCCGTACAGGTCGGCCGGGGAATGTTCGAGTCAGGGCACACCAATACTAGCCGAAAAGGTACGTCCGGACGATTTCATTGGGCGGACGCTAATGCGTAGTTCAGTTCCGTTACTGGAAAAACATAACGCGATGGAGTAATTTCGGCGGAAAAGCTTCCCTAGCGGGTGATGCGGCGCATCCGATGGTCCCTTGTTCGTATTACTCTTTCCTACGCTTGAGGAGAGAGGTTCACTGACGATAGGCAGTCACCGCGCAGGGATTGAACACCGCCCTTAAAGACGTGAAGCGCTTTCTCGATGCCATTGTTAAGCTGGTATACCACGGTGCGGGTCTCCAGACGGAGATAGATGTCTACGATGAGTCGGCGTATACGCGTGGCAAGCAAGACATAAACTTGTCGATAGAGCAGACGTACGCCTATCATCACTGGGAGGAGATAATGACCAGTCTGTTGATAAAGGGGGGATACGGGGCATTAATCCATAGTTCCGCCATTAATTAATAAGCATCATATTGCTACATTATAGGCCCAGGGCTTGGTCTCGATCACACTCCTGGAGACATGGGTCGATCCTTCCTGCGAACGACCATCTTGCGAACGGCCATCCTGTGACCGATCGTCCCCATGTTCTGATCGCCCGTCCCGACTCGTTCTAGCCGGCTCCTCCAACTGCGTGAGATTCGTAAGCTGAATGTCACTGTCGACATCGTTAATGCGCTTGAAAGCTTTGTTCTTGTTCCCTGTGCCCCCAGACTCCGGCTGCGTCGAGTAGATTTTGCGACTGGCAAACAGTGTCGGGAAAGCTGTCTTGAAGACGGGTCGCAGCATGGGCACGCACGCGTTCAAGTTCGCCAGGGCCGGTTCAGTGACGCTCCAGAAGGCAGCCCAGATCATCGAGTACGGGAGATCGAGGAAGTCGACGGTCGTGAGGACGCGGATGCGGATGATGGTTATGGCGGAGATACTGCCTCATTAGCAACCCATTTGTCTAAATACCTGGTGTAAAAGGAAGGACGTACAAAAGACCCATTCCGAAAATACCGTAGAGCGCCAGCTTGGTAGCAGTGCTCATGTGCAACTTCCAGATCAAGTGCAGCGGCAGCACCATGATCATGACGTCCGTGATGAGATTAAAGGCGCCGATGGTCGAAAAGGCGACGTTCTGGCTTGCGCAGTGGCCGGGTAGCATCGGGTTCCAGTTCTTCTGGAAGGGTTGGCAGATGAAGAAAATCTGGAGCATGCTGCCGGCCCAGTAGGCACAGGCACAGCCCATGCAGACCCAGGCGGCAATGCGAAAGCCCTTGGTGACGAAGATGCGGAGGTAGAAGAAGAGATAGCTCAGTTTGGCGAGGAGCATGGCGTTGTAGTAGACGACTTGGTAGACGATCAGCATCTTGAGGATGGCCACCAGGTTCTCCGGGGGGATCTCCGTGACATGGTTGCGCATCCCGACGCGAGCGTAGTGGTAGTGCATTGCCAGCATGCTGTACGTGTGCAGCATGGAGCCTACACAGCAGCCATCGTCCCACCAGATCTTACTCTGCCGGAGATGTCGCGAGATGAACCGGAGGACCAGAGCAAGAGTGGCGAAGGCGACCAGCACCGTGTTGGCGATGAGCTGATCACGCACAATGGGAAAGGCAAAGGCCTCGTACAGGACCACCATTTTGTCTCACCAAAGTGGTGGTGGACAAGTGCAAAACTCTGAAACCGCCCCAAAAGAGGCAACAGACAATTTATCACGAGTCAAGCTTCTGACAGGTGCTAGAATATCGCCATACACGATGCATCATTTCCGTCTTAAATCTAGGAATCCCGCCGAATTCCTGTTCTGGTAAATGGACAGCCGTTGAACCTGCTTCCGGGCAGCTACCGCGTCCTCGAGACCAGTCTTCGTCTGCGCTCAAACAGACGAGCCGCTGGCCTCCTGCCGATCAGAACGCGCGAGGTGTCAGGCTACTACTTTAGTATAACGGCGGCGCGCGAAGGATCAGCCGGCGCGGATTGTGGAGATCCCGATGGATAGCGATTGGAAGAGCCACGAATGGGGCTATCATTAGCTTCATGGGACGGAGAGGGGTAGCCTAAATAACCTTGAACGAGGATAGAGTATTTGACCTGTCATTTTGGCCCCAAGCGTGTCTTGGGATTTGATGCCCGTCGAATCCACTCCTGACCGTCTAACCCCCTCAACCTGAACAGAGAACACGAGTCGCAAGTCGCAACCACAGCAGCTGCCTCAGACTGAACAGTGCAATGGACGAATACGACTATATCATTGTCGGCGCAGGCATCGGCGGCCTGGTTCTGGCCAACCGCCTGAGCGCAGACGCCTCCGTCAATGTCCTCATCATCGAAGCCGGGGCCAATCGCATGGGCGATCCCCGTATCGACACTCCTGGCTTCTTGGGCATGTTATACGGCAACCCAGACTTTGACTGGGATTATACGAGCGTCCCTCAGGTATCACCTTCCGTTCCACAACTTCGTTCACGTCCTTAAATTCTGATCGTATAGCCCCATGTCAACAACCGACAAATCGCGCAGCCCCGCGGCCGTGTCGTCGGCGGTTCCACGGCCATGAACTTCTCGGTCGTCATGTACCCTCCCGCATCAGACTTTGAAGCATGGAAGGCATTGGGAAACAACGGCTGGGGCGCAGAGGATATGGCGCCGTACCTGCGGAAGTTTCACACGTTCTCACCGCCCAGCAAGATCACGGCCGAACTTCTCCGTATCGATCGCTACATGGATGCCAACAGCCAGGGGTGTGATGGCCCCGTGCCTGTTTCCTTGCCAGACGTATATGGGCCGTTCAACAAAGCGTGGGACGAGACGTTTGAGAAGCTTGGTTGGCGAACGGACGCGGATCCCATCGCAGGACGCAAATTGGGAGCGTTTACCGCGCCGCTGACCGTTGACGCAAAGACAGGGAAGCGCGGGTATGCAGCCGCATACTACTCCCCTGAGGTGGCCGCACGGCCGAACCTGCGCCTGCTGGCAGAGACCATGGTCGAGCGGGTGCTGTTGACCAAGCAGGACGGAGACGTCGTGGCCACCGGCGTACATATCAAGAACAAGGACGGCAGGAGGGAAATCATCCGCGCAAAGAAAGAAGTCATCCTCTGCGCCGGCAGCTTGAACACCCCTCAGGTGCTCGAACTCTCCGGAATCGGAAATGCAGAGCTTCTACAAAAGCACGGCATCCCTGTAATTATTAACAACCCCGGCGTCGGCGAGAACCTCCAAGACCACTGCATCAGCAGCATCAGCTACGAGATCGCCGACGGCCAGGTCTCGGGCGACATTCTCCGCAACCCAGATGTGGTGCAGGCCCTCATCAAGCTCTACGAGGAAACCCGTGGCGGCCCGCTGGCAGGCATGCCCATCAGCGTGGCCTACCTCCCCTTCGTCGACGGCCAGGGCGTAGTCCCGAGGCAAGAAGTCGAGGACCTGCTCGCGAGATATCTCAACAGCGACAACAGCCTCCCACCAAGACTACAAGCGCAATACGCGCACCTCAGGAAAGCGATCCTAGACAATGATACCCCCTCCTCGCAGTACCTCTTCCTTCCCGCGCAGCTGCACATGAAACCCGGAGCAACGAGCATGGCCGACGTCCTGGCTAAACCCCTGCCAGAAAACTACATCAGCATCATGATCCTGCACAACCATCCTTTCTCACGGGGTTCGGTGCATATCGCGTCCTCCAAGGCGGAGGACAAACCGATCTACGATCCGAAGCTCTTGTCTCACCCGCTGGACCTGGAGATCCTGGCTCGACACACCCAATTCTTAGACAAGATTGTCGCCACCGAGCCGCTCAAGTCTCTTCTCAAGGAACGGCGCATACCGGAAAGCGCGAGTGACTTGGCCGATCTGGACCGAGCCAAGGAGGTGGTCAAGGAACGGCTGTTTACATGCTTCCACCCTGCGGGGACGTGTGCCATGTTGCCGCGGCAGATGGGAGGTGTGGTTGATGATCAGCTGAAAGTGTATGGGACTCGCAATCTGAGGGTTGTCGATGCGAGTGTCTTTCCTCTGGAGCCGGCGGGGAATATCCAGGCGACGGTGTATGCGATTGCGGAGCGGGCGGCGGATTTGATTATTGGCAGGAATTAGTTTTACTCGTTTTACTCGTTTATCATGGATGAATAAAAAATGAAGTATGCTGTTATCGATAATGAGACATCGTTGATCAACACTGTTGTTGGATACATTCCAGGTAAAGAATGCGACATCAACATCATCCCATCCCCTTCTTCCAGACTTTGAAATTTTGATTCCCAACCTCAACATGATCACCAGAATCAATCACAATGCATTTCATGCAATTACTATGGCTCCTGTTAATCTCCCCCGCATATAGCATCCCCTAGACCTCAACGATCCCACCTCCATCAAACAAGCCGCCCACGATGTCGCCGCCAATATGCTCTCCCACTACACGGGGATGAAACCCGGCGACAACCCGGGCAACCTCCCACCCCCATACTACTGGTGGGAAGCCGGGGCGATGTTCAACGCCCTCATCGACTACTGGTACCTCACGGGCGACAGTACCTGGAACGCAATCACCACGCAAGCCCTGACCTGGCAGGCCGGGCACACGGGGACCTTCATGCCGACCAACCAGACCAAGACGGAGGGCAACGACGACCAGGCCTTCTGGGGCTTCGCAGCAATGTCCGCCGCGGAGCGAAACTTCCCCGACCCAGATCCCGCCCACGGACCAGGGTGGCTGGCGATGGCGCAGGCGGTGTTCAACACGCAGGCGGCACGGTGGGACGAGAGTACCTGCGGCGGGGGGCTGCGGTGGCAGATCTTCAGCTTCAACAATGGGTGGAATTACAAGAATACCATTTCCAACGGGTGTTTCTTCAATCTAGCCGCCAGGCTGGCGCGGTACACGGGCAACAGCACGTATGCGGAGTGGGCAGAGCGGATCTGGGACTGGACGGTGGACGTGGGCTTCATCACGGACGACTGGCTGTTTTACGACGGGGCGGACGTGCTGCTGGATTGTTCGGACTTTAATCGGATCGAGTGGACGTACAATTCCGGAGTGTATCTGCTGGGCGCGGCCAACATGTACAATTTTGTATGTCTATTGTCTCCTTCTCCTTCTGATGGCCGTGGCTAACAAGACAGAACAGACGGAGGCTGACCCCCGGTGGGAGGCGAGGACAAAGCATATCCTCGAGGCGACGGATGCGTTTTTCGTCAAGGACCCAGCCATGGTGATGTACGAGCGGGCCTGCGAGCTCGTGAATACCTGCCAGGTCGACCAGCGGTCTTTCAAGGGGTTTCTCGCCCGCTGGATGGCGGCAGCCACGCAGGTCGCCCCCTTTACGTACGACTGGGTCATGCCGCGGCTGCGGGCGTCAGCAGCTGCCGCGGCAAGGACATGCACTGGCGGTCCGGATGGCGCCGCGTGTGGACTGAAATGGACGACGGGGGTATGGGATGGCAGTGAGGACGTGGGATTGCAGATGAGTGCACTGGAGGTGATGCAGAATCTCTTGATCGACCGGGTAGATCCGCCAGTCACGGATGCCACCGGGGGAACTTCAATCGGCGATCCGAGCGGAGGAATGGAGCAGCACGATCCAAGGCCGCAGGTGCTGACGATGACTATCACCGGGGCGGATCGCGCGGGGCGGGACTCCTGACAGCCATGTTGGGGGTGTTGATGATAGGAACAACAGGGTGGCTCCTTTATGAATAGCTTGTATCTGTAGATGTGTACATCAATCAAAATGGTTATTTTACTGCAGAGCAGCCACAATCCGTCGCAACGCTTCGTTGAGGTACGCTTGCGGGTGCGCAAAGACAATGCGGAACCACCCCGGCGTCTCTGACCCAAACAACGCCCCGGAAGCCAGAAACACCTTGTTCTTCAGCAGGCGCTGCATGATGATCTCGCTGACATCCTCGTGGATCGCCTCGGGGTGGCGCTTGAGGTACGGCGTGCCCAGGTCCACCCAGACAAAGAATCCCGCATTCGCTCCAGCCATGTAGGGGATCTCATTCTGCTTCAGTGATCCTACTGTGTATTCATACGCCTCTTTCAGCCTCTCGCAGTTCAACCGGATATACTCATCCGTATACGCATCATCCTCGAGGATATTTGCCGCCAGATGGTCCGCCGGTCCGGACACATATGAATACAGCGCGACACTGTCAACCGCGGCACGCACATCCTTATTCCCCTGGCTGATCAGTGCGCCCAACCGCAGCCCATTCGCGCCAAAATCCTTGCTCAAGCCCCAGAGGACATGTACCCGGTCCGCATCGATGATACCCTTGGTGTCGATACTCAGAGCGGAGACAAACTCCTCCCCACCCCATACGGATAACGCATATACCTCATCGCTGATAAAATGCATCCCGTGCTCCTGGCACAACCGCATCAGGGCAACCAGGACATCGCGCGAGTAACACCGTCCGAGAGGATTATGCGGGTGACACAGCAGCAGCGCACGACACTTTTTCCCAGTCCGCTGCTCGAAGCTGGTCAGCGCGTGTCGGTACGCCTCCACACAGTCTGCGCCGAGCGGATCCGCCCCTCCAAAAGGAACAGTCACCACCTCCGTCCCGAACCGCATCGAGATATCCGCGTTGAAGGTACCGTAATACGGCCTTCCCAGCAGGATCCCCTCGCCTTTATCCGCGAGCGCCCAGGAGAGATGCTCGACTGCCGCGGAGACGCCGTTGGTGAGGATGAGATGGTGCGGTTCGAGCGGGGTAGCGGGGTGAAGGCGTCGGTTCAGGAACCGGGCCATGGCCGCTTTGAGGCGTTTCGAGCCGGATGCGCCGTCATTGTAGGTGAGGGACTTGGAGGTGAGGCGGAGGTTCTGGTGCATGTGGTCCAGGAGGTACTCGTGCATCAGGAGGTTCTCGGCCACGCCGACGCTGTAGTAGCCGTCGGGGTTGCTTTCCGGGTCGTACATGTTGGCCATGACCTCCCAGATGAGGCTGTTGCTGTTGGCGTGGAGGACGCCATTTGCGCGGGTTGAAAGGGCCATTTCATAGATTAGAGATGGTGAAGTGAGGAAGAGATGAGGAGAGGAGGAGAGGAGGAGGGAAGAAGAGAAAGATAATACCTTTTAGAGGATGCGAAGGGGTCATTGAGTTCGTATTGGTGGGTCAAGTAGCGCAGCTATTACCCCACAATATCCGTATCTTCCAGCTGTGATTGTCAGACGTTTTGTAATCTAGTACGTACTTCATATTAACTTAGCATTTAACAGGGCTCACTAATAAGTAACTACCAAGTATCTCGTCTCAGGGATCTATACACTGAAATGTAGTGAAATCGGCATTTTATGCATAGTACCCGACAGATACTTGGATGTTCTAACTGAAAACAGCTCCCTTGCATGACCGTCCTGCCGCCTCAGGCTATCATTGGCTGACATAGTATGTGCATCCCTATTCCGGTATAGTGCCGTTGTCCTGGCCTCTTTTATCTTTTTTTCCCTTGGGCACTGTCTTTCTCTTCCCTTCCCTATTATTAGGCCGACCGGCCGAGTATTGTGGTGCTATTACTATACAGATATAACTAGCCCTATATAGCGACAAAAATGAAGAATATATTGATATTAGCGAATCAACGTCTGATAAACCAATAGTGCTCTATAACGCTTCATTGAGTTTCAGGTCTGCCATGGCACGCCATGAAAGTTCCCGTAGTAAAGAGGGGCCTGGGAGAATTGATAGCTAGTTAATCGAAGCATTGCTGACATTTTAGCAGCCAATGCTAACTACTCGGCGATCAGTTTTTTAACTCTTGCACCTCCGCCAGTGTCTCAATCATACGAGCTAAATCCTCCTTATGCCCCCTCACCACGCTCAAGTAATCCGATGTTAGCATCAATAGCTGAAAGTCTTTAAGCCAAGTCCGCGATGTCCCAGACACCTTGCACGTGACAACAGCCAAAGGCTTCTGATGCCGTCTCGACACCTTCACCAATCGATCTATTGCGTCTAATATCTTCGGGTCTTCGGGGTCGCCCACCCGGCGCGGAGGACAGCGCAAGGCAACTCGGAGGTCGCCAGCCCCTAGCATTAGGCCGTTGACACCAGGGACTGCAGCTATGGCGTCTGCATTTTCCAGGGCAAGCTGCATACATCCCGTCTCATCAGCCCATGTGGAGACCCCACCAACCTGAGAAATATAATGAACTTACAGGACTCTCGATCTGAATGATCACCGCGATGTTCTTGTCCGCTACGCGCTCGTGGGAGGATCCTGGTGGTGCCACATCTGTAACTCCAGGGACTAGCACTGTTGGAGCCAGGGACCGGTCACCGTCAGAGTATGCATAACGGCACTTGCGGACGGCTTCGGCGGCTTGCTCAGGTGTATCAATGTGCGGGAAAATTATGCCCCCGGCTCCTATTTTAAAAACGCCGGTTGAGTAAGCTTTTAGAATTCTTAACTGATAGCTCAGAACCAGACTTACCCGCGTCCAGAGCATATGTTAGTAGATGTGATTGAGCAGACGGCACTCGACAGATCGGGATGGTCCTTCCCTCGCTAGCCAGGCTAACGGTTTGGATTAGGCGAACAAGGTTTTCAGCTTCAACGGGTCTGCACCGCCGTTACAGTTTGTACTGGTTAGACCTTGGACAGAAAATGGGGTCCGTTAAGTACAGAGATGGACAAACGTATGTTGTGCATCAATCATGACAAAGTCGTAACCCAGGACTGCCAGCGTGCGCGCTGAGATGGTGTGTGGAATAGAGACAATGGTGCCTAATAAATGCGTAGGTCTCCCAGAGGACGGGTTCATAGTGTCCTCCAGGGCCTTCGCCAAGTTGGAAGGTTGGAACAGCGACGCCGCACGGTAGTCTTCCATATTGCTTAGCATGCGATGCACTTCAAGAGATAACGTGTAATATGCGCCTGCAGTTCCTCACTGAATGATTTATACTTCTATTATACTTCTGTTGCACTTCGCGGATTGGGAAGGAGGGTTGCATTCGTCTTGGACAATTAGAGGTCTCTACTAGTCATCCCATACACAACAATAGAGCACGTCATCTCAGAGCTCGACCATCTCCTATAATTACTTCTGAAAGGTAAAAGTCATTCTGGTCTATAGCTGAAGTCTGCACTGCACTATGTAACGTCAATGCGAGGGTGATAGGGGTAAGTGGCGGCCATTGTCCGAAAGCGGAAACTAAGTTGTCGGAGTCGACAAGGTGATGACTGCTATAAATCCACATTAGGCATATCTAATTTGTCATTAATTTACAACCCGAAAGTGCCTGAGATGTTAGGCCCTTCTAGCCCCTAGAGACTGCTTCCTCCCACAGCAAAAATTACATGTAGGAGAGGAATGCAGAAGGGCGCAGTCGCTGTTAACAGCTTGCCAGATTGAACAGGACAGCCATTGAGACAGAACCTTATAACGAGTTCCATTTATATTACAGATACGGATATGATACAATATATATTCAAAATATGCCATCATCAATTTGCACATAACGTAGTCGCATATTAGCGCCTTGGGATTAGGGTTCGGTCCTCGGAGACAACCTTGTCTTGTGGGGCCCGGACCGCCGGAATGAGCAAAAGTCTGAGATGAAATGCATAGAATCATCCCATGGATCTGCATTTGTTCTCTTGCTTATTGTTGTGCAGCCCTTTTTGGCCACCCTTTACAATGGAGCTAGAGTTGTATTTAGTCTGGGTTTAGTTCCAAACCTTGCAATCCACCACTAGACTGTTATCAATCCCATTGACGTGGATGGTGGCGAATGCCGCGAATCTCCCAGACAACCATGATTGTGGTGGATCTGATATTGATAATGTGAAGTGCCCGGAGGATGAGGGGCTGTCAGCCATATCTTACCACTATCGAATCCGGAGAGTATCGGATATCAATATTTAGCTGAATTCTGGCTGGGCCAATCAGATCGCTGGATTCTACCATGGATTCAACTCACCGGATTAAGAAGATTTTACAGAGTTTTCATTTAGTCGATTATAAGTAGTTAGTTAGATATCTAGATTGCCAGAAATCAGACCTTCATTCATACCGTTTACTAGCGATTACCATAGATTCGCTATCAACGGGGATCGGTTGACAGGGGCTTTTCTACCACCAGAGTGGCCGACAGGAATGACAATGCCCTGCCAAATATGAGAAATGAGCTCTCATTGGCCTATCATAAAGGGAGTGAAGTACGTTAAGGTGGTTGAGTTCGTATTTGTGGGTCAAGCAGTGCAGCTATGACTTTTCAATATATATACGGATACAGCATGGACCTACCCTGCTGGATTCAATCACTACTTGTCTTTAAATATTGATAGAATGTCTCGGCCAATAGATGCTTTTCCGGAAGAGATATTAATCCAGATCTTAACATCTCTGAAGCTCACGTCAAACCTGCAGTTCCCCAGACGTATTCTCACCTGTATGTTGTTGCATCTTCCACAAACATGCATCAACCTTGAGATTACCATCTGCGGGCCCGAGGAGCAAACCAATTGCAGTTCAGACGATTTCTGTAAGACTCTTTCTGTAAGACTCTGGGACAGATTCTTCCTCGTCTGCGACATCTTCGTCTTCAAGTTGCTCGTGTCTGTCCGGAGTTTCTAGGGGAAGCCGCCTTGGGAAAATACGGTACAGGTGACTCTGTCTGCATCCAGGTGTTCAAACCCTGTTATGCTCCCAATCTGAACTAAATGCGGCAGACGTGGACAGTCCCTTGTATTCCAGCACCCTTTGGGTATTGCATGGCTTGGGTGCTGTTTAGCTTGCACTCCCAAGGCATACTTACGAGTATGCGGCATGGAAACAGCACTCTTGAATCTCTGTCGGCTCTGATGAGACATACTCGAATGAAACTGTTGAGCCATGCATTCAAACTTGCATTGATCGGTCGTCGCTAAGTAGAATAATGCCCATGTCCAGAAGCGAGTCACATGACTGGCACATCCCCATCCCCCATTTTGTCCGAGCTGAACCTCGTCACTACTTTTCAAAATTGACCACGATTCTGCCCGCAACCTCTCCCCTTCGCAGCTTTTCAACAGCCTCCGGTAACCGATCGATGGGATACACCTCACAAATCTGCTTCAGCATCCCTCGTCGCGCAAAGTCCAGCGCAGCCGCCGTATCCCTTCGACTCCCCACCAGCGTCCCCCTAATCGTCAGGTTCTTGAAAATGAACCGGTTGGGATCATCGCCAACAACCATCGTCTTGGCCGGCGCCAGCCCAATGCACATGACAACCGCCCCGATCCGGTCTCCCACAAACGACAGCGCAGTCCGATAAGCCGCCGGCGCCGTGACAAACACCCCGTGCGCGCCGATCCCATCGGCGGCAGCCACCACAGCAGCAGTGGTGTCGTCCGTCTTGGCGAAGTCCACAAAGGCCTCCGCGCCCATTTCCATCGCCAGCGCGCGCTTCGCTGGCCCCGTGTCCACCACGATCGGTCGCATCCCCATCGCCCTCGCGAGCTGCACACCCTGAATCCCCACACCACCACCCCCACCGGGGAAAACAGCCCAGTTCCCCGGTCGCAGCCCCGACTCCACCAAGGATCGATAGACGGTCGACGCGCTGCACATAATCGGGGCGGCGACCTCGTCGGGGACACCGTCGGGGATGGGGGAGGCGTAGCGGGCAGGCGAGACGAGGTATTGCTGGTATGTGCCTGCGGTCATCAATCCCGTGTGCACGGCCGTCCGGCAGTACGTCTCCTTGTCGCCCCAGCACAGCTCGCATGACCCGCATGTATCCGTCAGCGGCTTGATGCCCGCGCGATCGCCGACCTTGAAGTTCCGAACATTGGCGCCCGTCTTGACGACGATGCCTGCGCCTTCGTGACCGGGCGACCGGACACCGAAAAACGACATGGGCGGCGTGCCGAGGTCGTTTTTCATCATGTGGATGTCGGAGGAGCAGAGGCCGGTGACGTTGAGGCGGATGAGGATGTCGTCGGGGCCTGCCGGTCAGTCTCTTGTCATCTATATGGACGAGGGACACACCTGGTTCTGGCACGGGGACCATTTCCACCTTGACTTGAAAGTCGGGGCCTTCATTGACGACCACCCCGGCTTTGCAGTGAGTCGGGATGTCGTAGATTTTTGAGTCCATATTGCTGTGTAGATATAGATGTAGAGGTAAACGTATTCGCACTGTCTCAATTCTCTTCCATCTACTGTGATTTATGGAAAGGCATCCGAGCCAGTGCGGAACCGTCCCGCGTATGACCCCTCACCTCGGCATCATCATGTCTGCTATATACCGGGTGTTTATTCTACGTCCAGTATTTTAGTATCTGGAGAGATAATGTAGTGGAATGTATCCGCAGTCTACATATCATACTAAATGAGGAAGGGCATTACCGAGGCATCTTGATATTGTATTTCATGAGATAGGTAGGGTTATAGGTTTTATAGTTATTATCTACTCCTACGAGAAATAGCAATATGGTTCATGTCTGTACAACGGTCCTCTAATGGGTTACTCTGGTCATTTGGTACTTTGACCTCATTGGATACAGCTCTATTATCTGAGCTATTTTATATAAGACCTTGATTCTGATTTACTGATTGTGTGCGATTATAAGTGTTTGCAGCGGGAATATGTCTCCGATATATATTAGTCGACGTTCTTCTATGATACAATGTGCAGACACATAGGCCATTCACGAATGAATATGTCCAGATAACCCTTATAGTTGTCCTAATCAACTACTCCAGTCATTCCAACAGCCTAGTTGGCCTGTATATTGCAAAATGGATAAACAGTGTATATACAAGAGTATCCTGTCGTTATGTATATACAAAGGAACCCGCCAAGAGAACGACGAAGAAATAGCTGCTAATCCACGCATACACAAAGCAACCCTACTTCGGACTGCCGCCGACTCTTACGAATGCGACGCCCTAACCTCAGTCACACAGATAATCCCCTCCCCTTCAGACGGCAGGATACGCCCCTCACTCGAGTTCCTCCCCTCGCCACGGGGGTACGTCAGCGACCCTCTCTTCTGCGCCTTGGCCCCGACATCGGAATTGCCGCTACCCAGCGTCTGCAGCTAGGACTGGTTCTACCGCGACAGGGAGCGCAGTTTGTGCCGCGTGCCGCGGGAGTAGTTTCTGTGCGGGAGTGGGAGTGGGAGTGGGAGCGGAAGTGGGAGTCGGAGCCTTGCGAGCCATAGCTGCCCTGGACTTGTTTGAAGAGAGGTTTTAGGTTGGGGAGGCTGCCGGCGATTATGCTTGTGTTGCATTCGACGCTGTCGGGTCTGTTAATGCGTGCTTGCTAGAGGACAAGGAAGAGAGAGAGAGAGAGGGATGGGAACGCACACAACCCAGATGGTGAGATCGGCGTAGTCCCAGAGGAAGTCGCCGGTGCGGCCGTAGTTGGGGAGGATGGATAGTTTGACGAACGCCGCGGCGCGGGCACTGGGGCCATTAGTGCGCTCTTTAGAAGATTGTGAGTCGCTTACAATATCCCCAGTCCCAGGATGCAGACTAGAGATGCCTTTACACGGCGGTTGACCTGGAGATGGCTGTTTCTTGTTAGTTGGTTGCAGGTAATAGGCGAGAGAATACCGGAGCATGAAAGCGGGCAGTATGGCGAAGATCAGGTTGGTCAGGATATTCAGAGCTGTGGATGTCAGCTTGGTAGGAGCATCTCTGCCTCATGACATACCGGTGTTTGTGTAGCTCAGTTGCAACAGTTGCGTCGGATTGAAACAATTTGACTTGACGCTTGGGTCCCATATTGACCGGATATTTTGGCATTGGAACGTGAGTGTCTAAACCGTTCGACTGGCTTCGAACAAGCAGAGACACTTACGGGATCCGGCCTTCTGGCTGCATCATGGGATGATCGACCGCGTGTGGTCGATCTGGCAGGCTTTGGATGTCAAGAACAGGCAGTATGCTATCTCGGGGACGGGCACGTTCCTGAATTTTCCGGCGTCGTCTGACACGACGCTCAGTACGATGGTGGATCTTGGGTATGCCAATGGAGGGCCGATTGCCATGCAGGATCTGATGATACGACTGCGGGGCGTTTTTGCTATGTTTATCTGTAGTGCGTCATACTCTGTAACACAATGCGACACTAGATGTAGTCACCTTTATATCACTTGATCCAGGGGTACCTTTGCAAAAAGGCTTCATCTTCACTCTCCCATGGCGAAGGATCCCCGATTGATCTGTAGACAAGTGTTTATATAGAAGCATCGGGTTGTACCAACGCTGGTTCGGGACTTGGTCGGGGATCTGTTACCATCTTCCTACGTCATCTATATAATGACGATCTCCAACAATCAGACACCATCTGCTCCACTCACCCGCACAACATGGCTACATACGACGCCCTGATCATCGGCTCCGGACCGGCCGGTCTCTCCATCGCTCTGGGGCTAAGCCGTATCCACCGCCGAGCCGCCATCTTCACCAAACCCGGCGGCGCAGGCTTCCGCAACGCAGGGGTCCACGAGATGCACAATGTCCTGGCACAGGATACCACCCCGCCAGCGGAATTCCGGCGCATCGCAACAGAGCAGATCAAGGCGTACGGGACGGTCGACTTCCTCGAGGCGGAGATCGTCGCCATGAAAGCATACGCCCAGGACGGCGCAGCCAATACCTTCCACGTAACGGCCGCCGATGGCCGGACCTTGCAGGGCCGGAAGCTGGCGTTGGCAATGGGGTGCATCGACGTGTTCCCTGAGATAGAGGGGTATGCGGAGAACTGGCCGCAGAATATGTAAGCTAGCTGCAAGCTACTTTGCCTCTCTCCTGACGATGGCGCTAATCCCCGCTAGCTTCCAGTGTCTGTTTTGCGATGGGCATGAGCGAGCGCATCTGCCAGGGGGATATTGACTTTCCCGCAGCCGATGTATGCCCACTTGGCGCAGATGATGCTTCTCCTTGTGACGCCTACGTCTGGGCCAGTGACTATCTTTACGGACGGGCCGGCGGCAGACGATGAGGCGACGAAGGCTGCAATGGAGAAGGTCAACGCGCTGCAGTGTAGAGTTGAAACAAGAAGAATTCTCCGACTGGTGCCTGTGCCTGCGCCTGACATAGGTGTTAGGGTCGTTCTAGAAGGCGGCAAGGAGTATAAGATGGGATACCTTGCGCACAAGCCGCGGACGATCCTGGCGGGACTAGACATGATTGCACAGCTTGGCTTGGAGATTGAAGACGACCCGACCCTGGGACAGAGCGTCAAGGTCGATCAGCTGTTTTCGACGACTGTCAGGGGGTTTTTGTTGCGGGGGATGCGGCGACTCCGATGAAGGTTGTTGCTAATGCGATGGGGAGTGGTAAGTCTCCCTCTCCTGTTTCATTTACCTTGTTGACAGGCGACTAGGGTCCACCGTTGCAGCTGGTATCGTGCAGCAATTAGTCGCAGAAGATATGGAGCTCCTCCTAGCAGGAAAGAAAACAGTTTAGAATCAAACCCCCTTGGAACTTAATCCCTCTGCCCCCTAGCAATAAACCCCCTCCGACCAAACCAATACCCTAACATGGTAAACCTCAACGGCCGCTCAAATGATCTAGTCGGTGCGGTGCGTGGACGCGACATCGCTAGAATGATGTTAGTATGTAGTGTATTCTGGACGTATTCTCTTTCTTACTTGAAGTGGGTGCGGTTGGTTGCTGTTAGGTCGCTCATGTTGGCAGGTGGACTGTGTTCTATACGATAAAGTGAAGGGGGATGGCAGGTCTGTCTTATATGTGCGAGGTGACTACCCTGGGATCCCCTCGCATATTGTCTACACATGACTAACAGTAACAAGTACTCATGTATCAGTCATATGATGGGATTTACTCAGAAACGGACTATAGCACTTCTGTATCCTTGAATGATGATCAATGCATAACTATATGCCTATACCTGTCCAATGCCCATAATATACATCCCAACGCCATACGTAACTCATGACTCATAAACTAATTTTTCAACACGTCCTTTCCATCGGACAAATTGCGCAGAATCTCCTTGAGCTGCTTCAGCGGCGTAGGTTTTGTCAGGAACAGATTCACCCCGCTTATCATGGCCTCGTGCTGCATTGACGCGGAGAGGACGGCAGTCAGGATAACAATAGCGGTCGCGGGACGCTTATTCTTTCGTTCGAACGCGCGCATCTGCCGCGTGGCCGTGAGGCCGTCCATAACCGGCATGGAAATGTCTGCAGACAGACGGTTAGAAACTGAGAATGGAGAGCGATCGAGGACGACTAACCCATGACGACTGCGTCGTATGTACCCGCCTTGAACTTTTCCACGGCCTCGAGCCCGTTCTTTGCCGTGTCGTAGGTGAAGCCGGCGGTTTTGACGCACATTTCGATGATCTATTCGCGTTAAGAGGTTTGACAAGATCGCGGGTCAAGTTGTACGTACCTTGAGGTTGACTTGGTTATCCTCGACGAGAAGGACATTCTTTGTTCCTTTCCGGTCATCCTGCCCACTGGCGTTCTGCTGCCCGGATTCACCGTTAACCGCTCGTCCAAGGACAGGCTCTAGCACCCGATCTTTCTCGCCGTTCACCCGGCCCTCGAAAATTTTATCCGTGCCCGGGGCGCGTCCTCCGCGGGCTGCACGGGCGAGGGCAGTCTCCGGGGGAAGAACTGCTCGATCGCTCTGGCTGGCCCATACAATGCTCAAAGGCGGTGGCTAGCGTTTTCGGGCTCACCCTATTGCTATTAGCAACGCACATAATTTTTTTGTGTGGAAAACACTTACGGTTGGGTGAGGAAAATGACCGAATCCTCGACGCTCTCCCCTAAGGTCTTCCAGCTACTTGTTCGGGCGGAGAGGACAATCAACGGAAGAGCAGGCTGGATCTCGCCGCTGTCTGGCTTGGGCTCGTTCGAGCCTTCGATATAGTAGTTCCGGTACTCGTGTTCCGTCACGATGGCAAAGTCCGGCTTGGTCGAATCGAGCTTGTCAGGGGACAGGACGCGGAGTCCGAACCAGCCGGAGACCATGCGCCCGAGGCTGTTGCGGATGCGGTCGAAAATCCGAGGGTCGAATCCCAGGTCGCCCAACTTGGAGCTGCGCGTGAATAGTGAAACCGTCATACCGCTCAGCTGCTCCTTCAACGGCGCAAATAAGTGAGGGGAGGGAGGACTGGACACCTCGGGTGGTTCGATAGGCAGTACAACATCGACATCCGTTCCCTTGCCCACTTCACTGGTAAACTTGATCTGTCCCTTGAGTGACTTGACGATTTGATGGACGAGATGCAGCCCGACTCCCAGGCCTGGAGAGGTCGTGTCCTCCTGTAGAAAAGCGCTGTAGAGATGATTTGTGAGAAAGTCCTTGGACATGCCACGGCCCGAGTCACTGAACGTCAGACGGATAGCTGGCGTTTTCTTGCCATCCACCAGCAAGGTATCGCGTCTCATCCGCAGCCGGATGAAGCCCGCCTGGGTGTATTTGAGAGCATTACCGAAGAGATTCATGACGACTCGGCGCCAGGCACCGGCATAGACACTAAACCGCCAGCTGTCCTGCCACTCTATATCGACGATCGTGATGAGACGGTTCTTCGGGCCGAGATCCTCCTTCTTGGCCAGCGCGTCAGTATCCCCATTTGCGCCCCGCCGCTGGTACTCTGCGCCGGCAAGAAGACCCTCCACAACTTCTTGCACCAGCACGCTGAGGTTCTCGTCCTGAAGAGACCCTGGCACGACACTCTGGGGCTTGGACACGTCGCTCCCTTGCGCGGTAGCCTTCTCCGATGGACGCGGCCGAGTGAGCGTATTGATCTTGGCGTAATCCAGGAGGTGGTTCAATGTGTCCAGCAATGTGCGGCCGCAGCTGTAAACTGTTTCAATGAGGGACCTCTGAGCGTAGCTATTGACCATTTCCTGCAGCAATTCGGCCGTGCCCAACAGCCCATGCAGAGGCGACCGCAGCTCGTGCGAGATGGACGAGATAAAATCGCTCTTGGCTCGGTCAGCGGCCTCCAAGTCCAACCGGGACACCTCGGCCATGACAGTGTTGCTAAAGGCAGCCAGGTACGTCAAGTCCTTGGGTTCCGACAACACTCGGCCTGGGTCATTGGTCCATACCACGCAGACGGTGAACCAGCGGCCCCGCTGAAAGTCCCAGACGGGATAGACGGCGATACATCGCGCATCCGGGAGTACCTTCATCATTTTCTTGATGTCCATGGTCTCCTGCTGGATATCCTTCTTTTCCGGCTCGGTCGACATTGCGCCGCGGCTTCCTGTCCGGGAGTAATTCATTTCATCGGCGAGCCCTTCGTAGCTCAGAGAGATGGACCCATCTTCCTCGATATGGAAGATCTTACCCCGGGGATACTGGTCGATGAGATGGTTAATGAAACTACCCGATAGCGAGACGTAATGGCTGTCGTTCATGCTGACTCCTGCCTCGGAGGTGGTCGAGGTATAATGACCGAGCACGAGACTTCGGGACTGCGAGTCGTCATCGGAAGTCTCGGTATCGGAACGGGACTCGGGGTTGGACATCGATAGGGAAGCCTGCTCCTCTGCGCCGGCGGTGTCCAGGGATTGCTGGCCATTGTAAGCTTCAGAATTATCAAGTTTAGACTTGGTGAATCCCACTGTCTGCCGCCGTGCGTACACGCTGGCGTCGATGAACATGGCGCCTTCGACGTCGAGGGCCTGGTAGATCATCGACGCCGCGCGGTTGACGACGGACCGGACGTTGGTGGGCGCTAGAGAATCCTGCAGTTGGCTAGTGGTCGGGGAGAGCGTTGGCCGCTTCTTGTGACTCTTTTCGTCGGGCTTGCCGTCTTCCTCTTCTTCGTCTGCCTCGTGCTCCTCGCCACCTCGTTGGAACCTTTGGACGGGGGATCCATGCTTGTCGTGCCCGTGCTTTGAGCGAGGCTCTGGTATTTCTTCGTCCTGGTCCTGGCCAGCATCGTCATCGTTATCATCTTTGCCATCCTCGTCATCCTTCTCATGCTGGTTATCCTCATGATTAGACCCGGTGACCTGTAGCTTCTCCAATCTCTTGTTCGGAAGAGCCATCTGCCCCCCGTATTTCTTATCCCGCGCATCGCCACTGTCAAACCACTCATTCAGATCCGACTTGCCTTTGACGAACAACCCCAGCGCCCGCACCATCCGCTCTTCACGGTACTCCTCCCGCATCGCTCGCTGACACAGCAGATGATCCATGACGGTGGCCGAAAGCTCCTTGAGGAGATGTGCCTGGTCCTCAGTGACCCCATCCCGCGGCCGATCATCCAGCACCGCCAGACTCCCAATAACATAGTCATCTGGCGACGTGATCGGCACCGAGACATAAAACCTGTTGTGGGGATGGCCCGTGACCGAGGGATGATTCTTGAACCGGTCGTCGCTCGTCAAATCGTTAGCCACGAATATATCATTTCCGTCTTCGATAAACGACTTGACCGCATGATAGCACATGGTCACCTTCTGGCGTGGCAGCCGGCGCACCCCCAGCCACAGCGCATCCGCCCGGTCGCGACCGTCCACCGCCCGCAGACTTAGATCTGGTGTCGCCTCCGCCACCACATGCTGCATTGTCTTATCAAACAGGGAGATGAGAGCGCGCTGCGCGTGCATGCGGAGGGCGGCCAGCTGCGCAAAGACAGTGAGGACATTGTCGCGCGACACGTTCGGGTGTTGTCCGATCGACTGCTGGGCGAACTTTTCGGAGTCGGAGAAGCCCCAGTAGGGGAGGTAGCTACTCTGAATTAGTCGTGCGTGGTCAATATTAGAGGTCAAGCAAAAAATTGATTACAGGTGCATTTCTCGTTCGCGAGCGCCCTCGCGGTTAAAAGCATACTTGCGTGGACCGCCTTCGCGGCTTTGGTTTGAACTTGAACTGGCTGGCGAGTCCATCTATGGCTGTCAGCTCATTGATCTAGCGGAGTGACAGGTAAAACACACTCTAAATTAGCCTGGATGGTGCTATCGAGAGCGTCGAGTCATTTATACTCGCTCAATGGGAGCAATTGGAATGGTGTGTGTTGTGTTATTATGTGTAGAAAAAGAAAAGGATGGGCTGATTGTGATAAGATGGCTGCAGCCGCTGGCGTCATAGGTGTCGCGCGATCGCTCGCAGACGGCGGCAGAACAGAGAAGAAGGCGGAATGGAGCAAGAAGTGTTCAACAGCAGATATGCAAAGTAACCAATGCCTATCTACTGTATACCGGTACCAGGGTACGATCGGCGGAGACCATAACAGACGATGTTATGCAGAAAACCGGAAACCAGCATCCCCTGCTTCTGATTCCTATGTACTATGTGCTCAGAGGACTCCGAGTCCTTGGTTGTTGGTATAGCCGTATAAGTTAAGTGTTTTTAGCAGATCAATCAGGATCTTGAGCTGACGTCATTAACCGCCCTTCCCCCTGGACGAACAGAGGCAGATCGACACGCCCAACTGCTGCAAAAGACGTCATTTCTGAGAGATATTTCCAGGCTGATTGATTGGATGTTGGGAGATGCCATCTTCAGGCAGTGCTTCACGTGTATTTCATCAACACAGAATATCCAGACTGAAGACATGGCAGCATAACTTAACAGCTCTAAAGTTGGAACAGTTCATTATTTGCTTAAATCATAATTATCATATAAGTCAGATGCACTATTCTCCGGCCTGTCGCTGGACAGCATAGGATACCTGATTGGTTATATGACATTCCGAATAGCTTCATGATAGCTTAGATAGGTAAGAGATGATATAATCTGTGATACCTAGGAATAAGCCCCTGGTAGTACCTTACAGGGTCGTAGGACGAGATGGTTGGTTCTTGTCTACAGAGTGCGCTGACAAAGTAAGAAGGTGACTGTCCACCAAAATATATAACAGAGCTGATCCATGAAAACCGGCGGATTACAGACCAGTGTTAATATGGATTGCGTTACTGTTACTACTACAAAACAAATGATAGTCCTGCATTTTTGATGAGTGCTTTCATTGATGCAAAGGAAGAAAAGCAGCCTCTCCTGTCGGCCAGACGGACATAGGTCATATATCAACTATCTCCGCTATAGCTCCGCAGTAAGCGTAAGCCGACACCATCTTCTGCCGCATATATTAAACAGTAATCCCCCATATTACTTACTCAATCCTACTTGAGAAAATCAAAACTGAAACTGAGTCGATTGAAGAATTGACAAACATGCATCTGATCCTAACCGGCGCCACAGGCCTGGTCGGCTCCGGTGTCCTCGACGCAATGCTGGCCATGAAAGAAGTCACCAAAATATCCATCCTAAGCCGACGGCCCGTCCAAATGGCCGAGGATGCTCATGACCCCCGAGTACAAGTCATCATCCACCCGGATTTTGAAACCTACGATCCAACACTCCTCTCCCAGCTGCAGGGTGCAACAGGCTGCGTATGGGCGCTTGGTATCAGCCAAACAAAAGTCAACAAAGAGTATATGTCTGCACCTTAATATGGAAAGAAAAACTACTGACAATAAAAGGGAGTACATCAAAATCACCAAAACCTACGCCCTGGAAGCCGCAAAAGCCTTCCACACTCTCCGCCCGCCAAATCAGCCCTTCCACTTCGTCTACGTCTCGGGTGCAGGCGCCACCACGCAGCCTGGCTTCTTCGCTTCACTCTTCGCTCGCGTCAAGGGCGAGACAGAGCTGGAACTCGCAGAGTTACGTCGCGAGACCCCACTGTTGAGGACGAGTTCCGTCCGGCCGGCGTTTATAGACCATGCGCACCATGATGCGATCAAAAAGTACACCCCCCGCGCCCTACGTATGAGACGCTGTTCCGGCCCCTGGGGCCTGTGTTTCGGGCGGCGATGCCGGGGCTGTGTAGTCCGACGGAGCAACTGGGGAGGTTTCTGACGGAGATGGCGATGGGGAGGTATGAGGATCGGTTGGTTGGGGGAAGGATGTGCAGATGGTCGGGGAGACGCCTATCCTTGAGAATACGGCGTTTCGGCGGTTAGCTGGGCTGAGTTCATGATGCGACTGTTGTAATATTGGTGTTAGTGGAGGTCGATTGTATATTAGAGTTGGCTAGCATGTACTTACCCTATGGCATTGACCTGCCTCTTAAGAAGAGTATCGTCTTATCTGCTGCGCGATTGCTCATAAGGCTGGGTAAAGTGAATTGTCGTACCAGACTTGGAGATGCTGTTAAAGAAGGTGACTGCACACCAGCGGTGCGAGGCAATGCCATCCCCGAACAATTAAAAAAAAAAAAAAAAAAAAAAGTTTTAGCAAGCGAACCACCGCCGCCATCACTCGAAACTGGGTGCTTTCTGCAAAGCCGGAGATGGAATCATGGAGTTCTTGGACAATAGCGGCACTATCAGCCGCCCTTTAGACGAGATGCGCACGTTACTGAACATTCGGACAGGAAATTGCATCTTGTGTCTGTCATCCGGAGCAGTAACTTCATCGCACAGTATCAAAAGCATGTCCGAGGCGAAGCTCATATGACACTCATGTCTGATGATCCGAGTTACACACATTTCAAAGAGATGACAACTCGCTTCCCAACCACCGCATCACCTACCGAAGCTGGCAATCGCTTGAGTCTCGACCTGTGTCTTGAACTCTTGAAGCCTCGAATGTTAACCATTCTACAAGATCGTATTTTCGGTGCGCTGGCTCTACTTGGAGGACTTGTGGAGAGAAAGCTTCCAGTCGACTACCGACTTCCCAATAGTGCACTCCAGGCCATTTTGTCATTTCTTAGGATTTGCGTTGGAGCTACAACGCCCTTCTTACACTGCGAAGTGCCCGTGAACCAAACATCAGATATCTAAGGGTCCATCCTGGATCCCTACTGGAGTAGGGAGGATTTTCCAGGATGGCCAGGGCCATCCAATGGAGGTAGCTTGGCAGGAGCGGGCGATTCAATGGCCTCAATTTCTCCTGATGGTGACGCCACTTATGTACGTGACAGATATTTCACCGGCAAAGACTGTCCATTCCAAGATTGCTCTTGACCATAACATTCTCTTGTCCCTTGAGACAGGGGGTCAGGGGCGGCTTCCTGGAGCTTACCCAGCAGCTATTGAGCCACTTGGCTATTGCCCCGACGAAGGAAGCGCGGACGGTAGTGAGGACTCCGAAGATTACAACGCTAATCTTTGCGAAGTCAGAACTGCGGTGCAAGACAGGAGAGCTGTTGTTGCACTGTTCGATCAAAGACAGCATCCTACGGAGTCAAAAGTCCCTGAAGCCCGGGCCTGGGTTCTGCTCCTTACTTCTGATGACGGGCATACTTGGCGACGGTGTGGTTGATGCGGACTGATGGATATGCAGCTGGGAAGTGCGAGGAAATGAGGAAGTTCCTAGTTGCGTAATCAAGCTTGCCGTCAATCATTCTGGGACAGGAGAATTGAAACCCGAGGGAGGCAAAACAAGAAGGGCATCCATCTCCTATGCAGCGGAGATGCGAACATCCCATTTCCTTGTCCTCACCAGTATGCTCAATGGAGTTTAGAGGGATCATCATGCAGCACTGACCCGCGGTGTCTACCGCTGAAGTTCATCTTCTTGTAGAATTGATACCCAATGTGGGTGAGCTGCCTCCGGAAAACCACATGTAACACGTCGATCTCAACTGTGGACGGCTAGCATCTAAGATGTGGCTAGAGATCAGTCTTAATTCATCAGGGATAGGTATGGATTAGAGCATAGATTAAGGCTCAAAGACGAACAAGGATCACAAAACTTGAATGCCTGGCAATGACTTTCGCTCGGGGAACTAGCCGATGGGAGACAAACAATCCCCAGCTCAGCCATTGAAAGGGAGCGAAATGGTACAGGACCGTCACAGGCTGAACAAAATTTATGCAGACTTCCACGTAGCGTACACCACGGACACTTGAGTTGCGACAGCGAGATACGAAGCTGTCGCAACTAAGTGGATTTTGCTAAGTATGTCAGCTGAACAAGTGGGCCGCGGAAACCAGTAGCATATAATAATGCAGTTGCAGTACATGGTAATTACTGTAGACAAGGAATAAAGTAAGCCCTAGTAGTGAGAATGCTCTCCAGGCAAAGGAACAGAATCCCAAATAATAAATTTCAGTGCGTTGGACATCCCGCACAGCTCACCTATGGATGAGCCCATGGACGGTTTGTTCATTCGCTGATGGACAGGAACGCTGCTGGATGGGAACTTAGACGGCATGTTGTTGAATGGATGTCCTCTTGACAGGATGCCCGCTTGAGTGCTTGTCAATCAAGGTCCATTAGATTACGCTCGAGGTAGTGCGCGGGGATTTCCCCCTGTTCTATGATAGGCATAAGGCGTTGAATTAACTCAGCTGCAATAGACGTTCGCACAAGTAGAACTGTCCACGAATATCAAACAGCATTTATATTAGGATATCGAATACTGGCATACTCGAATGCCAAAGACCTACTGCTGCTTCACAATCACCACGGGCCCAGAATACTCCTTCCGCCCCTTGACGAGGTACATGACGAGACTGATGATAAAGACGCCTCCGAAAATCACCACACTCCAGTTAAAGTTGTCCAGAGTCACCGATGTCTCACTAGGCCACAGGGACCAGAAAAGCGCAAAACAGCAGTAGAGCAGCCCGATGATATTCACCGCTAACCCGTATCGTCCCATATTCCACCGACGGGGCGGGAGAGTCTCAGGATGTCGGATCTTGCGGTAGATCACGCAGCTGATGGAGATGATGTAGGTGTACATCAGAGCTGCCACGTTGAGGGAAATGATTGCGTTGAATGCTGTCAATGATCCAATGTTGATGATGGAGAGGAGACAGCTGATGACGCAGGACAGGGCGATTGCATTCACGGGAATCTTGCGCTTTGGGTGAACCTTGGCGATCCAGGAGGCGAACGGGAGCCCCTTATCGCGAGCGAAAGCAAAGGTTTGGCGGGAGGTTGAGGCGTTGAACAGGATATTGCTGAAGATGACGGGTAGTAAAATGATTGCCGTCAGACCGTTTACTCCCGCTGTTGAGGTAGCGTTCTTGAAAACGTAGATAAAAGGAAAGCCAGTTGCATCGTCCAGGGCATCTTCCACGGATGGGATGGCGAAGAGGTAGGCAATCAGCAGTACGACTGCCATGACACCGTTGCTAAAATAGCCCCAGGCAATGGCCCTAGGCACATTTCGGCCTGCGTCTTTGACCTCTTCAGACATGTGAGCTGTAGCGTCGGAACCTACAGCATTATTAGATACATATCTTCGGGCGAGATCATGAGACGTGGTACATACTTAGAGAGCCATAGATTGCGGAGATTTGTCCGATCATGACGCTCAATCCCATGCTAGACCATCCTCCCAGATTTGTCCATCCGGTGATAAAGACAGCCTCGGCCGATTGATGGGGAGCCATGGCCCAGAGGACAATGACCACCACGGCCCAGGACAGAATATGCAGTATCATGAGGAGATTGTTAAGGAGGGGCATCAGATTGGCCGCATACACATTGAACACGTAGATCACCAGGATCATCGCAAAGACAAACAGCGTGCCCTGCCAGTTCTCCGCAACATACTCAGGATTGCGAACGCTGATTAGACCCTGGATAATGGTGCCGGTGAGAAAGGATCCCGAGGCGGATCCGGCTTGCCACGCTAATACAGACATCCAACCTACAGTGCAGAAACACGATCATCAGAGCGCGCTGGTTTTAATGCGGGCAGGGCGGAGCCTACCTGTAATATAGCTGAGGAACTTTTGGTATCTAGGAGACGCGAACTCAGAGACCCAATGGTACTGCCCACCCGAGGTTGGTGCCCTAACGATGCAGCAAGTCAGAGTTATTGACAGCAGACCAAATTAGAGGTGTCATACATAGACGCCATTTCCGACAGCGAAGCGATGATGAAGCCAAATCCGACAAATGTCCAGACATATGACCAGAACATACCCGCCAGGCCTCCGTTCTCCAAGCCCTGAGAGTTCGAGCTGTAACCGCAACCTCCGTCAGAATGCCCTGCGTCGTTGAATCGGAGACAACTCACATAAGGATAAACTCCCATGTTGCTTGAAGAACTGATGCAAAGCTCAATGCGGCCAAGGGTCGCAAGTTTCTCTTCCCAAAAGACGTTAGACAGCACCATGCTAGATTATGGCCGAGCAGTCACCTTGAGCTCTTGGACTTTTCCCATCCGTTGCATATCATTGTCATCGGACGCGGTCCCGGCTTCGCTAAGGCCCTTATGGTCAATTGGACCGTTATCGTCCATCTGAATTTCTTCTACAGCTGAGGCTTTGTTATGCATCTTCACAAGGCTCGGGCAGTCACTGTGAACCCTCTCAAATGAACAAATGGACCAACGGAAGGGTACAGCTATGGGGGAAGAGAAAAGAGCAAAAGAAGGAAAAGAGAATCGTTACCAGGCTGGACAAGGGGCAAGCTAGCGACGGAATTAAATCCTCCAATCTATTCTAAGTATTCGACTTCGGGGCCGAGATTGTCTTCAAATATGCGAGAGGGGGCCTATCACCAGATTAACTGGTGGGGACGCCGTCGATTCAAGGTCGATTTAACCGTGTCTGTTATCAAGAATTTTCCGTCCTACCATCAAGCTATTGTTGTGGATTCGTCGCCAGTGCAAAGTACAATCAAGTTTAATCAAAGAGATTCCTAGCACTCCCTTAGCGGAATCCTTGGTGCGCTGACCAAGTGGGGTGGTTGCTCCTCCGTCGTCAATATAGAGAAATGCATTACGACAAATGCCATCTCACAAAAGAGACTTCAAAATGGCTTAAGCCTTCAGAAAGTGATGGCAAAATGAAGAGACATGGACTTTCAGTATCAAACAATCAGGTGCTCAGTAATCCCGTCATTCTGATGCTTCATCAACATGGCTTGATGTGCACGATCTCGAACGCGCTACAGCAGACACCCTGGTCAGGAGAACGGAGACCAGTGCTGTTCTGGTCTTAGCGAGTAAGGCGACACTTTTCAGACCAATTTGGTCGGGGCGAGGATGCTAGATCGAAATTGTTGGCCAGTCATCCTGTTGGTATGATATTGCGTATGCAACACTGTGCAGGAGGCTAGACAAATCTAGTCCACGAACTTGTGTTATTGTATTGATAACGAATTTTTCTGACCCCTGCAAAAAATTTATCCTAGAAAGGGATAAACAGAAGAGACCATAGAAGGAAGCGCCTTTTGATATTTATTCTGTTGTTGGCTATGCCATGTCCTCTCCGGTGATCGTATTGAGCGTACTCCGTACATTCTCGTCATGTCGAGTCCTACAGCCTGGCCATCTGGTGTGAGCGCCCCTCTCACTGCCGAGAATAACAACAATCATAGCGCATTGATTGTTGTAATCACGGCGTTCTCTTTAGTGCTGGTGGTGGCCGCTCTGGCAGCGCGTGTCTTCTCTTCATATAAAAGGCATACCGTACAGCGCGATGACTTCTTATTTGGTATGGCTGTGGTATGTATTCAAATGGCAACTAGCATCAATAAAAGGATTCTAGGCTTATATTCACTAGATTCTCGCTTTCGCTCAAGTCTCGGTGGTTTTCACGCAGGTCCATTATGGCTGGGGGACTCGGACAGAGTTAACGGCGGCAGACACAGATCGAATGCTTAGGGTATGTGGTTATCTAGTGATCTCTGTCTCGTGATTCTCACCTGGAAGGCCGCTTATGCCGCCGACATTCTCTGCATTGTTGTCCTAGGACTCTCCAAGATCACCACCTCGATGTTTTACGAGGCACTCTTCTCACAAGTCCGGCATCTCGTGATCCAAGCAGTACTCGGGGGAGCGGTCGTCTGGACATTGGTGGCTATCATACTGCTAGCAGTGCGTTGTAGTCATGATCCATGGAACGACATCAGCGCGCAGTGCAAGGGGCTTGTATAATCTGACCCGTCCTCAGTACGGGCATATACTAACTGCTCAATAGCTTCCCCGGTGGCAAGCCATCACCGCGATGGACATAATCATCGAGATCCTGCTCTTCCTCTATTCAGCGCTAGCAATATACAAGGTCCGGATATCCACCAAGAAGAAATTCTTGGTCCTCTGCGCTTTGGGTTGTCGAATTTTGTGAGTCGCTCTCCGGCTTCCAATGACCCTTCCGCTGACCTTCCAATCTGCTAGACTCGTACCCCTCGCAGCGATCCGTCTCCACTATACCCAAGCGCAAATCGAGTCCGACGATCCAGTCCTCCGAGGAGCCTTTGCCACGGTGACAACCGAGCTATACCTTGCCATGAGCCTCGTCTGCTTAGTATCCGCCTTCCTCAAATCTTTCATGGCCGTCTACGTGGATGGAAATGGATTCGCGTACACAGAGAGTGCTTCTGCGTCGGTCTCAAAGTCGAGGGTACAAGCCTCGGCGGACAGTGTTACTCGCAAGATCCGTCGCCGGACATCTGCCGGGGTCAATCAGCTTAGTGGCTGGGAACTGATGGAGGATGCGTCCGCTAAGCAATCGGACTTCAATCAAGGATGGAAGATCATGAAAACTGTGCAGCTTGACATTCAAGACGAACCTATGGAGCTTGTAAATACCAAGGAGCCTCCGCGTGCAGCAGTGTCTGATAGGACATGAATGCATACATGGATTGTCAAGATCTTAGTTATAGGTTAATGTCAGACATGTCGCCTGGCAACATTCTTTATGCTGGCCTTTAGTGAACTCCACGCTGAGACAAATGCTTTGCATCCAATGAACAACTCGGAATTTTGCCCTGGAGAAAAGACTGACCAAGTCACCCCACAAAGGGTGAGTATGTACGTAATACGACAGCCGGGACTCGGGAATATACCCTAATCGTTCATTCTAGCAGACAAGGCTGACTAAAATTATCGAGTACGTATACTCCTTTAATTGACTTTTCAGGCTCGTATCAGCCTACTCTCTTAGTTAAGACTACTCGCACCGCCTTAAAGTCTGCTGTTTGGTGATTGAACGGCTGCTTCTTGGAACACGGGGGAAGTACCAGGCAGTGCCCGGCTAGTATACTGGATAGGTCCTCGCTAGCATATATGTCACTATATTCCCGCGGAGAATTGAATCAATTTTCAAGGAACCGGAGCCTATACTCTAGACCGTGCAGAATGCATCTGGTAGTAGACGTTCTCCGGATCGTAGCCTCCACCACTCCGATAGCCAGTTTTCCGCCCAATCACAAGTCCAGGCCGTCCATCACATCCAGTAGCAGCCTCGCCATCTCTTCACTACGAATTGCAGCGTAGATCCGACTGACGTAGGTTCCAATGGTTCGTTTTGGCCCCTCTCCATCTTCTTTCCTGTTGAATGTGGGGTGGTCTTGGATGCCCTGGTGAAATGGCACCTGCAGCTTGTCCCGTACAAAGCGGTAGACTCGTTCTGTCCTCTCGCTCAGGTATTGAGGAGTTGGCCTAGTCTGAGTAAAGCTATCGAGCGTCTTGCGATGGGAGTCCTTCAGAATGGCAAGGAGTACGTCCTTCCAGCGTCGAATGGGTTCCCAGCATTCCTGGTGAGAAAATCCCATGTCGTCCATGCTCACCATGTACCCCAGGCAGTCACCGGAAACCTGGGTACATTTTGTCTGTAGGTCTAAACGGTTCCATTCTAACCACGAAGCCCGAATAAATGACCATACTGGGTCAAATCTCCGGCCACTCGAAGTCCCAATATGGCCGAAGAGGTCGTGAAAGGACGCCTCGCATGCTGCCTTTGCAGTGTTGAAGAACTCCACTTGCATGGCCCGCAGGTCTAATGCCTGGCAGACTATGTATAGGTGTGCGGCACACATCATGGTCAGGACATCCACGCATTCCGCTGTGTACCGCGCGGAGAGAAGGGCTAGTGAGTTGACTGACTGGTTGCGCATCTCCGCAGAATGGATATTGCTGACTACCGAGTTTGCCAGAAAGCCAAGTTCCGAGCAATATGCGGCCATGTTGATATCAAGCCCTTTGGCTGTGAATGAAAGACTGGGGTCCCCAACGCACAGATTGGGAGACAGCCCGTTGTTAAGCACCGGATCCACCATCTGTTGAGACTGTGCGAGTAACAACTTTCCTAGCATGAGCAGCGCTGTTCGCGTTTTCTCCATTGCAGATGTGATGACTGCAGCTTGAAAATTCCCTCCATGATGGCAGGTGTTCTCTTGTGCATCAAAGAGGGGGTTGTCTGTGCTGGAATTGAGCTCGATGCTCACCTGGCTCTCTGCTGCCATTAGATCCTCCAGCTGCGGCCCAATCCACTGCGGTGCGGTGCGCAAGTCGTAGCGATCCTGCGCCAGGCTCACTATCAGCCCTTCCATCCCAGAACAGAGTTTCGAGCCGCAGAGGAATCCCCGCATATTGCGTGCTACCTCGCGTTGACCAGGGTGCGGGCGACAGGTCGATATAAACTCGTGGTAATTATTCACAGTTCCCTGGAGAGCCTCGGTGCTCATGGCAGTCAGGATCTCAGTCAAGACCGCCAAAATATGGCTGTCATGGACAACCAGTGCAGCGGCGCTACTACTTGGAGCGGTACCATTCATCAAGCCTAGTCCTTCCTTTCCCTGTAGCTCAAATGGAGTCATCCTAACACGCCTTAGCGCCTCGTCGGCGTTGATAACCTGGAAGTTTTCGCCATCCTTCGTCTTGACCAGGATATCAGGATTACCCTCCACCAAACCGCCCAGATAGGAGAGTGGACTTAGATCTCCAGACGCAGAGATGCTCCCACGGTGGGGTACAAGTGGCAAAATGCCGTGTGCAAGCGCCTCCATTAGAAAGTTTGCGAGTTGCATCCTGACTCCGCTATGCCCTCGAAGGAGGGAATTGCAGCGCACGACGACCATTCCCCGAACGGTCTCGTCTGGAAGACTGTACTGTCCTGCGGCAGAGTATCTCCCAGGCATGCCATTTTGGGAGTGTTCCAGCAAGATTCCGCAGTGCTGGTGCTGAAAGGCAGAGTATTGGAGCGTCGAGAGCTCGTTCGTCCTAGTGTAGGAGGTTCCGCCGACGCCAGTATTTACGCCTGGCTGCATTAGAATGAGGCCGTAATGAAAGCAAAGGACTAATACCGTATATTTTGTGCCCCTTATCAATATAAGATCGCAGAGTATCGACACTGGCCTGCATACGGTTCCTTACGGCGTCGGTTTGATCAATGGAAACTCGGGTCGAATGCCTTGAACGCAAAGTCAATTATCACAACCAGCACGTCGTTGCACAGTTCCTAGAACACTTGCCTGGCAATTGAAACCAGTTGGGCAATGCTCAAACTCTGTCCGTCGATTTTGACTTCATCGTCGCTTTCCAAGGTTGAGAGGAATATCTGCAAATGTTGCTTAACTTGACGTAAATGGCTGGCCATTTCTGGTAGAAACTAATAATCCTTGTCATACGTGAATCCAACTGCAGTGCCTTGGACAATGATTGAGGTCAAGTGCGAGAAGATAAATAGAGAGGGGCCCGCCAATGACGAGTGTTTTTCCTGGCTATCGCTGCAAACGGAAGGAGGCATATAGAGCATTATGACGTATGTATGTTTCAGACTTTTTACAGTGGCAACCTAAATCCTTTGCGGTAGTTTCTACTGCTTCTCTTCATCTTATGTCTGATATCAAATCCAATACCGCTAGACGGAAAAGGTTTCCGGACTATGTACCTCTTCATATATCCATAGCAACAGTAATCACATTGTGACATCCAGAGCATCCAGTACTACTCACCAGGCCCCCGTGCAGAGTGGATTCCGTCATCATTGAAGCGATATACCGACCCAGCGTCACTTGGAATCCGGACCGAGATCTTGATCATCAATGCTCTACATATGGAGATGGAAGTATCTACATGAGATCAGTCACATGTACTATGACATATGTAAGTGAAACGAATATAGATATATATAACCCAATTCCACAGCAGTCCTCTACCACGTCACCGTAGCCCTAAAGCCCGTCTTCATCCGGTCTATGATGTATTCTCGGACTCCAGCTTAACAGTCTGAGAGGCACTCCCTTAGCCTCCGGAATGTAGCTTTAATCTTCAGTACCATGTCTCAGTCTCGGTCATTCTCCGGCATTCCTACTGTGGCTCTACATACCACAAGGTTCCTGCTTAGGAATGCTCAAGGGGTGCAATCCAGCCACCCGGACTACCGTATGTTGAAATATCTAGTTAGTTGGGAGATCTCGGTCAGCCTCATCTTCGTATACAGAAAAATACGAAGCTTGTAGACCTGACTCCTCAGGGCCTACTTTTTGTACATTTTATACCGTCTCAACCACAGGATCCACATGTGATGTTTTACAACCAGCATTATTATACCTAGATACGCCTCTTCATTATATCTATCTGGTTATGTCTAAATACTCTCTAAATCTCCGATTAATCTTATACGTGGGTAGGGATACGGTTGTGTATACAAAGTTCACCTATACAATATAGGTCGACTATAACACTTTGCCTAAAAATTGTAAATTCATATTAAATCCGACACTAAAAAATATATATAGTTATTTGCAGGCCATCTAGACATGTTGAAGATAGCTACTTGTAAGAATATGGCTTCAAGGTTCATCATGATCCCAACCTTTGGGGTGACGATGTAGCATAGGCCGCAATAAAACACGCCCACAGCGGATGAGCGACGCGAAGATCTCCTACGATAATCCGACATGTCCGAGACGCAGCACGACCGAGGAAGAAACGGACAACCTTCCTGTGGAGATCATTCTTACCATCGGCAGTCATGTCCCTGACATAGACGACAGACTCCGATTGCTTCAAGTATGCCGACGTTGGCGAGTGCTGTTCCTTGAGCTCGCATACAACCACGTCAGTTTCGAGGGGTCTCAAATCGAGCCCCTGACGAAAGTGATGCTGGCCAACCTGCGGATAGGAGCAGGTATCCGTAATCTGTCAGTTGGATGGTGGCATTCATACATCGATTACCACCCGCAGCAAAGGGAAAGTGATGACAATCTGCAAGGAAAAGCGGAGGAGCTGGTAGGGAAAATTAGCAGATCGCCAGAGGAGCAGAAAGATTGGATTGATCCTATCGGAGCTGGAAATCAGGAAGCATGGCCTGCTGTTCTTCTTGCCTCAGTGCCGAATCTCGCCACGCTCTCTGGGCGATACTGTGTACACGCGCCGAGAGTGACGCTGGTTGTTGCTCGGGCTGCAGTCGTTTGGCACCAGGCCGGTCCTGCAGCGGCTAGAGACGCTTGATATCACCTCCGACGATACGAAGGACGTCTATCCGCACTGGCAGATTCTGCCATTCTTCCACCTGCCATCGCTTAGGGATGTGAACTTGGGCGCCGTGAAGGAATACAGAGAATGGACCAGACTGGAGCACCCGGCTGTTGCTTCCGGTTCAGGCACGGCGCCCGTGGAACCGCTCATTTTAGAATCCCACTCTAATGGAAGAAAAGGAATGGCGGAGTTTATCACCTGGTGCGCCAACCTTAAATAATTCAAATACCAGCATGACGACACAGAGGCCTGGGGCGACTCATATGTTGTTTTTCAACCTCGGAAGTTCTACAGGGCTCTGCTGACGCAGAAACATAGCCTTGAGGTCCTGCATCTGAGCGACAATGGCGACGTGGAGGGGGCTGCGTTAGATGATTTAAGCGAGGATGAGGACGATGACGGCCACGAGGCATATGACTTGCAGAATTCAGCGAGCTGCAGGATCTTCGCATCCGCGTCCAGAACCTTCTCACTACCATAGCCGCGATCAAGGGGAGTCCGTAGTGCTCAAGGGCATCCTACCTCCCAGCTTGAAGTCGCTACATATGTCCGAATGCTCAGGGATACACTGCGCAGTGCTCGTGCCTAATCTGCAAGGTGTTCTTGCTCATCATCAGGAGAAGTTCTCTAGTCTAGAACGAACAGCTCTCTGTCGCGGCCGGGGTAGCCGAACTCGTACCTGATCCGCAGAACCCGGGTTGTTATTTGGGTCAGATTCGGGTTGCGGAGTCATTCAGGAAGATGCTTGTGCTTGTTGAGGCGAATGTGTGACGGAGTGGGTGTAAAATTCGAAGTGACGCTGGATCATTTGTATTACATGGCCAGTGGCACACCACACCGTTTCTTTTTCTAGCAACTGAATTAGAATTCTACTTTTCATTGAGTTCAACGCGGATATCACCTCTCAACCAGACACAGGAGGCAAACGGATATTGTACAGCCAGAGTAAGATATGCGCAAGACTAACCCTAAAGGGCAATGCCAGTATCATATGTAAGACATGCAAGGTCCCAAGATTAAGTTAGCTTTGCGCAGTTTTCGGGGATCAGATTCTCGTGTCCAATGGCAGTGCGTGCAACGGTGGGTTAGTCGGCGCGGGCTCGGATATAAGGCTGAGCTCGGATTTGTAATCTTAGGCCTCACTTTTGATATGAGTACGTACTATAATGCATTACAAATAGGTAGCGAGCAATTGAGATATAAATAAGACGGATGGCCCTGCAGTCGAATGTCATGTCATCCTCTAATCAACTGAAATTGTCTCCTCATTTCCATGCATACCATTAAGACCGCATCTCTGTTCTCTCAATCCAAAGTACTATTGCCTATAGCCTTTCAAAATGACGCCCACCAACGCAGCGGCCTGGCTTTCCGAAGCAAAGAAGCGTCCCTTTGAAATAAGAGAATCACCCCTGGGCAAGCCAGAGGCCAACGAAATCCTAATCCGCAACCACGCTGTCGCCATCAACCCTATCGATGGAATGATCCAAGCGACGGCCTTCTTCCCCTTGAACTACCCGACCATCCTTGGCCAGGATGTAGCCGGCGAGGTGATTTCCATCGGTGACAACGTCACTCGATTCAAACCTGGAGACCGTGTTCTAGGTCACACCGTCGGCCTCTTGGCCGGACGCAATGAGGCCAGCGGTTTCCAGTCTTACATTATCCTACAAGATAACCTCGCCTGTGAGATACCAAAACACATCACCTACGAACAAGCTGTCGTCCTACCCTTGTGTCTCTCCACCGCTGCGTCTGGAATGTTCCAAGAGGATTTCCTCCACCTGAACCTCCCGACTGAACCACGCGCCGCGTCCACCGGACAGACACTCATAGTCTGGGGCGGTGCATCCAGCGTCGGCAGCAATGCCATACAACTCGCTGTCGCTGCAGGGTACGAGGTGATCACCACTGCATCTCCAAGGAACTTCGACTACGTCAGACGGCTCGGGGCTAGTCTTGTCTTCGATTACAGTAGTCCAACTGTCGCGGAGGAAATTGTCCAAGCAGCCAAGGACAAGGTTCTAGCCGGCGCAATTGATTGTATCGCATTCTCTGCGACGGCAGTGTGCGTCGATATTCTGAGCAAATCTCAAGGGAGGAAGTTTGTCGCTACTGTCAGGGACGGTTTTGCCCTGCCGCCGGATGGAATTCAAGTGAAGCATATCTTCGGGCATACGCTCAAGGACAATTTTGTTGGGAAAGCTGTGTACGAGGACTTTCTCCCTCGTGCGCTGCAGTCGGGAGCGTTTGTCCCTGCTCCTGAACCTCTAGTTGTGGGGACAGGGATGGAAAAAATTCAAGACGCGGTGGATTTGTATGGCAAGGGGGGATTTCTGCGAAGAAGTTGGTTGTTCTGCTATAGCTTGTTGAATATTTCTTATAAGTAGTTAGAGTGAAGAACTTGGGTTTATCTGTTGGACCATAATTCATCCATATGATACTGCGCTGATCATGGGGCTCGGTGATTCGGACTTTTCGGAGTTTACCGCAATAAAACCGAAGCACCAGGATTTGCTTGCAGCCAAGTAAGCATTATAAATCTGACGAGACCACACTTTGTTCTGTGTTCTGCTCTTGTATAAAGCATAATTTAATCACCATGGTGTACCTCGGCCCCTCGCGAGGATGCGAAACATGCAAACGGCGGAGGAAGAAGGTTGGTGACACCCACAGCTTATGGCATAGCTAATTCAGTACAGTGTGATGAAACTCGTCCGGTCAGCATCACTGTGTCCTACACTTTTTGTATACTTGCAGCTCGTTAACCACGAGCAGTCCTGCCTACGATGCCAAAAGTCAAAACGCACATGTGCAGGCTACCAAGAACAAGCCAGCCAGACCTTGATTTTCCAGCGGAACTATATCCACACCACAACTCGCACCGACTACTGGGCAACTCTAGAACCCCTCGCGCGGAAGTGTAGTCTACCAGTCCGACAACCATACCCTGGCACTGATACCCTGCCGGACGACGCTGTTCCAAAGGAGGTGAGTGAGGATGATGTAGTGGAATATGCCGTGCCGGCATTCTTCTACGACTTTTCCATTTCCTCACAGTATAGCACCAGCATCAGCACATCTGTTGGGTATCTCAAGGATCTGGAACTCCATGTCCAGCAGAAAGGGTTGGATTCGAACCTTGCAAAGGCCTGCATGATGATTAGTTGTGCAAATAATGCTCGAAAGCTGTATCGGCCGTCTTTCATCACCAGGGCAGAGATGTTGTATCATGAGCTGCTGCTGCATCTGGCAAAGGAGGTTGCAAGGCCAGGATCCATGGGAGAGAAGTCGGATCTGATTAAGCTGGCTTGGCTGATGGGTCTTTACGAGGTATGATTCCCTTGCACCTTGGCTGTAGCCATTGCTGACAGGACAGGTTGTCGTGGCTGATGAAACTCGTCGTGAGCAAATCGATGTACATGTTAGAGGGATAGCTGGGATGTTACAAGTCGAGAACTCGACATTGAGCTTTGTCCGTGGAGTATTCCCTTTTTACTCTCTTGGCCCCAGGGCGCAGATGCGAGTAAGTGGATACACGTATTCAACCTACTAAGCTGATTGTCTAGGATCCCGGTCTTTTACACTTCCAACGTTCGGTCAATAACCTGGGATTACTACACGATATCCTGCTTGAGATATGTCCACTGAGGATGGAAGCAGAGCGCGTCCTTGAGGAGTCGCCATTGGTAGAGTCGCATCTCCGTGCCCTCCAACAGCGGGCAGATATACTTAGCAACCGTCTAGCTCAGTGGGAGGACAGTGTTGCGCCGGAGGCCAAGCCCACCATAATAAGCCACGTACAAGCAAGCAGTGACCCGAACATTGAAGTCGGACGCTGGCCCGGCCCATTACACATGCACACTGACCTTCGCGCGGTAGCCCTCCTTAACATCAGTCGCGTTGCGCGATGCTACCTCCTTGACATTATTTTCTGGCTCAAACATATGCAGGCTGACACCGGCAGCGATGATAAAGAGAGAGCAAAGGCCGTCCAGCTCATCCAGGACTTTACGTCCTCAATCCCATACCACCTAGTCGAGGATTTGCATTCGTTCTCTGTGAATGTGCATCGTGGCAATCCCATCGAACAGCCCGGGAGGGCAGTTGGAGGATTACTGCTGATGTATCCTCTGTACATTGCTGCGCAGCTATCTATCGTGCCGGTAGAGCTGCAGGACTACTTCAAACGGTGTCTAGTCTGGATTGGACAAAATATGGGAGTTGGGTATGCCTCTCTCCTAGCTAAGGTGAGATTTTAATGTCCAAGTTCGAAGTGCCTGGTCATGCTGACTATCCTCAAAGACCAATTTCCACATCGAAGAGCTGACTGCTGGATTTATAATTGTCTACGGAGGACTGTTATGAGGTGTTATACCCTTTTCAGTCGAAAATGACGGTTTTTGGAAACCGAGCTGAATTGCATCTCGCGACGGCTCACTGTATATAGAGCAGCCTGTATCTGTCCGTGTGATTTCTTCCATTCATAAAATAGGGACATACCTACACGCCACCTTTCCAAACAGTTATTTATATAACTTCAGGGTTAGGTAGCTCATTTCCAAAAGGAGAGAGCGGGAGACTCGTATTGCGTCTCAGCCACCACTAGCGTGCCTCTTATATGCCACGTTTATAAAAGACAGGAGCCCTCATGAAAAAAGGCATCCTAACAATGGAAATGTTCTATTCCATATCCAGTTCCCGCAGAGTAAAGAAATATCTCGACGAAGCAACCAAAGGTTCGTTTTGTTCCCCTCGACTTAAAACCCATACTAACACAGCCAGAATCGGTACTCGACGACCTCCACGAAACACTCGCTCCTCACTGGGTAGGTGCTAAAGACGTGTGGAATATTTTCTTTCTTCACACTTTCCAAGACGGATACGACCGCTGTATGTCCACAGCCAACTTCTACATGCCAACGCTAATCCCACAGACTGGGACGTCGAGAGTTTCCGCCGGTTCCTTGCCAGTCAGCATCCGGGCATTGAATCCCAGGAGACAGTGTATCTCCTCGGCGATGTCTGCATTTCTACGCGCATTATCCATTCATGTAGTTCTCGCGGGAGCAGGATCGATGAAAAGGGGTTTCAGCGGGCGACTGCTCTCCTTGTCTTTCGAGCCACGGACTCACTAGGGAAACGGGAGCGGGGGATCACGATGAGGCGTCATTTTGCGAAGCGGACTTTCGGAGAATGCTTAGAGGGATTAGTGAACCCGCGCAAGTTTATTACGCGGAGAACCAGTGGGCAGTAGACGACATCATGGACGTGCTGGCTACGACACTGCCTCACTCAAGTTTGGCGCCCGCACGCGATGAGCTGCGAGATGCGGCCGAGAGGATACAACCTAGGGGTCTGGTTAGGCGTCGACTTTTTCGAGATGAGTTCTCCCTTTTCGTGAGGTTACTCCTGCAGCTGAGAGTGTGGGATGTTCAGGGGTCCCGCTTACCCTCAGGGATATTCGATGACGAATCGTCATCTGCTTGTCAGAAACTGGCGCACAGTATTGCGGACGCGGTTTGTCATGAAGACCAGACGGTCGATGCTGGAATCGTGGCAGATGTTCTCGTGAGTATATCCCTCGTCTTTATGCCTAGATGGCCCTAACCCGTACAGCCGGGTCTTTGCGAGCGATTCTACCGCTTCTGGGGCGTTATATTCCAGCCCCGCAGTCTAAGGGAGACGGTGGTACCGCCAGAGGAACGATTACCGAATTATATCCTGGCGGCAGTTTCTCGTTTGCTCCCGCTCGGCACGGACGCCTCCGGGTCGACTGATTGTAGTTTAACATTTCTGGCTCGAACGGAAGACCTAGGAATGGGCCATCTGCTGCAACAACTACGAGGCGATCGCCATTCACATATTCTGTTGTTTACCGATGAGACGTGTACAGCTGTGCTAGGGGCATATATCCCTTATATGTCGAATGATGAAGCCGAGTCACAGTCCAGGAGCAGCCTGCTAGAGGATAGGGGTCATTTTCTCTTTCAACTGAGTCCGAGGTTCTCTCTTTTACGGTCGACTGGGCTCGTATCATCGCGAGAAGAGCTGTTCTATGCTGAAAGCCCCTCCACAACGGACCAGAGACAGTCACCTTCCTATACGATAGGTCATGCAGAAGGAGGGGCTCGTCTGCGCGTTGATCCACAAAGTCTGACAGCTACAATGGTTGCCAAACTGACGGCATCAAGTGAAGAGAAAGCGATCTATACAGATATGTGCAAGGACCAGGACCGAGAACGGGAGCTCACAGTCCACCCTTCGCAACTGTATATACTGCGCATTGACCCCAGCACCAGCACGACAACCTGGAACAGGAATGGAAGCAAGGAGGGAGTCGGTGGAGAGGAATTGCGAAACAGAATTACAGGTTTTGGCTCGAGTAGCAGCGAAAGACCAAGTCTTACCATGTTGGAACGGTGGAATAGGTGGAATATTCGGCGTCAATTCTATGGTGGGACTTGCCCGTAGATCCGACAGCTGGAGATGGATGATATTGGGTCATAGAATGCTTCTACCATTTACATGATAAATTCTTCGTCTTTCTCGTTTCCAATTGAATGCGTAATACGTATTTCAAGCATGTCAAGACAAACATCCATCCAGGAACACCGCGATGCATGTAGCATTATCCCTCCGCATGCCCTCTGCAGCATCCCGGACCAGCTGGTCTGCTACCTGCTGCACCCCTAGTCCCCCTTCATGCCGTGTCTTGATTTCATCGATGATGACATTATCCCTCAGCACGTTGGTCACACCATCTGTCGTCAAAGCCAGGATATATCGACGGTCTTGCCGCAGATCTACCCTGGTGATGGACGGTTCAGTAGACAAAAAGTTGCCCTGTTCGATCGACGGTGTCATGGCCGCTAATTCCTGGCCTGTAGTGCTGGGGCCCGCAGTATCATTGTTAAGCGGGTTCTTGTACTGCAGATCTCCGAGAGCGCGTGACATATTCAAAGCTCCTATTCACATTAGCTTTGCCGCAAGTAATGCAAGCCAGCATACCTATTCGCGCAGTCTCGGACTCATAGTTGACTACTCCCCCCGCATCTTCGATTCTCTCCTTCTCCTTCGGACTGTCGGGTTTGTGGTCCTGCGTCAAGCGATGCTACACCCTTAGCTCAATTTCTATAGTACTGAGTGGGGGCACATACCACGGTCTCCAATTGTCCCGTTATATCACACTCGCCCATGAGGACATGCGAATCACCCAGGTTGCCTACCACCATCACACCCTTAGTAAGATTGACAATCACCAAGGAGACCGTTGATCCGGAGATCGCGAATTTCTCCTCCCCCTCTTGACACTCCTCAAGAAGCGTTTCCTCTTCCTTTTGGATGGCTTGTCGGATTGCATCCTCATACCGACCGGCTTCTAGCGCGTCGCCCTCAAAGAGGAGCTCCCTGATGTGTCGCTTTGCATGGTGCGCGACCTTCCTGGAGCCACTATCTCTCATTAATACATGCAATACTAATAAAAGGTGTCTGTCTTACTGTCCGTCATAGACCGCAAAAATGGCCAATTCGTCAGGAATCGTACTCTTGGGGATCTGATCAGGCAGGATTATTGTGTATTGATCCTGCTGCGAGGGTCGCGTTCCTTGCGCCTAATGTAGTTAATATTTAATGCAGCTACGTGCGTTTCAAGGATGCTTACACTGGCGCCTCCTGCTCCGCGTAGGTTGATGGCATGTTTGGATGACTGTGCATGTGCACGGGAACCCATGTTGCGCTTATGAATGGCAATAGGACGGATGGAAATGCCTGTGTAGCACAAGATCTATTTGCTGTCTACTCTAATATAATGCGCGCACCTTGATCGCTATTTATGGAAGCTGATGCTTGAGTGGACATGATTGATGACATCACTGGGAAGGCCTTGTAGAAATCAAGCTTCGGCTTCCCCGCAAATCCTTGGCTTTTAGCTTTTTGCATGGGATTTGGGCATAGAAGCGGATGTTGCTCTATGGTTTAGAGTCTAGGATAATAAGATTAAGAGTAATAAATATCCCTGTCACGATGCAGGTTACAATGGACTATTATTATGACATATTGTAGCATCTATCAATTTCACTTGGGAGAGGATAAGTTGGGTTTTTAGTAGAGTCCATGATCCTGCCCAAGATATGGCGTCACTCTTACCACATCCGTACACCAGTGGAGATCTGAGATCGACAGATCTACTAGGAGCTACCAGAAGGTATTAGCAGGGTATCTGTGTGTTCTAGACCGGATAGCTATCCTTCCATGCAAGACTACCAGTATGCAAATCAATAAATAGTGCATACACATTGGCATTGAGAAAACGTTACCTATGATCCCAAGACAATGACTGCTTGGCATTCGACCGCAACGTAGCTCATGGTGACGGCAGCGAATGCTGGAAACTATATCCTCCTATCCTGAGTGATGGATACTGGTAGTGACGACATGACCAGTCAAATCAGCTGGATAGCTAAGCTGTCACTCTCTCATCATGACTCGCACCTCCAGCTATATAACCCAATCCATCCCTGTAAGAAGTAGCCCATAACCGTACAAAATGGCTGTTCCCACTCGACTCCTACGCCCCTCCCACTCTCCATCCCCATTTCCAGATTCCAACCCTTCCCCATCGCAGCAAGAAGCGTCTCCGCCTCTCCCATCCAAATGATCGGACGAATCACCGACACGGTCAAGCAGGATCACCGCGAGATCGAAGCCTGCTACCAGAGGATCATCAACGCGAAGGATCGCGACGAGCAGACCCGCTACCAGAATCTGTTCACCTGGGAACTAGCCAGGCACTCCATTGGCGAGGAGCTGGTCGTCTATCCTGCATTTGAGAAACATCTCCCGGATGGCCTTGCCATGGCAGAGAAGGACCGGAGGGAGCACCAAACTGTACTCCTTTCAACTTCCTCTAATCTCCAGTGATCAAAAACTAACGACCACAGGTGAAACAAAAACTCAAGAAATTTCAGAACCTGGACCCCTCCAACGCTGAGTTCATTCCCACCATCAAATCCCTGATGGCCGATCTGGCAGAGCACATCAAGGAAGAGGAAACCAACGACCTGGTCAAGCTCGACCAGGCGCTGTCTCACGACGACAGCGTCAGTCTTTCCAAGAGCTTCGACCGAACCAAAATGTTTGTGCCGACGCGCTCGCATCCCAGTGCGCCCAACAAGCCACCCTTCGAGACGGCTGTGGGATTGCTGACTGCTCCAATTGACCAGCTGGCGGATTTGTTCCGCAAGTGGCCGCATGAAGGGCAGGAATCGCCTATGGGTCATCAGCGACCAATGGGCCATTAGTAGTGTTTGTAATAGTCTCAATTTTATTTGCCATTAGTTCCTGAATGAGTCTAGACTGCAGACCGTAGGACATATCGACATCGACTGGTCACAGTATACCTGGATATGGCCGGATCTAGACCAAGACAGGTATCGGCATCATAGATCACTTGGACGTCATCGGTAGTCAGAACCACATGCCCAGATACCGGAAACAAGATCTGAAGCCAAGTTTCCGGAAACGAGCATAATCAAGGTATAAACTCAATTAGACGGTGATAGCACAATGACGCGGTATACACTTAGCCCTAGTATAAACAGCACAACCTCACCCATTTAGCAGCCAACTTCAACAATCTGAATAAATTGAATTGAGAAGAACTGCAGAATTGAATTGCGAAGAATTGACCAATTGCTGAAATGTCCCGCACAGTTTGCATCACCGCGGTAGACGGCCACACTGGCTTCCTCATCGCCGAGCTGCTCCTCACAAACGAGACCTTCAAATCCCACATCAAATCCGTCACCGGTCTCACTTTGCACCCCCACGCAGAAAAATGCAAGGAGCTCGCCAAGCTGGGCGTCAAGATCGTCGCGCATGAACCAGGCCGTCTGAAGCACACTGTCCAGACCCTGCAGCAGATCGGCGCCGAGGCCATGTGCCTGATTCCGCCGGCGCATAAAGAGAAATTCGACATCACGATGGAGATGATCGAGGCGGCGAAGAAGGCCAATATCGCCAATGTCTGCTTCGTTAGCTCGGCCGGGTGCGATCTCGCTGAGCGCGACAAGCAGCCTCATCTGCGAAGCTTTATTGATCTCGAGGCGGCGTTTATGGCGTCCAAGGGGGATTCTTCTACCCAGACGGGGCATTCGCCCGTTGTTGTTAGGTATCTTCCTTCTTCATTATTCTTAACTTGCTCCAACAGGCGAAGGGGCAGGCTGACGTGTGTAGGGCTGGCTTCTACGCCGAGAATCTCCTTCTATACTCGGAGCAGGCGCAGAAGGAGGGCATCCTCCCAATTCCCGTCGGGCAGAACCATAAATTCGCTCCTATCGCGTTGGGTGTATGTTCTCATCCTCCCTCAGGTGGAATCCAAACTGACCAAATAGGACGTCGCACAAGTCGTCGCCCATGTCCTCTGCGGCAAAGGCAAGCATGGCTTCGCCGATAAGCACCGCGGTCAACTGATGGTTCTGACTGGTATGTGCGCTCAATAAGACCTTGAGTGCAGTGTGAGCTAACAGCGCAGGACCGATGCTCACAACCGGAGACGAACTCGCCAGCGCGGCCAGCCAGGCGCTGGGCACGGATCTCAAATTTGAGGATATTTCAGAGTAAGATCTGTTCCAACCACCTGAAAGTGACGAGCTGACAGTCGTAGGGCCGAGGCAAAGAAGGTCCTTCATGCGCAGTCGGCGAGCGACGAGTCGGAGCTGCAGTACCTGCTCGAGTATTACTCGCTTGTCCGCGAGGGCAAGACCAACTACATCTCCACCACGGCGTTCCATGATGTGACGGGCACTCATCCGCAGGAGCCGGTGGAGTTCTTCAAAGTGTACGCGGAGAGCTTCCATCCTAAGCATGCGAACAAGAAGAGGAAGATGAGCAAGTGATTGCCTCGTCGTCCAGACACGAATGAAAAAGTGAACATTGTCATAATACCTAGCTATTCTCAATATCTTCTGCTTCTGCAATATCATTTTCATGTCCATCACTCTTGGTCTCCGCACTCAGTAGCCCTTCCTGCACTGTAATCTCTCCCTCTGTAATCCTCACCCTCTTCCCGCCCACCTTCTTCACCCAATCCTTCCCCATCTCCTCCTCCTGCCCCGCAAGCACCAAACCCAACACCCTCCCCACAGCCGTCTGCTCCAAAAGCCCCTTCAACCGCCTAATCCCAGTCCGCCGCATACACCCCAACACGACCAATCCCGCCACTATCCCCAGCGTCGCAGCCAGGATCACAATACCCGGAACCGCATACGGAAGCCTATACCGTATCCGCCTCTGAAACACTGTAACCGGCCGCACCTGGTTGTCCTCCGCAACAGCCCTCGTCCCAACCATCGCATTCGCCGCGAAATCCGTCCACACGAGATCGAGGATCTTGGCTGCGCCGGCGGCAGTTATCGAGAGAGTCTGCCATTTCGCATAGAGAGCGAGACTCGTCCAGCCGGCGTAATCTGCGAAGGGCTGGCCGGCGGGTCGGTTGATGCTTAGTGCGCGGTAGAGCGACTGGGTGTAGAAGTCTACACCTGGGAGGTTTTGGCCTGTGGAGACGGGGACTGGGGCGAGCCCCGTGAAGGGGTGGTGGTGGGGTCGATGTAGCCGGGTAGGTAGAGGGATGTGCTGGCGATGGTGGAGAGGTTGATGGCCGGGTTGGTGGTGGGTGAGGTTGTGTTCGCGGGGAGGATGCCCCAAAGCGGTTGGACTTCTTCGAGGGTTCGGTCTGGGAGGTCTTCGACTGCCCAGAGGGGTGGAGAGGGGTAAGTCTTTTGAGACAGTGAGGTGATGGACAGTGCGTCGAGGCCGGTGCCGTTGTAGCGGAAGGAGACGGTTTTGAGGCTGGCCCTTACGGCGCTGGCGCAGATGTAGAGCGGGATACTCCAGGGGGAGTTCGGGTCTGTTCGGAGGGGAGAGACGCCGTCGGTGCGGTTGGCCGCGCCGTAGACGAGGCCGCAGCCGATGAGGGCGCTGGTGATGGTGGATGGGCTGGAGGAGGTGGTCCCGCCGCAGATGGTTGTTGCCAAGTCGAAGTCTTTCTGGGTGATGTTGTGGGGATTGACGGTTGCGTTACTCAAGCGAAGATTGAGGTACTCTCCCAGACTGATTGTCGTCTTGATGTTGCGATATCCAAGGGTGAAGTTCGCATTCTGCAGCTTGAAGGTCTGTCCTGGCGTGATATCCAGACGCGTGATATTCGTAGGATCCGGATCGGTCGCGTTGAAGTACGCCAGGGTAAGAAAGTTATTATACCAAGCCGCAGTCCACGCTCTCTGCCGTAAATCAAACTCCTGCCCGTTGACAGGAACACTGATCGACGGACGAGGCTGCGCCAGATTCGACAGCCCCCCGTGATCCTTCAGCACCAGATTAACAACATCAACACTCATCTCCAGAACCGGCGGCAGCTGGAACTCGATCGAAAAGTTCAACGGCACGCACTGCGTCTCCGGCTGGATGAACAGGATATCCTCATCCCAGGTCGAGCCGTACTTGAGTGCCTTGGCCGGCGCCGTATGATTCCTAAAACCTATCCCCCCGTCCACCATATCAACAATCAACCCCTCCACAGCCTCGACCTTCTCGTCTAGGATCAAAACCTGCAGCGAGCGATACGACGGCTTCGCATACCATCCCAGCACGCTGTACTGGTCCGTGCCATTGAAAAAGGTCCGGTACTGCATGTCGAAAACACTCGAGACCGAAGGACCGAACGCACTAGCCCCGTCGCGAAATACATCTGCCAGTTGCTCCGGGATAAGACTATCGTAGACGACGGTACAATTCTCCAGCAGGCCTTGCTGGTGACACGTCTTGTTGAGGCTCGTCCCCGGACAAGCCTGCTGGAGACCGCAGTTACGTGTGAAGGGGGCATCACTGCGATCCGGCGTGCCGTAACTGAACGCGGACGTTCCTTTGATGTAGGCGAATGGCACAGGCGTTGGTGAGCCCGCCGGCTCAATGGAATCATATAGGCCCAGTGGAGTCACGATCGAGGCGATGGATACCACTCCCAGGATGATCGTCTGCGCATGCCCGGAGATAGTCAGCCTCTTTTGCACGCCAGATACGGCGGCCGTGCTGGAGCCGAGAATGCTGGGCCATAGGGTAGAGTGGAGAAAGCGGGCGAGCACGTTCCTGTCTCAGATCAGTTTAATATCGAACACAGACAGATGGACATAACGTACCAACTGATGATCGAGTTCTCGTCAGTTAGGAAAGCGATAAGAATAAGTGGTAGAGACAGCGGGAGGAGTAATTGCAGGATGAACACGCCCGCGGCGATCAAGCCAGAGGCCTCTGCAACGGTGAGGCTGGTCATTTATCTCAGTCTCGTCACCTTTTCGAGAAAATCGTCGTTAGATAGACTTCATTTTGTAGCCTCAAGGCTAGCTTAATTCGATGCACTACCCCGAATACGAGTCTGGACTCCCTCGCATTGGTGAGGTGGACACGATACAACACGAGAACTAAATTACTTTGCCTTGGCGCTGGTCCACAGCCATATCCTACTGGGTGAATATAATGATCCCCTCGTATCCAGCCGCATTGGCCTTAGCTGCACCTGCAAGCCATCCCTGTTCCTGTCAGGAGACACTCGCCGCTCGAGCCTATTTACAACACCAGTCCCGCCACGGCCACGACCACTCCCACACCCACACCCATCAACGCGCCATTAATTCCCGTCGCGAGAGCCGCATTCGTGCTCTGACTCGGAGTCGACGACGCGGTTGCACTTGCAGTAGCAACAACAGAGCCAGAACCCGACGTTACCGAGGTCGTGCCCAACCCCCGCGTAGACGCAGACACGGACCCACTATTCCCACCCGGCAACGCAGTCGCAAGCGCAGGATCCGGCGTGATAGCGCTCGCGCTCTACTATCGTCAGTCTCCGTCGCAACAGAGAAGAAAAGGAAACATACCACTAGATCGCAGCACCCCTCGCCGAAACATACCGTCCCCTCCGAACAGCAGAGCTGGTGCTTGGGGTTGTAGCATACTTGGTCGGGATAACTCCCATAGCACCATTTCAGGGACGGGTAAAGGCCGTTCTCGGAGCAGCACTCTTCGTTGGTTTGCTGTGGTGTGCAGGTTGTGCCAGATGACGAAGCGGAGCCCGTGGGGAGGGGGAGGAGGCCGTCCGTTCCTGGGGTTCCCGTTCCCTTTTGGTCGTCAGTATGCGTAGTGAATTAGGCAAGGGTAGGGGGTACCAGGGCGCCGCAGCAGGAGTTATCTTTTGCTACGCAGAAATCTAGATCTGTTAGTACTGATAGAATATGTCGATGGAAGGGAGAAGATATACAGCCGCCTTTGCAGCATTGCTGCGCCTTTTTTGGATTGATGCAGCCTGCATTGTCGCAGAGGATGTTGCCTGGGCCGTAGCAGTCAGAGCAGGTATTTTTGGCGGTGCAGTTGCCCTTGGAGTCGCGAGCGAGGAGGGAGACATGGCCGGGGAGGGGTTTGTGCAATGCTGCGAGGGCAGTGCTAGCAAGGAGGAGGAGTAGCTTCATTCTCTTTGCACGGAGTAGTAACTTGAAAACGGTTGTCGGGCTCGATGGATGATGACTGAGTGGAGACTTGACTTGTATATAATATGAGCATACCTTAGCTAAGGCGACATAGCCCAGTGTGCGTCAAAAGAACTGCCATGGTTCTGGCTAAACCTAGCGCTATTATAATATCTATTCAATCGTAATGTAACTGGTCACATTCTATTTTAGATTACAATTGGTTAAATCTAACTAGGGTAGAATACTAGATTAAAGACTAGTACGTAATCCTATGAGTTAACTAATATACACAATGGATCATTAAATAGCCCTACAGTACTAAGGCAGGGTAACAGAGCTAGATGACTAAGATGGCTGTAACTTCCGCAGTCCACAGTTCAGATGCTATCCAATTGAATATCTGAAGTATATCTGCCATGTTAGACAACTGTTGCAACTCCCCTTATACCATACCGTTGATAAATCCATGATTATAGGATGGACGGCAGTTCCATATCCTCCCGGATATAACCAACCTCAATGAGGGATGCAAAGTCAGCGGTCTGCTGGTAGACTGCAAACAGATCCGCGAGCGCTGTGTCTTCAGCTACGCCTTCCGCGACGGTATAGTTTCCTGGAACCAGGTCTCTTTTTTTATAGCCGCAGCAAACAGGAGGGGTGACACAGGAGACGGGGGCGGTTTCCAGGTTACCGTTGAAGGCCGATACACAGAATTCGAAGTTCCAATTTCCTGGGAACAGGAAGCCGACTTCGTATGATGTCTCCTTTGTTGTACCATCTAGCTTCTGCGCCGTATTGTCCCTTATACTTCTGTAATAAACGCTGTAGCCTGAGGCGCCCGATACCGCGTTCCACTCAAGTCGGATAGTGGTTGCATCGATGGTGTGCACACGCAGCCCACTGGGCGGCGCAGGCGCCCCCTGTCCAGCAATCACCTCTCGTCCGGCGGCGGGTAAACCACCGACGATGGCAGAGGTCCTGGTTAAGCTGCCGATCATACCGGTATAAGTAGCCACCCATACGCCGTAGCGGTGACCTGGCTTCAGACCCTTGACAATGTAGCTCGTGTCTATGGTGGGATATGTCTCGACAAAGGCGCCCTCTGTGTCTCTATCCCATACAAGCACGCCATATCGATTCACGTAGTAGCCCGTGACCGCGTCCCACCGCACGAGGAGATCATTTCCTTGAGGTTGAACGATAACGTTGGAAGGTCCCGGAGCTGTGGCAACCTTGGCCGTCGCTGAGCTGAAGTCCGACCAGTCCGACCTCACATCGTTGTCACCCTTGGTGCGGACTTGGTATTCCCACGTCTGGCCGTTAATCACCCATTGCTGCCAGCTGCCGTGGGTCGATGGGTAGACAAGGCCCTCAGACCACCAGCCTGTCGCCCCTTCACCCTGGCACGGATTTCGTATCCTCGACTATTCTCGACTGGGTCCCACGTGGTGAACAAGCCCTCCGGATACGAGACTGTCCGCACATTGACTGGCTTGCTCACAGGTCTGGGATCTACCGCGCCGGGGACTTGGAATTCGATGCCGTTATACCCAAAGTCTTTCTGCAGGACTCGGGCAAAGGCCTGGGCGAGATGGTACTCGCCCAGAGCATTAGGGTGCAATCCATCCCACCCGTCGGGGCAGCCGCCCGGGCGACAGTCGTAATCGGTATTAACATCGACGTAAGCGATCGGAGACTCCCACCGGAACCAGTTTGGAAGAGTATCCCGCAGGAGGATGTTGTACTTGTTCGTCATGTCAACCAGGTCCTGTCGGCCTTTGAGAAACGAGCGATGGGGGACGTTGCCCACGAGAAGCTTGATGTCTGGCTTGGCCTCGCGTGCAGCCTGGACGAGATTCCCCATGTCTCCGATCAGGTCCTCGGGCCCGTTGACCCACCAGCCCAGGTCGTTGAAGCCTAGCAGGATCAGGAGATAGTCCGGCTTGTATTCGGTGACCCAACCCTTGATGGTGTTTTTGGACTGTTCGACTTGACGACCCCAAAGTGCAGCATGGCCGCTGTCGCGGAAGCTTTCAGCCACTCCCGGGGCGTAAGAACCGCGGATCTCAACCGCCGGCGGTGGCTTCTCGTCCGGGAATAAGGGCCTTGAGGCTGAGAGTCGGAGATCGGCCTGTTCCCGAATGTTCCCTTCCAGGGGCCGACGCACTGGTGTATGTATCCGTTTTTATCCACTAGGTCAGTGGAGAGTGCTCCGTTAGTTTTCGATTACAGCTTATTCAGCACATGGTGATTTGACACTCACACCATTGACTGAGACGGTATCTCCACGTCCAGTCGTCCTCCATTCCATGTGATATCGAGTCTCCCACCACCATAAATTTTGCCTGCTCGTTGGGAAGTACGACATAGTCATCGGAAGCGTCATCAATGCAAGGAATCGCGCAGTCCCCGCCCCAAAGAAGACCGCCTTGGGGGGTCTGGCTCTTCACGCCCGAGGAGCACAAGCCCAGGCACTTCTCTCCGCCCGAGTATTGGCAAGCTGAGACGCGGCCCTGGGATTCTGAAGGGCTGTTAGAAGAGGAGCCATCAAATTAAGGAACAGTTCCCGGAACTCACGCCATGTATTGAGAATCATCTGAAAGCCTCTGTGGTAAAAGATGTACTGAGGATTGCACAGCCCCTCGATGTAACACTTCTCTGTGCCTGGAATACCACTCCAGGCAACCCTGTCCGTTGCCGTATACTGCACACTGTAGAGACCAATAGCAGGATCGCCCTGAGCTCCCTCGAAGAAATGGAGCGGCGGAGCAGTGTGCTCAGGGTCATTCCATCCGACACTGCCAGTATGGGCTGCGGTTAGCACATTCCCTGCCAGGAAAAAAACAACATGCCGTACATTACTGTAAGCACCCACTAATCACTCACTTTTTGTATACCTCGGATGTGGGATTCCCATGGTCTTTTCCATAAGTTCGGAACACTTCGTTCCCCCCGCCTTGAGTGCTGAAAGACGCGCGGCAGTTATCCTTGCTCGTCCAAATAATGTCGTCCGATGTAAAGAGCTCCAGTAATTGGTCGGTAATTTCCTCGATGGTCTTGAGACCGAACATGGATGCGACAAAAACTCCGAGGAGGCCAAAGGCCTGGTACACGCGCTTGTCATGCTGGCCATTCTCAGTGAGGTTCGTCGACCGCTCTACCGGGAGAGCCTCGCCCGTGTTCAACATCCTGATCACCTCATCGTGCATTGCATGCAGTTCTGACAGGCGCGCAGGGTCAGTGACCAGTTTGCCCCCCAATGGCCCAGTGGAGCTGCCCCATTCTTGAGGTATAGCCGAGGAGACTTGAGCCAGCGGCGAAAGAGTTAGAAGCAGGTTGAGGAATTTCATATTGCAGCACGAAGTTATACACTTTGGCTACAGCAGACGCCTTCAACAATGGACCTTCAATCTCAGCGGGCAGTTCCCCCTTTATATGCATGGTCCCTGAGCTGACATGCTGGAGGGTCCAACCCTCAGCTAAAAAAGAGCTAAAGAACAGTAGTGAGCAGCCAAGCCTCTAGGCTCATCTGTCGTATTCAACTCCTCGGCCCTTGCTAGTGCTTATCATTGTTCCTAGACTCCAATACCCACGTCTTGCGCAGGGCATAAGCATGAGTACCCAACTTTTATACCGGGATTCTCACATAAGATGAGAGAACACGACACGACCACTGAATGCTTGGAACCGTGCCAAGCCCTGCTCCTTGGCGTGCATCTAGTATAATGAAGCCAAGACTTCATCCCGCTTCCTGCAGACATCCAGTGGGGGTTCGATAAGTGTGTTGGTTTCTGATATCCTTTCACTTTAGCAGTAATAACGTTACCGTAGTATGTGCTTGGTCAGCAAATGGTTGCGTGATCAAGAGGTAAGCGTGGAGGTCAGCGGCTAAACTGGAGTCTGTTTCTAACATATCCCATTCAACTGGCTGTTAGATTAATCACGGAATGGCAATCCATCTACCAATCACAAAGTAGACCCCTATTAATTCATGTGCTGTATCACCTTATGCCTGCTTTCTCCGCTTCAACTCCAGCAGCCGATGAGCCGCCACATCACTGAAAACTTTATTCGCCAGCTTCTCAAAATCCACCTCGCCGTCACTACACTCATCCACAGCCGACTGAAGAGCCTCGCACTCCCAGCACAGGCAAATATGATACTCCATGCCAAAGTAGTCTCTGAAAAACAACGAGGTCTCGTCCGACTGCGTCTGCAGCACCCCCGGCGGGATGGTATCGTCGTGGTTGATGAACCTGCCCGCTCGTTTCTCCATACTGGCTTTGTACATGCTCGCTGAGCATTGATGCGTATGCCACACCAGGTCGATGTCCAGCGTTGGCACAAGCGTTGTCCCCGGGCGGAGTTTGAATAGCTGCAAGAAGTACTCGTAGCGGGTGATTGCTCTCGACAGCGTCCCGTGGACGCCTGGGCTGCGGATCCAGAGGTATCCGACCATCTTGTCGACGAAGACACGTTGGCGCTCGATTGCGGCGAACAGGTATGTTGCGTATGGGCCTGGGTAGGCGGCTGCGTGGCAGGATGTAATGAAGGCGTTATGCGGTGACTCCTCTTTCTTCTCCTGACAGAGACTGTCCAGCTTGTTTAGGTAGAGACGATTGTCAGAAGCCGAGTCTTGGTAAGCGAGTAGAAGAGAGGTATAAGGCTCAGGCTTTGGACTCAGAAGGTAGGCCAGCAAATCTGCTTCCTGGCCAGTCAGGCTCGTAAAGCTCTGCCTTGCGTCCGAGGGCAGGTTGAAACTCCAGTCTTGGTCATTGATGCATTGATGCTAGACAGTCAGCTTGGACTAAAAGTTGAAGAAAGGACTTACAATCTGGCCCCACGGAAATATCACGCGCCGCATAAACTTGATCCCACTGTTCTTACAGTACTTCCTGAACCATGCCGGATTCAACAGGGCAGAATGCCACGCGATGAGCACATCTAATCATTAGCTATTGCTCTGGAATAGAAGAATGACATACCTAGTGGAGGACAGGATGGCAACTCAAGGACTTTATTCTTATTCGACGCTAAAGTCTCATCCATCTTCTTCAACCAGAGAAAGAATCGGGCGACTCCCAGTCTGAGATAGAATGGCCATTTGACCTGCCGTTTCTGCGCAAACCTAGGATCTTTTACCTCGATCCTTTTCCGGGAGTACCGTTGTACCACTGTCCGCTTCTCCGGCTTGATGTTGAGGATCGCGTCCAAGTCCTTCGAATTGAGGACTTCCCGGCGGATATGGTTGATCGCCTGCAAGAGTTCCAAGTGCGCGGCACATTGCGCCATGTTCGGGAGGGACGTAACATCAGTCGACGGAATTGGATCCTTGAAGATCCTAGGATCGGGAACTTGTATGTCTTCATTTACGTCGCCAAAATTATACTTTCGAGCTCTGTCGGACGCCAATACCGCATTCAAGGACCCGGCGTTGCTGTGCAGCTCTGTCTGCGATGCAGTGCATAAGACGGCCATTTTGATTGTGATGTGCAAGGCCGAAACTTACTGGTTCCGTGTCGACTCTTAAGTATTCAATGGTAGATGCATCGTCAGGACCGATCAAACGGTCAGTTGACACATTGAGCCTTGCCAAGCGTGGGGCGCAGCTTGCAGTCATTTGATGTGCCTCAATCCGCCTTGACGCCCCGAATACGAGCATCACAGCCTCAAGGCTCGGATAGGCACACGTGAACTGCTACAAGCCGCAAGGCTGATCTGCTGCATCAGTGGATGTTATATAAGGTCATACTGCACTCCACAGTCATTTAATCAACACATTAACATACCAACTCATACTTATCTAATGTCGCGACTGTCCCGGTTATTCGACAAGTCTAAGCAGACTCAACCTGTTACCTCGGGAAACCCAGGCGACCCTGCCTGGACTGAGGTTGGCAATGCCGCCGATCACCTTCTAGCAGAGCTTGAATCTCTCTACTGGACCGGTGTCAATCAAGAACTGGACTGCATTGTTTCCACTCTCCGGCAATGGCAGCAACCCCAGTTCCAGCATATCCGCTCCGACGCAGACGACACAATGGTTAACGGCTTCGACACTTTCATCACGAATGTCATCCCGCCGTCAAAGCTGATACCTCCGAAGCTACCCTCCCAGGTATCCACTGGGCTCGACGTCAAAGGGCGCGTTGTGAGGAGCGCACAAGTCCGTGCGATGGAGCTCGCAGCAGCAAAAACCAGGACGAAGGTGAATGTCGATGTACATGAACGCCTGTTACAACGTCCTGTCGAAACAGATGCCGCTAAGCGACGAGCGCGGCTTCTCCTCCAAGCAGCTGGATTCTTGGATGTCGACAAGACCATCGAGCATTCACCAGCAGGAAATAGGCCCAGCCCTCTCACCCCGCAGCTACGAATGACCAAGAAAGGGTTCAAGGGGTGTCCGAGGGTCTCAGTCCTCCCTTGCAGTGAATGCAAGCGCGTCATCCGGGAGAGTATGTATCAAGCGAGTGGCAAGTCCACCCAGACAATCTGCGAAGATTGCTACTGGGAGCACCATTACGGAGACCCTGCGTACATCAAACAATACAAGCATTCCATTGCGTCTCAGGTAGACGACTACATCAGTAGGCATACTTCCTGCCGTTCCTGTGGCAAACATTCGAATGAAATTCGACGACCATATGGACTGCAGGGCAAAACAGGGGTGCATATGTTGGCCGACGCAAAGTACTTGGGCGTCAAGGGAGCACAGAAAAAATCAAGTCTTCCAAGTCGACCTACCCCCTTGGCGAAGGTAATTCACAATGATTACAATAGTCGGTCTGGCAACTACTCTGCCGCTTGGAGCTTTGGCAAGGTGCATCTGGTCGGGGAGGAGTGGCTGTGCAAGGATTTTGTGCAGGAGAACCCATGGAAGAACATCCGTGTGGCCGTTCGGGTTGGGCCACTGGTGTTTGAGAACGGTAGTAAAGAGTAAGTCTCGTCCGCATGTTGCTGAAAGTGCTAATGATAGCAGGAGTCGAAATGGGGCCGGAATATCCCTTCGCGATCCGATTTTCGGACAAGCGCAACAAACGGTTAAGCTCACTTGCCTTGCCGTCTGCGGAGAAACGGAAAGGCAGCTATGGCGCTATGCCAGCCCTCTTCCCCAGAAGCGGAAACGCTTCCAAGCGGTTCTGAAGCAAGTCGTCGGGACTCCTTTCACCGGTTGGCCGTCATCGGCGGCAGAGGACGAGATCATTACGCTACTGGTGAAAGCAAGCAGTGACAGTGCAGAGGGTATGCGCCAAGAACTGCACGACAAAGTCAAAGCGTTTCTCAGTCCATGGGCGTCGGTCTACTTCAAAAGTATTGTGGGAAGGTTGCTGGACAGCAAGACCAGACTCACATGGGACGGATTGACCAATAACTGCCAGCAATTCTGTGACTCACTGATCGACTGGGAAGCTTTTGGACCACTTGTCGCTCCGGCTGCAGTCACTGTCTCGGACAACGACCCCCGCAACCACTCTACCGCATGAGCTTCGTCTGTCGCCTTCGCGCGACACAGGATCCCTTCGAACACCCAAGCACCATCAGCAACGTCCCATACGGACTGACAGAGGAGTATATCCGCCGCTTTCACTTTGGCTGCTCCACCGGCCCCGATCTGATCGACTCCCTCCACGAATACTGGTACGACTGGGCCGGATTCAACAAACACCTCTATCCCCATCAAACGCTCTTCCCGTGGGACTGCACCGAAGCACTCCACCGCTACCCCGTCAAATGCGGCAGCTGCACCCTCTCCAAACACCTCTGGGCCTTCCCGTTCGACTCCTGGTCAATCATCGCGCTGCATCTATCCAGAGACAAGTTCGCGTATCCCCCTCCAAACTGAGTCCAAATCCTACCCACGAAACATCATGGATGCAAAACCGCCTCTCCCTCCTCACAGCGCTGGATACCCTCTCCGCCGGCGCAACAGCCATGTCCCAGAGCCTGCACTTCCGGTCCACAACGCAATGGCTGCACCTTCAATCCGACCCTTCAACCGATCGAATCAAGCTCGGCGGTATCAACCGCGCACAGCCATACAGCCACGCGCTGGAACACCGCACCCACGACGACTTTTTCGTCGCAAGGTGGGTTTCGGATTATAATCCTACCATTCAAACCTACGAAACCATGCGGGAGAAGCGGTACTTGCCGCGGACGATCCAGGAACGGCAACTGGTGTTCTGGGGTTCGGAGGGGAGCAACCCGCCCGGGGAGTATCCGACTTGGGCGGTTGAGTACACCCGTATTCCGAATGCGAACTTTTCGCTGTCCGTCAGTTTCAATACTGGGTGTGGAGCTTGTGGGACGCAGGCGACTGCGGCTGCTTGTGGTGCGAACTGTGGTGCGGGTTGTGGGAGTAGTGATGGAGGCGGGGCGGGGCTGCGGTGGCGGAGACAGCGGAGGCAGCGGGGGCGGAGGAGGAAGTGGCGGAGGAGGAAGTGGAGGAGGGGAGGAGGGGAGGAAGTGGTGGAGGAGGAGGGGAGGAAGTGGTGGAGGTTGATATGCTGGCGTTGGTATGGCTCGACAGTTTCAAATGTCCCTCAGAAACATCTCATAGGAACGGTCATCGTCTAATTTCAAAGTATTGCTCGAATTGAGACGTATTTGGTGTAATCAGACACGAAAATGAGGCGAGTTAGATGATTCAAGTGTGATCTATTTATTGCAAGTTGCTGTGTTTCTGTGCACTAGTAATTTGGAACAGTGTCACATTCATAGGTCTTATATATCTGGGGCGCTCCCACTTTCCTCCAGTTCTATTCCATTGTGCAGGATATGCTTCAAGGAACAGAACGGCAGAATCGCCATAGTCTTCTCAGTCATCTGACTCCAGGCCTAACTTCATACCTTGGCAGACAGCTCCGGATAGTATACATGCCATCAATGTCTAAGTCAACAAATATTCGTCGAAATATCTTTTACGACATCTCACAACCCTTCCAAAAGTGCCTATTGGTGAAATGTCCTTTCCAATATGGGCAAAGACAAGGACCTAGCTTAGCTGCTGAGCGGTAGCTGGGCGGTCGCCTCCTCTACTGTGCACGGAGGAACATACCATCAATTCAAGGTTCTGGCGCCACAGCTGGGCATTGCGTGTCGCTTTGTCGCTTCTAATGAGCCGGAAGATTTCAGAGCGTTGCTTGACGACAAGACAACGTTCATCTTTGTTGAGAGTATCAGCAACCCTAAATACACCGTGCCAGACTTTGAAGCTCTAGCCGACATTGCTCACTCCCATGGAATACCTTTAATTGTACGTGTCCCTGTTGCTCTTAACAGGTATATACCAATCTCCTGCGACAGTGCGACAACACCTTTGGCTGCGCCGGGTATTACTGCCGTCCGATCGAGCACGGAGCTGATATCGTCGTCCATTTTGCAACGATATGGATCGACGGACATGGAACCACTCTCCGTGGTGATATTGTGGACGGAGGGAACTTCGACTGGGGCCAACATGCAGATAAGTTTCCTCAATTCCGCTCAGATGGGGCCCAAGAGGGCAGTGGTGAGGTCAGTCTGTGGAAGACTTTCGGGCGACGGGCCTTTGCCATACGCTGTCATTTCGAGGTGCTCCGAGGTATCGGCAGCACTATGAGCCCTCAGGCTGCACAGCAGCTGCTCATCGGCCTCGAGTCGCTCGCCGTTCGATGTGATCGTCCCACATCCATACGGAAGCCTTGGCCGCGTGGCTTGCACAGCAGCCGCAGGTGGCGTGGGTGCGCTATCTGGGTGACCTGGACCATCCATGCCATCGCAATGCCAGCAAGTTTCTGCGACACGGATACGGCGCTGTCTTCTCTTTTGGCATCAAAGGAGGACAGAAAGCCGGTTTCTGTCTATGCGATGAGTTCCAGATGATCATCAATACGAGAGTATGGCCCTATCTTAACTGTTCCATCTTCCGGACATGGTTTTGTTCCTGGTAGAACACGGAAATGCTGACGCTGGTTTAGCCTGGGCGACTCCAAGACTCTTGTGGTTCATCCATGGACGACAACGCACCAGCAACTGACCGATGCTGAGCGTTTCGACGCTGGTGTCGCAGAAAACCATATCCGCCTATCTGTCGGAACCAAACATATTGAAGACATCAAGGATGACTTTTTGCTGGCTTTTAGAGCTTTGACGGACCACAATGATGCGGCATCGAGCCCGGCAAATGCGTGCACTATGAGGAGCAGAAGAAAATCATCAAAGCCTTGTACTGAATGTTCGCTCCCACTCCCACGAGGCTTCCTGTCCAATCCACTTAAGTCAGGAGACACCCGGTTGTTGTGTTTAGAGGTGGTCGTAGGATTGTGAATTTGATGCTGAGTGTATAGGATCAACACATAACGAAAATCATTCTCTACGTTGATCATAGTTACCAAAAAGCTCTGTAGTCCCAGCTGGAAGTTCAACGTATCGAGGGGCAGTAGCATTCTCCAGTCTAAGAACAAGCGAATTTATCCCTTTTGAGTCTCGAGTCACGTTTACACTTCTTGCGCGAGTATACATATGCCTCGACCTGCGCTAGGTAGGTCTTTCTATACCCGCATCATGCCTGACATAGTTAGTGTTCATTTTCACGGGTTGGATCGCAACTATTGCTGGAAACATATAGATTGGCACTTGAAATAACCGCTACCGATGGGTCTCCATACCAAGCCCCTTTGAAAATGCGTGGCGCTTCAACCCAGCGACGGCCAAGGACCCGTCCGCATCTATCAGTACCCGAAACTCAACAAAGACATCTTTCATTGCCTGGGACATGTCGTAGGGCTCCACGAACATGATCTCGTCCACAACGCTAGGATGGATACGGGTCGCTTCTGACGTTGCCTCCTCCTCGGTATGACTACTAGTGGTGGAAGTTTCCAGTTGCTCAGACAACCTGAGCCAGTTCTTCTGCACCTGTAGCACATTCAAATCATTGATAGAGTTGGGACTGGCGTCTTCGGGCGTCCGAGGCGCAATGGAGTCTACTGTTGATACCGAGGACGATGGTGACGACGATCCCGCTGACGAGTGGACACCGACCCCAATTATCTTAACCTGAGGAGCAAAGAGCTTGAAAGCTATTCCAATAGCCTCCAGTGCGCCCCAGCTCTCTCACTGCAAAAGACAGCCTCCAGATCTTGAACATCCTTGATTTGCTGCAGTATCTCCAAACCTACCGTTCCCATGCCGGCAAGTACGTGGCAATTATTCAACGGATTGATGTAAAGAGCTTGCTGTTGACATGCCGACGCCAGTGGAGTAATAGGGCCACACGCCGGCCGTTGCAAAGCAACACAGCCGAGTTCTTTGAGTTCGTGGATCTCGCCCGCGGGCATGTCATCCGGTACGATAATGACGGCTTGCGTCTGGAGCAAACGCGACGCCCATGTGGTTCCTCGCGCATAATGGTCTGCAGGCAATCAGCAATGGAGTATCCTGTTGAGAACATCAGGGCCCTCACCAAGTGACAGTACCACCACACCTCTCCACCAATCTTCATGGGATATCTGGCTCATAGAGTTGTAGACGCCTCGTACGTGCGGACCAAAGCCCAATTGCTGGTCCTCGCGCTTCAGGAAGACTCAACATCCTAATCACCGGCTCAAATGGACAGCTGGAGAGAGAGCTGTTAGCTGCAGATCCGTGTATACGGACGATACGACTATCAGCCGGGAGTACTAGAGTCGTGAGCGTCACTGTATAATTTCATGTCATTGGTGGGAGAGAGAGGGTTTGGGTACACATACATCAGTTGGAGCTGTAGTGAACATCGTAGCATGACTTTGACGTTTTTCTCTGGTATCTGATGCTTTCCAAGCATAGAGCGAGCGATGAGGCGCATTTATGCGAACTGAGTTCTTCAAATGTAGAGATGAAAGAAAAGAGAGCTAAGTATAATCAGAAGCTACGAACAGTCACTAAACGGAGAGTAATGAATACGCGAGGGAGATGGCGCAGTAGTGAAGACCAAATACCGATGACGAAACTGTCTGACAATGCAGCAAACTAAAGCACGGTCATCAGGGCTAATCTCGACCGCCGGTGACTGTGCAGGAAGAAAAAGTCTGAGACTGTCAGCTAGCGCCCCACGGGGTTAAAAAAAGAAACTCAAAGAGGAGAAGACTTTGAATAGCTCTAACTACTAGATCAGATCCCGGATACGCGCTTGATTGACTACGATGCAACAGCAGAGGGAGTACGGACATTGGGACAGCCCCCTTACGGCAGATGTCCTGGCCAAAACAAATTCGATTGGAAGTACTCGAGTCCATGTGAGCCATTATCCCGCTTTACAAATTGGAGGAGCCTTCTGATCTTAGCCAGGAGCCCAGCGGCCTCATTTTTGTCGATGAAGCCCAGCCATATGGGCGCAGGGACATCCTGCAGATTGATGAGTCCAGTCACGATGCCCGAAACATCCTGCGCCCTCCATATAATGTTGGCAGTGCAGTATACGAATATGGCGGCGGCGCGTGGATGGTCAATAAAGCGGGCAATATCATTTTCTATGGCGCTACAGAGGGCACTGATTGGCGGCCGGTGGCGCTGTAACGTTGACTCGCCCATGAATACTACCTTAGTGCTGCCCGTTACGAACCCCGGAGGAACCATGGATAGCGCCGCCAGTGCCACTATTTGCCCTAGCGCATGGGGCTGTTGTTTCCAGCAAATCGCATTGCCTAACAGAGTGCACAGGTGGTACACGGCATTCCATGTCATAAGCAGATTAGCAATGGATTTGGCTCCCAAGGAGTGAGCTGCACCTAAACACATCGTCAAGTCTATCTCGCAGCCTCAATATCCTCCCTCCGGATCCCACTTCGGTCACACATACTGCGGAAGATGCCCATCCTCTTCCACAACTCCAGCGGCGGACCTAACTCTGCTATCTCGCCCTTATCCATGACACAGATACGGTTGTATCCAATGATCGTTCGTAGACGATGAGCAATGCTCAACAGGGTCTTTCCGCGGAAGTTATTGACAATGGTCTCCTGGATTTTCATGTCGGTCTCGGTATCAATCGAACTGGTTCCTTCGTCAATCACAATAATCCGGCTGTCCCGTACCATGGCCCTGGCGAAGGCTAGAAGCTGTCGCTGGCCGAGCGAGTAGTTCGATCCCTCTTCATCCACAGGGCCATCCAGGGTGATCTTTGACATGCTGGACCCATCGTTCTCCGACTCCTGTGATTTAGCATTGGTCGCATTGTTCGCATCCACGAGATGACTCTGTCGCAGGGCGTTCCAGAGCTCGGTGTCGGTGTGTTCATTGAACGGATCGAGATTGGACCGCACTGTACCCCGGAAGAACGTCGGGTCCTGGGGAATTATGGACACCCGTGCGCGCAGTTCATGCAGGCCGATCTGAGAGATATCCACCCCATCAATGGTGATAGAGCCCTCCGCCAGGTTGACCAGTCGGAACAGCGCTGAAACGATCGAGCTCTTCCCTGCTCCAGTCCGACCGACGATTCCGATCCGCTCGCCTCCCGTGATGGCGAGGTTTAGTCTGTTAAGGACCAGCGGGAGCCCAGGGCGATACCGCATTGTGACGTTCGCAAAGGTGATTTGTCCCTGTTCAGGCCAGGTCGGACGCACCATCCCCAAGTCCAACGGAGCCTCTGGCTCTAGGCCTGTATATTCATGAATGCGTTCAGTTCCATTCATCGCACTCTCTACCTCTGCCAGCTGTCGCACAGTGAATTGGATGAGCTGTACAATGCTCAGACTGTAGCTCAGTACTAGACCAGAAATACTGGGAGATATGCTATATCGTTCGGCCACAGCAAGGATGCCGCTGGTGAAGACGAGCGCGTTTCCAATGCTGTCCAGACGCAGCGAAAGCCATCGCTGGTTGCCAAACGTTAGAAAGTGAGCGCTGTTCATGTCATCGATGGCCGACTGGACGCGTGAAGTAAATTGCTGTTGTCGCCCATACGATCGAATGCTAGACGTCCCTGCTAACGCCTCACTGAACCGGGCATACACGCTTGAATCCAGCACAGCTTCGAATCGTTTCAATTCACGTGCGCTGGCCCGCTAATACGCTGTCCATATCACAAGAAGAACCGTCAGGGGCGCAATAGCGGCGGCGAACTAAGTTCCGTTAGTGGTGGTGCTCTTCATATATAAAGGCTGGCCAGCTCCCCTACATAGTAGAAGTACGTAATGGTAAGTATAAAGACACCAATGATCATACTGAGCACCACAAGATACATCCGCAAGGAATCTGTGAGGCTCATATCCATCACATCGATATCTTTGGTAAATCGATGGGTAATGCGACCCAGAGGCGTTGTGTCGAAGAACGACATAGGAGATCGTAAGACGTGCCAGGTAGCCTGATTGAGCATTGTGCGGCTTGCATTCGTACCAACCACACTTGTACACAGGGAGAAGGCAAACAGCAGGACTCCCTGGAGACATGCCAGTCCAGCGTATATGCCAATCTATACCATTAGCACCAACCCCCGGTAGAATGAGAAGCATCTTACCCATTGACCCCGACTTAGATCAAAAGATTGGGCCGACCAGTAACTCAGCCAGAGGCCAGTCATGATATTAGCCCCACGGAAGCCGACAAGCAACAGGAAGATCCAGACGGCGTTCAGGATGCTTCCTGATGCGCGGATGTACGCCAAGTAGACGCTCCACGGAACACTCTTGACCGCTTTGCCCTCTGCAGTCATTAGTGCCCCATCACCATGAAGCGAGACGCTGGAGTCGACACGCTCGATACGATCTTCGAAGTTCCCTTCGTCTTTGGGCTTTCCCTTTTCATCACCTTCCTCGCGCTGGACGCTCAAAGTCATCAAGCGATTGAAGTCCGCGGAGCGCTGGCGGAGATCGGTATATGTTTCAACAGCTCAGATCCTTCCTTCATGCAGCAGTGCCACGCGATCACAGCGGTCGAGAACATGCAGTTGATGGGTAGCGAGAATCCGACACTTGTCTTTTAACAGGCCACAAATGGCGTGCTGGAAGATATGCTCGCCGACGTGTGCGTCCACAGCGGACAACGGATCGTCCATGAGCACGATGTCTGTGCGCGAGTAGACGGCCCTCGCCAGGTTCACTCGCTGTTTCTGGCCCCCGGAAAGATTGATCCCTCTCTCTCCGATCTCCGTCATGTCGCCTGCAGGCAGGCTGCGAAAGTCCGCTCGAAGAGCGCACGCGTCGACCACCTTATAGTACCAATCCGAATCGAACGGCTGTCCAAAGACAATGTTATCACGAACCGTAGCGTTCTGGATCCAGGCATATTGGGGACAAAAGGCTCTAGAGGCTCCCAGAACCATAGTGCCCCCTGTGCGGCGCATCTCGCCGGCCAACGCAGCGAGCAATGATGTCTTGCCAGCGCCTACAGTGCCCACAACGGCCAGTAGCTCGTTCCGTGGGACTGTTAGGTCCAGGTCATGAAGCTGGAAGACTGACTGCGGTGCTGAGGCGGATTCAGGCGCCACAGACTTGTCAGTACCCATGCCTCGCTCCCAGGTAAAGCTCGCGTTGCGAAGTTCCAACGCAGCGACCATATTCAAGTCCCAGACAGCCTGTTCTTCATGTTCCTCTGCCTGTAGAAACTCCTCTATACGTCGGACAGATGCTAACGCATCGACCACTTGTCCAATGGCCATGGGGAGCCAGTTCAGCGGAGTGCGCAGGGAGTTGAAGAGCGCAAGCGACGAGAATATAGTCGCCGCATCCAATGCATGGTTCGAAAGTGCAAAGGTAATGAATGCAAACAGTGTGGCGAAGATAGGAAGGGCCATCGATACTGCTCCAATGGCACTCCGCATGATCAGCCTATTTGTGTTTGGAAGATTCCGCCATAAATAAAGCCGTTCTAAGGATTACTCTTCCATTAGTGGTGACACAAGGAAACGAAGGACAAGCGTATTTCCGAAACACTGGCATGATAAGTCGTGTTTCCTTGGTGAAGCATTAATGCCCTGTTGGCGTTTACCTCCCACTGCCTTGACATGATCCTGGCCGCATAGATCTCTCAAAGATTATAATTGGCTTCCACTCTGTTGGGCCGTCGCACTGGTTTCCAATTGGCTTGAATTGGCTCTCATGACCGCATGAGCAGTTTTGGCGACGCCTTTCCTCGACGCTACTGCTCCTTCACCACCGAAGAACCCACCGACCGATTTGAGGTGCTCAGAAAGTTCTAATGCCAAGATCTTCTAAACTACTCCGTAGAATGTATTTTCAACGAATATAATTTCACAGTACCTTGTGTCCTCAAGCTGCGTGGAGTTGAGTGGATTGGCTGAGTCTAGACAGGCTCGGTCCAAGTCCAAAGACCCTGCAAGTTTACACGTGATAAGCCTCCTAACCGCTATAGATAGAATCAAACCATGTACTGTATCACTTCGAATGCCGCATGGAATACATAGAATTAGCGAACCTCCTCGATAAATCTGTAGTGCAGACTCTTCCCTTGAGGACAACGTAAAGAGGTAGTGATGCCCGAGTGCCGTGATAGAGGCTGAAAGCCAGACACACCCTTAGCCCCTCCTGAAGCGCTTGGGCATTTGTCAAGGAAATCCCGATTGGCTCAATAATATTCTTGATGGTACAGCTCCGACAAGGCTAGCTACCTACCGCCAGGATTACCTTCGAGAGGGTTTCTGGCTTTTGCTGTTCCCTTGCCCAACTTGAACCTGGGTGAGCCCGCTGTGCTTTTTCGGGCATCTTGACCTGGTCAAGAGAGGAGAATCATTTTTGGTCCGCTGCCGTCGGGAACCGCGTTACGTTCAAAGTGGGTTGACACTCGACCCTGGTCAAAGAAGATCAACACAGAATCAGGAGGCCCAGGCAATTCCCCTTTTGAATAATATTGAAAATCTTGTGCTTTACTATTCACGCAGCTAAATTGACGTGTGTCAAGAGGCACCCAGCAAAAGGACCGAAGAGAGAGGGGTTGGTACATGGCAGGTCAGGCCTTGACATTACGTGGGTCTATCTCCTCGTGTCTACCGCGCGCAAGATGAACTAGCCAGATGCACTACTCGTTCAACAAACAAACAAAAGATAATCGAGAGTGATTTCGGTCATGTCAACATTTCCCGGCAACAGCATTCCTCAAGTCTCACTAATAATGTAACCCGCGTAAGTGCTTTCGTCACAGTAAACGAGAGTAACAGTCATAGCAGCATTTGGCCCCAAGAGCATCTCTCAGATCTTACTGATGATGTATCCCGCCCAATTTCCGGGTGCCTGGAGACATGTACCTGAGCCCCCATTCACGCGTTTGATCTCTTGCCCGGTCATTGCCGATTAAGGCATCCCGTCAGGCGCCATTGAAAGAACTGGGAACAACATTCCCCCGCTCCTGAAGTATCACCAGTGCCACGGCAGGCCCGGCCGGGGCTGTAACAATTAACATGTAAGGATCGCGCTTCTCGAGAGACGATAGAGCGACGTCTACGGGATTGGCAGAAATGGGAGAGGCCGCGGTAACGGGTAGCAGCAGAATCACCGTTCGAAGAATGAATCTCATAATCGTCCGAGTATTATATTGTAGTTGGTTATTGATACCGCTTGAGTGTCCAGCCATTGTATGAATAAATCCACAAATTTGTCCCGGACCTCGGGATCAGATGAAGGACAATGGAAGAAAAGAGCGCCTTCGCTTTGGGTGATCGAAGTGAGGGTAGCATCGGAATGGACTTTTTGAAGACGTTCCGTGATGTCGGATACGACCGAGTCTTTGATAGGAGTGGCCACAACAAGTTTGATGTGAATCTCGTCCCTGTCTTCTGAATCCATGATTATTGGTAACGGAGGCGCGAAGGCTTGCTTTTATGTTTCCTCTTAATCACTGATTTCCACATAAGTTCAGACACCCATATTTATGAGCTGGGTGATACCAACTCCAGGTAATTCGGATGCCGGTGGCCTCGCACTTCCTTCTTGGAAGATGTTAGTGCTTATGGTGCTTATGGTGCTTATGCGCCTGTTGCCCGGCGGGGAGACCGCATCGCCTTTTTGGGGATATGAGGCGGCGCCAATACAATTTTGTTATAAAGGCAAAGTACTATTGCATGATAGCAGAAGTATGAGCCCATTTCACTGAGCAAGTTTTATTCTGCTAGAAGCTGAGATTGTGCTCAAATGCGCGAAGACAGCGGCAGCGTGAACCTGCGAACGGCTTAAAATAGCCACAACAAGACAGAAAAACCGAACTATCATAGTGGAAGTACCCGCTTTACACTTGAGCTTCCTGGCCGATATTCTGCGAATAACCCTTCGAACATGCCGCTGGATCCATCAGGCGACAGGTTGGATCGCCGGAGTGCACACAAGCTTCCACGTCTTATAGCGCTGGTGGTCCAACGGGTGGAACTTTCTCTCCGGAATCAACGTGATCTATTTCCCCTCATGGTATGTTGAGTGACTACGCTGTATTTCCACAAGCTGACTGTTTTTCAGGCCGCCATGTCATTGCTAGGGAGTTTAACATTTCCTGTTCCGTACTGTCGTCGTATTGCTTGTGAGCTCTTTCTTTGTATCCACCTCGGCCTCGCAATCGTCTATCTAGTGTCGATTTGGAATCACATATGGTCTACCTCCCGGTTCCCTCGAACCTATTTATATGTCCCACTGGGAGTGATGTCATTCGTCAGTCTCCTGCACCTGAGCATCTTTGTCTGTGGGAACAGTATTTTTCATCGCGATCCTGTCCACGCGCGATGGTATCCTGCGAAGGGAGCGGTCGACAAGATAGCAACATCTGGGGGAATGCGGACCAAAAGATCATCAAGGTTCGCATCCGCCTGGCCTGAGCAATGGATGCGAAGCCAGGTCAGTACATCAACCTGTGAATGCCGACAGTGAGTTTGTGGTCTTGGATGCGGTCTCATCCGTTCATGGTCACATCCTGGTCGCCCGGCAAGCAGGAAGTCCTGGAACTATTAGTGGAAGCCCGTCACGGATTTACCCAAGCTTTACAGCGTGCCACTGCGTTGACGGGATCAGCTACGTTCCGTGCCTTTGTCAGCGGCCCCCACGGGACTGATAAATCAGTGGACCAGTATGAGACAGTCCTTGCGGTTGCCAGTGGGTTTGTGTCGCTGGCATTATTCCTTATATTCAGCAGCTCCTTCATGGTTACAAGACGTCGACGTCCCGAGTGCGTCGGGTGCATCTGGTCTGGCAATTCCAAACTTTAGGTGGGTGGATGACCCCTGCATCTGAAATGAAACGAATGGGGCCCAGATCTCGCGATTACCGCGCAGCCACTGATGAACAATCCCTTGACAGATGACGTCCTTGATAATGGATACATAGGTGTTTGCTCTAGGGTATCCTGGTCCGCAGGCTGATGACAGACAGATCCTGGAAACCTCATTCTATGTGGAATCATCCACAGCGAGCAAGAGAACGTTTGGCAATCATAACCGCGCAGTTTCATACAATGGGATACCTGACTATGAGCGGATCATCTCGTCCGAAGCTTCTGGAGACTTCGTCTCTAGAGTCACTAACACGGAGGAAGAGCGAGGCAGGACTCTTTACTGGGTAGGTCTTGCTTTCTCAAAGTGCGTGTACCGTACTATGAGCTCTAGTGTCTGTATCTGATAGTTTATGAGACGAGATTGTCCGCGCTTATCTCAGGCGGAAGGCCACTATGCACGAGGTAGAATTTCAACCAGATTGAGAATTCTCTGTAAGAATCAGAGCACGAGACATGGACGGATCTGGAGACTGGCATGGAGGGTACCAGGATAATCTAATTCATCCGCAATTTATTTTAGTTCAATAGGTATTCCATCAATTAGACCCCCATAAATTATGACAGCTGTAATTACAAAAGTTGTATTCCGCCGGTTTGAGAAGCGACAATCCAACAGCAAAAGCCTGCACCACTGCAAGTGTCCCTCTCGTTCCAGAAGTATTGCAACTGCCACGAGGATCAGATATGTGCCAGTGTGACTTGGAGCGAGGCCATGGAAAAGAGATCGACATATTAACGTAGGGGAGCTCTAGTCTTTGAAGAAGACTTCCAGGTCAAATGTCCAGTTTCCCTATTTAGCATCCTGATACAAAGACGCCAGCTAGATCAAATCCACATATTCCTATTCCCGTTCAAAAAATTGATGCTATGAATATTAGGTCAAACGAGTTACGAAATTGATCAATTTACATTTTCCAATTTCAGTCATATGGGACTTGCCTGCAATTTATATAATGCGGCATCCCGCCTTTGCTGGCTAATATTTTTATTGTTTGCTTGATTATTTGAATATTGGCTATTGTCAGCCAGAGATTCCCATCTCAATGGCAACAGAATATCTGGTCTTCAATTTCGAAGCTTTTTATCGCTATTTGTTTCTTCAAGCTTGGAACTTTGGAAGATTGGTCATCAACTGGGGCCACACACTCGGAGGATGATAACTTGTTTGCTTTGCTGTCATCTCAAAGCTCGATAAGCAAAGATCCGGTGTAGGACCCTGAGTTTGATTGCTTCTTCGACATACCTTCGGCTGCACATCCCAGTAGGTTCAAATTCAGGTAGCTATTATCTTTGTTGACACCTCTTAGTGCACTATTCCCTCCTTGGACTAGGGGAAGGTGTTGGATAAGTGAGGCTATCGCTGCTCGGATAGATTGAATGCCCCGGCTATTGAAATTCAATTTGTATTGAGATAGCTTACTGGTCAACGAAGCCTGAGGGGCTATAATATATGTTTAAAGACACATAATGATAAATGAGTGTTGGATACATGAGTGGTGACCAAACAGGGGACTCTCACAATAGGCAGTCGCACTAACGAGTGACCTGGTCGAGCCATGGCGTCTACAAAAGCATTTTAAAAGCGTTTCAGGTTAACGACACGCCTTGATCAATGGGACAATAAGTTGAAATTTTAGCAATCAACCTCATAGGAGCCCACATTGAAGCCATTCGCATCTGTTAGGCCGTCAGTTGGATTGCCTGTGCTGCTTTCATCAGGGGCAGCAATGCGCTCGCGAGGCGCCACCCATTCAAAGTGAAAGTGCTCAGTATCATGGTCGCGGTGTTCCTTGATGCAGGTCACACGGCCGGCGTTATATTCTTGGCGGAGCGCGTCTTTGGTGCCGGGAGACTTAAGGGTGACGTTGATGGTAGGGCGGCCGCGGATAATAGAGCCTTTGGCGATGAGGGGACAAGCGGCTTGTTCAGAGCGTTGGGTCAAAATGGCAAGGACGGTAGCGGCTTCTCCGTGAGTGAGGTCGAGAACGATTGTGCCGTTCATGGTGAATTGGAAAAACCTTAAGGAGGTACTATTCAAAAGGTTTATATATATCTGTAAAGATTGAATAATATTCTACAATTCTCTTATCGCCGAGGATCATTAGGTGAGTGTTAGGATGGTTCGCCTTTGGTCTTGTTGGACGCTTACGTTGCTTACGGTGCTTACTCGGCGCTTACAGTGCTTGGTTCGATTATCACTGACGCTACACTAGGCGATGAACAAGAATGATCCTACCTCGATGGATTGAAAATTTTTGAATAAGAATGTTGTTAATAGAGTGTATCTAGGTACTACTATACGGTTTGGTTTAGCTGAAAAGCTATAGTGCCACCTAACTTTCGGCGAACAAACAGCAAGTACAAATTGAATTGCGTCAGTTGCGCCACACATTGGAGCTTCTAGTGAAGTGTTATCAGAGTCTACCGGTACGGTCTTTGCCTAAGTATCAAAATGGGATTAGCGAGTATCGCCTCCTCGGCTTACCCACGGTGGAATGACGGACCAGCCGTACAGTCGGTTGCCCGAGGCCGGTTATGGTTTCTGGATCGATTATATCCTGCTTCGACTTCCTACCTCATGCCGTTTTCAGTGCGACTGCGAGGTCCACTCCGGCATGAGGCGTTGCAGGCGGCGCTGCACACGGTCGAACAATGCCACGAAACCCTGCGCACCACGTTTTACCAGCACGGTGGTACTGGCATGCAAGTCGTCCATCCCTTTGAGCCAAGAGGGCTAAAGGTAGTCCATATGCCGCCCAATGACCAAGAAACCCTGTGTGAGGCGTTACGGCATGAACAGACACGCCCATTTGACCTGGAGGCTGAGCCCGGATGGAGGGTGTAGTTTCATAGACTCTTCTAGCCAAAGTTTCTTTTCTGGGATTCTACAGTCCTCCACTTGGTATGGGTTGGTCACCCTATGCTAAAGAGAAGCATTTCAGGGCACATTTTTATCTAGTTGTAGTCGGTGATATATGACAAACTTGTATCTAGCCATGTTCGAGCATGATTTTAAATTGCCGAGCCTGGGAAAGTCACTTAGTCACGAGTAGCCGAGGCGAAATCTAGTAAGTAGGTAAGTAGGTGCTCTCCCCAAGTGTCCCATACTTTTCATTATGTGAGATACGTGCTTATTCTACATCTGATAAGGTAAACTCTTGCTTTTTTTCTATTGGGTTTAGCGCCTTGCTAAGCTGACCTTCAGCCTTCCTTGAACAACCCCCTACGCTGCACTGCCCTGAATCGTCCCAGCCAGACAAACGACTTTTGAATATCATACGCTGAATGTTTTGATGGCACCACCCAGCTGCTGTGTTCAGACGATGATACCAACTTTACCGTAGGAAAACTAGTCGAAACATTCCTGAACCTTAAGGGACGTCAGATGACGCCCTATTCCTTGTATTTCCATACCTTATCTCGTCATCGCTGCGCTGTTGATCTAATCAATCAATGTTTGAAAACTGGGATTCACGGATGATCTTCATTACTCTATCCCGGAAATAGCGAAACTGAAGAAGAACGTTGCGAAATTCTCTGTGTGATCAGCATTGCCCCACTGGTCACCTGTTTCGAGAAGAGTGTCCGCTGAAACATCTCGCAGACCCTGGTACGGCTCTCAGGCGGAGCACGCGGGAAATCATCGGAAAATTTCCGCTCAGCGGCCTCACCATTGCTGAATAATCTAAATCGTCCATGAGTAAGATTCTGTAATCACGGCCAGGCTCCGGACAATCTACGAATGACAGCCCTGGTCGGCATGCCGAGAGTCCATCTGAAGGAAGAAGTGGATCATTTCCCGGTGAATCTGCGGGTGGGGAAAATTCTCCCGTTTTAGTACAGTCTCATGTCGCTACGGCTCTGTAGGGACTCTAGATGCAGAATTTTGGCAATATCATACGGAGAAGGGCGGTGCTACATACAATTTACCGACAGATGTCGCCACATGGTGTCATACGCACGAAGTCAGCAGCGACAGCAGAGGAATGCAGACTGCTAGTGACAAGCGGTCCATCCAGTTGGACCATCGAGGTAATTTAAACTTAGGGTGCGTTTCCAACCATTACTGTGGGACAGGGATCCCTTCCTAAATGAGGGATCCGCTGACAAATGATTATGAAACTGATCCCTGCCCTGTCGAGGGTATGGAGGGACCCTGAAGTATATATGAATGCATGCTACCACACAGTTCTGTCAGACTTTAAGGGTCACTTCACCACCTGTACAAACCATGTTGGGAAAGCTCTCATTCCTCAGCGCCCTGTCCCTTGCAGTGGCGGCACCTTTTTCCAATTCCACGTCTCCAAAATATGATTATATCGTCATTGGAGGTGGTACCAGTGGTTTGGCTGTCGCAAATCGTCTATCGGAGGATCCCAGCGTGAACGTGCTCATTCTTGAGGCCGGCGGCTCGGTCCAGAACAATCCAAATGTCACAAACGTGGATGGTTACGGACTTGCATTTGGGACAGACATTGACTGGCAATACCAGTCCGTCAATCAGCCATATGGAGGAAACCTCAGTCAGGTGCTTCGAGCCGGGAAGGCCCTTGGTGGAACTAGCACTATAAATGGTTTGTATAATAGCCCGCGAGTTCACCTGACGTAACTAACAAATTGTCTCTTATCCACAGGCATGGCTTATACGCGCGCTGAGGATGTCCAGATTGACTCCTGGGAAACCATCGGGAACTCCGGATGGACGTGGAAGAAATTGTTCCCTTACTATCGCAAGAGCGAGAACTTCACCATCCCAACCAAATCTCAGGCCGCTCTTGGAGCGTCGTATCACCCTGGATCCCACGGCCAGGGCGGTCCCCTTGACGTTGCCTTCAGTAACATCGAGTCCAACAACCTGACCACCTATCTCAACCGTACCTTCCAGGGCATGGGACTTCCATGGACTGAGGATGTTAATGGTGGAAAGATGCGCGGCTTCAACATGTACCCCTCCACCGTCAATCTTGAGGAGTATGTTCGTGAAGATGCCGCTCGTGCATACTACTGGCCCTACCAGTCCCGGCCTAACTTGTACGTCCTGCTCAACACTTTTGCCAACCGGATTATGTGGGAGAACGAGGCCCATGATGGCCACGTCACCGCCAGGGGTGTTGAAATCACATCCAGGAACGGTACCGTCAGAGTTATTGGCGTTCAGAAGGAAGTCATTGTCTCCGCCGGTGCCTTGAAGTCCCCGGCTATCCTTGAACTTTCCGGAATTGGCAACCCTAGCGTTCTTGAAAAGTTCAACATCCCCGTTCAAGTTGACCTTCCTACTGTCGGCGAGAACCTTCAGGACCAGGTGAATAGCCATATGGCTGCTTCGAGCAACATTTCCATCTCCGGAAGCAAGACAGTCTCCTACCCCGATGTCTATGATGTCTTTGGTCATGAAGCAGCGTCGGTTGCCAAACAGATCCGTGCCAATCTGAAGCAATACGCAGCCGACACAGCCAAGGCCAATGGAAACATTATGAAGGCTTCCGATCTTGAGCGTCTCTTCGAGGTCCAGTATGATCTTATTTTCAAGGGCAGGGTTCCAATCGCAGAAGTCCTGAGCTACCCGGGCGGCGCGAAGTCAGTGTCTGTGGAGTTCTGGGCCCTTCTTCCCTTCGCTCGTGGAAGTGTTCACATTGGTTCCTCAGACCCGCTCCAGTTCCCTGTCATCAACCCCAATTATTTCATGCTCGACTGGGACGCGAAAAGCTACGTCGCCGTTGCAAAGTATATTCGCCGCGCGTTCGAGACCTACCCTCTCAGCAGCATCGTCAAGGAGTCCATTCCTGGCTATGGTGCCCTTCCTCGGAACGCTTCTGAGCAGAGCTGGAAAGAATGGGTCTTTGATCACAACTGTAAGTTTCCGATGCATTCCCGGAGTGGTATGCGGGTACAGAATCCTGACAAACGGCCTAGATCGTTCTAACTTCCATCCCGTTGGCACTGCTGCCATGATGCCTCGTAAAATTGGCGGTGTCGTGAACGAGCGCCTGAGTGTGTACGGCACTACGAACGTCAGAGTCGTAGATGCCTCCGTGCTTCCATTCCAAGTCTGCGGCCATCTAGTGAGCACCCTATACGCTGTGGCCGAACGGGCAGCGGATTTCATCAAGGAAGACGCTGCTCGTCGTTAGACAGATCTCGAAGGGGACGTTGTGTTACTATCGATGGGTGGGTGCATAGAAGGTACCTCTCGCTCTTCAATGAAAGAATCTTGTACAATTAAGTCCGTCTTGTTCACATTTCAAGAATCTATTATAGTCATGTAAAATAACAAACTTCATACGTTATGCCATACAAATGCTTGATATACTATTAACTACACAAATACACACCATCTTAGTCGCTATCCAGAACAATAACCTCAGCCTCAGCCTCATCTTGGCCTTTCCATTCTTAGACATTGGTAGGTGGACATCGGCATTTCGCTTCTTTCGGCTACTGACAATGTCTCCCGCACGAACGGTCCAACTAAACGTCGACACACGCGCGACAATCTCCGCAATCACGGCAAGTCCGCATGGATGGGAATTGTGTCTGGGATCTTCGGAATGGCCACTCCCTACTGCGCGGCGGTGGCCTCAGGACCCGCCGCCAGTGGTGATAGAATCGGAACGAATGCCTTGCGCTTGGCCTCTTCGCTGAACGACTTGTTGTGGTACTGCGGCTTGAGTTCGTCTTCCAGGGAAGCACCCAGGTCTGCAGAAAATGCACAGTTTTGTTCCCTTCGCTCTGCTTCGAGTGGGCGATTCTCTGGCAAATTGTCAGTATACTTCGCAGGGCACCGCCTCAACACACGTACTCAGCGCCTCGTCCACCAGCGACGCCAGCACCCCGCCGTGCACGGTATCCGTGGACCCGTTGAGGCCTGTGCCCAGCTGTACGAAGAGGACTTGGTGTGGGGGCTCCTCTCCCCCTGTCTCTGACTCGCCCGCCGCGACACACGCCCCGTCGGAGTTGATCCCGGGAGTTGTGCGTGGGACGGACGGGAACTTCGCGGATGAAGTCGAGGTAGTTGTCCCAGTCGTAGGATTTCCTTTTTTTTTTTTTAGGGATGGGAGTGTGAAGTCGCTGGGTATGTATGTAGAGGTACTTAGTTGGGGAGGATATGGATATGCTTGGACTGGAGATGCCGAGGTTTGTGTGGGATTGGGTTAACTACTAATTCTAAATTGTATACAATGTATATTTGACCTCTTACTGCATGGTAAACAGTCTTTGGTTGAAGGTGTAGGTAGGTACTTGGTACTGCATACAGCTACTAATCTGATATTGCAGAATATAATCCTTGGACATAACAGGTCTCTTTCTGTCAACCGATCCCCGTTGATAGCGAATCTATGGTAATCGCTAGTAAACGGTATGATTCGGGATGAATGAAGGTCTGATTTCTGGCAATCTAGATATCTAACTAACTACTTATAATCGACTAAATAAAAACTCTGTAAAATCTTCTTAATCCGGCGAGTTGAATCCATAGTAGAATCCAGCAATCTGATTGGCCCAGCCAGAATTCAGTTAAATATCAATATCCGATACTCTCCAGATTCAATAGTGGTAAGATATGGTTAACACACCCCCCCAGGTAAGCAGGCATCGCGAAGCTGAATCTAACATTTGCAATCTAGTGCTGTAGATGTTAAATAAACTTTTGATACTTCCTAATTAGGAAGGCAAGATAGATGGCTGGCATTAAGAGCGTCTATCTCATTCATCTGATGTTAATTTTTAATCAAATCAATCAATCTTAGTCCAGATCAACAAGGCCAATCTACCTCATGAATTCATAGTGCTTCTAGCACAGGAGTAACTTTATAAGGCCATCTACAGGCATCTTACTTATCTTAATCCATTAAATGGAAACATAGCCAGCCTGAACTTCTTGCCATAGCCAGTGCTGGTGGATATTAACATGCCTAAGCTTTATGCATACCTTTGGCTCATCACTAGTGAGCAGATCTACTGTCTATAGATTATTACATAAGATGGAGATTTGATGCTCTAGATTAAATCTAATTAATAAGAACAATCACTTCCACCAATAGATATTCTTCGCGGCTGCTGATATAGCTAGCAATTCAGCCTTAGTAGTAGATGTGGTGACTATCTCCTGCTTCCCTGCCTTCTAATTAATAGCTCCTCCATATAGTAGGCAAATATAGCCTTCCAAGCTCTTATAATCTAAATAATCACTATAAGCAGCATTACTAGCTACTGCATAGACCTCTCCGCCACAGTATTTAATAGTATATCTTATAGAATGGTTCCAGGTCCCTTGAAGGTATTAGATCACCCAGTTAACTAATTCCATATGCTTCAGCGAAGGGTTGGTAAGATGTTCTAATAGATTTAATGTTATCTTAGTAATATCTAGCCTAGTGATCACCACAGGGTACATGCATGAGCCTGTCTTTTGTTAATACTCATAGATAACCTCAAAGCTAGCTTGCCCATTAAATTTAGTGAGAGGTTCGCCTGACACAGGTGTAGCCAGCAGGTTGCTTATTTATAGATGATATCAATCCACCATCTTATCAATGTATGCCGCCTGGTTGAGCCAGAGTGTTTAATTAGCCCTATCACACCAGATCTAGATGCCTAGAAAGGTGCTGGCATCTCCTAAATCACAGAAATCATACTTAGCTCATAGGCCAGCAATCACCTAATCTGCATATAATTTCAATTCTCTTCAGTAGAGAAATAGTACATCATCAACAAACACCATAATAATCATCTTATCATTAGTATAGAGGCATGTATCTTCATTAACAGGGCAGAACCCCAGAGCTTTAAGAGTTCCAGTCAGCTATTGCTGCTATAAATGGGGTGACCTGCATAGGCTGTAGAGGGCTCAATCCAGCTGCTAAACATAGCCTTATTCAGAGTATCCAGCTGCCATCTGGGTATATACCTCTTCATCTAAGAAGCTGTTAATGAAAGCATTAGTTGCATCCAGTTAACAGATATCTAGATTAAATACTGCTGCTAGTGCCATAAGCATCCTAAACATTCATGCCGCCAGCATTGTTATAGTAGTATCTTCCCTGGCTGCTGCAGAGTTCCAAGCCATAGGAATCACACTCTGCCTGTAATGGGTGCCAGGGCATTATAACAACCCAGGAAACAACACTGTAGATTAACTAGCTAAAAACACTGCACACCCAGGCAAAACCCACCCCTTCCGCCTGCTACACTTAACAGAGAGTGCACGCCTCCGCAGTAATATCCTTAGTCAGTGGAAGCAGGAATGGGGGTCATCCACCAAAGGCAGTCACCTATGGAAGATTAATAGTACCCTGCCTGCAACCTACACAAGAAGGCTATACAGGAGCCTACCCAGGAACTAGGCATACCTATTAACACAGCTATGCACAGGCCATAACTAGTTATCCACCTATACAAAGATCTTTAGCTTCCGTGACGATAATAAGTGCACATGCAGCGTGCAAGAAACAGTCATATATATGCTAGTGGACTATCCAGATTTAAGGGATATTTAAAGGAAGTTACAGTGTGAAGTAGCAGATGCCTTTAGTAGCATCTTAAGTGAGGCTTAACCAAAGGTAAGAAATGTAAACCAGACACCATCTCATGGGCTAGGACAGTCGCAGCTGTGCTAGACTTCACTGAGGCATCACAGTGGTTTTGGAGTCACGTGCCACAAGGGCAGCCTAACTCTAGGAATAGTAATTAGGCCATGGCAGGCCCTGATGAGGCTCTAAGTTCATTTTCGGGAAGTTGAATACTCTACATGTACGTACCCAGGATATATATAGTTGTGGTAGCCTGCATATCGCTCTTTTGCGAGGGGTCAGGGTAAATAATATCAACCAACTAACCAGCCAAGAGTAATATTGGCGAGGACCTCTCAGTATTCACTATTTGAATACAAACGTATAGTTCCAAGGGCGCCGCAGCGGAGCTATCTATGCCCAGTGGTATGATCATAATTTGCTACATTCGCAGAAGCTCACCGAAACGATCTCTTTTCGATGTATGACTTAGTAAGAAGCGGGGAATAATTCCCTTACAAGGGAGCTCAAGTATTACAGTATACCGTGCCTGTGGCGTGGAAAGTTCTGGCAACACGCTACATCAGAAAGCATCATACTAGTAATATAGTCTATATGCCTCCTCATTCTCCCCAGCTCTCAACCTTCCGCCGCATGTTTGTACTAGAGTTTCTGCAGCGTGATATGGCGGAGGGAAGCGGACCATCCACCACACCCCAACCAAGCAGACGACATGAGCAGAGCTTCAATATTACAAAAGCTTTCTAGAACAGCTGATACATTTTATACGCTATGCTGATCGGGTGAATGTTTCTCAACTCATATCCATGACACGTTCCGATGCTCCCAACGAGCGAATTCTTAGCGCTACGTCCGAGGCCACGATCGAACATGCGGATCAAGACGGAATAACCGAAGGCCAGGTTCAACATATAAATCCTGCTGCCACCGGTAGTCAGATACACCTTTGCGGCCGGGAGAAAATGAATGTTTCTAAGTGCTTTGAGGGCGCCGAATAGGGGGAACATTGTCAGGGTGGTCGATTCCTGCATGCTGATCTTCTCTGTGTTTTAAGGAGGTATTTGAGCCACACTCAAGGGGGCATTCAGCTGGCGCAAAGGGATTACTTATTCTTGAAGGCCATTCTAGACACCAGACTGCGGAAGTGGCTGACAAACAAGTATCGTTCTGTAGGCAATCAATGTCAACTTCAATTTACCCTTGTCATTGTGATATACCCCACTCCCCCTTCAACAACGCTAGCCATTCTTCATAGGTTAAGGTTTGTCCGTCGACTAGAACTCGGTTCGGCTCCACCCTTTGCGGCCTAGGAGGAATGTACACGAAATTCTTGACATGAGTAGGACTGCATTTTCCGAATGGTACGGCCCCCGTCCGCAAGAGTCCGGTGCATTCACCGCAGAACCCCGTATCGAAGCAGATCGGACACAGGGAAAAGTCGTCCAAGACTAACGATACTTTCCGGCAGGGTCCATCACAGAGGTAGTACCAACTAAGATCAGAGACGTCCTCGCGTGTCCAATTTCGAGGGTAGTCTTCATCCACATAAGTCCCGAGTGCATAGGAAGCAGCAAGGACATTCTTGATATCGCCGGCAGCAAGGAGAGCATTCCGTAGATCACTGAGTCCATCGTTGTCGTTCGCCGGATCGTCGTCGGACAGTATCTGCACGGCCCGTTTGACAGAGGGGGCAAACAGCATCCGCGCCTCGTCGTGTCGCCCAGTCAAGCGATACCACACTCCCAGCGCAATTGCACGAGCCCGAGAGATAACCCATAGGTCCGACGTGTCCTCGCTCTTGTAGCGTCGTACCAACTGCTCCAGCCGGCTCACGTACTCCTCTGCTGTGGCGGACCCTACCCCGGCCTCAACGGCGTTGCAAAGCCAGAGACGAGCTAGGTTGGAGGAAGCGATCACTTTAGCCATGCCGATTTCCCCCTCTTCCTTGGCCGAGCTATACATGTTGAGGATTTTCTCCCACCGCCCCGTCGCCTTATCCTTCTCTTGCGAGATCTCGAAGTAGATGCGGGCAAGCGACAGATCCAGATGTGCAGCCACCACGGTCATGGATATCCTCCGTGCAGCCCGAGCCGCGTCGCGGTAGGATCGGATCATAAAGTCAACGTTGTCGGTGGCCCGCACCGCTCCCGCGAAGAACTCGAAGAAATTCCCGTCGGAGTAGGGGTTGTTCCAGAGCACCTCGGTCAGGCGATGGTGGTCCTTGTCAGGGACTTTGCTGTTGGAAAGCTCTTGCAGGAAAGAAATTGTCTCTTTGTATCGCTGCGTGCTGTTTTCGAAACGCAGGATTCTGTAGATGCACACATTACAGAATGGCCTGGCGTCCAGGGCCTTTTTCAAGGCATGATATTGCTTTTCTGGCTCACCCAGCTCGCGGTAGCAGCCGCCCATGCGATCCCTTATTACGTGCAGATCTGCCACCAGCATGAGCTTTTGCTCCGGGTCATCAACGTCTTCAACCAACCGCTCTTCCAAATGTGCTTCTACTTGTGTATCCAGCTCCAGAGCCTTCTGCCATTCTTTTTTCTCCTTGTATGCTATCGCCATGCCTGCTTTGGCTATCCAATTATTCGGGTCCAGGTCGATCGCCTGTTGAAAGTGGCACAGAGCCTCGTCAATGTGGTTTGTCTGGCGCAGCACGATTGCAACCCGCTGGTACCAGCGAGATGTCTTCTCCAACTCTGCCCATTCAGCCGCCCGGCCAATCTCCGCTGCTGTCGGGTCGAACTGGCCCAGAAAATCCCACTCAATGCCGTCTTGAAACTTCAAATAAGCGATGATCATCGCACATGGGGCGCTGGGCCACCAGTCGCCTTCATTCAACCATTTTCTGGCACAGAATCGGGCGATGGGCTTGAATGTCTCTCGTGGGATATTGTGGGTAGAACTGATAAATTCTGCCTCCTCTACAGGAAGCAATTTGACGACCTCCGGATCTTCCCACCAGCTTCGGATGGCTCTGAGGTTGTCGCTGGAAGAAACCCAACTCTTCCGTCCCACCCATTCCTCCATGTACTCCTCCTGTCCAAACATCTTCGCCAGCATGCTGGCAATCTCTTGCTTGTCAGCAGACGAAGCCTCCCACGGCTGGACCTCGTGAAGATATTGCACCCAGCCCGTCGCAGCATAGGCGCGCATCAGGTAAGGTTCCTTTGCCCTCTGGGCAAACCCGGTATCGGTGAGAACTTTGAGGCAGGTTCTGAGAACGTGCGCTTTTGCATCGTTGTAGACAACGCCAACAGCCAACTTATCCTCACCAGCAGCGACCTTGCCCTCACTCCGGTCACGGAAAAAGTCACCCAAGGACGCATGACAGAAGGTCAGCGTAGTAGACTTTTTATTGGAATCAAAGTCTGAGAAATTCTCGACATCTTCGAATGCGTCGTTGTCCCCAACGGGCTTCTCACCGACATCTCCTTCGTCGTCCGATTCCTCATCCGCGGCTGCAGTCATGGCCTGAAGTTCTGTCGTCGTCAGACCGTCTTCTCGGTGGAGATTGAAGAAGGCAGCAAACTGCTTGCGGAGAGCACCTTCAAGATAGATCATGCCGTCCCCCTCGGGAGACATTAACTCAAGGATCGCCTCGACCTCACCAAGGGTCAGAGGGCGAAGGGCACAGGTAGTCCAGAGTAAGAGCTCATTTAAGTATTCCAACTCTTCATTATTTAGACTGGAAGAAAAGCTCATCAGGACATGGCGCATCATATCTTTCAAACCTTTAGGCGCCTCGTCTAGGCTCTTACGGATACTGGATTCATTCCGCTTCTTGACCAGCTCTTGCAGCATGAGATTGACCCATAAAAACATGCCCTCAGCGCCTGCCGACAGCTTTTCTGTAATTTCCTTCCGCAGGGCCGGCGAGACACGTCGGAGAATGACTGATTTTTGGATGCTGGTCTTGATATAACGATCAATATCGCCGGAATTCTTCTGTGTCGTCACATAGATCGTTGGAATGTCGGTCTCTAGCGATTCCACCAGCTGGTCACTAATATGGGGCCGTCCAACCATGGCCAGTTGCATTCGGCCGCGATTAGTGGCGCTGAGGATGTCTTTAGCTAGGTTAAGGAAGTTTAAGCGCTCCTGTTCGAAGGCTTCGTCCACAGCATCAAAGATGATAAACACGCTACTGGAGATTGACCCCTTGTTCAAAAAGAAGTCGAAGAACAGGATGCGCCAGGCACTCTCCAGGGTGCTGACGCGTCCATAGTCGCCCACCGTCGTAAGGTACTTTTCATACACCGGATCATTCTTGCTGATCTGATACGCGACATCACGCAGTGCCTGGTGAAATGACCTTGTGTCGGGGTTATCGTTCTTGAAGAAGAAGTAGCCCACAGAGACATTTGAGGGATGTTGCACCCCCTGTGGGTACTGGTCTTTCAGGAAGGCGATAATCTTTGAGGAGAGATATGATTTACCTGCGCCGGGGTTGCCGGATATGAAGACTGATGGGTATTCTTTATTTATCCAGCCATTGAATGCGTCCTCACAGTGGATCCAGTCGCCCGTACCGGGCACGCGGGTCTTGCTAATCTTGTCATACCAGTCTTGGGCGCAATCCTTTACAGATGGCCGCAGGACGTGTCTCAGCGGGTCCTGGTGCGACTTTGCTAACGCCCAATGCTTCTCATCATTGTCGTTTACAGCGATCAGAAGACTATCCAACATCTCATGCACCTCAGTGACCTGCACAGTCATCTGATTAACTGCCATCCCCGTCTCCCGTACCGTGGCATTTGTCGTTATGACGGTAGTCTGCAAACCATCCACCATGCGGCCAGTGCGCTTGGCCTCAGTCAGCGTCTCCGCACCCACAAGACCCGCTTCAACCTTGGTTAGTCTATCCAATTTTCCCACCGCCGCTGCGATGGTGTCGTCATTGCCCAGCAGGACGTTGCGCGTGAACCTAAGCAGCCTCCCACGTTTAATAGCTTTCGTTGAGAGGGCAAAGATCTCTAACAATGTGACAAGGATGTCACTGAGCTTGTCGCTGAGATCTTGCGACATGTGTTCTTGACTGTAGGCTTTCAACCGAATGGTAAAATCCTAAGGTTGGAAAGTATTAGTACTGGGTACGGAGCCGGTTTGAGGCTATAGACTACCTTGAGGCTCTGCATTAGATACTGGATTGCGTCGTACGAGCTCGACACCCCTTTGGCCGCCGATATCAGGTAAGTGGCGGCGCCAAAAACAAGGCTACTAGGAGGGAAGGCCATGGATGCGCCTCCCGCAGCCAGATTGCTAAATAGCTGGACGGGAACCAGTACAGCCTGCAGCGCATCGAAGATGAGGCTGCGTTTGCGGCGATAGCCGCTAAAGGAGTTATTTTGCTCATCGATTTCTCTGACCAGGTCGTCCACATTCCGGAGTTTGTTAAGGAAAGCGACGTCGAAATCCTCGTTGGTGATCTCTCTGTACTTCTCGATTGCACGCGTATAGAGGGCGGGAATCTGGCTATCTTGGATGGACATGTTTACAGAATTCCGTGCCTTGGCATATGGTGAACCGAAGCTATTCCAAGCTTGACACAGCGACACTCTCACTTTGTGCAACCACGCCTTATTTGAGGTTAACTCGCGTAGACCAGCGAGCAGTAGGCGGGATACTGACTGCGGGATACTGACTGCTTGGTGCAACGGTGGGCTTTATTTGCAAGTCCATTTGTGCGTAAGCTCTGTAGGAGAAAGACGACTGCGGGGCCCAAACTCGGTGGCGGTCTCCATGAGACGTTCTAAAGGTTGATAGCATTCAGCTCTGCGTTTTCAACTGGTCGCCGTTGTGGGGAATGGTGAGACGACGTGAGACGCCAAGGCGGGGTTGGGAATTAGGCTGTCCGGCTGAAGGACAAGAGAGACTTTGAAGGCTCAAATGCTCTCTGAATCCTTCGGGCTGCAAGAGTACCAGAATTAAGCCCTCCAGTTAAACTGTGTCAAATTGATCTGTCATCTGCCATTGGCGGGACTCCCGCGGCGGGCCATCGAGTGCGAACCAGGCAAACGGCGGAGTTCATGATTATGTTGGTTTGAGTAGCGCGATGCGGTACTCGTTCACGGGGTTGTGTGCGCTGCCGTAGTGGTACACGAGTTCCAGAGTAGATCACACCCTTGCCATCCCCGCGAGGCTCAATTCTCCAATATCAACTAAGCTGGATCCAAAATGACATCGTTATCTCTCAGCTTTCCCAGCGTCTACTGACAATGTCCTCTCCTGAAATGTCCATTGACTTCCTCTGAATCCCGAAAGCGGTCATCGCAACGCCCCTCTAGTGACTGTCCTTGCTACCCCGCCTCGGAATCCGGACATTCAATTCTTAGACGCTCCCCCGAATAGCCGATTACAATATGCTGGCAGCGTGCGCGTAGCTGCGAAATGTGTCCTGATGCCCATAGTTAGAAGTGACAGGACCAATGGATCATGCAGCAAAAAGCGTCACCATTGTCCATTTAATTCCTGTCGCCAGAAATTCCTCAGTTCTCGTCTACTATCCAGCCATTTTCGAAAAGAGTATATTTCTTCGTGCGTAGAGGACGATCGGAAAAGTCACGTATGTCCAGTCACTACATGCCCGTCAACGACTTTCTAGTTCCTACAGGCTTTCGAGGCATTTCAATAAGCTGCATACCCTGCTGCTCAGAGAAATACGGTATGTGCTCCCAATATAGGGTTGGGTCCATTTGTTCTAACAAGACCGTACTTATGGCAGAAAATACCGGCCGAGGATCGAGCAGTATTAACGAAGACGGACGGAGATGAATGGCTGCCCTCCACGGTAACAGTCCCATACCAGAGGTTCGCGTCGTGGTCCGTTTGTCGACGCCGTTTGCTATTCTTGTTACATCAACTGGACATCACGACGGATCCAAGTTTGAGTGTACACCGATACGGATAGATATCAATCTCACTATGCAAGAGGCCCTCACTACAAAGCCACCTCTACCTCCTCGCAGGTGTAGGGCAAGCCCTTTACAATGCTAGCTCCGGCAAATCTACTGTGAAAATATACCACTCTGGAATCAAGCTAATCATGGTCCTGGAAAGGGCCACATCGCTCTTATTGTCCGGCGATTCCTCTTACCACTCGTTGGATGTAAATGGACAGCAGCTCCTTATTTTGTCTTCTTCGTTTCTCAGCAATATCCAGCTGCAGAGCCACCCACCCTCCTGACGGCAGCAATCCTGATCCCTTGTTGGTTATGAACTTGAGCTCTTATCGCTGAGAACATAGTGCTTTCCTCTCTTCTGCCGTTCGGCAAAATTTTGCCATTACTAGAGTTAACTGGCCAAGATATGACGTAGGAGTTGCGAGTGCCAGGCATTTTGCTTGCAGTTTTACGGGTCCGGCAAACGAACAGAGAAATACCCATATCGCTTATCAGTTAACTAGAATTTGATCTCTTGCGTATAAGAGTACAAAGATCGATCAACTAATGTAATTCCCAACCAAGCCGCCACTTTCCCCTGGATTTTTTGGCCGGTCAGAAAACCCAAGCTACTCAAACCAACTAAATAACACAATCTTCTTTGGATCTAGCCGGATAAGCTTGGAGTTGGGAAACGTGAGCAAGACCATCGACAGGCGAGAAAGGTTTTGAACCCCGTTGCTAGGATAAGGCACGTTGCAATGTACGTAGCAGATCCTCGTCATCCTATATACTTGCACCTTATCGTCGCACTCGTCCGTATAGTAAAAGTGCCAAGAGCCGTTGCAACAGGCGTTGCAAACAAGAAAGTACGATTGCCGGTGACATAGCTCCGTCGGCGCATCACCCATATTCTGCTGCCAATGATCCAGGCGACAGAGGGGTGATCACAGGAATCTGACGGAAGTGTCTCGTTATTAAGTGGTGACGGAGTCGGAAAAATAGCCCTGCAAGCTCAACAAGAAGCCCTCCTCCCCCGGCTGATTCTCATTACAGTTCCGATTGCTACTTCGCTGCCTTTTTTTTCGGCAGCAGCTGAAGCGGAAAATTATAGCCTTTCAACAACTTCCCTTCACCAGACTCCAGTGCTTTTCGCCAACGCACCATCCAACGGAATGATTTCTGTGATAGAGGCAGCGCTCGGCTAGGCCAGTCTTGTCGTTTGACCAGGTTTGGAGCTGTTGTATTTGATGGGCCAATCTGGGACTCATTTTCATCCAGGTACTGCCGACGAAAGCAGTTCAGCCATCTGCTGATCCGAACTAGGAAGACGAGAAAGTGCAGAGAATGCAACTTCAATTTCTAAACAATGAGCACCGGTTTCTGCATGGGTGTCTCAAGCTACAGTTACAATCTGGATGGTCGCCGTCTAAAAGAACGCTAGCGCCCTCTATGTGGCTTAAAATTACTTTCGAGTCTCGTACGTCAAAGTATCATGCATGAGATGAGTAAAGAAACGAGTGGCACCATCCATATGATACGTTCGCTCCGATCTGGATCCTGACATTCTATGCAGACCGCTTTTGTCCTGCGTACCACAACTACGTACTTGAGAAGTGTGTCGTTACGTCCTGATAGACTCTCTACCACCAGAGGCCAGGATATCACGGCGCCGCGACTGCTCGTAAACCAAAAGACGGTGTCTCTGGTCCATACTCACATGCCTGGTTGGTTTGGTTTCGCCGGCGTCCACGGAAGAGTGTATGATAATCTATACAGTTCGAATGCGCTGGTCCTTTTGAGCGTATCGCATCAACGCTGTCGCTTCTGGGCTCAAATGACTGGCAGCTGGGAACGCTGAGTTCTAGGCAAGTAGTCCCGATCGCCTTGGGCATGGTCCAGCTAAGGTTACTCTTCAGAAAGGCCAATCCAACAAGGCTTGTGGTACATCCTGGGCTTTGTAGGTTTATCATACATGCCAACAGGGCTATAGAATACTCTACCTTGGCGTCAATCAATCTATAGAGATCTAAGTACGCTGAGGCACTCGATATAAAATGCCAATGTAGACGCTAGGTCCTTATGGGCTAAAAAGATCAGCATATCTTCGTTGGTCAAGATTGGTCAGGCCATTTCGAGAATCACTGGAGAGATAAGTCTCTGGCACAATCCACAGGGGCGGCCCCATTACAGAGGGAACTAGGTGAGATGAGGTGGCGGGAGAACTCCGCCCTCTACGTAGTCAAATTTGTTAGTTGTGTGGGAGGTCAAGCCTTGCCCAGCCATGAGTCCTTTCTATAGTTACTCGAGCAGATATTCCCTTCAGCTTCTGGCTTTGCTTCACATAAATTTGGGTTGCGCCCACTTCGAACTTGCAGCAACTTACCAGCCCCTCAAAAAAATCTCCCATTATCTTAGTAAATGAAATTGCGATCATTAATGAGCCAGTATAAAGTTTACTGGACTAAGGAAACAAAAAAAAGCAATTAAAGTTAATCGTTTGATGTATGTCTCCAGTGCAGCTATTAGAGAAGAAAAGGATGCCTTCCCACAAGTATGCTAGGAGTATCTTGAGTAGCCTGAATCAGAGTGCCATTGTGGAGACCTGAAGCCACGCACAGCCTCTACAAGTTGGCAGTAACTCAGACCTCGAAAAGGGGCTACAGGCTCTGGAGAGAGCAGACTAATTGAGTGCATGTCTCCCAAAGTTAATACTTACCCCTCCTAGGTGCGAGCATTTGGATTTTAGCGTCCTTTTCTACGCAACTTAACTTACTGCTTACTGGCCAGCTCCTTGCTATTCTTTTTTAGGCCAGTATAAACACCACCCCGACTTGCAAAGAACATGTTTTGACCTAATTCTTTACTTGGCAGCCGGATACGAATTGACTTTACTGGCAATGGATTGGAGGCTATGCTGTAACTTCCCATTATATGCATGATGCTTGAACTGACAATGGACACTTATTAAATGCTGAAAAGTCTATATGTTTTGCTTAAGTTAGTTTAACTTGCTCTCGGCTTATTTGGATGCTCTTGAGCACTTGGTTAGCACATAAGTGATTTGAGTTAGTTATTTAGAATTGTGTTAGTGCAGGATCAATCTAATCAGTCATTAGTAAGAATGCCCTGTTGCTGCTTGTCTTACAACATGACCTTGTTAACTCATGTATTATGGGGTACATTGCACCTTACAGGTCCAATGGCCAATAGTCACCTAAAATAGGATATTGTCTATTAGGATTTCTATCTTTTTAATAATATTTCCCCAGACACATAAGAGAGAGCCTTAAACTAGGGTGAGTTATTTAGTAATATAGTTTATAAATTATATCTCACTGGGTTCTTTCTATTTCTATCAGGTAGGATAGTGAGAAGGCGAATTTCTACATTCTTAGGATCAAGAGGAGAGTAGGAAAAGGAGTCCAAAGGACGATCTATTAGGGCAGACAGGCTCTCTACTATATGCCAGGTCTAAGCACGATCCAGTGAGATGTAAAGATGTTTGAGACGGAGATGTAGATATATTTAGCATTATTGGCCGTTGGAGCGCTTTGACCTTGTGGCTTGAAGCGCTATGAAGCCCCATAGTCAGCTTATACCCGAAGGCTGGGCTGCCGAACCATACCAGTGCTGCCAGATGGTCTAGCGTTGATTTAGTGCTACCTGATATTTACTTAGTTAACTAAGTTATCCACTTCTGCATTAGTCACACAAAACTCTTTTGCGAAAACGGTCTATTCCACTCGGATCTCGGTTACCAGACTCCCTGGCCATCCAAGGTTGGCTTTACTGTCGAATTAGCCCACGTCAGGGATGATCAGCAGATATGAAGCTGACAAGCACGCGCTATCTACATGGGGAGATACGTGCCTACCATGTTTCTGGTAGTGTGTACGGGCCTCTAGAGCCGTCGGCGACCTACAGGGTTGAGTGCTCTGACAAGCAACTGCACCATGCGGTGGCGCCGAACCTGGACCGGGCTGTTTACACTACCTACCACAGCGTGGTGTGCGTCAGCCAGAACAGTGACGTGCTATGGCACTATGACCTAGAACCTCGCTCCATCCAGCGCTACTTGCGTCATCCCAGATGCATGTTCTCCCTGGACGGGGCCTGGGTGTGGGTGTATCGCCCCGACGCCATGGCCGACCGTGGCCCTGATATATTAGTCGTGTTACGCGCCGACACAGGCGAGGAAGTCGCTAGGACAGAGCTAGATAGCGTTGGGGAGGGAGCTGAGCTCGCCCTACATCCCGACGGACGGCATATCCTGCTAGATGTAGGGGAGGGTCAGGATGGTGTGAAATTATACCGAGCAGCATTCACTGGCGATGACATCGACTTACACTCTTATGGGTGGGACGATCGCTGCTTGGTCGACGTGGCGCCCGATGGCCAGTGGTTCATGACGGTCGACCATGGCCGGCAAGACGTCGCCTTTCATGTCTTTTCTAGTGGCGAGGTAGTACTGCGGATGCCAGTTGAAACATTTGGCTACCAGTATTTTGGGGATGATGAAGCACGTATGCACTGGAACGGCGGCTTCCTCAATGCGGACATCGCGGTCGTCACGATCGCGGGCGAGAAGGACGATATAGAGTGGCACCGCCACTATAGCATCGACCTACGCACAGGTACACCGCGCGGCCGCTTCGAGGCATACTCGCGTGATAACTATGACTTCGAGCCCTAGGAGACGGCACCTGGATTGTCTCCGGCCCTGACGGCAGCGCCGTCCGTCGCCGGCTGTCCACGACGGACCAAGGTGTTTAGGACATAATTATTGTTGCGGCAACCGAACAGTGACGTTGATTGTCTAATAATCAGTAGTGGGCTGATTCTCCTACTTCACCCCTATTTACGGATTTTGACAGAAATAGTTGGCGTGGTTAGGCGCAGGCCGATTCTGGTCTCTTTCCTGAGTGCACCGCTCGTGGTTCTCGGAGCATGCTGGCTATCAGGAAATGCATATCCTTGAGGTTACCTCTTTTACGCCTCTTCTTAAAGATTGACAACGGCATATATCGACCAGGCCTCACATACTAGTGAACGACAGAGCATTTGAATTCATATTCAGTATCACGAACTGGCAAGTGTCTTGGTGCTTTAGGCACTTAGTAAGATAGTGCTCTTTACTAACTAGTATTACCCCTGGCCCATGGTCAATGCCTATATCGACTCATAGTATATGCACCTCGCAAGGGGGCTATTCCTTAATGTCTATAGTAGTATTACGCCCGAACTCCTCCGAAGGGTGAGGTCACCTGTAATCTGGTTGATAGTAGAGTAGAGCACCGAGTTTTAAAAACGCGCCTTGACCCGCCCGGATCACGACTCTTATCATATGCCAGCATTGTCATTGCTCTTCCCTATAAACAATAATCTAGGTCATCTTACGATCAATTCTGACAATCTCCACATTAGCTTACAATACTCGTTATATTATCAAGATCCAATCTTTCCAGATTAAAAGAAGAAATGACTTGCCCAGCCTCGCCCGCCATCAGTCGTTATGGTCCTGACCCCAGCAACCACCCTGACCAAAAAGAATTATCCAACATCATCAGCAACCTAGACTGTGGCTCTGACGCTCCCTTTGTTATTAGACTAATGGGGTCCTCCAAACTCTGATAGAAGATAGTGACATGATAGATGCCATTAGCCTTCCACCTTGACTGACTAAAGCTTTTCTTGATCAGACTATATTTAACCAGGGAATGGAAGACATGTTTTGCAGAGCAGATGGAATAAAAGTGCCTTAGGAGTAGTGGTGCAAGCCAGATTCATTATTATTACCACCACTGATGGCAGCAGAGGGTAAAGCACCGGTTGAGAAAGATAATAAGGAGAACAATGAAATAATTCAGGAGAATATCAGGAAAATGAAAAGCAGTGAACTGAAACCGTGTGGCGTTGTTATTCGGTCAGATTATGATATCAGTCCGAGGTAGAGGTTCCTGCCATCTGTCATACTGATTTGTGACCAAGCCATGATGGTGTTCCTTACCATTTCCCTTGCATCGAGAAGATCGATGACGACAAGGGTTACGAGAAATCATGATACTACAACACTAAGCTGAACGACTCTTGGTAGCTGGCGACTGCTCACTGCTTGGTAGTTTGCGAGTATCACGGACAACACTTGACACACCCTTCAAAGTGGGGATATATATCTCTCCGTCACCTTAGCAACTTGTAACCACTCCACGAAGAAGCAAGTGTATCGAACAACTTTTTAAAATGTTTATCTGGTTAATAAATCCATTTATACAACAAGATCTTGTAACAAATTCATCGCGCTACATTGTTACAACCCGCTCCCATCAGTATGGCGGATATATTCCTCCATTTCCTTATTTTTGACGGCCCTGGAGATTGGAGACACTCATATCTCACGCGATAGAAATAGCCTGTAGATCCTTTTCGCAAACACCGAGACTTGTGGGAGGCTCGGAAAAGCTTGGTCTTCTTGCTCCTGAGCTATCTTCAAATATGAGCTGTCAACATTCGGGGAATTGTGACCCTGCATATTGATATTATTCACCAGGGTTATCAAGTTGTAATTCTATGAAAGCTGGGTCACTCTGGTACTGATAATGAATCCCCTTTTTCTGCTAGGACTTCTCATGAGCATACTCAATACAAATTGTGATAGACATACTCTCAAAAGAGAATGTAATAGCTTGACAGCGAGAGGAGTATCAGATGTGACCCGGCACAGGCGACTCCAGAACCAGATTGCTGATGCAGATTAAATAAACCATCTTCCTCTCCTTAATCCCCAAATGCAGATTGTAGAAAGTATAGGTATAATCCGCCGTACAATTATGATTCCTTGCTTAATAGCCGGTTCGTCACCAGCAGCTTATAGAAGCATGCAATGCCCCGTCTCAGACAGCTTCATCTGTCCAGAGCAGCAATCATGACTCTGGTCATTACAGGGACAATATCCGACTGTTTGTCACTTGACTATATATGCAAAGGCTTGGCCCAACACTCCGCCCCCTTCAGTGAGCCTTAACCTAACACTTCGTTCGGATATGGTCATTCGTCTGCTTCTTATAAATGCGACTCTGCTTATCACGAAGATGCTGATATATCCACCAGAATAAAACCCTCCTATGGGTTGATAGTTTCCTATGCAGGGGGTATCTGTCCCATCGCCGAAAATCTTCGTGAATAGTTGTGCCGTTCTGCTACACAGCAGGCATATACATATACAGGGATATATATAAGATAGAGAGAATCATAAATGTATAGCTTCCATTATTGAGGTGGAATATATATATTACCATTGTGCATATATATCAACCCGCAACACAGGGAATGTCATGCCCTCTCAAGGGTCTGCGTTCCTGCAGGGACAAGTACATGGATGTCGCCAATTCTTGCCTCTCTCGCCAATGCGATCACTAGACTGGGTCATATGATGACCTTATTGATCCATAGTCGGTGTGGGAATCAATCGATTAAGTTCATGAGATACTGGCCGATGGTCTCAAGCCCGAACTTTGTCGTCCCGATTGCGAAGATCGGAAGCAACAGTCGGCGGGACAAGAAATTAAAAAGGGGGGAGAAAAGACTTCACAGTGTGCCCTACAGAGGGTACGCTCAATGCAGGTAGTTCGAGGTGCTGGTGTTGCGGGGCCCCACAGTCGGAGGAATACGACCATTCACATGCCCAACTGCGCAGAAACAGGAAGATTCTCGGTGAATATTTCATGGAAATAGCCGGAGTGTGGCCGGCTCCGCGAGGGCAAACGATCATTTCTCGAAGCACTTTGGCAGTAGAGTTCAGCCACTAACGCCGAGAGGCGAGAAATGATCCAATGGGAGAATCCTCGGCGGAAATGTTCGAGACAAACCAATCATCGCCTCGGGACGGCGTTTTGACTATGGCCATTTCTCCGGGGAACAAGTCGAATTCCCCAGTCAGACTCAGCAGAGTCTGCGACACAGAACGTTAGCCGGCCCGGCGTCGCAGAAACTTGGGGAAGCCGAACGATGGTCCCCCCCTCTCAGGCCTCCCGCTCTCCCCCATGGGGATACACATTATCCACACCCATGGCCAGCTCTGCCCCGGTCGATCTGGGAAAGTCTCTCACCGGTCGTCTGGATGAGTAAAGTCGCCTTCATGACTTTGGTTCTACTCTCTTGGCTGGATCTAGGCCTCGTGTGACAGACAGGGACTGGCATGGCGACTGGCCATCGTCGAGTCTACCACTGTCTATCCCCCGCCAAGATTGCCGGGATTAGACTTCCGCCAAGGAGCTAGAATGGTATGGCTTGCTGACCACATAAACTTAACCGCGGAGATGCTGTGTCTTTTGCGGGCGGCGTCGATTGCTTTGCCCGATGCTGTAGTGTGACTGTCTCACTTGCTCGGTCACATAAAAGGCACCCCATCTCCCCGCCATACCGGCATTGTCTCTTCTGCACTCGACACCTCTTCTTCATCTGCTCATAATAATACTTGCACAATGGGGTTCATGCTCAAGAAGCCAGAAGGCGTGCCAGGAAAGTCCTGGCCGGCTATTGTCATCGGTCTTTTCGTCGCCTTTGGAGGTGTTCTCTTCGGGTATGTCCCTTTACACTCGATTCCTCCTGCAATGACCTCGTCTGACCAATCTAGATATGACACAGGAACAATCAGCGGCATTCTTGCCATGCCCTACTGGCAAGCCCAATTCTCCACCGGCTATCGTGACTCCACCGGACACCTCAATGTTACCTCCTCTCAGTCTGCCGCCATCGTCTCCATCCTCTCTGCTGGTACATTCTTCGGTGCTCTGGCTGCTGCTCCCATGGGTGACCGGATCGGTCGTCGCTGGGGTCTGATTGCTTCGGCCCAGGTGTTTAACCTGGGAGTCATCCTGCAGACTGCCGCCACGGGTATCCCCCTCTTCCTGGCTGGTCGCTTCTTTGCCGGTCTCGGTGTTGGTTTGATCTCTGCTTTGAGTATGTCTCCCTCCCACTGCCTTACAGGACCCTGCTAATGGACAGTCCCTCTTTACCAATCTGAAACCGCCCCCAAGTGGATCCGAGGCACTATCGTTGGTGCCTACCAGCTCTCCATCACCATCGGTCTCCTGCTGGCCTCGATTGTCAACAACTCAACCCAGCACCGCACGGATACCGGCAGCTACCGCATCCCCATTGCTGTCCAGTTTGCCTGGTCCATCATTCTCGTTGGCGGTATGCTGATCCTCCCTGACACGCCCCGGTACATGATCAAGAACGGCAACGTCGAAGGCGCCGCCAAAGCCCTCGGCCGTCTCCGCCGCCTCTCTGCCGATGACGCGGCCGTCCGCGAGGAACTGGCCGAGATCCAGGCCAACCACGAGTACGAGCTCAGCCTCGGCAAATCCACCTACCTTGACTGCTTCAAGGGCAACCTGCTCAAGCGGCTCCTGACCGGTTGCGGCCTGCAAGCCCTGCAGCAGCTGTCCGGCATCAACTTCATTTTCTACTACGGCACCCAGTTCTTCAAGAACTCTGGCTTCGAGAACTCCTTCACCATCAGTCTCATCACCAACTGCGTCAACGTCGGCTCAACCTTCCCCGGCCTCTACGCCATCGAGAAATGGGGTCGCCGCCCTGTCCTCTTCTGGGGTGCTGTCGGCATGTGCGTCTCGCAGTTCCTCGTCGCCATCCTCGGCACCACCACCACCGGGCAGGACGCCAACGGCGTCGTCATTGTCCACAACGAACCCGCCCAAAAGGCCGCCATCGCCTTCATCTGCATCTACATCTTCTTCTTCGCCTCCACCTGGGGCCCCAGCGCCTGGGTCGTCACCGGCGAGATCTTCCCCCTCAAGATCCGCGCCAAGTCCCTCTCCATGACCACCGCCACCAACTGGCTGCTCAACTGGGCCATCGCCTACTCCACCCCGTATCTGGTCGACTACGGCCCGGGCAACGCCAACCTGCAGTCCAAGATCTTCTTCATCTGGGGTGGCTGCTGCTTCCTCTGCATCTCGTTTGTGTACTTTATGATCTACGAGACCAAGGGCCTTACCCTCGAGCAGGTGGATGAGCTGTACGGCGAGGTGAGCAGTGCCCGGCTGAGCAAGCACTGGACTCCCACCATTACCTTCCGCGAGATGCAGCAGGAGAAGGCTAGGGATTCGCATTTGGAGACCGCCGAAGAGACTGTTCCGAAGACGGCATGATGTGATACACGCTCTTGGTTATGTTGTGATGTGGAAGTGATGTAGTATATATAATACGATTGTTGACATCTATCCTGTGATATATGGCCAACCAACTAGATGAAGGATTCATGTTTAATGCACTATAAAAATTCCTGATATTGTACAACACTCGTAGAAGCAACCAAACTCATAGATACCAAAGCATGCGAATAAGGAGAGGGACATGCAAAGAAAACAAACTTAACGACCCTAGGACCTGTCAGGAGGTCGTATCCTTGATGATCTTTCCGAGTATCTGGACGTTCCAGGGGACGGTTTCTTGACTGATCGACCTTGACTTGCGCTATCTTTTACATCGTCCTTTTTCCAGTCATTCCTCTGGTTCCCTTCCATTGAATGTATTCCACTTGTTTTGATGAAGGTGAGTGTCTGTCTTGTATTTTCCGTAATATATACTGACATGGGTAGGCTGGGGCCACGCTGAGGAAGAAGTATAGTAGGCATGCGCGGAAGGATATATAGATCGCTTAGTTGCAAACCCGAAATATTTGTGCTCTCCTAATTGAACATGGAATCTAAAAGCTGTATATTCAGTTTTGATTATGAACCATTTATAGCAGTGTTGCCCTAGACATAATGCTATCCATGTAACCGCAGTTGCTGTTTCCCTGTCCATCGCCCATCGCCCATCGCCCATCGCCCCTCGCCCCTCACCCATCACCCAACCTTCATCGATTCTTGCTCACATTTTCATTGGATGTTGTGAGAAGCTGTTGGACACTAAACACATATGAATACATTATGCAGCGTCGTAGATAAAGTCAACAAAACACAAGGTCGAGAAAAGACGTGATGTCAATATCTCCTTTTGGAAATACTGCCCATCAAACCCAGTTAACCAACATGGACGCCTGCTGGTCAAGGAAAGCCATATCTGCATAGGATGAGTTGTTACCATAGCTACGTAGATGAATAGACTGGGCACATATCCCACGGAGGTAATCGAATACGTCTATCATATTAGAGTTGGGTCACACCTCGTATTCACGCAGCCGAGGTCTATGACTTTTAAGACTCGTATGACAAGCCAGCTGAGACAATCCAGAGAAACCGTTGACTCCGGCGTTCCCAACCACCACTCAACAACGGGGTACATATCAAACTCTGAAGACACGAGATACGAGATGCTGATATATAGTCACATCTCCCACCCCGCATCAAGTCAAACCAACCACAACACTCAGAATGTCAGATCAAAAATCCTACACCGCAAGCTGCCACTGCGGCAACGTCAAACTCTCCTTCTTTACCTCCCCTCCAATCGAAGAAACAGACGTCGTCTCATGCAACTGTACAACTCCCGATCTTGGCATCGACCGTCCAGCTGACAGACACAGGCTCCATCTGCCACATCAACGGCTACATGCTCACCTTCGTCCCCACGTCAAAGGTCACCTTTGAGATGGACAAGGACGCAGTAACAGTATCCTAACTCCCCGTTCTAGCGTCTGTACATTGGGTTAATGGAGACAGGAATACCGCTTCGCATCGCGCAATTATCCACATTATTTCTGTCGCACTTGTGGGACGAGCGTGTATGCTCAGTCTGCACTTCCGGGTGAGGATCAGCCTACGGCGATTAATGTATGTTTGTCCTGCCCCTGGCGTTGATAGTGGGCAATGCTGAGAGTGTAGGTACGTGCGATCCATGGGATCGATGTCAAGGGGTTGAAGGTTTATGAGCCTGATGGGAAGAACTTGTAATTTTTGTCGATCTTGTTTCTCAAGGATCTCATTTGATAGTGGATATTTGGTCGCGGAGGTGACTTGCTAATAGCAAGGGGAGCGAGTGGTGTTCTGTGGCAGGAGGATGAGTGTTTGAGAAGTTCATTATTTACCTTGATTCTCAGTAATCGACGAGCTATCAATTCTTGACCTTACCCCTACAAGCTGTGGGGAAGGGTATATAGCTACTGATAATCCTTCTCATCCGTCATAAACTCCTCATCATTCAGATATCTGAACCGCCACCAGAAGACAACAGTCTGCACAGCCAACGCAATACCCGGCGCGGCCCAGATCCATATCAGCCATGGGTCCCTCGTCGCCGGAATCAATATCTCCCCCAGCGCACTGGACAGCGCATTCGTAAACAGAAACACGGCCGTGACTAGGCCACGCATACTCGGCGGGGCCCGCGAATACGCCAGCTCATACGCCGTCACATTGCAAAAACACTCCGAGAGCGCACCCAGCACCGTGTTCGGGATCTGCCACCAGATGCTCAGTGGGCTGACGCCGTCGCAGGTTGAGGCCTGGTAGCCGCAAGGTGAGGTCTCGTATACGCGCCACTGGACTATCGCTGCGATGACGCTGGAGATGGTTGCGAGGAGGAATCCGAAGGCGATCCGGCTTGCGGGGCCGAAGGAGATCCTGTACCGCGCGAGAGTGGGGTAGACGACGTGGCTGAGAAGGGGAATCGTAACGATGATTGTCAAGGCGTTGAAATTGTTGAGGAGATCATTGGGGGTGCCGTTGGTAGTCATCGAAGCACCTTGATTAGTGGAGACGGAGCCGATGCCGCCGTCGTTCAGGATCCAGAGGGGGAAGTAGAAGAAGACTTCAGTGGCCACTGTGCGACTCGGATTGTTAGAGTAGTCTTTGAAAGGGTTAGGTAGTTAACTCACCTAACGTCCGTCGAATGTCGTCCACAAGCTTCTCGTCCCAATCTACCTCGATCCCCTCCGCGGCGAGCGCGCTAGGCTTAGCGACGTCAAAGAAATTCTTCTTCCAAACGCGGTATTTGTTGCGTCGGAGAGCGGTCGAGATGATCTTCACGGCCTTGGTAAGATCGGAAGTGCCGCTCGGAGGTTGTTTGTAGGTCTTCTTATACACCAACGCCAACATAACCGGGAGAAGAAAGTATATCGCTCCCGCTAGCACCCACGACAGCCAGAACCCAACGTATTTCTCCGCATACGCGGTGGGAAGCATATAGAAAGCCCCAACATTCACGAATGCGTAGAATATCAGCATCGTTCGCGTGGTGGTCAACTCCGGATCGACAATGACCTTCTCGCCTGTCTTCAGGACCTTGGTATACTGCTTCTTTTGGCGATTCTGGTCGAGGATCGTGGGTGCAATGTTTGGCTTGAAGATCCCAGTCCCAAGCGCCAGAAGGAGAAGGCCGATTATGAACGGAGGCGCGGCGTGGGCTGGGCCTTTTTGGAGGACGGACGGTATAGCGCCGATGATCTGGATTATATGTGCGATGCCGCAGATTGCTACACCAACGCAGATTGCCTTGTACCGGCCCACATAGACGTCGGCCCACCTACGCCGTCAGATGAGTGTACCCACAAGGAGGATCAACTTACCATCCACCGAGAATAGGCAGGACGTAGGCAAGGAAGGCGAACAGAAGGACAAGCCCTGAGCTAGCCTGCAGGCCCATTCCCAAAGCACCGGCCGTCTCCTGTGTGCCCCTCGGGGGAGCGCCGGCTCCATTTCCACCTGTCTTCGGTTAGATTTTCTCCTTAAGACGAACACGGGGAGTATACCCTTTGGAAGAGGAAATTGGATGAAATTCGAAAAGATATTCTTGGCGCCATAGTAGGATGCACGCTCCGCGAATTCGACAACACACAGCGAAAATGACACCAGAGGGAGGGTCGCGGGGACTTTGCGCAGGGAGGTCTTTTCTTCTTCTGTGGGAGCAGGGTAGTCGTCGGTTTCGGTAGACGTGGCTGTCATTTCGTAGTTGTGCTTTTCGAGGTCGCCTTTGGCGTTGATCGAACCGGAACTTATCGTGTTGCTGGCAATGGTATCACCTGGTGGAGCTGGTATTGTCAGTATAGCTAGGCAACGGGCCGGACGAACATACACATCTTGATGTGCGATGAAACTGGTTGACGGTTTCAGACGAGGAGATGGATGGTTCCCTTTTTATCGACGCTCACCTGGTCGCGCCATCGAGGTCTGTTCTTTGCGTTGTAGGCAAACGACGGACTCCGTCGGTAACACGATCATGCAACATTCACTGGGATTTAGTCCCGAAGTATCAAGTGAGGTTCATTGGACACAACCATTTGAGGTATGTATATGCAATGTAACCTCAGGTCGGATTTGTTGCTTAGCCGTGCTTATCAGGGAAAGGCTGCAAGCTAAAGCACGTTGATCAATTCGAGTCCACTATCACGCCATCAGGTCCGTCTGACATTTGTTCTGTCAACAAGCTAGCACCTCAGTTTACCTCATGTGTAAGGATTGGTGGGCCATGGAAGCTTCTGGATGCTTTCGCCATTTCTTTCTGCCAGTGCTTCATCGTGTCTGTCAAACGTAAAATCGCCGGGGCTGTAGGAGGAAAGGTATATCCACGTGCCACCAACAATATAGCACTATATGAGGTCAGTTCTGGATAAACTACTTATGTACTACTCCTTGCGTTGACCTTGTAGCGATTCGAGGTTAAGAGGGCAAGAACCACTGTGGTTCGGAGATCAAACCATTGGATAGCTTTCCAGGGACTCAATTTGATCAATAAACATACTGGCCGTACGATGTTCACTATAGGCTGGAATGACAGGGATGACACCTTGAGGATGGTGCTCAATGTCAATAACGTGAGCCTATTGAGAATACTTAGTTTCCACACATACTGCACTGTTGAGAAACTTGACGTATTGCGCCGAGGACAGTCTTCTGTTGTCTGGTTGGTCCCTGGTAGAAAGTCGCCAGCCCCTAGATTCTTGAGTGTGCAAACTCAGCATGGCGCCGTGTTGGAGTTGCTCTTCATGGCTGCATGTACGCTCTTATCTCCAGATCCTGGGTTGTCCCTAGGGACTGCCACCGATGTTGCCTGCGTCAGCGAGGCCTGCTACCAGAGCTACAAACAGCTTTCGTTGCGTGAGTCTAGATAGGGCCCGATGGCATAGCTGTGTTTATAATTTGGGCAATTGTGCATATGTCCCATTACTATTTGGATAAATGTTGGTTATGGCGAGAGAAAATAAACTCTACTGCGTGTGGAGATGAGTATCTATTACAACCTCAACAATCACTCTACTCAAGACCTGCCACTGTGTTTTGAAAAGGCATTAATTATGCGAGTCTTCACGAGGGGGCATTTATTAACCTCCACCCTAAACCCCAACATCTAATATCATATATAAGAGGTTCTGAGCCTTTTCCAGGAGGATTACTATAAATTATCACGGGCTAGAAGCCATGAAATCTATAACCTAGATTTGGATGGTAAGAAATTACTAAGAGGTTCTAACTAGGACTGTAGCAGCTAAATATGAAAAGGATGAGTGCTGCTAAGCATAGACTAGTGCGGATCCAGATATGGGTGTTGGTAATCTATGCAGGTGCATCGAGGGCTGTTTTGCAGAGAATCCTCATGGGGGAGGATGCAATCCCCCAGGCGCAAAGATTCCTTGCCCTTAAAATCTTGGTTTCCAAATGTTCCTGTTTAGGTAGGACTCGACCTGACTATGGCGGAGGGCAGGCCTAACCTTATCTTCTTCCCGAGCATTTGCTGACAGTGCATGTGTCCTGCAGGGGGGCAGAAGCGGGGTATCTCTCAGGAACTGGGGGCAAGTTGGTGGGGGCAAAGCCTTGCTGATGCAGATATTTAAAAGATCACTTGGATTCCAGAAAGTATCAACACTCAATGCATCCATTCATATCTTCAGACCATGATGGAGTCTGTTAGCAGTACTCCATTTGACCTCCATTCATTACAGAATTATGTGGCCTATGGTGCCATTAAGGGCACCAGTGTCTCTATATCATTAATTTACCATGGGACACAATTCCTCATTAAGTTTGAAAAACAAAAAGACGAGGCACCACCAAACTCTGAGTTTGAATGTTTCCAGAAACAGTGTCTCGAATTCATGATCGTTGTAGTTCACAGCCTGACAATCAGCTTTCATGGTGGGAGCTATGTCAGATGGTTGTATCAGTCTGTTTACCGTCGATAATTCAGCTTTCCAACAGCAGAAAATCACCAAAATCCTTGGAGGAATATCTCAGCGTTGAAACATTTGAACTGAAAATCCAGCGTGATGAAAGCGAATCGACAATCAAGGTGCTCAAGGAGGGCCCATCGGTTCTGCCGGCTTACGACATACATCCCCTTGATAGATGTTCCATCCACGATGAATCCCGTCCTAAAATAAGTGCAGGAGAGATCCTTGCAGTGAGTTTTCAGCGAAAACACAACCGTATACCGCAAAAAGTCTTCACACTCGACGGCTCTCCACAATTCTTTAAACCATGTATGTTTGGCATGGAAGAACATTTCATTGACGAGGTTCAAAGCCTCATCAAGCTCCGCACTGAGGGCATAGAGATCAGCGTTCCTACCATCGAGGGCCTGGCAATAACCTCTGAAGGCAAAGTTTTCGGGATGCTAGCACAATGGATTGAAGGTTGCGCCATCTCCGCTATTTCCCAAGAGTGTCGCCGGCGCCAATCCCAACAGTGGAGAAACGAGCTTTTCTGCACCATGAACCTGTTGCACCAGGCTGGAATCTTGTGGGGAGACATCAACCAGGGCAATATCATAATTGAAGAAGCCACAAATAAAGCATGGATAGTTGATATTGGAGGCGGTGACAATCGTGTTATGCTTGGTGAAGATAGATTCGAGGGCTTTGCAGGAGATCTGGAAGCGCTTACTCGCTTCTGCGAATCCTGGCTTCCAGAATGAGAACTCAAGTCTCTTCAGCTCCATTCAATGGGCACGACGTATCATGTATATTTCTGCCACTTACAGACATGTAGGCGTCCCTTAAGCGACCGAACCAGGGATATGCACATGGTTGGTAATTGCCCAAAACCAGCCGGGAGGAAATAGCGGGGATCACCGGGCAAAAAGCAAAATATGGACCTAGCGAAGCAGACACCGAAATACAGGTTCCCAGCAGAATAAGTAGGCGAGGCTTAACTGGCTGACTTGACCGATTGGCATTCCAGCGGAGAATCTGAATGAGCCCAGACAAACCCAAAATGCCCGGGAAAGGTCATTTTAAGAAGAGGTCCGAAATATGACATCTGTGCGTGTAGAAGACCAGATGGTTGAAAAGAGGACAGCCCATCTTTGGAGCATTCGAGCATTGACGAACGCAGGTCAGCTACGTCGGAGAAGAGCTCCTGCAGGTGAAAACGCGCGGAAGGCTTAGGGCTCTCGCTAATCCATGTCGTGGCTAATCTCAACGGCTAGAAGGCATTCAAGTGGTAGCAACCTTCACGGGCCACATCATAAGCTGGCTTAACTGAGCGTTGTGAAGATTCGAGACGGCTGTTTGAATCTTAAGAATTTCCTCTTTGAAAGACGCTAGAAACCAGCAGTCCATGAGGGTGTTGACGACATAGTAATGAGCCAAGATGACCAGCGAAAGTCCCCAGCCAAGATCCTCCGGTTCGTCCATATCCACCAAGGCGATAAAGTCATCTGAAACCAAGTTCGGCCAAGAGTGCACTGCGGCCTCTTCAAGATTGGCCTGGATGTGGGAATCATCTGGCGAACCCCATTCGCGGATCGAACACTCTAACACAGCCACAACGCGCGAGTAAACTGTTTCCAGGATGTCTATGGCTCCTGATGGTGCATCTCCCGCCCAGTCCGACGACGCCGGAGAAAATCCGGGAGTTAAGCGGAGCCCATTGCTATCGGGAGATTGTATGGCGTCGCAAGAAGCCCTCAGGTCCGCGATGGCTTGACAGGTTCCCTGGGCAAATAATAAAAAGCGCGGGGAGCAGTGACTGAGATTGGACAAGGATGAAACAAATGGAAGATCATCCCAGTACTCCTCGCCATGGAAATGTAGGACCATCGGCCGCATGCGGCTGGCTTTCAAGGCAGGCCATTGATCACGGATCACGGTGGACACCCCTCGGACAAGATGTAGCCAGCTCAGATGGAGCTTGCAAATCGGTCCGGGTGGTTGTTGGTATAGAGTCGTAGCGAATGGGTTCAGCTCCGGGACCTGGAGGGACGCATAGGCGAACGCGACGAGGAGGAGAGATCCAGCGTAAACAGCTTCAGCATTGGCATTGGATATCCTGGCCACCTCTTCCCTAAATCCCTGTAGCCCTCGCTGATGATGATCCATTACCACCAGCAAATCTACTGCATCTCTCTCGCCTCGCCGTTGCCTGGTGTGCTCCGCGATCATATGTATACCACCCAAGGCGAGGAGCAGGTGCATAAGATAGGGGTGGCTTGCAGCGAGGTCTGGAATCACCCGCCGCCAGACCATGCTCCGTTGCGGATTGAGGGACATCATTTGCGCCGTGTGCAAGTGGAAAAACTGCATGGAGAGGAGGTTGTCCATATTCAACGAGTGGTCATTTACTGGAGTGGGAATGCTCGCCGACCACGACGCACATATCTCCAATGGTTTCAGAAAGGGTTGCGAGTCATGGATATGAGAACTCCCAGCACCGCGATGCCGGAAGCGTGGCCGTTCCCATGGTGTTCTGTCGGAAGTTGCTGGGGGTTCGGGGAAGGAGCATGGCTCACCGCGGGAAGAACAAGAGCCACAGACAGGACGGGCTTCGTCACACTACAGACGCGTGAACAGGAGAACCGGGAGAGCAGATCAGAAGAGCAGACCAAAAAGGCGGACTTACTTTGACCCGTCGCGACTTGCAAGGGAAGCACCCAAGGCGCGATTTTTGGTGGCGGGCGCGGTGTCTCTTTCGCGCCTGCTGAATATTTGGAGCCACTGTCTCTTCACCCATGAATGAGGCGCCGCTCAGAGAAAGCCCAGCATGACCACTTAGGAAGAGTATACATGTATGATATTACAAGGTTATCGGCATCAAAGCGGGAGCAGATTGAGCGATTCCAGAGATCAGGACCGGGACTGGTAGGCAGAACTCCAGAAGTTGCGGCCGACCAAGAGTCCAAGTCTGCGAAGAATGCCCGAAACGCTAGTCCTGAATCTCCTGATTGGATGGAATGGATAATAGCAGCCGATAACCTCAAACGTTTCACCCCCATTCGAGGTGCAAAGCTTCCAAAAAAGGACGCCCCAGAAGATCTCCATTTTATTTCGTGGTTCCCCCCAAACAAAGCATGGCTGCCCGTCTCCAGGACTCATTACTATTGATCAGAGACATGAAACAGTGTTGAAGTTCGCCAAGATGGCCAGTCTTCGCAGCGAAGGTCAGGAAGTGAGACAGTAGCGGCCTCGGATAACCACCTTGATTGGCACCACAAAAAAGGGGACTCAACTTTATTGTATCAGAAACCAGTCTTAATGGAAACCCTATTTGTCTTGCTTCGCCTTCGACCCTGAGTGTTCGGTCCGAAGTGGGCCTCATATACGAATACGATCAAATCCTTAGCGGTGGCGGTGGGAAACCTCAAGTCTTGTGGGTATGTGAGGCACGAATCCTCAAAGACCCCCGGAAGGTACGTCGCGGGCTCTCATTGACTTGACTCCCTCCAATCATCTAGCATCCATGACCTAATGTCGATATACGAACCCCCAAATTATTTCTCTGAGAGATGTCTCCCGCGGTCCGCCGACGCCGATCGCTGTGAACTTCCCAAGCGGGAAGGAAAGCGCAGGCTACTCCTGATTTACATACATGGCTTCTTGGGGTCAGAGGACAGCTTTTATCAGTTTCCTAGGAAGGTCCATGACCTGCTGACGGTCTCGCTGGTAGAGACCCATGTTGTGTACTCGAAAATGTATCCACGCTACAAGACCCGGGGACCTTTACACAACGCTCGCGATGGTATCAGCCAGTGGTAAGTAATTTCCTAGCTTTCAGCAGAACTATCCCTCGTATTTCAATCCCCTCATAGCGTCTTTCAGGTTATCTCCGCACGAGGCATCGGACTTGGACATCATCCTCCTCGGCCACAGTCTAGGCGGCCTTATCGCTGCAGAGGTTGCCCTCATGACATCTCGCATTGCCTCTGGTCAGATTGAAGGCAAGAACCTGAGGCATAACATTGCTGGCCTGGTAGCGTTCGATGCACCATTCCTTGGACTTAATCCACGCGTTGTTGGAACAGGAATCGGCAGGTTATTTCATCGCAAAGCAGATACGAACAGTGGAGGCGAAGGTCAGGAAGGTGCCCTACGCGACATCATCGCGAACGAGGACGCAACATTCAACCCGGCCTTGACAAAAGACGTGAACAAGCCTCGGTGGAAAGGTTGGGATGGAGCGCGCCATTTCTTGGAGAAGAATTCACGTCATTTATCCCGTTCCGCGCTACAGTACGTGTTCTCATACTATGACCACGCCGGATGCTTGAACGATTATTTCGGTCTCCTAAGACGACACCAGAGACTCTGTCGCTTGGCCAAGGTTGACGGATTGACCGGTTCCAGCTCGAGAGGCGGGCGGTTCCGGTTCGTCAACTATTACACGACTGCCTACCCTGTGAAGAAAAATCTGGAGAGTGACATCGACAGAGAAACGAGACTGTGGAATGAGAAACGGCTTACCTGTCGCGAGACTACGGAACGACATGAGAATCTTGTAGAGCGTCGGCATTCTACATCGATGATACCTGGACAGCGAAAGAAGGGAACGGACGGCAACTCATTTCACTCGGCGGTAGATCCAGGGCCTTCTCCCACAGAGGTGGACAGTATTTCTCCTCCAGCAAGGTCGTGCGATTCAGACCAACGTGGAAGCAGACGCGGTGATTCAAGCTCTGGTTCGAGATCAGGGGGCCGACACTTCTGTCTGGTTTCGAATGAAGCCTGCAAAAAGCAGCTCTGGGTTCCGCTCTCCATGGACGGGATGGATGAAATCACTGCCCACCAGTCCATGTTCCTTCCTCTTGGCATATACTACGAGCAGCTAGTTGCGGATGTCGTGGCACGATTGGAAAACTGGCTAGTGTGAGGATATCCTGAAACAATCCGGGGCGTACGATCACCCTTGAGCAAGATGATGACGACGATGGTCGAGGTAGTGGCTCCAAGTGGAGAGGAGATAGCACGAGCACGGGGTTGACAGTCTTTCATCAATTTGGATCATGGCTACTACCTTAAGGCGACGACCTGCTATTTCTATTAGCTCTAGGAAAGTTGACTTGAGTCCCCCTGAGGGTCCAAGAGTATAGAGACCGCATACCATAGTAGGGCATTCCAGCCAGCTGGGAAGGTCACCACTCGACAAGGGCTTTGCCGTACGGGGCTGGGCTAGGCTGCGTGCAGGGATTTGCACTACACCGGATCCTCTAATTAGGACTTGACTGTCCTGGGTTCAGAAGCAGTTGAGGCGAGGCACAATGGTAAGATTCCAATTGGCAGTTTATTTTCCAGGCCGCCTTTTTAGAATTGTTCACTGTCACGAGAGCACCAGACATCTAGGTACTCTCCGCTTATGTACTATCTTCACCAATATATATAGCCTACCACTTTTTGCTGGGCTAAATTGAATACCTGTTGTACCCGTAACGCCCGGACAGATAATCTAATCTGCCACCACTACTGGAATCGATAATACAACCGGGATATCCCTCCAATTCAGGTTACAATATCCATCCCAGATCCACCGTCCACGCAAAGCAAACAAGCCTACGACACTAAAGCCACCCAGAACCCACCTAACAGACCCGCCCGTATTCGCATTGTGCAAGTGGGGCGGGGCAGAAGATCCAGACCTTCAAGCTGAGCTTTGTTTGAGCAGCCTTTGGAGCCCCACATAACGCGGACCCGGAAACAGCGCCATTGCCAGGCAAGCAAGAAGCAGGGTTCAACAGGGGTATAGAATCGCCCTTCAGGCTCACTCTCTCGCGCGTCCTTTCGACGAACATAACTAGACACTTGATACAAGTCCCGCTCCTTATCTTGCGAAAATCTTTCCCGTGCCTCATTCGAATCTTGCTAAAAAATGTCATGGCACAATGCGACCCGCTTACTAGGGCTGACTGTGGAGCTCTAGACATGTCTCCAGCCCTAGAGGACAAGGAAATCGAACTACATGTTGAGGTAAGCAGCATGCATCCTTAATGTCTGCATGCATCTACCTCAAACTCTGTATGAAGCGAACTTGACACTAATTGATGGGATAGCTCCGTACAAGCAACACTTCCCCCGAACATGTCCCAACTGCAGCGAATCAGAGGGCTTGGCTTACTCAGGCGTGGCGTTGGATAACAACCCCGAAAGGATTCTTCATCACCATCTACGGACTGAACATAGTCGGCTGGGGCGGGATGCTATTCCTGCTAATCTGCAATGCCGCCCCAGCCATGTGCCACCCGTCCTGCAACGATCAATACTCCTCCCGCCGGGTCTGGATCGAGATCACCTCCCAAATCCTGAACGGGCTATTCTGCGTGACGGGGTTCGGACTTGCGCCGTGGCGGTTCCGGGATCTGTACTGGTGGTGCTGCTGGCGGATGGCGGGGAGGGACCGGGAGAAGAGTCTCGCTGGCATCGCGCGCTTGGCTAGCATTCATCAAGCGTGGTATCGCTTACCGATTATTGTGTCATATGTTGGCTGTGTTGGGGACTGTGGTTGCGAGCCAAAAAAATCTGCTACTGCAGAGGCTCTTGACCTCTCGATAAATGGGGGCCGCGCACCGGCGACGGCGACGTGGAAAATGGATTTTGTTGTCTGGTGCAACATGTGGAACACCATATTCCAAGGATGCCTGGCTGGCTGTATGTGGGGGATGAACAGATTCAACCGGCCCAGTTGGACGACGGGCTTATTTGTCGCCTTGGCCTGTGTTGTGGCTGGTGCGGCGGGGTATATGGTCTTCTGCGAGACGAGGAGGGTTGCGAGATCAACAGAGACTAAAACAACCGATAGTGCTGTTGCAGAGAAGGGGGAGAACTGCGTTTGAAATTTCTCGTATGATACGCTTGATCCTGGGCTATTGCTGTATATATGTAGGTTAAGACTTCCATTCGCTTTATCTTCTCCGAGTCATCATTCCCTCGGTAGCGCAACGATGTCGAAGAGCCAACCTTGTAGTGATTAACATCTCGAAACTCCATGACACCTCCTGCAGACAATTCACGCCCTCTTCTTTACCCTTCGATAATTCCTCGAAATCCAGTAACGACCTGGTCCCGGTCCGTGTCCGTGTATTGGCCGCTCTCCAGCATCCATGCACCTTCACCACGGCGGGCCTTGACAATCAACTTCCTCGTCCTTGAATGAATCGACGCATGCAAGCTCTTCGCAATACCCGCGCTCGGGTATATCAAGACCCCAAACATGGCGCAACCAGCTTTAGACACCATATTCGACATGCCCTTGCCGACTCCTTTAACCGCACCTTTGGCGCCATCCTGCTGCATCCCTTGGTATGGCTTGACGACTATGTCGCTCACTGCCTCCGCCATCCCCCACACGAACCCATTTCCCGCGACGGCAAAGCCGCTCTTGATGTCTGTAACCGGACCGTTATCCCGGGGCTCCTCGCCGTGGAATCGAGGGATGTTGCGCAGTCCTTCGGTCAGCGCAAGTGGGATGTCCACTGCTATGCCCTTGAGAGCGGTGGGGACAAAGCTACCCAGGCTCTTAGCGGAGGCACCGGCCATTCTCGCGAAAAGCTTTCCTCCGCCTTGATCGGATGGCGGCTTAGTGTTGCTACTCGCAGCACCAGCACCAGCACCAGCACCCGCGGCCACCTTTCCCTTCACGATATTCGTCGACGTGGACCCGACAGATGAGCTGCTTTTGGGCATGTGGGAGGCCTGGGTAGATATACTGCTCGAACGCCGGTCCTTACGACGCTTGTGGTAATCCTGATACTCCTGGATAGGCTTGTAAAATGTGCCCAAAAGAGAACCAGTGAGGTCGGTGGTGGTGCGCATCACGGCAGACGCTCCGCCCGTAATGGGATCCCATCGACGGTTTTCAATCAGTAAGGGGTTAATGGGATGTCTAGAAGTCTGTCAGTAGCTGAGAGCAACAAGGGAGAAACGTGGAGGGGTCATTCAACGTACATGGTGAGATTCTTCTTGTCGATTAACCCGTCCGCAACTAAAGCCTCTGCGGCGAACTTTGAAAGCTTGAGCTTTTGTCGACTCTTGGGTACGGATACGGACCACACGGCAGGCTGGGATGGGTATAGATCGCACTGCAGACGGTCGAGGGGAAGGTTCCGATGGAATGACGCGACTGCGGCGTGAACGCCCGACTCTGAGCTCATTTTGTGCGCAATGGTCGAGGCTGCTGCCGCTGCTTGTTCGCTGAGACAATACCGAATGCCAGCGGCCAGCGCATCGTCGGTAAGCTGCTTATGTGGTATAGGGGCAGGTCCAGCACCGGCTGCAGCGACCATGGCGCCCCAGAATGGCTGGCTATTAAGAACTGTTAGTTGGCGGAATGATGATAGTTTATAGACAATGTACTTACTCTCCAAAGAAGGGAACAATAAGTGTTGGCTTGGAATACCGCAATCCGCAAGCTGTGGTACCCGCCCCTCCGTGATGCACGACAGCCGCCACATGGTTGAACAGCCATTCATGTGGGCAGTCCCCGATGTAGTAGATGTTGTCATGGTGTGCGCCGCCCAAGTTGGACCAGCCTTTGGAAACAATCGCCCGCGCGCCAACTGCGTTTACAGCGTTGATAATAGTCGTGGTGATCCGTTCCGGGTCTTCCAGTACGATACTGCCGAACCCAATATAAACCGGTGGAGGACCAGATGCGAGGAACGCTTGTAGGTCAGCTGGAGGGTCGTATTTCGGGGTCTCACGAAAGAAAAAGCCGCAGACATCTATTGAAGGGTCCTGTTAGTTCCCAAGTTGAGACAGCACAAACCAATCTGTACCCACCGATATAAGATGGCCAATCCAGAGGCTTGGGAACAAGCGCTGGGGACCAACAGTATGTAAATGGGACCTTTAGTATTTCTGCAAGATGAGGGCCTTCAAACATAGCCACATCTTCCAAGTCGAGGTCTTTTCGTCGCCATTCGTTGACCACGTCGCCCAGTCTGGAAGTGTTGGTTAACCTTCACTGCTCCTGACATAACATGTCGTTGGTTTCCCTACCCTTGCCATGAAAGCCAATCCACCACGCCGTACGAAACATAGTTCTTCAAACTTTCGTCTGCATTGCCACCGCTCATATTCGCCAGTGGGTGTGGAAAAGCTTTCGTGCTGCTCCAGGGCATGGTGAACATTAAATGCACCGGGATGCTCAACGCCTGCGCACAATGGACGTGAGCAAAGCTCGGCGGGTTAGCGATAATCGCATCAGCCACAAAAGGTACTTGAGTATGCATATCAGGATCAATGCAGGATCGCCAGCACCCGCGCAACATCTCGCGGACCATGATGCGTTTGCGCTGGATATCGCCTGCCTGCAGGCTCTCCATACTTGGAATGAGGCCAGGAGTCTTGACCATGTACGCCATCAGGTCGGCTGGATCGCCCCCAATCGGGTAGAATTCCAATCCAGAGTCCCTGACGAAACTTTCAAACACATCGTGCGTAGCTAGTCGCACCCGGTGTCCATATCGCTGGAGTTCGTTTCCAAGGGCAATGAACGGTTGCACATCGCCTCGGCTCCCGACGACTTGGATCACAATATTCAGCTTAACCTTCCAGCTCTTTTCAATTTCGACGACAGACTCGGGATATACCGGTGGCGGTCCAGAGATCTCTATTGTATCGTCGGCTGATTGCGGGGCCAGCTCGGAGTAATCTGGCGGGGGTGTTGTAGGGCGTCCTAGAAACGGACGACTGTACAGCTTGGAGAATCCTCGCACGAACCTGGAGTCCCAGTCGATACTCACGCGGCCGTCATCTGCAGATATGATATAAGCCGCCTTCAGATACCCTGTTATGAGCCTTATAGACCGTACCGTTCATACTGACGCCGCTTTTGCCGATGGCCGCACCGGGGAGAGATGGAGGAAGCACCATGGGTTCTGCTGGTAGCTCGAACACCTCCCGATTGTCATTGGTAGCCATGGTGGCTAGACTCAGATGGAGTGAATAAGAGCGAGGAAACCAGAGTCGGTCAAAGTGGCATTTTGCCTCCACGCCTCCTTTTAATCGTCCATTTGGCAAAGATCATACTCTCGACACCGACATGATCTGCCAGGAGCAGACTTGAACTTCGGGTTTTCAGGGGTGGGATTTCCATTGGATTTCTTTCCTTATCCGGGCGTTCTGGAATCTGGTCAGGGAGGGTGGAGTCAACGAGTGGAGCGAGGCGTTGGTTCTTAAGGTTTATACGAACACGAATTTGTTCTCTGATTCGCCGAACCGCAAGCTCGGCGGAAACTCAGAAGGATCTAGGACCCGCAGTCGAGATCCACATATGCAGCACGTATTTTCTTATTGTCTGTGATGTGAGTACGAGAACGAACCTTTGCAGCCACTTACCCCGAGTACTCCTGATGGGGTCCTGATATAATTAGGCAATGCTCATTTAATCGCACTAAGTTCAAGCCTTTTACTCCATCTAGGTCATGTCCACAGATCGTTCCAAAATAGCACGTTCACCATCACTAAGTCTTTCAAGGGTTGTACGCCGGCTACCAACTGCTATGCAAGCTTAAACGACTACCCTAGATACCTTTCTCCAGGCAATTTATCAGTCACTCTGGCCATGGTCTAGCTGTGCCATTTTCATCAAGAATTCAGCGCAGTAACTCTCCGGAAAAATGGGCCAATGATTTTGATTCTTCGCAGAGAGATCGACTGTGGTGGTGTACGTCTTCTCATAACGCCAAAACCGTTATCGTTCGCCGAACTAGCAAGAAAAAGATAGAACCTACAATTTATTTCCAGTTTTTCCACATGTTATAGTTTTAAATATGTCCAGTTCCTTCTCTTACTGCTACCTTCGCGATATTCATGTTCACCTGGCAGTGTTGTTCTCAATAAATCATGATACTCTGGTGGATCCTTAGCAACTACCGCCTGTTGAAACATTTCCCACTTGTTTTTCGCGTCAACATTAGGTGAAATGGAAGCTACTGGGACAAGTTGGGGCAATGGATCAGCCTCTCCATTGTCGCTAGAGCTTCCAGGAGTCACTGTTGGCTCTCCGCGCGTTTATGTTTAAGGCTATTGTGCATGTGTCCCATTACTATTTGAATGAACGTTGGTTATGGCGGGAGAAAGTAAATGAAAAAAACGAAAGAGAAGAAAAGAGGAGGAAAAATATTCTGTGTCTACTAGGTTTGCTCAACGATCCTTAAAGAGCATGGTGAGACCATATCAAAACAAAACTGCTCTGCAAAAAGGGATTTGTTTTCTCCCTGCCCTTGCCTGCTACAGCTAACTACCATCTTTTACCTTTCTCTTCGATCTGTCAGCAGTCCTTCCTTCTATGTTTTCCACTACCTTCAGTCACCACCAACCAGCAGCGTTGTCCGGTTCTGGTGGGGGGAGTAATCCAAACCGGGGGAGTCGCCCTCCTCATAGTGGCAAAGGGCCAGCTCGTATTATGGTACATCCGCTACTTTACTCTCACTATGAATGCTCTGACGATGGATGTCATGGATGAAGGAGGTGTGGTGCAAGCTGTGCCAGAGGCGCGGGCAAAAGGAGGGGATTTGCCCCTCACGACCCGGGCTCTCGAATGCCCAAGTGAGGACCGATAACACTTTTACCGCACTGTATGAGCTAATGTCAGTTTTTTAGAGGCCCGCCGAGCAGGGGGACCAATCCCCACAGCGGCGGCGTCGGAAGGAGGAATGAATGCCAGAGACCGCCGCAGGGTGCGCAGACAGCAGGAGCGACAGCTGCAGCAACAGCGGCACCTGGAGGAAACGCGAGAGGAGAACGTGCAGCCGCAGCTGCAGGTGCACCAACTTTCACGCGGACTAGAGGAATTGAGAGGGGAGAATGCGCAGCTGAGGGAGGTGGGCCGGCAAGCTCTATTTGGAGCTGCTGCATGGCCACCTCCAGCAAAGCCAGCGACCAGTCGAGAAACATGAGTATGGAAAGGACGAATATGGCGACCAGTATCCATGACGTAGTTAGATCGGTGAATAGTCTTGAGAATCGTTGATTTGCCTGTTCACTTGCAATTAGAAATGGACGAGTATGCCCGATAGAGCTTCATTTCTTTTCACTCATATGGTAGAACACACAAACAACTTTCGAGGACCAAAGGGGGGCAACCAGTCTTTGAATGGCTAGTATTCTAGTTGTTGCTTCCTAGGTATAATTGCTAATGGCAGAACCTTCGTACGCTGTGCTTTCTTATGGAGATCGAGGAAATATGATCTTTTGTGTGGGTAATCTTGTTAAACCCTGTGTACCTGGGGATAAAGCATTGCATTTATTTGTCTTCAATGAGTCCCGTGTACGCACGAGTCATCAGCTCGGGCTGATTGTATTCCTGCCCTTTATGTCGCAACTACTAGTTAAATGGCTTGGTGAGGCCTTGGAACTGGCTCAGGTGAAGTCGGCAAGGACTCCCAGAGCCGGAAAGTTGGTCAAACCCGGCCATTTAGAAAGCGTGGAAAAGTGTAACAAGTTGGTACTTTGGAGTCAAGTTAGACTCTGTACCCCGGACCATTCCACTCCATGCATTTCCCTTTTATATCTCTGTCATGTATAAATCAATCCATGCATACAGCTCGCCCTTCGACAATGAGTGCCATCAGCTCAACCGGGCGAGCCTCCGTGAAAGGAGTACCTGGATTGCTTGAGCTGATCATAGTCGATGAAGTTAAAGCCAAGAAACGTGAGAATTTCAATGCGAGTAATGCTTGTCCGAGACCAATGATGCCTCGTTTGGCGATAACTGAGCTTTAAACGTTAGCACAACTCTGCTAAGATCGACACCCCTACCGAAACCCGACGGGAAGGAGGACCCAAACACAAATAACGAAAAAGATGGGGAGCAGATTATGATGCTTACAGGCTCATATTTCCACTGTTGGCGGAAGGGAGAGACGCAGGGCTTGAGCGCGTAGTAAAGCCAGTATAAATGCACGATTGAACTGTTGATGCCTGTCTTCGACAGTTCAGGTCTAACGAATATTGGAGTGATGCACGCGTAGGAGAGGGCCTTTTCCTTCTTGTTCTTCTCCGGCCAGGCTTCGCACCTTCCCCTAATCACGTTAACTGGGATGAAGGACTTTGATTGCCGGGGTATGACCTTCGAAGGTGGTAGGTTCTCCATGAATCTGAGTACTGTTCTAACATTTCCGGCTCCTCGTAGAGCACGCTCGTCCTCTGACTCCTTCAAGTCCAGAGCACCCAATGACGAAAACCAGTTCAAAGCCTAAACCTGGCTTATAATCGTAATTGTCGATGTCGACAGCACCACTCGGGGAAAGCTCCGTTTAGTATCCACTGCAGCTCAGGGTAGCATGTCCTTACGGTCAGATAAGCCATGTACGCACGATGCGCTAGCTTCTCTCAGTAGAAATCCTCAACAGGACAGCGCTCACTTCAAGTCTCTGTAATTCCATTGATGTTGTTATACGCCGCGCGGGGACTAGGAATGGTTCGAGACGCCATCCACAATCATCTCATGAGGGAGAATCAGCTCGCTCTATGTACGTGGACGCGTCCTGTTATGGGAGGCATGAACCCACCATTCCCTTTTGGGAAGATTGTGTGTGGTTATGGTGAATGACCAATGAGGAACACTGGCAGTTGTAAAAGAATTTTTTCCTCTTCTTCTCTTCTCTCTCCTTTCTTCTTCCCTTTCTCTCCCCATCGTGTTTTCTGCCGACGCTGCGTTCACGACGCTGCGAAGTGTCGTGTTGGTGCCACAACTGCACCCTTCAGCCGGACTTGTGAGTCGATGTCACCGTCAGAGGGCTTTCGACTACAATTTCAATTCACCACTCCTGATCTCACCATCAGTAGAGTTTAGGTCTTCCGATGATGTTCGCATGTCTCAACTTCATCGAGAGGGATGGTTAATATTCAGCAGAGACATTTAATTCAATTGATTTGCGGGTCCCTATTCATAGCTCAAGAAAATGTTTGTTTAGAAAAAAATTAAGTCACAAGGTTTCTACTTCGTTGATAGACCCGTTCAAGTCAACATAACCACCTAGGATCAAATCCTAATAAACCAACATAGTTTGTCCCAAACTGGAGCACGCCTTACTTTATGTGTCTGCTAGTGTCCCCTGCTCTGCTGCTAGTGCTAGAAAGCGTGCTGCAGGGCTGGTGACTGAGACTCCTACCTATCAGTGGTTGCCTGTTGTCTCAGAAATTCTGGACTCCAGTTCTGCAGAGACAAGGTTACGTCTGATAGTAGTGCTGGAGTCCACTATCCTGCCTATCAACAGTCGTCGTGAGGCAGTCGCCCAAGCTAATGGAATGCACTTGTAAGTCGCCAAGCGTATCATGCGGGGTTGCTGACCGGATTGCTGATTTCCTTATATCATCAGGGACTATTCGTTAGAACCGAGGGATTTATCAACACTATAACAGAGCAGGGTCTCCCGTGCCACAAAACAAGTTCGCGCTTACATTTACTGATTATTGAGATTTATGACTCGGCAAACAAGGACGGCAAATGGGGACATGGGTATTCCGCATAGGGCACTTGTTGTGGAACTAGTCGAAGTACTATAGATACCATTGCCATATAATTACCGTCTGGAAAGTCGTCTATGCAGCATTCACCGCAGATGTATTATTAACAGTTTCAATGCAAATGGAGGATTGACGTCGACGTTACAAAGGAGAGATAGACAGGCTCACTAAGGCGTCATGCTGCTCAGTGAAATAATTCAAGTCTCCCAGGCCTAGGCCGGAAGGGCTAAAAAGATGATGCTCGAAATATTCTCATTTTTTTTGTTACTGCGCGAAAATCGCTCCTCTGTTGGGTCGAGACTTTGATAGTCGTGCAGACAATGGATATCGCGGCTCAGATAGGCTCAGTTAAACAACCTTCGGGCCTGACTATCAGTGGGGTTTGAAATTGTGATGGAGCATCTAGCCCAAGTCTGCACGGATTTTCTTGATGCGGGTCAATATTCATGGTTTAACTGGATGTTTGTTTTCGACATACGACTACATAGGTCACAAGGCTTCCATTTTCAAAATAGAGTCATAGACCCATCCGAGGCGATGAATTACCTACGAAGCCACGAACAACGTCTTAACAGGAATTCAACGGTCGACATAATCGCAAAGCTTGCTGTTCTAGGCAAAATGTTTCACTTTCACAGTAAGCCTCGGGAGGATCCCCGGTTCACATGTGGGGTTACATCGAGTCGTCAGCCACGAGGCAGCATAATTCGTCCGGACCCCTGTCTGCAATATCGCATCTCGCTTTCTTTTTGCGGGGTACAATATAGTCCTGTTCTCCCTGTTACGGTATTGGGGGAAGAATTCATGGAACCTGCGCAGGGCACAGACATCTTGATTCTTGCAGGATCATGAAGACCAGGAGTCAACAATAAGGACGGGGTATAAATTCCCCCTGGTCAACTTCTTCAACATACACGCAGTAGCCCCATCAACTCATCATCATCAATCAGAAGTGAAAATGCGTTTCCTCTTCTCCCTCCTCGCGGCCACGGCCCTCGCCAGCGCCATTCCAACTGCAACAATCACCAAACGCGACGCCACAGCCGTCGTAGATGCCGTTAACAGCATCGCCAGCCAAATGGTCGTCCTCAACAACACCGTCACCTCCTACGACGGCGGCATCCAAGGCACCCTCACAGCCCTCAAGATCGAAGTTGAATCTGTCAAGCTCTCCTGCGACCTCCGGGACGCGATCTCCACCACGCAGGCGTCTGCCAACTTCACAAACGCGGAATCACTCACTGTCGCAACTGCATTCATCAACCTCCAGCCGCAGATCTTCTCCACGCTGAACAATATCGTCGCGAAGAAGCCAAAGTTCGATACAGGGTTGTTGGGGATTGGATCGTTGGCATTCCTGGTTAAGGGCAATTTGCAGCAGCAGAAGGATTTGTCAGGGCAGCTTGGGAATGCGGTAGCGGTGAAGTTAGCACCGTTGTATGCGCAGCTGGCGCCGATGATCAATAAGCAGATTGCGGATGCGTTTGACAAGGCTATTGCGGCGTATAGTTGAAGAGATTTGAGGGCTGTGTTGCGATGGTCGATTGCCATGGACATATCTGTGTGTTGTTGCTACTCACTACCTAGGGTTAGCACTGCAATGGGTAACATAATATGAAGGCATATGATTCGCCTCTTGAGTTCCAGCGTATCCATTGCGACTTCCAAACGCTCGGAGTTGCTCCTAAACACAGGTCTTTCAAAATCAGTCATTGATAATCAACCTTGTACGGTGTACTTAAGATGGCACCATTTGTCGCTCGTATCATTTGGCATGCTTCGATCTTCGCGCTGTACACAAGATGCTGTCGCTCCGGTCAATTTGAATAGGTTCGCTGTATATCTTCGGGCCTTGTACCCTTTCGAACGTGGACACTTCAAGTCCAACGCAATAGCCATGATATAACTGCAGCCGACAGTACGGACAAGAATGGACGCTATCATTTGCAGATGGTAGACTGGCAGATGGCGCAATTAGACAGAAGCTTGATCAAGGGACGACGGACAAGTGACTGCGCACTCCTCATGAGGTACAGAAACTAGTTCGACGGGAGCTTCCCGACAGTTCCAACGTACACAGGTATCATGTTGCTGCTAATGTTCGTGCTTTCCTCCCGTCTCATCGGCAGTTCCCAATCCAATTTCACGATCGAGCCAGCCAGTAAGACAATATACAGCTAAATAACCTCTTTCTATGAGAAAAAAATCCTATAATAGATAGACGAAAAGTATCATTGTAGCAGACTATCAAAGTTTGATAATACAAGGCCGAAATCATAAGAGTCATCAATCGTGCAATTTCATGGTATCAAAGTCATTCCATCGCAAAGGATTAAGCATTATCAAATATCATTCTCATCCATTACCCATCGCTTAGAAGCCACGCTGGGTTCCTGCGGTGGCACTGTTGTCCAAGTCGGAATCGACACGAGGGTCGAGCTTGTTCGCGACGTTGGAGCCATGAGGACCAGCCGTGGTTCCAGCACCAGTACCAGCGCCAGCGCCAGTGTAGCTGCTTCCAGCCATAGCCTGGTGGCGAGCGCGGTTGTCCTGGTCACTATCCACACGAGGGTCGAGTTTGTTGCCAATGTTGGAGTCGTGAGGTCCAACATTGGAGGAAGTGGTGCCGTAGCCCGTCGTTCCAGTGCCGGTGCCAGTACCCAGACCACGGTTATCTTTGTCGCTGTCGACGCGGGGATCGAGCTTGTTCGCAATGTCGGATCCGTGGGGCCCGGCGGTGCCGCCCATGGCAGAGTGACGGGCACGGTTGTCCGCGTCGGAGTCAACCCGGGGGTCGAGCTTGTTGGCAATGTTGGAGTCGTGGGGGCCGACGTTGGAGCTGGCGCTGCCGTAAGTGTTGCCAGCAGTAGTACCTGTGCCGTAGCCGCCGGAGGTAGCACCACGGTTGTCCTTGTCACTGTCCACACGAGGGTCTAGCTTGTTGGCAATGTTGGAGCTGTGAGGGCCGGCAGTGCCTCCCATAGCTTCGTGGCGAGCACGGTTGTCTATAACGTGTTAGATAAAATCGTTAAAAGTCAGGAAGAGTGTGCATACCTTTGTCGCTGTCGACGCGGGGGTCAAGTTTGTTGGCAACGTTGGATCCATGAGGACCAGCATTGCTGCTTGTGTTTTCATAAGTGTTGCTAGATCCGTAGGTATTGCTAGTGGTTTCGTAGGTGTTGCTGCTACCATAGGTGCCAGCAGTGTTTCCACGGTTGTCTGCAAAAGTTAGATTCCTGGCAAGAGTGAAGAAGTCAGAAGGAAAGCATACCTCTGTCGCTGTCTACACGAGGATCGAGCTTGTTGGCAGTGTCAGATGTATGAGGACCAGCAGTGCCCCCCATGGCCTCATGTTGAGCGCGGTTGTCTAACAAGAAGGGTTAGTGGGAATCTTTTGCATTATTGAACACTGTTGAACATACCACGGTCGCTATCGACGCGAGGGTCGACCTTGTTGGCAGCCTTGGAGTCATGGGGCCCATGGTTCGTTGTGCTGGAGTCACCATGGTGGCCAGTCAAGGCCTCCTTCACCTTGTGCATCATATGGGACATCTTGTAGGAGACTTGCAATGTTTTGTATTCGAATTGATAGGTGTAGTTTTGTTATGGATTGTAGATTGGTGCAAACGAACTTAAGACGAATGATCAATCCTTTTATAGAGCATGTTCACTCTCATTCATATTTGGAGATTACGTCAAGCTGGGGAGAGTTGTGGTATCCCTGGAGTGTGGCAAGGAGCGATGCCGTCATCTCGCGGTCATCGTGCGGAGAGTCAATTCAACCACAACCAGCTGCACCTCATCGTCAGTGGATCAGTTTCAGCCACATGTCATGACTGACCTGAATTTCATCAATTTTGGTCGCCAGCCTTATTGATGTAAGTGGGAGCATGGATCTCGTTGTTCTCGAAACTGTATATCCACCAGGTCGCAGATCAATGGCGTTGCGCAATCCAGCGCCGATTATGATACAATTAGCCCATTTTACAGTCGATCAGCCTCCTCAACCTTCATTCAAGTGTCTAATCTCAGCGGAAAAGCAAATCGTGGCCCCGACGGCTTTGTGATTCGATGAATATCATCGTCATGATCTCCGAGCATCTGGTGGGTGTGGCACCTTGTGACTATTCCAGTTGGGATCAACAAAGTTAATTGCAGCTAAGCTACAGACTCATCCCAATCTGATAATGTCTTCTACCAGTCTGTAGCCGTTTGCTACTCCGTGCATACAATGATAGGGTTGTAGCCTTGTAAAACAGCTATGACTTGAATATGATGTCGGTGATTTTACCAAAGAGGCAGTGATCGGTTTTGCGCTAGGCACGTCCAAGTATAGAATAGAAGTGGAGCACTCAAGATGTCATTTCTCTTGGCAGGCAACAATAACCATAATCTAGATCCTGGATCATGTACTACTGTATTTAGTAGCAAGTGCTGTGATGAGGAAGATGCATAGGATGTCGCCATTTCATGCCTGTACTTGCCTGCTACGCAATAGCAACACTGTCTAGCTTATACAATAGTGATTTATGTCAATAGTAAACATCACCTAGTCCTTATAGAAATATGGCTATGCCATCAGGCCACTATCGTCATGTTTTTCAGATGGTAGACGTCATTACGCGCGTCCCCGGAATAGAACGTGTGGAGCCGATCGAAGTTGATAAAGCTAGCTACTTTAAGAGGCCCGCCATAACATCAGACAAGCTCGTCGTCGTTTTATCTGATGTCAGCCATCTTCATCATTGGTTACTGCAAATAGATACATAAGTAAGTTATACATGACTAGTATATACTAGCAGAGTATAGCCAAATATCCGCAGAGGTCGAAGGTGCGATTCAGAAGCGGGATTGCCGTGTCAAGCTTTGGCCACAGTTCTTGTTTTTCGGCCGTCGGACTGTCATATGCGGCCCATGTGGCCAGCTCTCGCAGTCAAAGACTTGGAGTTCGACTTCGACAAGCCGAAGCCCCGTCAGGGGATAGTTAGTTTGTATGCGGGCATGATGTGGCTTAGCAGTGCTGCTCGTAATGCTCTTCTCGGGCTGCCGCTGTTGCAGCCGCCGTGCCTTGCGACGTTCCCTCTAGTTGGGTCCGGTCTATACGAGGATGCTTCTGCGGGCCCCGAGATGGCGACGAGCATGGGCCGGAGGGCGGTTACTTTTGTTGGCCCAAGTCTACAGACTCTGCCAACCGCTTGATCGACCACAGATTTCGAGGTGCCCTCAGAAAATAGATGCACATTTCTGCACAGTTGTCAGAGGTTCAGTCCTGCAGCATTCACGGAATAAGAACAAATGAGGACCATGTACTTGTCTTCCTCGTTTGTGGCCTTGTTGGTTAACACCGTGTGCTCGCTGAAACTAAGGGCTGCATGGAAAAGCGAAGACACTGGTCTGATAGGAAATCATCAGATTGAGGTGTTTTTATGATCCGGTTAATTCAACGCACTGTGTGATAAGAAGACCGCCATAAATGCATCAGTCCTCGAGGTTGTGTCTACATTTAAGACACGCCAGCAGTTCCTTCCCTATTAGTAAAAGCCGAGAGTAAGTATATTTCTACAATGGAAGTCGCCATTCCAAGGACATACGTTCTCATTATTCCCTTGCTTGCAGCAGGGGAGAACGGTCAAGATGAGAGGAAAATCTTGACTCTAGTGATCTACACCCCACTAATATCATCATCATGGATGGTAAGGTAGCTGGGATTATTGACCGGGGTGCAGAGGGATACAGTAATGCATCAAGGGAATATTTGGTCTAGTTTGGATGACAGCGGATTCACCATGGAGAAAATCAGCATCTACCATTCTGCCCTCAGATGAATATGAGATTTGGGCCAAGGTGGATTATTCCATGACTCAATACATGGGCATCTAAGTGTACATAGTTCTGCCCCCAGCCGTCTATTCCTCTCCGTTGGAGACAAGCTTATGGACGTAATTTTCAAAGGCGTTTCAATTATTCCAATTATCTTTTTTCAGCTCCTGCTGTCATCCCAACTCCCTTACTCACTTCTCAGTAGCTCCAGTTTCATAAGCATCTCTGCTTCAAGAAACGAATGCGTCAACTGAATGCATGGTCACACCGAGACGGTGCTATCCGATTCTCTATCTATCATTCTAAGTCTTTACCGAATAACCGAAACAACCAATCAAACTGGATAAGGATAGCTTCTCCTTACTGGGTCTCAGGTTGGGATACAGACACAACCTGAGTCTCAGCCTGACCGTGACCCTGAATCTGTCGAAGCAGAGTCGGCGGAACCGGTTCATGCTCCCACCACTGTTGCCTGAAGAACGCCTCATCAAACCGCGATTCAACAGCCGGACGTATCCTCCGTCTTCCAGCAAACGGCACATCACCATACATATCATAAAAACAACCCTGAATGTTCATATCCTCCGTGAATAAAAGATACCCCAGCTTCTCCGCGCAGTCACGACCATCCGTCTCCCGACCCCGCCAACAGAACTTCAGCCGCTTGTCCTTCTGAAAGCGGATAGGCGATTCCTGGAAGAGCATGATGCCGCGGTAGACGCCCATGGCGAACATGCCCCAGACGCAGCTTTCCCTGCGATCGACGAGAAGGCGCATCCTGAGTTTGCTGGCTTTGCGCGACCAGTTGTGTTTCATGGTGGAACTAGAGATCTCGTAGCTGCCGCAGACGACATCGAGGAACTTGTCCTGGTCGTGGCGGGCCCAGGGGCGCTGCATGGTGTAGGAAGTTGCGTGGAGTCGACTGATGGTGCTTGGGCCGGTTGAGATTGCTGAGTGGGTTCGTCTGGCGGCGGGGAAGTGTGTGGTGTCTCGGCTGGTTGACGGACAGGAGAGGACGGATGCACCTCCGTAGTGACCTCGTCCTGGTCCTGATGACAGTCCATTTGCATGGCCTGATCATTCACAACCTGTGACTCCGGCTCAGGAGACAGCGCCAGCAGAACCAGCCGCTGCGACTCAGGCTCCTTCGTTCTATCATGCTGAAGATAATTCCAGTCCGCAACGAACGTCTCAACAGGCCACGGGACCATGGGCGGTCCGACCTCCCGCACGGCCTTGAAGTCGCACTTGTCGTCGGGGAAATCCGCGACGGCCATGCCCCTGAAACAGCCGGACACAGGACCCTTCCCACCCAGGATGACTTCTCCGATTGTGACACCCTCATTGTCGTACGCGACCTCGGGCTCGTTCTCGCAGACACCCCGCCACGCGAAGGAGTACGAGGCCATGGTGTTATCCCGCGGGCCGGGATCGATGAGCATCAGGCCCTTCCATACGCCAATGTCGAAGCAGCCCCAGAGACGGTCGTAGTCCCAGATTATCGTCATCCGACATTCCTGGTGTGGGAGTTCGCTGATCTCGAGCCGGTACGTTCCTTGGAAGAGTTGCATCGCAATGACATCTACTTCCGAGATCGACAGGTTGCACAGGTAATCGTTGTGTTTGAATGGAATTGGAGTGGGAGGGATCCGCCGGTTGGGGTTTGCATGAGGACCATTGAGGGGCGTGATGGTCGTGAGACGATGGAACAGGTCCGGCGAAAACTCCTCATCGGTGAGAGAGTTGATCTGGTTCGGCTGGAGGTCCATGATCTGCGCAAGGCCAAGTTGGCTATTCTCGTCTGTCTGGGTGGCTTCAGATGATCTCTTCTTTTTCCTGTTCTTCTTCTTCTTTCTGCGTGGTTCTTGGGTCTCGGGAAGTTGGCTCTCCGGGCCTATTGCTTCGCCTTCCCCATGAAGCTCGTGGAGAACAGAGATCTCGTGTGTGTCCACAGCGTCGGACATAAGCTCGACCTTTCTTTTGTTCATGGTGAGAGAAATTAATTAACGAGTGAATGGGGATAATGAGTGACAATGTAGAAAAGAGCGAATGAATGAAACAAAGGTGTGATGATGATGAAGACAAAATGAACTGAAACTTTACTTTGTCCAGAAAAGCAATTTGCTCTTATAGCAAAACTACTTACAGTCAATGGACTTCCCTGAAGAGTGCCGTTAATCTGAATGCTTCTCCATGATTCAGGCAAAGGGCAATTGATGTATCACATCTGTCGTTGATCGATACCCACTACCTGTCGAATTCCGATGGACACTTTCTCGGTGGGCCGCGTATGGACTTTTGCATCCTGCTGAAGACAGGTAAGGTGTGATACATGACGAACCTGCTAGGACAGAAAGAACTGACGAACCTGGGGTGTTTGCATAGTAATGCCTACACGAAGGACAGTAGACAGAGTGACAGCTGGATAGTGATAATGAAGAATTCCACCATAATAGGAGCTAGGTGTTGGTTGTGTGCTTGTGAGTAGAAAATAGTACCATTCCAGGCAGAAATGATGAGTACCATTACAAAGGGATCCTCGGGATTAGAAATGTTGAGTAAAGGAGAAAAACTCAAGAGGATTTTTTGCCCTGACAGGGTATGCTGGGCGAAGCAAAAAAGCAACATGCGGATTATGAGGCACGGGGGAAGAGAATATGACAGGTGGGGTGATTGGCGTTCCTGACAGCAGGTGGACTTCTCAGCTGTAAGAGTGTTTAAAACAGAGTCTTAGGAGAACATCTTTCACATATTCAATGTTCATTTGAAATTCGCCGTATCAAACAAGCCTCCACCTCAATAGTTGCTGGTGAATCCATATCTGGCCTAGGAAAACCATCTCATACTCCAGAATAACATTCCTCCTGCCCGCATCCGCATGAAAAGCCTAGTCTGTAGGCTAGGTCTCATGCAGGAACGTGGCTTGATAACAAGAGTCCTATCAACTAAACCTACCACACATCGCATCTTCTGCCGTTACCACGGCAGCTCTTTACCATCATACTGATTCAATCCCTCATTCTCCTCCCACCCCGGCACATGAATATTCAAAGCTTTTCCATTCTGAGACGGCGTTGCCTTCTGCACGATATCGAGGACAGCCTTTGCCCCGGTCGCAGGGGGGAGATCGGCTCTCGACCCGCCCATGTCTGTTTGGAGCCACTGTATTCCGATGGATCAGCATCTCCTATTACAAAAGACAAAGGACGGTAAATAAAGTGAGAGTGAAAGATACTTACACCAGGACTCACAGCGAGAAAGGTGAATCCCTCGCTAGCGTAATCCTGTGCGTACTGCACCGTCAACATGTTCAATGCTGCTTTGGTGATTTTGTACGCTGGTGTTGGCGAGCCTTTGTAAACTGGCGCCAGGGTGATTGAGCCGAGAGTTGTCGATCTATCAATGTTAGACAGGGATTAGAGGCAAGAGAGTAGAGCGTAGCACACATATTGACCACAAGTTTCCTCCGCCCCTCGCGGAGAAGAGGGAGAAATGCCCGGGTGACATTATGAGTACCGGTGACGTTCGTATGGAACGTTTCAGTCAGGCCATCCCTGCCGTTTAGTCAGAACTGGCTCGATAGTCTCAGAAAAGCTAGAGGACATGCATATTCGCGATTCCACCCTTTGTATGCGGCATCACGCCCGCATTATTGATGAGCACATCTAGTCCTTTCCCCTGTAGTTTACCTTGCACTACGCTGGCTGCATCATGCACGCTTTCTGCGTCGGTAACATCGCATTTAACCCAGTTGATCCGGTCTGATTGTTGGCTGAGTTCTTGTAGGCTTGGGTGTTCTGAGCGGGATGTTGCGAAGATGGTTCCTACGGAGAAACTGGGGAGGTTGGCGAGATGGCGCACCAGGGCGAGGCCCAGGCCGCGGGAGGCGCCGGTTATGAGGTATGTTGACATTATTTGTTAAGAGGAGATAATGATTTTGATGATTGATGGATGCTTGGAGTTTGACTGAAGCGGATGACTTGCAATGATCAGCTAGAAGGATTATTAAGATTTGAACATTCCGCTACTCCATGGTGGACGGAATTTACGGAGATAGCAGTTAAACGTCCGCAAGTATTGGGTCAGGGCCATAGGTAAGTTGATTGCCGAGCATCACGACTCTCATTATATAAACCTATCTCGATATCATATTTCAGCCTTGGGCCGTTCAGGAGAACAATCCCTAATCTCTCTATCATCCGGTCGAGACTTCTCTCTAGCCATCATAAACACAATCCAGGAAGCCCATATCACCAATGCAATCGAACACCCAATCATCGCCCACATTCCCCGCGTGAACCGTGGGGCCAGGTTCGCCGAGTAGAATATGATACTCCACCACGCGTTGACCGCATTATTCCCCATATTCATACTCGCAAGGACCACCGACCGATGCCGCGCATCCAGCGATCGCATCGCATCATTGCACCATGCAAAGAATGTAGCTTGGCAGGCATACACGGCACCGGCCCAGTAATATGCCCCGAACACGGTCGGAGTTGAGTCGAACCTCGCCAGGATCATGACGGAGGTCACGACCCCGGTAATGCCAATGAAATAGGCAACCAAGTAGCGTTTGCCGTGCAGGATATCTGTCAATGTAGCCCAGAAGAGGGTCGAGACGATCCCGACGGCCGGAACACCAGTTGGATAGTTGTTCAGCTGTGCGACAGTGTATTTGATCGTAGGATGAGATTTCATGTACAGTGCCAGAAGCGAGTTAGACGAGAAGGACTCAGTTTCGCCGGCGATCACCCAGAGGATGACAAACGCCCACCAGTACCACGTGGTGAACAAGCGTTTGATGAAAGCCCGATTCAAGGGGGCACGCTCGGCATTGGTCACAGGCAATCTGGAAATAGCCAAGGCACGTTCCGACTCCGTCAGATATGGAGCGCGAGTGGTGGATGGTGTGTCAGGGAAGAGAAAAAGTCCATAGATGGCAATGGGGAGGGTGATCAGCCCATCAATCTACCACAATTAGCAGCGGATCAATTAGGAAGAGGCAAAAACTTACAATGAATAACCACCGCCATCCTGAAAGTCCTCTGACCCCGTGCAGCGACGAATGGATACCCGTCTGAATGAACCCGCCAAACATCGTCCCTGCCAGGCCAGATGCCGTAAAGATGCCGCTACGTTTGCCCAGCTCCTCCTCCGTGTACCAGGATCCAAGGATATAGTGCGTCCCTACAAATGTACTCGACTCAGCTAGACCGAGAAAAAAGCGGATAGCCATAATCCCCTGTGGATTGTGCACCGCGGCCGTGATCATAGTCAGCCCGCCCCACAGGAGGATCATGACGGGGAAGAAGATGCGTGGGCGAAAGTACGTCAGGGCCAGGTTGCTGGGGACCTGGCCGAGGATGTAGCCCACGGTGAAGATGGTGTTGATGACATTGAGCTGGTTACCATGGAAGGCGAGCTCTTCCTTCATGCCTGATACGTATGCATTACTGAGGTTTGAGCGATCGAGATAGTTGAAGAAATAGGTGATACAGCAGAACGTGAGGATGAAGAAATCAATCTTGAACCGGAGTTTGCTTTCTGCGTCGTGAAACGCAGGAACGAGCCGCATCATGCTGGATGGAATGCATGATGAGGAGGAGAGGATGGTCATCACCCGCTGAGATGAGATACCTTAGTCTACCCCTCTTGATGCTCGGACTCGACAACAACCTAAAGTTAATGTTGATCGGCCTCATGCCGATAGCAAAAGAACAGTTTTGATTCGACAAAAGTCTGATTAATGCCAAGCCATGTCGCGTGACTTTGCCACACGGATGCCTGAGGTTTGAGGTGTCTGCGGGGAATGCAGAACAAACATCAGAAACACTTGGGTACTGTGTTTGAATATAAGGTTGTTGGAATATTATCACTTGTACTCCGTAATGAGATAGCCAGATGCAATATCCAAGTCTTCAATAAGCTCAGACCCTGCTGAGACCATGAGTGACCCGCCGATCACTACGACATGCCACCCCAGGGCCAAGATCTTGGCAGAGCAGAGAGCACTGCCACCTCCCAGATAAAAATTTGAACAATCCTTGATTCCATCCAAACTGCTTCAACTAAACAACAGTATGGCTCTGGGGCTACCCTGCTTGCAAAGTTCAATGCGACGTCCAATGCTGTCCGCTCTTTCTCTATATTTGAACGATGGAGCTCTTCTCCGGCCTTAGGCGGCTCCTGAGCCGGAGGACGCGCACAGGAAGCCGAGGATTGTCAACCGAGAAGGAAAAGGTATTTGAGGGTCAGCCTCGAGACGCAGAGAAGTTGTGCAGACATGATTTCCTGGAAGATTATTCCGATACCGAAACAGCACAATTCAGCTTCTTCACCACCAAGCTGGACTCGGTGATCCATGCATCCAGCATCAACTCTTTGGTGTTGATCTATGGACCTCTCCACGCGCTACTTGATAGTGGAGAGCACGATGGCATTTGGTGGCTTGATGTCACGGATCCCTCAGATGGGGACATTGAGCTTCTTTCCCGACTGTTTGACATTCATCCGTTGACAACGGAGGATATCAAGGTCCGCGAGACCCGGGAAAAGATCGAACTCTTTGGCCCGTATTATTTCCTCTCACTGCGGCCGCCCGAGCAGGCGGAAGACGTCCCTGGCTCGCGGACATCAGGATGCAACGTCTATGCTATTATATTCCGAGAGGGGGTTCTCAGCTTCACCTTCGGCAACAGCCCTTATACCAGTCATGTCCGAAGTCGGATCAAGGACCATCAAAGCCATCTCTTTTTAACAAGTGACTGGATATCTTACGCTTTGATGTATGACCCCTTCCCTACTATTGTTGAATAAACCCTGACTGACGAATACAGCGACGATATCGTCGACGGCTTCGCTCCACTGATCAACCGAGTAGAAGCCAGCGTGGAGACGATGGAAGACAGCGTCTCCATCACCCGCCCGGATGACATCGGACTTGCACTGAAGCAGATCTACACATCGCGCAGACAAGTCCTCCAGATCCGTCAACTCCTCAACGACAAAACCGACGTCATCCGGTGTTTTGCCCGCCACTGCGAGGCACTGGGTTCCACGAGCGAAGTGGTCTCCTACCTCAGCGATATCCAGGACCACGTCTTGACCATGGTCTCCAACCTAGCCCACTCAGAGCAGAGGCTGTCCCGGTCGCAGGATAAGTACCTGAGTCAGCTGTCCTTCGACTCGACCCGGATGCGCAATCAGATTGTGGCTACTCTCAGCCGGCTGACGGTGATTGCGTCTTGCATCGTGCCTATGCAGATCATTACCGGTTTGTTTGGGATGAATGTCATGGTACCAGGCAAGAATAGCGAGGGCTAGGTTGGTGGTTTGGGATTTTGGGTGTTATTCTGGCGTTGATCGTTTTGTCTTTGGCGATTGCGCGACGGAGTCGATTTATTTGAAGTGCAACTTTTCTGTCATCCTAGCCCAGGTGATTAGCAAGAGCATCAAAATACTCCGTACAAGCCTTCGATATCCTGATTCCCGACCGACTTAGTCGACGATCAATATGTCATGTCAGCACTCCCGGATTTATCGGGATTACCATTAAGTCGGCCGTTATCCCCGTGCAGAACGATCAACATATTTCTATAAAACCTGCTTTGCTCCTGTACCTAAGGTCCCACTTCACAAGAATCCATCAGTAACTCAGGCGTAAGTCAGACAAGCTGCAACATGGACTTCATCAGCACCCACCACCACGATACCTACCCCTTCATCGCCCACTCCACCCATCACAACCACAAAGTCCTCATCACGGGCGCCTCCCGCGGCATCGGCCTCGCAACAGCACACTCCTTCGCGCGAGCCGGCGCCCCATCCATCGCCATCGCCGCCCGAGGCCCCTCGACGCCGTGGAGACCGCCCTCCTCTCCACCGCCAAAGAAGCAGGCCACCCGCCACCAACAATCCTCAAACTGACTCTCGACGTCGCAGACGAGGCCAGCATAGCCGCTGCTGCAGAGCAAGTCGCCACTCAGTTCGGACACCTCGATATCCTGATCAACAATGCCGGGACGTCAGAGACGTGGGTTCCCATCGCGGAAAGCGACCCGGCGGACTGGTGGGGATGCTGGGAGGTGAACGTCAAGGGCGTGTACCTGGTCATGCGGGCGTTCATCCCGCTGCTGCGGAAGGGGACGCAGAAGACGATCGTGAATGTGAGCTCGATCGGGGCGTTGCTTGTGCGGCCCGGGGCGTCGGCGTATCAGACGGGGAAGTTTGCTCTGCTGCGGTTGACGGAGTTTGTGATGATCGAGTATGGCGGTGAGGGGATGTTAGCGTATGCGATCCACCCTGGTGGGGTGCCGACGGAGCTGGCGATGGGGATCAAGGCGTTGCATGGGCTTCTGACTGACACGGCGGAGCTGGCGGGGGATGCGATGAGTTGGTTGACGCAGGAGAGGAGGGAGTGGTTGGGTGGGAGGTATGTGAGTGTTACGTGGGATATGGAGGAGTTGCTGAAAAAGAGGGAAGAGATTGTCCGGGAGGATAAATTGAAGATGCGGTTGGCTGTGTAGGCTTAGCATACATTGAAGAGTCGAGTCAACCTGATGCTGGAGTGATCGCATTCTCCAGGTCGGCTTCGCTGACGCAGCGATGGGATTATCCCGCTGCTTCTTTTTACGGATACAGCATGGCCAACTCTTTGCTGTCAATAGGAGCTCTAGCGGGGATAATGCTGGGGCAGGACGTGACAGGACGTGAGTGAATTGTTGACGAGGGCTTATACCATCCTCGGAGGCAGGAAAGCCGACGTTGCATTGAGCAGTAAGAACTATTTAGAGGAGTCTATTGGGTATCAATGATTACATCTCATAAACAATGATCTATGCCAGGATCGGCTAGAAGTGGCGCCTGCAGGCTGTTTCCTTGCTACCGTTGTGAAACAGCCGCAACATACTCCATGAGGCTTGGGGCCGTCGTAGGGCCTGCCTTCCATGTGTGCGTCTGCAACCCGGGTGTCGTTTCTGGTGTGGCACGGCTGTAACGTTCAACGCCTTGCACATCGTAGGTTTGAACGGTCAGCTCCTCTCGCGATAGAATGACCTTCATCTTCTTCTGTTTTCCATCAGTTGAAACGGAAAGCAACTCCCCATGGTGAGGATACGTCGCCTCCCAGGAGACAGACTTGGCTTCGGTCTTTGAAATGCTCGAGGCTGGTGAGGTCTGCGTCTCAATCGCCGCGACGATATCTAGCATGATGAAATGCGTAATGATTGTTGCCGCCTGATCGTGCAGCCCAATGCGGTGCGGCGGATGGACGTCGGGGTAGTGAGGCAGGTTGAGTGAGATGTCGAAATGAGTGCCAAAAGGTGGTACCGACAGGTTGGTGCGTGTCTTCACTTTGAAGGAGCTCTGCGGTGTGAGCAAATCCGCCGAGAATGTGGACTCGAGTGGCAGAAGAAACTGTCTGATCAGACCCTCCACCTTCGGGACCGAGTGATCAATGTTGAAGAGGTTCACCGATGAATAAGGGGTCGCTGTGAAGTCACAACTGAGGCCTGCTAATTGGAGTACTCCATATACGTCCTTCATAAAGGTCTCTAGCCACCGCACATGGAAGCTGTGCTGCAAGTAGGCCATTATCGGTCGCAACAGCTGGTATTCGGGAATGTGACGTCGTTTCGGAGACAATGGAGGAGGCGGCTGTGTTCTTCGACGTAGATTTTGACGATGAGCGTAGCACAGCAGTATGCGGATTGAGTGGGCAAGTGCGTCGGCAAGCACGTTGTGTTCTTCTGATTTCGTCTCCTCGCCATCGACATATGCCTCTTGATCGGGGTCCACGAGGTCCAGTAGAATGTCTTGCTCTTCGGACACAGGGAATTGAACTAAGTTCTGGCGTGTCGTCACACCTTGGCTACCCATTATTCTCGCCTCCCGGAACAGTTCGTGGAAAAGCTCCTCCTCATACAGCGTATCTCGCGCCTGCAGGATACGGCCCTCGATTGAATCTGGGTCCTGGGCAGCCGACCGGTATGGCTTGGAACAGCCAGTGATGATGCCATGGTCCTTCACACGTACACGCACTGTCTTTGCTTTCGTCGGCACCAATCCTTTGTCCAGTATGAGTGCGCCGTCTTCGGATCTTCGTAGAGCTGCGAGGCCTCGGTCGCGGAATATCGGGGTGGCTGCAAACAAGAAGTCAGAAACCTATTTCAGCGTTACTTGTTTTCTAACTCACCTTCAAGGAACCCATATTGCACACCCAAGGTCTGTCCCTGACGAGGCAGCCTGCACAGTTTCCAGCCCTTGTCCTTGACAGCCAACACTTCCTGCCAATATCTTGTCTCGGACGCGACTTCATTTTCCAGCCTTGAAGCGGACTTCAACAACTTATCAGCAGCAGCATTAAAGTTCTGCAGCCTCCATCCACGCGATACGGCCTTTGTGTCTCTAACCACAGCTTCAGACTTTGGCGGGGGGCTGATGATTTCTGAATTGAGTGAACCAAGTGGTGCAACTTGCTTCAGATAAGCGGACATGGAGATTTCGGCCTGTCGCGGGGTGTGTTTGGAGAGGAGCAGTGAAATAAAATCGAGAGCAAACATCGCTTCCATATGTGCCTGCCTATAAGACCTCAGTACGGACAGATCGGCCATGTCACCGTGATGGTTGCCTTACATCGCAAACTGAATGATTTCTGCTCGTCGTTTGTATAATTGATCCAAGCGCTCTGTTGTGTCCAGCTCGGCGCCCGCTCCCTCACCCTCCTCCTCTTCAATTGTGTATTCCTTGCTCTTCTCCTCCTCGATCTTTGCGCGTAGACTCTCCGCACTCACATCGCGGAACGATCCCCATTGAGCATTAATCTGGGCGATCTCGAGAGGCAACGGATCTGGACGGTCGCGCTTTTCGATCAGGGGCGCAAGGGAAGGGTAAATTTATCGTCAGCCATGGTGACGGTTACAGACGCGCCCTACGTCAACGAATTGTGGGCAGCACTGAGGGATTCTTGAGGCTGGAAATGAGAGATGGGAGTGACGCCGAGGCACGTGACAACCAGAGCTCAGACATCGCAAAATCAACAATTCACTATGCCTAATCAATCGACCAAGGTTATATGCTAATTGCAGATGATAATTGATGAAGCTTAAATACTGGTTCTAATGCTAACTAGCTAAGAAAAAGTATCTAATCAAATGCCTCGTGTATAGTCCTGAATGTCGCAACGAATAGAAGTACCTCCTACACCACCGTGATATATATTCCACATTGAGCCCCAAAAACAGATATTGGAAGACGCAATTGTGTACTTCTCAGGGGTGGACTAGCCGTCTGTACGAGATTGAGAACGCTGCTTATCAACTGTATTCTGTCAATTCTGTCATTCTTATCAAAATGAACTCTATCAACTCAATTGAGACGGTATTAAGATCGATCGTTGAGCAATGCCTGAAATGACGTGCATCGAGTCAACTCTGCTACCTCTACGGAGATAGTCCGTCGTCAATTGATTGGTTGCCATGGCGTCACTGGCCAATCACGTGAAAAAAGAGCCCTGCCCTATTAGTTTCACGTGACTTACATGACGCTATTCCGAAAGAAGCCCGGTGACGTCGACAATGGGCGCTGGAGTCCTGTGGTGACGCAGGGATGGAAATCTTCTACTGCAGGATTCTCAAAAGAGGGGTTGCCGACTGTTGATCATCCATAAGTTTCTATCACTGTCTGTCTTCCTTCATCGGAGATTGTTAGACTGTCTTCTCATCTCAAGCTCTCGGAGCTCATTGTCAGCTAACTGGTGAATCCATTGACCCCTCGTGTCTGTGACGTACCCTTTCCCACTCCCGCTTTCACTCACCGGAAATCTTTCACCCCACCGTCACAACAACTTTATCTACAGTTTCGGTCGCGACGACAGCTGTCTCCCCTGGAGCTTCACTTTCGGTCTAGCGATTGATCCCTACAACACTCCTTTGAGGATCAGTTCTACGGTCGTCAACAGGATGAGCTCAGCACAAGCGCCCGTCGAGCCGCCCAAGAGACGCCGCATTGGTGTCCTCACCTCGGGTGGTGATGCCCCGGTATGAACGGAGCCGTGCGGGCCGTCGTCCGTATGGCCATTTACTCCGACTGCGAAGCGTACGCCGTGTTCGAAGGTTACGAGGGATTGGTTCATGGTGGGAATATGATCCGTCAGCTGCACTGGGAAGATGTCCGAGGCTGGCTGTCCAAGGGTGGTACATTGATCGGATCTGCTCGGAGCATGGCTTTCCGCGAACGCGCTGGACGTCTCAAGGCTGCTAAGAACATGGTCCTCCGCGGTATCGATGCTCTCGTTGTCTGCGGTGGTGACGGAAGTCTGACCGGTGCCGACGTCTTCCGTTCGGAATGGCCCGGTTTGCTGGAGGAGTTGGTCAAGAATGGTGAATTGACCGAAGAACAGATCAAGCCGTACAAGGTGTTGAACATTGTTGGTTTGGTTGGTTCTATCGACAACGACATGTCCGGCACTGACGCCACGATCGGCTGCTATTCCTCTCTGACACGAATTTGCGACGCCGTCGATGACGTTTTCGATACTGCATTTTCCCACCAGCGAGGTTTCGTTATCGAGGTTATGGGACGACACTGCGGTTGGTTGGCTTTGATGTCTGCGATCAGCACGGGTGCGGACTGGTTGTTTATTCCGGAGATGCCTCCTCGTGACGGGTGGGAGGATGACATGTGCTCTATCATCACCAAGGTGAGTCGCTAATATCTTGTTTACCCGCGATTGGGCTGACAGAATGTTCTCTGTAGAACCGCAAAGAACGTGGCAAGCGTCGTACTATCGTTATCGTGGCCGAAGGTGCCCAGGACCGCAGTCTCAACAAGATTTCCAGCTCTACCATCAAAGATATCCTAACTCAGCGACTCGGGCTGGATACCAGAGTTACCGTGTTGGGACACACCCAGAGAGGAGGAGCAGCATGCGCATATGACCGGTGGCTGTCCACCTTGCAGGGTGTTGAAGCCGTCCGGGCTGTTCTGGATATGAAGCCGGACTCGCCATCGCCAGTCATTACCATTCGTGAGAATAAGATCATGCGGACACCGTTGATGGACGCAGTGCAAGAAACGAAGCATGTAGCGAAGCTCATCCATGACAAGGACTTTGAGGCAGCAATGAGAATGCGGGATGCCGAATTCAAGGAATACCACTTTGCCTATCGCAACACGGCCACACCTGATCATCCCAAGATGATCCTCCCCGAAGACAAGGTGCGTTACTATCTATCAATCAGCCGAGTTGGCTAACTCAAAATTAGAGAATGAGAATTGCCATCATCCACGTCGGTGCCCCGGCCGGAGGTATGAACCAAGCCACCCGCGCCGCTGTCGGTTACTGCCTCACTCGTGGACACACCCCCTCGCGATTCACAACGGTTTCCCCGGCCTTTGCCGTCACCACGATGATAAGCCCGTCAGCTCTGTTCGTGAAGTCAAGTGGCTGGAGGCTGATGCCTGGGTTAACGAGGGCGGATCGGATATTGGAACGAACCGTAGCCTGCCATCCGAGGATTTGGAGACC